TAGCCAAAATCAGTCATGGTTATAGTAGGTAATTTGTAAAGGCCGCATAGGCCTCTGTACGGTAGAGCCTGCTGTATATCTTTACTGTGAAATAGTTCGCTCTATTCTTCACCTCTCTATGTAGAAACCACATTATGGTAAGAGTTATGATGTGATTGCAATAATTAATAACTTTCCAAGGTTTATGTACGTTAGGTATGCAGAAGATGGGTTGTGAAGTTATCAACATTTGGATGTGAATTTTCAGCATGAAAGACCCGAGCGAACAGACTATTTATATGATGGTTACTCCACCTTAAAAGGTGTGTTGGCTGTGGGTTCTTTTCTAGTGAACCTTCAGTCGATCTGAAGAATGATGTCTTACACTATCTGGCTGACAGATTCTATGAGACTTTTAAAGGTATTAGAGAGGATATGAGCACAAGTTAATTAAATTATATATCAACCAATTGAATAATTAATAATCTATTTTTTTAAAACCTTTTATTGGAAAAATGTAAAAAAAAAAATACAATTTTATTATTTATAAATGTTTAAATAGTAATAAAGTATAATTTTACACAATAAATTACCTATTACTCTTTAGAGTTTGGTCTTTTTTATTGTTAAAGTTAAATATTTAATAATAGTTCATATCAACTCTCAGGGTAAGTAATACAATTTAAAATTTACCTCATAGTTTTTTCAAGGCCTTAAAAGTTATGAAAGTATAAGTAAACCTTTTGAAAATTCAAATTAAAAAGTATATTTTTTAAAAGTGTTTAGCTATTCCTAAATGTAGTAGATTAAGATATATAGATGATGAAAATAAATATATTATTTAGTTTTTGTCTTTTATAAATAAATTATATTTCTCTTGAATTTACTTAATCATATTTCGAAATAAGTATAATTTAATTGACATTTTGATAGACTTATTAAAAAATTACCATAAACAATTTTGATTACTTTGTGAACCCAATATCGACAAATTTACAATTTATTGGAATTTACTCTTGAATTCATTTTCAATTAATACTTGATCCAACTCTTGTTTGCTTGATATAAAACCCATAAATATTTTTAATAATGCAAAAATTACATGATTTTGCGTAATGTTTAGATCACAAGGAAGTTGCGGTATTTTTAACAAAATCAGAATCTTAATAAAAAGCACTGAAACTTTGTCATAAATGTGTAGTCGATTAATAAAAGAGTTTAATTTTGATAGATGATGCAAAAAAATAGTTTGAGGAAACAAAGTCTGCAGTTTTGTAATAAGGAGAATCCATTAATTTGTAGAACATTGGCATATTAAATGATCTAAAGGAACAGCTTTTAACTCTTTGCAAAAACATCAATGTTTTAATTGACAAAATCAACCAAAATATTGATTCAGAAATTCAATTTATTGAATAATCCTCTTAATAATTTCAGAAGATGATAAATGATATTTAGTTTGATCAAATAGAACTTATCAACCAAGATAAAAGTACAATCATAAAATAATAAGTGAATTATAGAGAATTATAATAATCATTTATTACCCAAATAGGGAACTTATTTGCAAGCATATGTAAATCAAAGTTTGATCAATTAATCTAAAGGATTGAAGGTTTTGAACAGAATGAGATCATAAACCAATTTTTTGATTTTGGGCTATTGACAAATTACAATCAAGAATAAACTGCTAATTGGATTTGTGAAAAACATTAACTTTAGATAGCTTTTGTTGATTTATAATCATAAAAGAGCATTCCAAGTAGAGTGGCTTGCTTAAAATGTGTTCCTGAATATGTTATTCAATATACTGATTTAGATTAAATGCAAGAACTTTGGAAAAGTTATAATGAATAAGTCTTGGCTCTTTTTAATATATATATAAGTAATACTTAAAAAAAACAATAATAAGTAATTCATTAATTGAAGGAATCAAAAGACGTTATGATTTAATAATTTGACCAATTAATATAATCTATTTAAGAAAAAGCCTCACAAGGAAATGATGAACTTGAATAGCATCATTAATTAATTTAAAAAGCTTGGTATCAATTAAGCAAAGAAGAACTCATAAGAATTGCGAATCTGCTTAGTCAATAAAATAGAATCGTTATTTTTAATTAAACCTTAGAAAAAGAATTTTAATCCAAAGAATCAGCTATTGAATAATTGATTAGTTCACAAATGATGTAGTTCTAGAATCTAATTAATTCTAGTTTTTCTTAATTGGTTTCAAAGCCAGTTATTCAAGATGTTAAAAATCAGATCAATAAGGTTGATGCTGAAACACAAATTCAATATTAATTATCAATAACATAAGCAGTTGTCAGTCTTTAGGTTAATTGTAATGAGTAAGTAGCTCTACCATAAACTAAAAAATCATTTACTTATGAACTGATTTCTTAATTGAAAGAAAATACTAAATGCAGATCAATAATATTTAATAAAGAACTATCTATGATGATTGTGGGTTAAAGTAGTGGAAATATCAAAGTATATGATTTTAATTCTGGAATAGCGAAAGAGATCTAATAATTTAAAGAGCATAAGGATTAGATTAACTCTTTATTTTTTATGTAGAATAGTTCTTAATTTATTTCTTGCAGTGATGATAAGTTCATTATAATATGGAGTATGGATAATAAGAAGTAATGGAAAGTTTTATAAAAATTAGAAGGTCATACTGATAAAATTAATTGTTTAATCACAAATAACTAAGAGGATTGTATAATTTCTGGTAGTACAGATAAGACAATCAAATTTTGGATTTAAGAAAATTAATAGTGGAAGTGCAGATAGACATTGTCGGATCATACTGAAAAGGTCAGATGTTTAGCATTGAATTTGTCATAAAATTAATTAATATCATGTGGAACAGATAAATTGTTATTAATCATATAACAAAATAACAATAAATAATGGAGTACAATCTAAAAAATACAGGTTGAAAGGTATGGATTTAGTTTATGTTTTATATCAAATACTAAATTTACATTCTAACCTGAATCCTTGAATATAATGCATATTTATGAATATGATTAATCAAGCAAATAATTTATAAAAAGCAAACAAGACGTAAGTATTAAATCAGGTGCAAATTGTAGTGAGTTATTCCCTTAAAAATATATTAAAGACAAATTAGTCCTACTAAATAAGAATGGATGTTATGTAAATATCATTAAACATAAAGAAAATGGAGAATTTCAAACAATATAAGAATTTGAAAATATGTGTGATTGTTGTGGATTATTTGGAAGTATATCAAATGATGGGACTTACTTAGTAACATATGATAGTCATAGCAGTGAATTAAAAATCAGAAAATATAAAGAAATTTGAGTTACAACAATATTAATTTTTATATTAAATTAGTTATCAAATTTTTCAGGTATATGGAGTCTAAATGCTTCATAATAATCTTCAATTATGTAATTTTATCTATCATTTTCAGGTATTAATTGATTATAAGTAGTTTTCGCTTTCAAAATTTAGAGAAAAATATAAAGTGTAGGAGATTGGTGACAACAATAAAGATTAATTCAAATAGAAATCAAAATAAATAAAAATCGGTAAACGCCTCATAAAATAAAATCAATATTTATGCAAACATTATAAAAATTTAATTGTCTCTGATATCTTTACAGACAAAATATTGCGTTTCAACATAATTTTAATTTATATTTTCTTTTATAAATATATGAGAAAATAATTATTGATATCAGTATGTAGTAAAAATTGTATCTTATAATTTATGTATATTTATAAATATCAATAAAACAATATATTAAAATTAAGACTTAAGTTCAAATCCAAATTTTTTGTTGGGTTTAGGATAAAAATAAGTTTTAATTTACCTAAAAGCTCATATGTTAAGTCTCTAGTTATTCTCCAAACTTTACTTCTTATTTAAATTTAAAATCATTATGTCACTAGTAATCTTTATAATTTATTTAAAACACATTTATAATACTTCAACAACAAATTTAGTTCATTTTGATAATTACACCAATGATTTCATTTAATCAAAATACATCTGTAGTATATGACGATTTGTATCGTAAAGGTCGTTATCGTACTCTGTTTTTTTAATAGCTTCTTAAAATGGAACACCATTCATGATTCTATCAAGAACAACTATACATATTTTGATTAAACTTCAATAATACATTAAATTACTTAATATTGTGGCGATATATTCTAAGCCTTTCCAATCTATAAACTATTGCAAAATATTCGTGATATCCTACGCTTTCGTCAAATAGTTATTTCTCTAATTCTTCAATTGTTTCTTTGAAACTTGCATTCTCTTCTACTAAAATTTGTAGAGCTAAAGATAATGCCTTTCTTTCTAAGTTAAAGTCTTTAATTTTAAAAAGAGTATCAGTTGAGTTTACATATAGAGTCCTATATATCATTAAAAATTATAAAATACCAATTAACGAATTTGCAAAATACTATTAAGTCATAAGGGGGAACGGTATATTTTAATTTAAACCTTTTGAATTTATTGAGTTTAAATCTATGAACCATCCAAATAGCTTCCTTGTTTTTAAGATACTTTATATATTCAACTCTCAAAAATGTACTATCGTATTTATTGTATTCCAAAGCCATTCCATATTTCAAGAGCATTTATCTATTTGACAAGCGACTATAACAGAAGTATACTTAAGCTCCTTTTTCGAATGGATCTCTGGTTCGCATATGAAAATTTTCAAAGTTATCTATTTCCCAATCAGATTTATAATATTCTGATTTACGATCAACGGGTTGAGATAATACTTGTTCAATAGTTTCAAACCCTCTTATTATTTTCCTGCCAATTTTTTGAGCAAACATATTGATTTTCTGCTAGATTGGCTTTTTCATTACATTATTTAAAAATCCATATAAATAATCCTTGTAAACAGTGCAAGTTATTTAGACTTTCTTGATATCTTCTCTCGCTTTGGCTGAGGATTTTTCATCTTCAAAATAATCTGAGATGGTAGTGTCCAACACGTTGAATACTTATCCTAAAAAGAATATTGAATAATTATCTCCAAAATCAATGTTTTTGAATAAAAATGATTTACAATCAATTGCTAATTGAAAAACATCTCTTTAGATATTTAACTTAATGTGAAACTCTTTCCTCAATTTATTCAATAACAATTATTGATTTTAAACTCTTTTGTAGAATTCCTCTTGTTCTTCATTTGGTAATGGTTTTATATCAGACATCTTCCTTTGATTTTCAAGAAAATTTCTATAAGAAAATTCCTTAAATGAATCGAAATCAAATTCTGTATATTCATCATAATCATCCATCACAAATTCAGAATCACTTATATCATCTTCTGAACCCTAAGAATGATCAGAAGAGGAAAGAGACAGATCATCAACATCAACATCCTCTTATCCTTTAACTATTTTCTTAGACATGAATACATCATCGTAATTTGAAGACCTGTCCTTGTACGAAAAGTCATAACAAACATCAACTTGTTCATGATTAAACAATTCACAAAATGGAACCATAGTGACATATTTTAATCCTTGGCCTCCAAATGATCTTGAAATAATATGTGTATAAAGCCAGATTGCATTTTCTTCTGTTACTATCCCTGGCTTAAATAGGTTTCGATATTTATCTGTAATGAATTTAAGTGTTTTAAAGGCAACCATAAAATCTTAACGTTATTTTTTGGCCAACTTGACTAAATATTTATCTTCTAAAAATGCTTAATCTTCTGGTCTCCAAAACACTGCATAATCAATATCTCTGGGTAAATTGGAAATGAGTAAATGCCATTTTGACTCAGGACCTTTCTAATATTCATAGAGTAAAAATGCTAGAAATTGGTAATCTTCCCATTAAGGGAGGAATTTAGGGCTAAAAAGCTGTGGGAATTCCATAAAAACTTGCTTTAATGGAGATTCAAATGCATGTCGAGTGGTTAATAATAATTCTTTTGGTAGAGAGACCAGAGTATCCTTTGACTTTATGGGCTCCGTCGCTAAATCTAAATTAGCAAATACCAATTAAACCAGGATAACGCAACCCATTTTTTGTTTAAAACATAGCGTATTAAACTTTATTGATCTTTAATCCTTTTGAAGTAAGTTCTTTAATATATTGTTATAATTATTCTGGAGCTTCAGGAATAATTGCATGAGGATCAGCCTTCTTCAAGGCTTTAATTTTGCGAAATTTTTTTCCTATGCTATGTCTTTTCATAATTAATTTATTTATTCTTTTTTTAAGATATTAATAAATACTTTATAAGGATCTAAAATATTTATTTGTAATTCTGCAATCATAGGCATGTTATATTTCGTATCTATAAATGACAAAAATCCTTTTTAATTTAAGAAAATTAGCTTAGGAATAAAATTGATATCAATTTGAACTTTAATTTCGATAGATATTTTAATCTCAAATGTCTCATCTCTTTGGAAATTTTTGTATATATTTTAATATGATGGAAATCTAACTTAATGAATTAATAATCTTTAGAAAATATAATTTGTAGATTATTATTATCTAATTACAACAAAATGTAGAGAATTAATTTATAAATGATAATTCAATCTACTAAAAATTCAAAGCTTAAGATATTTTTAGATATAATAAACATACTGTAAATATTGATAGACCTCATATATATATTCATTAAATAATGTTCTCTTTCAATCCAAGGATATTCTTTATATTATTTTTTGCAATCGGATGATAGAATGCTTCATGATTTTTGAATGTTTTTACAGCAAAATCACTAAGATAATGATAATAAATACTGATCCAATTAATTTAAAGCTCTATAGACTGGATAGACCATCTTGCCTCTTCCAACAGATCCTAAAAAGTCTGAAATTTAAGTAAATCTAGTTTTGTCACCTGCTGTCAAAATTGCTCTGAACCATCTAAATTTCAACTCAAAGTCTTTCTCTTCTGTTAATTTTAAATCCTTATCCATTTAATTGATAACATTTATTTTCAATAAATTATTCTAAGCTTATTTAAAGAGATCTTCTAAGAAAACTTATTTTTAGGAATGCAAGAAAGTAAAATAATTTTACCATTTAGTAGGCTATTAGCCATCAGCAGTGATGTAAGCAGTAGTGTAATCATAAGCCTCAGCTAATTTTGGAGTTGAAAAATCTAGAATCACAGGAGGCAATCCTGGAGAATAAACCCATTTGTTCCAATTTTCTAAGATTTTGTATCTCTTAGTTGAAAAATCATCTACTTATTTCTCATATAAGTATCTCAGTAAAAAGTTTTGGAATTCCTGTTGATCAATCGATTAATATTTGTATTAAACCAAATATGCTCTAAGCATCTATTTAAAATCAGCTTCTCCAACTATGGATTCCAAATAAGCTAGAAACTAGTATCCTTTTTCATAAGGGATTTTGCTGAATGAATCGTCTGGATTAAGTCCGGTAGTATCAGGATGAAGTGATGAGAAGTTACTATCAAGCCCAAAGCCAAGCATGTCCTAGTACATGGATGTATTTCCAATTATGGCATTTAATTTGATTTCATCAGGAATCTGATAATGGAATAAGGATGCTTTCCTTTCAAGGAACACTGTAAATCCCTCATTTATCCACATATTAGCCCAATTAACACATGTTATGGTGTTACCAAACCATGAATGAGCCATTTCATGAATAGTTACATCTAATCCGCTCCCAGTACCTGTCATAATTGTAGGGTTAGCAAAGGTTAAAAGAGGATTTTCCATTCCTCCAATAGGAAAGGAAGCAGGCTATATTACTAAAGTGTAGGTTCCCCAAGTGTATGGACCAATATATTGTTCTATGGCCTACATGAATTATTCCATATCTTTAAGTTCAGCAGTGTATGCCTCTGTTTTATCAGGCTCACTAACTAAAAATGTTCTACCTCCAGTACTTGTAGGCACTTTCTTGATATTACCTGCAACTATTGCAATCAGATAACTAGGTATTGGAACTTTTTGAATAAAATATTTATATTTCCATGTGAAACCAGCTTAATCTTTGGGTCTATAAAGCACTTGGAATTCTTCTTTGCTTTCATCCGCTGACATAAATACATCTGCTGCTTCTGTATCTTTAAATATCACAGTTGCAGTGTAAGTCTATTTGACTGTAGGAGTGTCTTACAAAGGAGCCAAAGCTCTGCAATTTGCATCTTCACATTATGAAAATATGTAGGGCATTGCTATAATTATTGTAGTTGATGTTACTTTTTGTTGAGGTTTACTCTTTTGTCATAAAACTAATCGATCTAGATTTTGAATCGATAGAGTATTTTATAGATAATTCTATATATTATCCTTTGTAATATGTCTTATCTAATTGAATATTCAGTCGCGATCCTTGATCAGAGTCCTCATATGGGTTGTCTATTGTGTGTGAAAGTGACAGTCCATTTTAAAGATAGGTTGAATAAATATTTAACTTATAGATATCCAATGTTATCTATGATACATCAAATTTCATACTTTATTAATTGAACGACCCACAACTTAAAATCTGTATGATGATGTAGAATTGATATATTTTTTGTCCATATTTAATAACCATTCTAAATGCAAATGCCTATTTTAGACATCCAGATAATTTGAGAATGTATTTACATCAAGTTCATATGCTAATGCATATTGCATCAATGAAATCATCAATACGATCATTAATAAATATTATTTTTAATAATTAGAGTATTATTGTATAAAGTAAATTCCTCAGTAAATTTGCTTTTTAGAGAATTCTCTACCTACTTTGTAATGATAAAAAATAAATGATCTCCCTTTTAGATTATTTGTAATAAAAGGAAAAATTGAAAAATAATTCCTTGATTTTCTAAGTGAAAGATAATCCATTTTTGATTCACTCTCAATGTTTATAAAAAGACCTCGATTCCTGTATAATCCCAAATTAATATTCAATTCAATATTATATATAGAATTAGATGTGGAATTTTTATAAATTATTATTAAACTTGATAAAATTTTTGATTATAAAACATTTATAGTTATAAAATATTATATATACGAAAAAGATTGATTCAAAAGGGGTAGTTCCAAGGTAACAAAGTACATTCAACTCTAAGAAGTTATGAAATGTTTGCCTTTTTTTGTTTTAAAATGGGTTATTAAAATCAAGTTAAAAATATTTGAATAATTTTTTAATAATTTTGCTAATATTTATCTTCATACTATAATCTTGTTAATCATATCCTATATGTGATTTTTTAAAGATATTAAGTTTGAATTTTAAAAGGATGAATTTTATTTTATCTATTTTACATTCCAATTCTAGAAATACCTTTTTTTTTCTCCAAAAATATTTAAAATATTAATTTAGAATTAGAATCGCGAGGTATATGAATATTAATTTTTAATCTTATAAATGATAATAATTAATGTCAATAGTAGTATACAACTATTTATAGTTTCAGATAGTAATTAATGTAAAAAATATATTTGAAAGGTAAACAATATTAACCCAAAAATAGTAGATTAATTTTGGTCGGTCTAGAGTATTTTGTATTTTTTCAATGGTATCTTTTTTTTTAATGTTATTTGAATTTAAGAAAAAAAATGTTTAATTTTGAATTTTTAATCAATTACAATTATCTTTCTCATCATATATTGCTCCTAAATATTTCAATTGTTCTATGATGGAATCGCTAGCATTTAATTTAGATATAACACAATCTTTAGCTTATAAATTTCTTGGGAGTGTTTTATATAACTTATACTTATATTCTTTATCCTGAGTCAACTTATAAATTTATATTTAACCACTTTTAGTGATTGCGAGAAAATCCTTTCTGTTTGGATGAACATTTATAGTTTCTATCGATTATTATGGCTCGTAAAAAAAATTAGGCAAACTTATTAATTATTTGACACTGGTTGCAAAATCAGAAATTTCATAAATCAGGATATCTTTTAAGATAAGTATAAACGAACTAATTGTTAGAAATTTACAGGAATAAACAACTTAATCAAAATCAGATTCTTTTTGTTATTAACTATAGTTATTTTCAGTCTTAAAAAGAATTCTTAAGAATTATTTATCTCTTTCTTTTGCAGAGATAATTATTAAAATGTTCTCATCCTAAGAAAATTATGAACAATTAATAGAGATAAATGAATGACCCAAAGAGATTTTTTGACATTGATCTTGAGAATATTAATAAATCATTTAATTTTCATGATTCAAATAAGTGATATTATCTGAAAAACAAATACCCTCATTTTAATCAATCTGCTATTTTATTCCATTTAAATAGAAATTTTTGATTCTTTCAAGAATACCATCAACATTTCTTATAATAATACTTTACTAAAAAGCGTAAATTACATGAGTTCCAGTTTAACTAAAATAAATTGGTATCTCAGTTTCTTTAAAATAATATTTCAATTCTATTTACTCGTTTATTATTTCATAAAGAGAAAAGCTCTTATTTGAATGGATAGCAAAAAATTATTGTTGCTATGAAGAAAATGCTATAGATTAGATAGGTTAGTCAGACGTTTTGAGACAAAGACTAGTTTTATTTTTATTTTGGATAGAAACGAGTTGAATACATTATTATTCATTGAACTTGAAAATCAAAAGTAATAGATTTTCGTATTCCAAGAAATATAAATTTACCCCCGCATCATGAGAAAAGTCAAATTCAAATTTATAGTCATGTGGTGATTTATCAATATATTTCCAAATAATGATAGTAGAACCATTTTTTTTAAATTAATTTTTTTTTTAAGAAAAACATGCTGCAATATAAGTTTGGTCTTAAGAAATTGAAAAGTTAAAACAGAAAAATTATTCATCAGGCATATCTGAATTTAATTAAGCCATATTCATTGTTTATTTTTAACTCTTATCCAACAATATTTCATTATTTTAATGAGTTAGTTCTAATATAATTGGAGGTTTGTCTCTCTCATTATTCTCATTTTATCGTTAATCTAAACACCATTGAGTCACATCTTAAAAGACTAATCGATTATTTTGATTAGAAATTACATATATTCTTTATTCAATCAGTAAATATTAGAATTAATTAGAAAACTCTGTATCTTCAGTTTAATTATCTTCTTTCCATTCTAAAGTGGTTTTTTAAGTGCTAAAATTAATCATTCTAAAGATATGTTAATTGTTCTTTTTGCTTCTAACAGCTAAATGAATATTATCTTTAAAAAAGCCCATTGATAAAATCGTTTCATCTTAATACTATTATTTTTTTTCATTTTAAAACTAATCGTCAATAAAATGAATTAATCCATTTTATGCCATTGTCTTATATGTCTTATTTGTTGAAACAGCAATTATAAGTGGGGAATCTTAAATTTATTAATTGAAATTCCTAATTATTTTTGGAGAGGTTTATTCTAAATCTTTCAAATCAAGAATAAAATTGCAATCACTTATAATTGCCAATTTCTATTCTTATTTATAAGAGAATATTAATAATTTTGCTTTGAAAGGTAGCCAATCGAGAAGTTCACATTCTGGAAAGCTATATATTTTAATACCTTAATTAGAACTTGTAGCAAAATAATTTTTTGAGAAAATCAAATTATTCACCTTCTCCATTTCTAAAACGGCTGCATCATTTTTGATGCTATAAAATTCTGTTTTGCTTTTGAATTATATAACGACGTTTTATCCATCAGGAGAATATTGAGCATTTTCAACTTATGAATCAAAAATATTGATTGGTTAAGGTTTTTCAAATATGACTTGTTTGCTCTTATATTATATTTATCTCCACCAATCATTTACGGATGAAAATTTATAAACCTCAATCAATTTCTAATCATAGATTTTCACTTCATTGCAGTTGTGTGCCGCCAAAAACATTTTGCAATTTGATATGGTAAAATTATCAGCATTGATTTCTGTTTTATTTTCAATATCTAGTTTGTATGAATGATCTTAATTTCTCTTAAGCCAAATCAAAAGGATTTTATTGTTATTAATTAATAAAACTAAAATTTAATCATTTTTATAAGTAGCCATTTTAGTAATTTTATCAAATTAGTGTTCTATTTCTATAGGTTCGATCTCATTTTATTTTTTATAAAACAAAAAATTTATCTTATATTTAATCCTATCCTTTGATAATGCACAGACTACCTAATCTTTTAATGCTAAAAAACAAAATGAGCTACAATGTTACTTAAAGCATTTTTGATATATAATTTTATTCGTATTATCTTCTTTAATAGAAATGTTTGAATATAAATCATTTTAGATTGAATGATTTTTTTTGGATGAATTTTCAACTTGCGATTCATTTGCTTAAATGCTATGATAATCAAATGAATCTAATTAATTTTTCTTATGTTGACTTTCTTTTGACTATATATTTTTTTTCTGATCTAAAACTCCGATGATTTTACTCTCTTCCTTTTACTTTATCTAAATCTATCTGTCTGTTTGTGTTTAAAGAATTCCTTTTATACTTTCCAATTTTGCACCTGTTAAGTTTGCTGAATTGAAATTGCAATAACTTAAATCAACATTTTCCCAATGTGAATTACATAAATTTGCATAATAAAAGCTCAATCCTGATATAGGTATTTCAGATATTTGGATTTAACTTAAATCTTCTCCTTCTAAATTTAGTTTAAGAATTGATAAAAGATACATACTATTAGATGAACATCTTATGTATTTAGTTTAATTTTTTGATAATTTGATTAATTAAATAAGAACATTCTTAATTTCAGATATTAATAAGAGTTAATCTGAAAGTAAAGCTACTGCTTCAGCATAAGCGTTTTGGCATAAATTCAAATTATTAAATTGACCAAGTTCCTCTATTGACTTATCAATTGTAAATTGATTAATTTTACTTAATACGAAATTTGCAATAAAAAAATCTTTGAATTTTTCGTCGATGAATATTTCCTTTTCTCCATCTGACTTTAATAGACAAAATATTTTTATTAATTCGTTTTAAGACTCTTAATCGTTATTTCCTTTTTATTAAATTAGTAATGCCAGATTAGATTAAAACTCTCTTACTTTTTTTTTAGTTATTTTATAAGTTGAACAAATACATTCCCTTGCTTCAAAAGAATCTTAGATATATTAGTCAACAAGAGAATTAAAATATTCAAATTTTGTAAGTTAAGGATTTAAAATCTATTTTTTTTAAATGTCTTCTTATTAAGGTCTATATTTCTGATTGCTTTTTGTCAGTATAGAATCTAAAATTTTATTAATCCCAATTGGTTCTTCATTTTTGGAAGAGGGTGAATTTGTGTCGGATGAGGAATTACTATTACTATCTAATAGTTATTTAAATTATTTTTTCTGTTATTCTTGATACTGAGCAACTAAATTTTTGGATTTATTATATTCTTAGAATCTTTAAGGAGATTTTTCAGAGTTCTTTTAAGTAATTAATTTAAGCAGCAATTTGAACTGATAATGAAAGGAAAAACAAGATACAAATAAGTCCTTCATCATAGAGTTTAATTATAACATATTTTGCACCATTTTTTAAATGGATTATTAATTCTCCTGAGTTAATTACATCTTAATCTGTCTAACATGGTCTTCCTGGATTAAAATTTAGACATCATTAAAATTGATACTAATCATTTACTAAACATTAATGTTAATCTAATTGCTTTAAATTTCCTTATTCATGATATATTAAATATATTTTCTCTTTTACCCTTCATCAAATTCTTTTAATTCAATTCGAATCATTCTTTAAATTAAGGGCTGATATGATGGCAGGTCTTACACCTATTCTCTAGTAATTATAACCAATTTTTAATTTATCTTCTTATCTTTATAGCCAAGCATGTTAATGATATTACTATTTCTAAACCCTAAGCTCATTTAATCGAAATAATCTAAAAAGATGACGAATTTTTCATTTGCGTTTAAACAATCTTAAATCTACTAATCTGTAAGGTTAAATGGTTCAGATTTTAGAGATGTTTTTAAAAATTCAGCTGGTTTCTCTTTATTTTATTCTATATCAGTTAAATCGAAATAAATTGGGATCTAATCAGAATTTTTCCATAAATAGTCTATTATTTTCTTTGTTAAATCTGTTTTACCAGACTTAAATTTCCCAAACAACCAATATATATCTTCTTCCTATGCTTCAAACAGATTTTTTATTACTTCTTCATCAAAAGTTGACTCTAATTTAGATGTAGATGTTGTGATATTAATTTAAGGAGTTATATAATATTATTTCTACTAGTATTTTTGGTCTTTTTTTTTTTCGCGTACAATATCCAATTAATCTTTATAATTCAATTACTATTTAAAACCATCATTAACTATATTTACAAGTGGATTAATTACTTATAATTAATTATTTTTTTAATCCAATCTATTTTTCATACAATTCAATTACTCCAAAAAATCCTTATCTTTATATATTTTCAAAATCTCAAAAAATTGTGTAATATGGTCTTAAATACTCTTATTAAGGATGGAAGTATGTTCTAGAATGAGAAAGTGATATGATAACCAAATCTAAATTTCTTCATAACCTTTGTCTTATTATTTTATGATCGAATTGACAAAGTATTCATCATCTTTTGTAATTATCTATTTTACTTCATAAACTGTTTTTATAAAGTTGTTTAACTACTAATTTTATTTTGTTAAATTAAATATATACATCAAATTAAGTTATGCTGCTATCAAAAGTTGATAGCTATTTATCTATTTCTTTTAATCTTAATTATTAATAAAATCATTAGCAAAAGTATCCAACGAAATTCCAAAATTATTAGGCTAGATTAATTTATTCAGGTATGCTTAATAAAAATAAAAAGTTTCATAAGAGCTAAACTTGTCTTTTTGCTTTTTTAATTAATCCCATTAGTTTTAAGTGTATTATTCCTATTTACTGAAGTCACTTAGTAGCCCATATATTTGATCATTAGATTTTGTTCCAAATTCATTTGCTTATTGTAACAAGTCGAAATAAAATTAAAACATTATTTTTTTCCATTCTGTATCCTAAGATATTTATTAAATAGATTCATAAATTGGAAAGAGTTGATTTTTTTCTATTTTGAGAAATTCCTGTTTCTACAACATTTCAAGATAAATCGATATTGTTTAATATGTAAAAATGACACAATCATCATCACAATTTGTTACCGCTGATATGAATTATTTGAACTAGGAATTCTAATTGAAATGTTCGATTAATTTCTTTTTGATTTCTTTAACTTCCAAAATCTTTTTAGGTTCATTCACCTAAGTAATATATTACGAATGGGAATGAGAAGGATATTAATATTTAATATTTGTATTTTAGCACTTGCAAACTAAACAGCCTCCTCCTCGAAGATGATTCTTTAATCCTAAGTCAGAAGAATTCAATAATTCCTATGTTTATCCTAAGATTTATTGTAGTTAATCAAAATGACTCTTATTAATGTTCAATCTAAAACAATTTCTAACTAATTAGTATTTCTGAAAATTTGAATCTATATTCTAAAGATTAATTAAATCATGAGGCTTTAACATTTTAGAGAATTATTTCATTCTTTTATTTAATTATTGAACAAATGGAATGTGTTATGCGCTAAATTAAAAATCTTTATTATCTATTATTATTATAATATCAGATTTTTCAGTTTATTTTTGTTTAATTATAGGGTCTTTAAAATTGCACAATTGATCAAAATTCTTCTTTGTCTTATGATAATTTTTAAACTATAAAATTGTAGATAATTTTTGAGATTTTAATAGGCGATAAATTATAACAGTAAGATGTTAATTAATTAGATATGTTATTATCCTATAATGGTAGAATGCTAGAGTTTTTTAATTGAATTATAAGAGTTCAAAAAATTTATATTTTATATATTCTGTTTTATTCTGAATAAAATGGAATGCTCTATTTGTTGTGATACGACAGAACTTTTGGAATTGCAATGCAGTTGTCAAATCTGTTAATGCTGTATGCTTAAATCAATTGATGCAAAGTATTATGAAGTGATTGAGGAAATTCATTGTCCCGGTTCTTGCCAAAGCAAACACTCAGTATAAGGATTGATGCAAAACATGGAGGGATTAAATGATCTCATGCTTGAGAAATACATTAAAACTACTTAGGATATAAGAATATGTCCTCGAAATGATTGCTAATATGGTGGAATAATAAAGAATAATTGCTAGTAATTTGAGTGTGAATGCGGATATCAATTCAAGTTAAAAGATGAGAATTGGAATTTAAGAAGCATATTTTTGAATTTTATCACTATAAAGGATTGTCCGAAATGCCAAAGAAGAATTTTTAAAAATGGGGGATGTAATCATATGACATGTAAATGTTAATATGAGTTTTGTTGGATATGTTCGCAAAATTACAAAGAACACAACAAATTGATGTGCTCTGCAAACATTATGATGAAGATCTCCTTATTAATCTTTATGTTATTAAATATTGTTTATTCACTAAGATTACTTGAAAGTTTTATGACTGTAGTACTAATATTTGTGAAGTAATTATTACAATAACAATATTTAGACTCATTTTATTTAATGGCAGCCTATTATTCCTCTATTTGGGTATAAATGAACTATACCAAATATCAAAACTGAACTTAGAATGCTCAAAATATTATAGTAATGGAAATGAGACATTTAAAAGAATCATAAATTAGAAGTGGATCATGTTCGTTGTACTCATGAGTTAATTTTGCCTTCTTTGTTTCTTTTTTTACTTATGCTACCAAGAGCAGTATTAACTAATTATAATAATTAGATTCATCGAAACTTACTGTCATTTCTTATTTTCTGAAGTTTCAATATTTATAGTGTTAGGAACAACACTTTGGATAAGATCTAAGAAATGATTTAATATATATTAATTAATTGTATAAAGATCAAGTTGAAAACCCTTAATCTATTTCTCTATTTTTCATTTAAAAATATGGACAGATAGACAGTCTAATAATATTAATGAAGAGAATAGAAAACTAAGGATAAATGATTAGATAGATAATTTTGTACTATACTGATATGTTTTAATGAATCATCATTCCTTTCCAACTTCCTAGTGATCTTTGGCTTATTTTTTTTCAAGTGCAGTCAAATACAAACCATTATCGTCTGGGAGGGAGATCAATGACTTTTTGCCTTTACCAATAGTGAAGATATTATTGATTCTGGTGGAGAAGTGTTTTCCGTTAGAATCCTAGTGATATGTTGAAATGAATGATTACTTTAACATGGACAATATCAAATGATCCAAGATGTCTTTCTCTGTGTTGAATGAGTCCAACTCTTCCAATATTGTTACCTCCAATGATGTAACATAAGTTTCCTAAAATGAATAGTAATTTTGAAATACCTGGTTCTTCTTTGAGGAATTCAACAACCTTTCCTGATTCTAAATCGATTTTAAGAGTGTCATTAACATGAATATCTGGATTTGGATATCTGATGGTTCTGGCATCATTGGTGACAATGTATGGGACATTGTTTGGACCAACCTTCTTTTAGGTGACTTTAACAAGCTTGAATTTAGCTTCTTCTGGTTTGATGGATTTTAAGATGAATTTGCCTTGAACATCATATAAAACTCTATAACTTTCTCTTGTTTTATCAATTGTGATGACATCTATAAGGATGATATGAAAAGTAGATACCCTATAATCCGACTGGATATCCACTATCAGTTCTCACTTTTCCATCAACCTTAATGTTGCCGTCCTTATCAGCGAGTATCATGGTAGATTCTCTAGCATACAAGGCATATTTCAATTTATGTTGCAATATGACAGAAAGTGGAATTGATTCTCTTAATTTATGAGGTCCTTATGATGGTCTTGTGGTCCAATTTCCTCCTAATTTTGAAAGCATCCAACTTTTGGGTGCTGTGATTCTTTTCATGTGTTTCTTTGGTCCTCTTGCCTAAAATTGACATCGACATAGTTTTTACCATAATTGTTTCAAGAAAAAATTAAAATCTTTTTTAATTTATTTCAAAATGTTCGCATTATAAACTAAAACTAAGCATAGCCCTCTCATTATTATATGATCATATATATAAATAAAGAATCACATTATTTCTTCTCCTGCTCATTAGACTAATATTAGGCATCATCCACAAATTTAACAACACTTTTCCTATTAGTAGTCTAAGCCAAACAGTTATATTTGAATCCAGCTCCTTAATTATCATCTCATATATTCCTAAAAATACTATGCGGCTTGATCCCTCTTTGATTATCAAATAGCTACAGTGGAAGCTTAATTTTCATCATTTTCATTATGTTGAAAATCCTACCATCTAAATTATCAAATAATAGTCATTTTAGGTTCAGCCAAAGTCACAGTAGGGGAAGATTTTGAATTTTTACTAGATTTTCTAGTTTTCCTGGATTATTCTATTTTTTTTTATTTTTTTTTTATTTCTTGGTCTCTTCTTCATCGAATCCAAACTACTTTCGAATTGTTCCATCTTTAAGAGCCTAATGTAGAATTTCATGATCTCAGACTATTTTATTTTTCTTTCTCACCATTTATGTTGATCATCCAAATTTGTAATTCAATCTAATTCTCTCTTGTACAATTTGTCTTGATAATTCAATTCTTCTTAGTAACATATAGAAAGTTTCAAATCCTATATCCACATCACTGAATATGCAACCACAAGAAAATTTCATGTTCTTACGGTATTTAGAATTTGATGGTTATAAATATCAGGAACCTTTTTAGGGAATATAAAATAGAGAGTTCTTAAATTCTTAATATCCAATCACCTTGAAGCTATATATGTAGCAATTAACTAATTGACATTTTATTGAATTGATTTATAATTAAGTTTTTTCATATTATAATTTATCACTCCAAATATTCAAGCCCTGCACTTCAATTATTAATTTTTTAAAGAAATTTCATGCATTAACATTCCAACTAAACTTTTGATCTGTTTCACCTAATACTATATTAGTATATTTATTCATATTTTATTATTATCATAAATCAACTGAAGTAATCATTCTATTATTTTCTTAATCTCAGTTCTTTTCATTAATGATATTAATCTCATTTACTAATACTGCTCTAACACTTTGTGAAATAATCTAACAAACGATTGTTAATTTCCAAATAGAGTTATTTTCCCAATTCTCTATATAAAACTATTCAATCCTATTAGATTTTTTCATCTCCCTCTTTTCTTTGCTTACTCCTTTATCAATTTCTCATCATTGGTATCAAAATACTTAGCTTCAGCAAAATGTTTTATCAATTATCTCTCTTTCTTTTTACATTATCTATTGTATTTTATTTAATTAATAATTATGTTTAAATTAAATCCTAAAAAGGTACTCATCAAAACACCGACTATTTATGATTATCAGGCTAATTTGCCTGTCGAAGTAATTGTTCAATGTAAATCTAGACTAGAAAAGCAATTGTGTTGCACGTTATGAATAAGAATCCTAAGCTTAGAATAAAAGGAGGAAATTCAATGACCAATCCCTACAAAATACCATATGAGTTGGCTGTTGCAGATTAAATTGAATAGCTGGAAAAATATAAAAATTCCATTCTCTGGTCTCCTAGAATGACTCCTAAAAAATTCACTTTTGCTTTCATCTATCCAATGGGATTTGCCTTAGTCTTACTTTGGTATATTCATAACGTTGCCATACCAAGAAGAATGGTAGAAATGAAAAGAAAATATGGATACGTCTATCCTGAATTAGAATCGAAGGGCTGGCTAGATGGTTGGTGGGATTATGAATAAGAAGAAACAGAACAAATATTTGATATCATCAATATGGAATTCAAAAAAACAGAAGATAAAGTTAGAAATAAGCAGTACACCGATTTCACCATTTCCGATTTACAAAATTTTGGCAACAAGCCAACCTATGAAAATTCTGGATAAACTTAAAATAATCTGAAATCTGGAAAATAAATCATGTAAGTCAAGGAAAAACAGAAAATCTAATCCTAATTTGAGAAGATCTTACAGTTACAGACAAAACCATCATCATGATTATTCTATCTTTATATATATATATATATATTTAGAAAGCAAGCAACTATTTATGAACTAATTTCTTAAATAATCCATAATTCTCATAAATTATTATTATCTAAATTCGTAATATGAATTTAGTCAAAGAAACTAAATAAATGCTTGAAGTTAATTAAGTTTATATGACTAACTTCAAACATTAAATGAAAGAATAACTAAGAATTTGACTGAATTTTACACATCTCTTATCTTGGTGAAATAAGAAATTGAATTACTTTAATGTAATAAATGACATCATATTATTTATATCAAATTATTATATCTGGAATTGAATTGCTATCAGCTAATCGCAATATTTTTAAATACTCAAGCCTATGTATTAATGGTTACAATACTTTGCCATATTTTTATCTTATAAATTATACTTCTAATTATTGATGTTATCGCCGTATCTGATATACATTTCCAATTCTGACAAAATTAACAAGTCTTCAGCCTTTAATTGAATCTTGTTTCTTTTTACATCGAAGACCATTTAATAAAAGACAAGGTCAAGGATATCCTAATCTTATTTATTGAATTAAAAAAATTCTTTGATAGTCAAATAGATTTCAAATCTTTTATTCAACTTATACACATTGTTGTTAATTTCCTCTTGAAATTCAAGTTTATTGAGAATGTCAAAGAAATTAGCAGATTCATCGAGCCAAGTGGTATTGTAGATGTTGTCAAATTTGGAGTGCACCACAATTAATCCAAAGTGATTCCAATTGTTTTATTATCCTACATAATTACATGCACTTCTAATAACTGATTTCACACTGAAATGATGATCTACTTCAACCCATATAGGAGTGTCACTATGAATAAATAATTTCACTATTGATTATTTACATTCAAACATCAATTAGATTTCATCTGCTTTTGGAAGATACTTCCTAGGACATAATGGTATTTTTATTTCATTTTTAAACACTTGTTCATTTGTATTGAGAGCAAGATTCTTAATTAATTACTTACAGTACTTATAAATCTCAGGGTCCTTAAACAATTTATTTTCTGGGTTCTCAATTTTGTCCACCAAATACTAAATATAAGGAATAGGATGATAATATGAAATACAATGAGTGATGACAATGCATAATCTCAATAAATGATGCAAGTGTTCTTTTTTATTCCCTTCAATTTATTTAAATATCTGTAATAGTATCTCTTCTCTATTTTCTTGATTGCATTCATAATCTTCTTAGTTGCTGAATCTTCTCCCTGCAGTCTCTAATTAGATTGATTTTTTTAAAGCATCAATATCAATTGTTTTGGCTTTGAGCAGACTCTTTGGAGCTGGAGGTAATTCAATCTATGCGTCATTCCCGATCAATGCGCATAAAATTTTCTCTAAATGCTACTTTGCTGATTGACGAGATCTTTTCATATGGGCAAATTTGGTAATACTACGAAACACATTGAGAGCAGTAGTTTCATTTTATAGCTTAGTCAATGGGTGTTTCAGATTTTCACTTTAACACTTCATAATTTTTTGAACTTATTTACCTTCGTGATTCAATACTTGTTAGCAATAATCATAAAATTTGTGCTTCTCCATTCTAGCCATAAATTCCTTGTCCAAAAAGAAACCCAAATTCTTGTCTGGAGCTGATCTAATGTCCAAGATTCTCTTATTCAATTAGCAATTTTCATATATTATATATGGTTACGATTTTGGATTCTGGATCAGTCTCTGTATTATGAAGGTCTTTTTAATTTCTGATTTCTTCTATTACTCTATCTATTCTTGCTAAAGTTATTTCAAAAAGCTCATCTCCTCATCCTTAATCTTTTGTTGAATGGCCAACTTCTGTTTTACAAACTTTTCATATTCACACTTTATCATCACTTGTGGTGTTGCCCCAAAATATATTTTGAATCCCTGAGTCTCTATTTATTCTAATAATTCTCTCTTTCTTTATTTTTATTTCCAGTACTCCATCTTCTCTTCCAACATCTCAAAAGCACAATAGTCAGAAACATCCCCCATCTTCATCTATTTATACTTCTCTTTTGAGTCATCACTAAGCATTTCGAATGAATCTAAATCTGAATGAATTTAATTCGATATTAATTTAGCCTTGATGATTCTTCTGTGAACTTGCTTCTATTCATCATCAAGAAAAGAATAAGCATTTGCTTGATAGTCCAACAACTAATCCTCATCCAATAATTTGTAAGCTTCATAATCCGAAAACTCCTCCTTCTTCAAATTCTCCTTCTCCTATTCATAAACGTTAATCTTTTCCTATAGCAATTGTTATTTCTATTGTAAACTATTAACGTCTTCCCAATCATAAACCTGGAGTTCCTTCAATTGTTAATCTCTAACAGTCTTATCTTTCAATAAGATATATGCTAATGAGACTCTACCATAGACAGCATCCTTATTCTGCAATAATCTAAATGCCACACTAGAATTAGGATGCAAATGGTTTTCAAATAAGATTGGGTTTATGATGTTTTTTAAAAGAATCTACATCTTTTCCTTCTGCTTTCTCTCATTTTTCTTCTCAATGGTCAAGGCCTTATAAGCCAAAGAGTCTAAATCATAACAAAAGTTGCCGATGTCATTCATGCTTTTCTTCCTTTGATAATAATCATTTAATTGTTGTCTTCTTTAGTTCCATTGTTTTTCATTTAAAAGATTAAAAGCAATAGAATCCAATAAATCATATCTAACCAATCCCAATTCATCCAATCTCTATTAGGCTTATAATCTTAATTGATACAATTCTTCATATTTCTTAGGATTAGCCATTTATTTGGCAATCCCACTCTGACCTTCCTTCTTTAATTGAAGATACTGATTTACATCATCTATGGAAAGATATGCCTCGATATCTGATATGTCTTTACACAATCTTAATTTTTCCTTGTATCTAATATAGGTGTCTTTATTGTTGTCAAGTAATTTAAATGATTCAGGATCTGATACTTCCACATCAACACCAAATCTGGCCTTACTTTACAAGAGCAGTAATGGTTTAAATTTCAACTTTTCTTATTTATATTTCTCTTTTTATATTGGCTCCAACAAAAGAAATGCCTCTTAATCTGATAGAGGATCTTCCATCAAGAATCTTTTTTTCTAAATTTGTCTTGGCCTTTATTAGACTAAATATTGTCTCCTGTTTTGTTATTATTGCTCACTTAATAATGATAAAGCAACATTCTTTTAATTTTATAATTTTTTCTTCTTGTATTCATTCTACTATCCAATCGTTAATTATTTGAATGCCTCTAAATCACTTAAGAATGGCTCCAATTAATCATAATACTTTTATTTAAAATCTTTTATTTTATTTAGTCTTCTTTATTATTTAATTTTCAATTATTGATTTTGATCCAACAATCTATATGCAACTTATGTTTGATTTTGTTTTTTCATAATTAAGTACTGAAATTTCTATTCCTATGTCAATAATTAAAAAGATTCAGGGTCAGATGCTTCGTTTGATATTACTTCCAATTCCTTCAATTATTATTCTATCTTCTTCTTATTAATGTTATCCTTCCTCTGTATTTATTATTCTTAAGTTAATAGACTATAGGCTACATCTGAAACTTCTTCATAGATTTACCCATTTATTAGACTATGCTATTTCTTTTTTATATGTTCCTTCTTTAACTTCTTATATTCTTCTTATTAAGTTTTCTCAAGCAGCATATAAGATTCATCGTCTGAAACTTCAATTATAATTTCCTCTTCTTTCTCTTCTCTTACCTAAGATTAGCTCTATTTTCTAATTTCATTCTCTATTTGTGCCAACTCACTCTCAGATATGACCTATTATTCAATTGATTTGGTTTTTGCAATTTTCTTAACACAAGCCAATATTACTTTTCTAAATTATCTAATTCTATATGCTCTTTAAATAATTTTAGCAAAAACACTCAGTTTTAAATTGTAATTACATAACAACTTATTTAAATTTTCAATGGCTTCCTTTTTGAAGTAAACTTAAGACTACCCAAATACTAATCCCTTTGACTATGTCAATCGCTTACATATTTCAGTGACTAACGCTTTCATGTCTTAATTGCTATTGATATGCTTTTAAAGAGAAATCTTTTTATTGAATACATCAAGATGATGGTATCTTTAATAAAAGTCATTAAATGTTAATCGATAGGGATAGCTATTTTTAAAGAACTTAATTGAGTCGAAGATTCTAAATTGCACTAAATCCTATTTGTTTTGAATGACCCTTATGAATAGCATCTAAGTATCCTTGGTCATTATGTTATTCAGCTTACTGATATTGGAGGGTATCTACACTTTAGTTTCTAGCTCCTCCAATACGGATAAATTGTCTTCAAATGAAATTTGCTTATTTAATTCATGCAATTGATCTTAGATTAATTAGTTCTAACAATTCTTAAACACACTCTAGATATATATTTATTCAATCTTTTCTTAGATGTACTCCGACAATTGATCTGACCTTCCTGGATACTCCAATATGCTGATCATTTATATGTTGTCATTCAATTGAACCAGCCCATTGATTATCAGGATTATCTTTTCAAACATATTTTAAAATTGTTTTGCATTCTCAATTTTTTCAGTCTGGATTAATTTAAGAATCTCTGCATTTTGTAATTCCTCCCATTTCTGCGTGAAGAATGAAGCATTCTAATACTCAGCCAAATTGACATAATATGATTGAAATAGAAGTCCAATCAGTCTTCTTTATTTATAAATGAATCTATAATTAATCACTCCTTGAGTATGGCCATTGTTGTCTGTTATAAATGATTTTATTAGGTTGTAATACATGATTGTGTCTTTATTCAGAAAATTCATCATATCATTAATAATTGAAGTTTTGCCATATCCTTTGTTTCCCGTTACAATAATCTGCGAATTTTTGCCTATATCTAAATTTTGATACGCATAAAATAACGTCGAAAAGATGTGAGGTGGAATGGAACTCACAATCAATCTCTCATCAATATATTTTTTATATTGCACAAAATCTGCTAATGAAGTATTTACACTTTACAAGAGGATCTGCCTATCTAAATAAATTGTGTTTTTTATCTTAAATAAGACTTCTGGTTCACTTATATGTGGCAATTCAGTTAGATCTATAGCTTTGCTATTACTTGCTCTTAAAATCTAATTAACAGGTACATCTATAGTTTTGTTGTCTGCTAAATTTACTCTAGCAACACTTCTCTAATTGAGCAACTTTTAGATGTGTCCTCTTGAATATTCCTCATCAATCGAAACCCAACAAAATGCCCCATCGAGCATCCATGCAGTGTTGGTGTACATTTTATTTTATAAATAAATCAAATAATCTATGTAAATAATTATAAATTTACAGACTTTATCGAAATATTGAATGCCATTTGAAAAGAAATACCCATCATTGATTGGATTCTATAACTGATTGATTCCTTTAAACTTAAATAGCATATGATGCTATGTACTTTAGCTTTTATTGTTAAATCTGTAATTATTTATCTAAATCTAATAAATATCAGCAGTAAATGATAGATTTAATAATTCTTATGATGTTTTAGAAGAAAATTTATTGATCATTATAAATGATCAATTTTACTTTTGATTAATCTTTGCAATTTAACTTAATATTTTCATTTTCAAATCTAAACATATACTCTAATGCTGAATACTAATTATAAATGCATAAATATCACAACATATTCAAATAGTTATTACTATTCTATAACTAATTAGTATTTTCTAAAGATAATTTAATACTTCTGGATTTAGTTTTCAATGGAATAAATCTAATTACTGATACTTTACATTTCTTGAATATCTTAGAAGTAACTAATACCATCTTTTAATAATTTTGATAAAGTTCTATTGTACAGAATCATAACTTCCGTTTAGATTTATATTTGTATCAAAAATAGAAAATTACAATTCAGCTTTTACTTTTTGATCATTAAATTGTTTATTAATAGAATTGAAGATTTTATCAAAAAAAAAGGGATAGAGATAGGGAAGAAAGAAGATATTCAATATTTATAATAGTGGGTTAAAATATTAAAATCCAACTTTTAAGTAAACTGTATTTTATATTATATTTGAAAACTACATTTACTATTTTGGAAAACCTCAATCAAAAAGATAGCACTTTAATAAACTAGAATTTTTTAGAATAAGAAACGTCTATTTTTATTTCATATAATGGTGAAACTATGCTTAAAATGTCAAAAATCAATCACATTTATCAATTTGCTATTTCCAATCTATACAATAGGAAGATCATACATTATTAATAATTATATGAATAGAAAAATCAAAATTAATTCTTTTTTGGTAGAATTGACTCTTCAGAATCAAGAGTATAAATAATCCCAAGAACTCCATTATTCATGCCATAGTATTTCCATTTAGGATCATATTCATCTGGAATTTTAAATCTTAGATCAAAGGGACCGTACTTTCTTTCTTATTTAAGATAAGTCGATTTATTAGTATACATCGAAATCTTCTTATGCCCTCTAACTATGGTCGTAACATTCTATCTATAGATTTCAACTTCTTCCAGGTAAACCCCAGGCAGATCAATCAGTATTATATATTGAGTTCCTTGAATAATGTCTATTGATGGCTCATACTCCTCAGCTTCTTCGTTTTCAATGTTGATAGGTGTTGATGTCAATTTTGGAGTAGTTAAGGTTAGATTGAATTTGGGTGATGTTGCTTATTATTTGAGGATCCTTTTTTCATTGGGTAAATGGGTGTCTTGAACAGTTAATTTAATTTGTTTTTTTAAGAGATTACTCATTTTCAGTTAACAAACATCAACAATGTCATTATATTTTAATATTTTACTTTGATGAGGGACAACTACAAGTTTAAGCCAATATTTAAGGAGACTGTAAGTCCATGGATTAATACTCTTACCCAAATCTGAATTGTCATTTACAATGCAGATGTGTCTACTTGTTTCAGTATTAAACCACATAACAGACTTTTCTTCCAATTGATTGGTAAAGGGATTCATGGCTTCGACAGTTGATTTCTAGATATTCCCTTCTAATATTTTTTCAATTTGGACTGACCAAACATGTTGAATGAGATTTGGATTAGTGATATCTTTGAGATTGTGTATTACAATTATTTCCTTAAATTATTTAAGAGAGGTGCTTAATTTACGAGCTAACTAATCAAGATATCTAACTTCAATGCTTGTAAAATCATTTACGACACATATAAAGTAGTCTGTCAGTTCGAATGAAATTTCAAGGATTGCATTTTCAATTTATTATTTTTCTTTCAGATTTTTAAGATTTTCAGGTGCATAACTACCAGCTGTATCTATCAACACAAATGAATTGTTTTTGTCAACGATGCATTATTTTAAACTGACTCCTTTGGTTGTTATTTTGGATCCTGTGGGTAGATTTTGATTTGTTAATTGGTTTAGAATGTGCGTTTTACCTTTGTCGTATAAACCAAGAACTGCAACTCTAGCACCTTTGAGCTCATTGTTGTTCACCAACAACTTGAAATAGTGGATTAACAACTACCTTCCATGATGAACTCATGTTTATGTCAAGTACCAAGTCATATATTTGCGTATCTATTAATTTATACTCTTGGATTGATGGCTTTTGATCATTGGTAATGATGTTAGGTATTTCGTTGCTTTTCTCGAGGAGAGAGGGATTGTCGAGTTAACCGATGATGACTAAGGTTTCTTCGCACCTTATTTTCAGTTCATAATGTAACGCTTCATAAAGATCGAAAAATTCATTGATTGACTACATCTTCCTAAAGAGTTTGGCGAAGGTGTCCAGGAGATCCAAGTTCTCCTTCAGCAGATTACCCAAGATCTGTAGACCACTACGGAAGGCGTCTTAGTCCTTAATTACATCAATGCCTTTACTAATTTAATATCACCTTCTTATGGAGAACTCATACTACGTAAAACGCAATTTATTAATTAATATTAAATTTTTGGGTTTTTAAACACTAAAAGTTTCTAACTCCTAACATTTATACTTTTTTCTAACAACTCAATAAATTAATTAGATATTTATTTATCTGACAATATAATAGCATTTAATTTGCTTATGTCGGCCCCATCAAGAAATTCCAAAAGAAGTTCTTTCTCCTTCATATTTCTTTAGATCACACAACCACAACCAATCAAGGTCTTCCAGGCCCAGCAAGCTACGAACCTAAAATGGAGGTTTCACATGCAAATGCACCCAGATGGACAATGAGTGGAACTAACTCCAGAGAGATACCCATCATCAAAAACATTCCCGGCCCAGGATAATACGACGTCAAATTGCCCGAATCTTAACGAAAGACCCTAATTTATGGAAAGGCTTATCAAATAGACAAGGAAGCATAACAGAAACCAGGTCCAGGAACCTACAAAGTTGAAATTTCTCAGCTCTCCAGAACAGGATTCAAAATTGGCAGCGAAAAAAGATACAAGGACGAAAAAAAATTGTCACCAGGACCCGGAGATTATCATTTAATAATGAAAAATCATGTTACCTCTTATATCATTGGATAATAGACCAGATCAGGAAAAATCTATAGTAATCATGTAGGTCCTGGACAATACGAGATTCCTTCATTATTAAAAACCGACGGAGGATTTAAAATGATTCCACGTCGAGAAAAAACCGTATCCATGATCACTCCTGGTCCTGATGCCTACGAGCAACTCAGATAAGAAAGAGTTAAGTCATTCAAAATTGGAACTAGCAAGAGAGAGGGGATTTATTAGAAGTCCACATCTCCAGGTCCTGCCAATTATGAAGTCCAGGCAATCAAAGAAAGTGTTGGATATACAATAGGCAAAGGATAAAGATAAGATACGAAACTAGAGGTGTTGCCAGGACCAGGAACTTATAAACCCAACAAACCTAGTAATGCTCCCAAATACTCCATCTATTAAAGATATAGGGAAAAGACTGAAAATGCAGGTCCTGGACCCTAATCATATACCATAGGGGAGTTTAGAGAAACCAAAAGCATAATATTTGGACAAGCTAAAAGAGATAGTTAAAATAAGATATAGATACCCGTATAGTATTTGAGTAATTCTAGGGACCAGGAGAATATGATACCGAAATAAAAGTTAAGAAGCCTTAAGTGAGTATTGTGTTTGGAAGAGAGAAGAGATCTTAGAGTTGCTCTGAAAATACATATATGCCTGGACCTGGTGCATATGATATAACATCTAATTTTTTGTTGAAAAAGAAATGATTGAATAAGATTCACATTTTTATTGTTCTATATCATCTTATAAATCTAATAATCATCCAGTAGGTTTTGGAAGAATCCCTTGAACATGGTAGGAGAGTATGATTATAACATTGATTTAAATTGAAATGTTAATTGCTCATAACTATAAGAATTAATTAAAATAAATGGGATCTGTGTGTTAGAAGGGGGATGGCATTATCAATTGGCCATGCTAAAGCAATCCGAGAGGTTCCAATCCAAGAGCAACTTTCACGGTAATTCCTGAGGAGGACTCCGTAATTTACTCTTAATATGATCGCTCGGTTTTTACAGCTAGCTAGTTTTATCAGAATCCAGAGACTCAAGTAATGGACTCTAAGTAATGTAGAGACAAACATTAATATTGGGAAGTGCAATTAGTGGGAATAACAAACTCTAAATCTTGAATGTTTACTTATCTAAATTACTTTCGTCGCATTCCATTAAGTATTAAGATCATTATAACGAGACTAACAAATACAAGAAGCCATGCATATGAAGTATCTTTAACCAACATTAATCCTGAAGTGAGTTGCTATTGTGAATGGCATCTCGAGGCAGACAAGTTGCCCATTAGTTCTGGGGATAAAATAGATGTAAATTGACTTGTAATGATTCAGTTGGTACATGTTCTGACAGGAAGATATCTTCTAGCAACTGAGCTCGATGAAGAGGGCATAGTTTATTGTGGGTATGGTTCAAATAGATGTTGGACTATTGAATTTGAAGATAACATTTTAAAAGATGGGGCAATATTTGAATTGAAACATAATGAAATTACTAAATACTTATCCTTCTTAAATAAAAAAGCATCGCTGTCACATAATAGGTAGGTTTGCTTAAATGACAATGAGGGGAAGAACAACTATTGGAAATTAGTTTTGATTTAATGATTAAACATAATTATTATTATTAAAATGATTATTAGATAAGCTCAGCTATTTCTGAGATGGGTCCCTCAACCCAGATACTATCACGGAGGATTGAAAGATCAAGATCGTATCTTTACTAATGTCTATCGCGATGGAGATCCTTATATTCAAGGTGCCTTGAAAAGAGTAAGAATATTCATTATCATAGGGTGACTGGCATAGAACAAAGGACATATTGACTATGGGTTAAGATTGGATTATAGATGAAATCAAAAAGAGTGGTCTTAGAGGCAGAGGAGGTGCTGGATTTCCAAGTGGTTTGAAATACTCATTCATGCCAAAAGTCAATCCAGATGGAAGGTATGTTGATTAATGCAATTATCAAATTAAGACCTTCTTACTTGGTTATAAATGCAGATGAATCTGAGCCAGGCACATGCAAAGACAGAGAAATCTTGAGACACGATCCTCATAAATTAGTAGAAGGAGCCTTGTGTGTTGGATTTGCAATGAGAGCCAGAGCAGCATACATATATTGCAGAGGAGAATTCTGGGTAGAAGCCAATGCTTTGTAATAAGCAGTGGATGAAGCCTATAAAAAGGGATTTTTGGGTAAAAATGCATGCGGAAGTGGATATGATTTCGATGTTTATGTTCACAGTGGTGCAGGTGCCTACATTTGTGGGGAAGAAACAGTAATCAATTAATAAAAATTAATAGGGTTTGATAGAATCCTTAGAAGGAAAGCCAGGAAAACCAAGACTCAAGCCACCCTTCCCAGCTAATGCAGGTTTGTGGGGTTGTCCAACTACTGTTACTAACGTAGAAACAGTCTCAGTTTGTCCAACCATTCTTAGAAGAGGGGCTAATTGGTTTGCATCTTTTGGCAGACCCAACAATAGAGGCACTAAATTATTCTGTATTTCTGGTCACGTTAACAATCCTTGCACTGTTGAAGAAGAAATGTCCATTCCCCTTAAAGAATTGATTGAAAGACATTGTGGAGGAGTCAGAGGAGGCTGGGACAATCTTAAATGCATTATTCCTGGAGGATCATCAGTCCCTATGTTACCTAAGGAGACCTGTGAGACAGTGCTTATGGACTTTGATGCTCTGAGAGATGTTAGATCAGGATTGGGAACTGCTGCTGTCATTGTCATTGATAAATCTACTGATATTATCGATGCCATCTTAAGATTGAGCAAATTCTACAAACATGAATCATGTGGTCAATGCACACCTTGCAGAGAAGGTACTTCATGGTTGGTTGATTTGTTGGAAAGAATGAAAGTTGGAAATGCTGATTTTGCTGAAATTGATTAATTAGAAGTACATTAAATCTTATTTATTGAAAGGAATTAACATATTAAATTGAAGGACACACTATTTGTGCTCTCGGAGATGCTGCTGCTTGGCCAGTTTAAGGATTGATCAGATCATATAGAGAAGAAATTGAGGAAAGAATTGAAGACTACCATGCCAAGCATCCAGTCAAGGCTAGACAATTACGTAGTAATCCTTAATCATCAAGCCATTGATATATACATAAAATATTAATATCACCATCTTGGAATTGTCTGAGATCTCTTTTTCTCTTATTTTAATAATTTCAAACTCTTTTTCTTTGCCTTTTCATCCAAAACCTTTTGAATCTTCTCTAAGTCTTCTTATTTCAAAGAGTATTTATCCAAGATTACTTTGTCTTTAACTTCTTATTTCTTTAATTCTATTTTCTCCTTTTTAATTTGTTCTCTAATTTTGTTTATTTGTAAATTTAAATTTCTTATTTTGGTCTTATATAAATCATTTGCTCTCCTCAACATTATTGATCTTACTTTTGTTTTTGTTCCAATATTTAATTTCTTAAGAAATACTGCATGCTTTTCTGCAACAGTTCGAGTCTCCTTGTTTAAGTGTTTCAAATAATCTTAATTATTCAACTTTTTTGAAAGGGCTCCCAAATGTTTTGATAAATCCACAATTTTTTTATTTTCATATTCTTCTATATCTCTCTAATAGGAGAGATCCTTTGCTATCACATCTGTCGTTGTGGATTAAGAGATGATTTAATTGTTCTCTTTAGGAACTATCTCTGATGATGTAATAAGTGGAATCTCTCTATTTCTGTCAAACCTAATAATTTTAGTCCATTGTCCCCCAACTAAAGGCTCTGCCAATAATTCCCACTTTCTCTTATCAAAAAACTAGAATTGATCACTGGCAATCAACAAATAACACTAATTGCAATTGGTTTCTAAGAATTTTATCATTTTATTAAATTTATCCAAATTTACTGTCCTACCCCAAGGAGGATTAGTAATGACAATCAAATCATCCTTTTACAATTTGCCCTTGATGAATTCTTTGTGCATGCTTACAAAATCTAATTAAGCAATGCTCAAATTTTCATAAGATTTACTTCTTAATTGTGGTGATTATTGACGTATAATTCTTTTTAAATTGCTAAACCAATCCAAGTTTTTATAGAAAATTCTCAACTATTGTTCATTGATATCATTGGCCAAAATGTTGATGTCTAACTCATTCAATTCATTATCAACAAAAGTATCCTTAAATATGGGCATTTGATAAAGAGGCAAAAACATCCCTTTTCTTATGCTTTTATTAAATTTGCGTATGAGCATGGTCAAGATAATTGTACCTGTACCACAAAATGGATCCCACACAGTAACTCCTTTTCTCATATCACAATAATGTAGCAGAGCATCAGCAATATTTTCAGATAATGTTGCTTTCCCTATATATTTCTTGAATCCAAATTTATGCAAACTTTCGAGATGCAATTGAACGTACATGGTCAGGTAATTCTGATAGAGATACGTATTTATTAAGAGTGGAATCTTGGGCGAATATGTCTCACTGATATAATCTTATGGTTGTTCTTCCTTTCCCAATAGTAGCTATTTTCTCTCAGTCAGCAATTTCCTGGTTTTATTATTATTCAAGAGATAATTCTTGATTACATCCCTCCAATTATCACTATGATTCCTCAAGCATCTTTTAATGCTGAGTCGAATTTCAAGATGCGCATTCATTGGAATGTAAGGATGAACTTACACCTTCTGCATATTCCTCATAAATTCCCTAACGTTTCTTGCTTGTATAGGTTTATTTATTCTAATATTCAGATATGTAATGCATGTAGGCTTGTACAATATATTGTTCAGGTTGTCCATAGAAGTTTCAAAAAACACAGCTGAGCTTGGATAAATGGCTAGACTTTTAAAAATGATTTACGTAATCTACTCCGTTTTGCTGAAATATTGAACTGGGCTAGTTATTCAATTAAAATATTTTATAACCCTGGAGATGTCCAAGCTAAAAATTTATAAATTGACATAAATAAATTATTTATTATAAATTCTAGAATTATTGTAATTCATATTTGAATAAATTTTTTTCAGATTGAAAAATTAGTGATAATTTATTATACTACTGCAGATATCCATAAAATATTAACGATAATTAAAAATATAGATAAAACAATCAACAAGCATGGCATCTGGCCAAAAATTATAAGAAATGTCGACCTAGAATAAGATATTTGAGACATACCAAATTGAGTGAATTGATGATCCTCAAATTTATTAATTTAGATCTAAATTGATTATTTCTATTTGTCATTGCATTTTTAATAGAAATTTTGCATCACATAATTTCCAAATTAATTGTTAATTAAAATTAGTAACATTGGAGGATAGCAATCATTAATGAGGACTTTGCAAATACTTGCAATATCATCATCAGATGCCACTGTTATGTATTTTTAAGCTACAATGCTTGATTATCAATCTACAAAAATACCTGGCATATTTATCTTAGCTCACTTCCACGATTCTTGCTTTGATGTACTTCCCAATGACTTCCAATCCTTTTGGCGGTCCTTAATTGATCATATGCTGCACTATATAATTTCCGTATTGACAGAACGAGAGCCTCTCACACAGAGGAATCAGGGAAACATAGAGTTGCTGCAATTTTTGATTAGGAAATATTTCTAGACATTTCTAGGCAATTCGGCAGCCATAGGAATGAGAGACAATGTGATCAACATTGTTTGTCACAATGTCAATTATAAACTCTGCGTCAGATGCCAAGTCGATGATCTTTTAGATTACATGATTCCCACATTGATCAAATATTAGGTTCAATACTTGGCTCTTGATTGATTAGATTAATTGTATTTTTTGGTGATTTTAAATGAATTCTAGTAATCTTTAGATGACTCTGCATCCAAATTTATCATAGCACATCTCTATGATGAAAGGATGTAGCTATTCAAAGATGAGGGTTCTGATGTTCTGATTGGAGTTTTCGATTATTTTTTGAATGACATAATTCCCAAATTTGTGTTTAGAGAGGAGTGGCAAATCATCGACTAAGGCTTTAAATATTTTATCTTTCTAAAAATCGTTTCCTTGGATAAAGGACTATTGGATATTGAGAGATGCATATTGATCTTGGCATTGTTGTGACTCTAATAAGAATTAGAAAATTACAATGGTTTATTCTGAATCTGTGGAGGATTGCAATTTCTTGGTTCGCTTTTAGGAGAAGAATCCGTCTTAGCAAGGGTAATAGAGTGGAGGTTGAGGGACCATGTATTGATGGAACTCATGACTCATTGAGTGTTGTCGCTGTTGAATAAAAGCGGATTAGACAGTAAAATAAAAGTTGTTTGGGTCATTGGAAGGAAATTCTTATTAACTGGTTTAATATGGATGATAATACTCTGCATCATCAAGGAGGAGTGGGATTTCTTTGGCTTCTTTGAGGTCTTTAAAGCTTTTGATGGGCTAGATGGATAGAGAGAGAATGTTTTACAGATTGAGATTGAGAATGTTGTTGGGATTTGGTGATGGAAGATCTGAATTCTGAACATTTTGATTCGTCCTCTAATTAGATGAGAGATTTGTTACCGTCTAGCAGAGAACCTATCATATCTTTTTCGGATTTCTCGGTTTCTTGCATTGATTTATTAAGTTATAAACACAAAATTATATAATCAATAATCAGTATTGTTTTGATTTGGAGGAGTTGAAGAACTCTCTTATGAGACAATTAAACTTGGTTTGCAGTTGTTTTTATTTGGGTAGGGGTTTGAGTTGTTTCATGTAGATTTTTTTGTTTTTCTAAGGAGACTTGGCAGTGGGTATAATTTCGCAAGGGGAGAATTAAACGGATTGGATGGCTTTGCGATCCTTGAGCAGTCTGTTGATGGTTTTTTCTTGACGCAAGACCTATTATTTGATGTTTTGGAGGAAGCAATTCGAAGTAGGGACATATTTATGACTGCGAGAATGGACGATTTGGGGTTGTTCAGTTTTGATTCTTTACTATTCGGGTGAAATGGTTTTGGTGGGTGAAGTTTGTAAGTGCATGCTTTCGTCGAGGTCTGGTTTGGATCGTAAAATGAATAGGGGATTTCTTGCGTAGATTCTGAAATTCTTTTTTTTATGATCATTTCTCATATACTTCCGAGCTCCATCCAATTTGCTTAGAAAAACATCAGCCAATCTTTCCTTCTTGTGATAGGCTATTTCGCATAATTGATTAGGTAATTGATTCTCCTTGAGTGCAGTCTCTCCGCATTGATCACAAACGCAGCTTTTACGACGAACTTGAGTTGTATCTAATTTTGGGCCGTCCAGGTTCTTGGTAGAAAGTAGATGTTTGTTATACATAATATATTAATTAATGGATTAATTTGCAGTGGCTCTAAAGGTTGATATAAATTCAATAATGTTAGGCTGAGGTGAAGGAGTATCAAATGAGCAAAATAGACAGTAATGTCATTCTATTCATCTTGTCGGTGTCCAAGAGGGATGGATAGTAATGGTCATTGGAAAAGAGGTACTCCGAATTTGACGATCTGAATACTAACTTAAAGAAGGTATGCATAATTATTGTTTCATTCTAGGTGTTCACGAATTTGCCTCCATTGCCAGGGAAAACATTGTTTAAGTTGAAGGAACATGTCGATATCGAGAAGCGAAGAGTGGGACTGGATTATTACATTAAGGTAAAAAGATATGTATAAGAGTAGGAATTATTAAAACGATCAGATGTCTTCAATTCTGAGTCGATGAAACAATTTTTATAGTTGGAGAAGCATGCTCAAGAACAAGTGGTCAATCCACCCAAGATGTTGGGAGAAATTACAGGTTTCATTCACGGATTAAGGGATTTCTATATAGAGAGATCGTAGAGTAAAAATATCAATTAACAATTTTCTAGATGTCATATTTGTCTTATCATCTGATATGAATGTAGCCAGCAGAGTGGATGCTTATTTGACCAATATGAAAATGCCTTGGGAAAAGGAAGCCCCTCCAACTCTATTGGCTGTTGGATGTTTAGAATGTTGGGTCAAAACTAATGACGAGAACGAATTCAAGTATGAGAGAATGTGGAATAAAACCTATCCATCATAAGCAATATGTTTGTATTGGGATGCAGTGACGTCAACTCTAATCGTTGGATTGGATGAGGGAAAATTGAATTTGCTCAAAGTCCCTCAAGAAAGTCAATTTATCAGATACGATGAAGTACCTCAATCATTTATCAACCTTAGCAAGCAGATATCAAGGCACATTAGGGTAGAGTGATGGGTGTTTTTTATGATTCCATAAATTCACATATTCATTCTGTATCAGAAGATAAGAAATACAAAGTACTTGACTTTTAAAGATAAATCACAGTCGCAGAGCTCTAACCAAGTTAACATCCCTTGACTGGTTTAGCAGCTGATAAAGACAACAGAAGAATATTTGTTTCAGATAAAGGAGGCTATGTTCATGTCTTTGAAATCACCTCTGCAACCATGGGTCCATCTTTGGCTGCCTCAGTAGCATCTTAAACACTCTCCCCTATAAGAGGCATCTTTTTCGATCCTGTCAAGAACTACTTGTTCACAGCTGGATTCGATCAAGGAGAAATTGGTATCTTTGAAGTTGGTAAATCTGGAAGAGAGAAGTTTACAAAACAAACTGCAAGTTTGAAAGGCAAATTGCAAATGAGAGAAATCGTGTGGTCACCTTCCAGAGGAGAATGTCTGGTAGGAAATAAAGATGGTACAGTAACCGTCTGGAGTGCGAAAAAGGCTGCACCAATATGTACATTTTAGCTATAACATTCTTAGTTGTAATTAAGGCTCATAATACAGATATCACCAAACTCTAATGGTATGAAGACAAACACATGTTAGTAACCAGTGGAAAGGAAAAATCTTTGAAAGTATTAAGCTTTATTCATTTTTTAGTTTTGGTAATTACCCAAGGAATGGAGAGACAAAAAGATTGAATAACAGGAAGAAATATAGAATGACATATTGTAGAGATAAATAAATATCTAAAACTAGCAGGAGACTTCTAAAAAGGTATTTCTCTGAATATTAAATTCCTAGAAAGAGCTTGATTCTGATGAAGACGATCTTAAAGGATGGCATAAAATGTGAAATGAATATCAAAATATCGTAATATATATAGATATATCATATAAAATCACTCTTATTTTATATCATACTTTTAATTTAATGATGGTTATTGGTGAAATCTTTTATGTATTTATGTACAATGATCATTTTTGCATAATAAAAAATAATTGTTTATGGAATCAAATTTTGGATAAGGTATCTCATTCAAAGTAGAATATTTTTATCATGTTGTTTTAGATACACTATTTGCATATTAGATCTCCTGCTTTAATAACTTAGATTATATAATTTCATTTTAACGGCTAATTCATGAAACATAGACTACTGAATGGATATTAGATATGAAGATAATTTGATATATTGAACTTAGTAGAATTCAGAAAATTTAGATTTATGAGTCTTTATAAAGATAAATTCATTTGATTCTCAAATACATAGATTGCAAAAGATTCTAAGACTTTATCAATGGATATTGCTCATATAAATGCCTCAAGAAAGTTGAGAGAGTTGTATATCTAAATGTACTACAACACAATAATATTTTTTCAATTTCCTAAGATAGTATACTTCAGATTTACTTTATCTATTTTGACATTATTAGAGATAAAAAGGGAAAAACATTGATATGAATTGATTTAAATGTATCATTATTATTATTATTGCTATGCTTGTCTTTATTCAGCTACTCTGTTTAATGATAATGTTATAGCTTAAGTCCAATTTTCAACATAGAAGTCGTATTAATCCTTCTCTTCAGGATTAAAATATTTGAAACATTCATCAGGTGGCATTTCCTTGCTAATATATCAATAAAGAGAGAATTACGTTGAGGTTGTGGCAAAACAGGAATGATCTCTTAGCAATTAATCTAATTTTTCTTCATCAGTGATTCTGTGTTTGTTGTGAGAAGTTTGGACTTCTAAAAATTTAGTGGCATGCTTTTTAGTTCTAACATCTAAACCTCCATGATAAATTTCAAATGTAAATGAATAAGGTATCTAAAATTGATACTAAAAATAATTTACTTTCAAATCATCATAAGCGTAATCCATTGAGGTCCCGGGAGATAGATAACCAATTTCATGGCCACAAGATCCCATTTTACAAGTTTCACAGTGTTTCTCTCTAACTTCTGTAAGAATTTCCATCATACTGGAAATGTTTTCAGTTGCTAAAGTTTAGAATTGATGTTTACGTTATTCTTTGCTATAAGCATAGGGAGTAAAAAGTGCCAAGGTTCCAGAGTGGATGGAGAAGAAGACGTGTGGAGAGAATTTCTTGAGTTCATCTCTCACTGTTTAGGTTTCAGCTTCAGAAAATGCAAATGGTCCAGGGGCAGTTCTTACCATTTCTGGATCATGATCCTGAGTAATTAGTGTAATATACTTTAGTCCAATGAGATTTGTAATTACGATTCAAATCAACTCCATTCTCATTCTCTCTTTTACAAAAATCTCCAGATTCCACTTTCTCTCTGGATAATGGATTTACATTGACCATCATTCTTAATTCATAATTATCCTTGACTGATTTCATTTCCTCATTTTGACTGCAGAGTTTCTTAACAAAATGCAAACCCGTTTCTGGAGAAATTAATTCTCTTGCATGCTCTCCAAAAAGTACAAAGCCTTTATTTGGTTTATTCTAATTCTTATTTAGAGTGACCATCGACAATTTAGGAAAATCTCTAACCATTTCCATCTCTACTCCTTCACACTTTTCAATTGCCTAAGCAATTTCGATATAAATATCCTAAATTGGATGTTTGAATTGAATAATACTGTAGAACGATGATAGAATGATGGAAATTCAAGGCTATACACAATTGCAAAGCTCATTACAAATAGAATGAGATTGTTCATTATAATTTATTATACTTATTTATATATAAGTTTTAGGCAATGTTAATAAGGGATTTTTGTAAAAAGTTAGAAAGTAGTTGCAACCCTCAATGTTAATTTGGAGATTGAAATTCAAATAGTTCTTTCCTCTAAAGATTTCAGTCGAGCATGCATCACTAGATTTAATATTAGATTACAAAAGAAAGAATTCTCAATCTTTATCTAAAATCTTCTCTGAGTCTATAATTATTTTGATGTAACCCTGAAAATATGCTATTATATACCACAACTCTAGATTAATGCAAGTAAGAAACAAATATGGTAATAAATTATCAATTTAAAAAGACATGCATATTATTGTTAATGAAGATGTTTTTAGATAAAAAGATCAAAATTATTAAATTACAATCATCCTATTGCTTAAACAAAATTATGAGGAAAGTATCCTTTGAGTTAATTCTTATCTTCTCCATACCACCATCCATTAGTTGTTTTCTTTAACAATTTGATTTGATCCCCTTTCTTAAAGCTTAAATCTATATCCTACCAATATCACTAAATAACTTTACTTTTTGTGCTTTGTAATCATACTTTGCAATCACATATTAACAATAAGATTGCTAGTTCTCCTTATTTCTTTTTGTTTATTTGCCTTAATCTCTTAATACTTGCTAATCCAACTGAGTGGTTTCATCCTCATTGGTTTATTTAAATGATTGAAAATAAAATGAATTTTCACTAGTCTCTTAAGTGGCTCTCTTAGCTGCATTTAATTGTAAAGGCAATTAATTCATGTCTTTATTTAAAATTCCTTATTTATCTGTTATTTCTAAACCAGTAAAATAAGGGCTACCTATTTAAGGGTCACTAGTGTTAAGAAATTAGTTAAATTGTTCTTGCAATGATACATTTCTCAATGGTTTTGGAGATTCATGAGGAGGGGATGAGTTATTTGTTGTTAAAATCTAATGTTTTGAAGCATTATGGCTTTTATTTCTAAAGGATGATTCTGAGGATTAATTAAACTTTAGAGATTCAACAGCCATGAAGAATCCATTCACATCAAATTCTTCAGGTAATAAACAATTCCTTAAGGCAGGCAAATTGAGATTTTATGTTTTGGAAATGAAATCCAAAATAAAGGCCGTTGAATGTTTCGATAACTAGATAAGAGATTCATAAGCAAATATCAATTAGGGTTGGAAGTGTTCCACAATTTTCTAAAAAAAGGATAGGAACTCTATGCAGATTAAACAATTATCACAAATAAATGATTTTAAGCCATTGTTGATTGCAATTTAATCCTACAACTGCTTAGTTAGGGATTCAGTTTTCTTTTGTTCATTCTGAAGAGTAAATTTCATTGATTTCATCTATTAAATTTGATCATTTATGTTGATTAATTGATTCTGATAGAGTTGACGTTCTTGTTGTAGATTTTGATTGAGATCTTTATTAGTTTACTCCAATATTTATTACTTCTTTTTCTATTCATTCAGACTTAATTGCAATTAAATGGATAACTCTTTCAAATCCTGATTTTCTTAACGAATTTTGTCATAATAATCATCTTTATTAAGTATATTCTCAATAATCATGTTGGCCATGGCATTGCTAGAATTAAGAAAGTGTGCATCTTATTCTGTAATAAGATTAAAATTCAATTTTCTGGTACTTTTTTATTTTTGTGGTGTTGTGTTTGGTGATACAGATTTGGTTTATCCTTAATTAAGTTATGCATTTTCTAGTATTTACAATAGTTCTTATTTTTTATTTAACTATCTCTTCGATTCTTTTTTGTTAGCATTTGAGATCTGAGTTTAAAGTTATGATGCTGATTTTTAATTAACAGGCAGTATGCCATCAACACTCTTATTTAAGTTCTGATGTTTTGAGAATGCTCCAGGTTAGATTTGAGTTTTATTATTAGGCACCAATTTCTAAAGGGAATACATTTTAAATTTAATTATCGTTATATCATAATATATTATTTAGTTTTGATTAAATTCAGTTTATCTGAAAACATTAACACCTCGCTTTTGGGTAGATAAAATTGTCTATGATTTGATTTTGCTTGCCATCTGTAATTATGGTGAATTGATTTATCATATGATTGAGAAACTCCAGATTCTATTATCATTTGAATGTAGTCAATAAATGATTTCCAAAATATTGGTTCCTTTGTTTAATGCTGATAAGTTTAATTGAATAGGGTTAATAATGCACTAGAGATGTGAAACTTAAATAATAAAAATAAATTAATGTTTTCAAAGTTGCTGCCTATTGCTTGGCTTTAAAATTACCTATCAATGACAATCAAGTAAGTATTTACTATTTGATTTGAAATTCAGCATTTAAAATTAAACGATGATAGTTTAGTAAATCTTAAATTATATTTATCAACTAAATCCACATTCATGATAATAAGGTCATTCATTTTTTTAAAATACATGATCATTCTGTAATTCTATTGAATTACTCTCATGTGCTTACTCTGTGCAATCTATTGAATATTCAGATATTCTATTTCCTATAATAATTTTCCATGGATAAAACTAAAGAATAAAATTATTTGCTTCTTTGATGTACGTTCATTTGATAAATTCATCAATAAGATCTCTCATATTGATTGGCTTTCAAATTTCCTGAAATACTGTTTTTCCATAGGTAAATCGTTTTGTATCTTAATCTGTATATTGCTACAATTGTTTTCAATGAATTTGACAATCCATTATTCTAATCATACCCAATTTTACAATTAATAAACTACAACAAACTCTCTGAAATATAGAAGGCTCCTTCGAACTTCTTAATGTTAATTATTGATTTCAGAACTTATTGTGCTCATCATATACCAGATTACTCTTTTCAATAAAGGATTCCTTTAACCATACTGACCTTTTGTATTCTTTATGTTTAACTTCATATAAGAGTCATGAGTACTCATTTACATGTCATATTCAATTCTGGGCAGAAATAACTCCCAATTTCTTAATGAATCAAAGAATACTGAATTGTATCCCTTTCATGAAGATCGACTGCCAAACTCACTCCCTCTGCTAATTGATCAAGAATTTTAATCAGCATGCTAGTTTTTGAATCTAAAACAATGAGACAGTCCCAATCTGCTTTGAAGATTGTGAATTTCTCAATGTTCTTTTCAAATCATTGATCAAATTCCTATTTTTATTGGACAGATTGATTTTTGATTTATGTAGTTTTAGTTGCTGGAAGGATCAGTTAGTTTTAACAGCCTTCGACTTTGAAATGGTTGAATTTGTACTTACTTGATCAAAATATTACAATATTATTAAAATTCAAATATTTAAAGCGAGTTCTTATATGAGATGATGCTAAACTGAATCGAATGACACAAATTAATGATACGCAAAGGGTTAATGATTAAGAAAAAAAGGGAAAAATCGTATCCAAATATAATATAATTAATTTAAATGGCTGGAGAGAAAATTTCAGGATAGGGGAAACGCAAGTGTCAACCAAGATGCCCAGAGCATTAGTTCAATCTCCATCCGAAAAGTTTAAAGTGTTGGTTAAAGTAATCAACTAACATTGATTTCTGTCCCTTGTACAACGATGCTGTAACAGATATATAATATAATGTTTAGCTGGCCTGTTTCCAAAATATCGTTCCAGTCTTTAATTAAGATGAACAATAATGCTTGCCTGGTTTCATTTTAGAAGTAGACAGAGTAAGAATTGGTTGTATGTTATTTCAATTAGAATGACTACTTGAGGAGCATGCAAAAATACAAGGAGGATCATCAAAGAAAGATACAAGAATACACTATGAAGAAGACTAAGTTGGTAATATATATAGTAAAGTTTAGTAAATTCCGAAACCAGGTCGCAAGCATAGGTATTGTGGAGTGTGTCGTAAACCTTATGCTGATTACTTGGAAGTAATATTGTTATCTCTAAAACATAGCACATAAAATCTTCAGATCACATTAATTGCTTTAACAGACATGACTTTGTTCATGTGATTCTAAAAATAATTGACGAAGATTATAAATCAAGAGACGAAAATAAAATTTAAAACGACTCCAGTACCTACACTCCAAAGGCAGTGATGCCTAAAAAGAGAGGTCCCAAGCCCAAAGTCCAAGTGGAACAAGGAGAACCAAAAAAGAGAGGGAGGAAACCCCTTGAACCTCAGGCAGCAAAGCGAATAAAAACCCAGCCACAAATGAGAGAAGTATTGATGCCAGTGCGACAACAATAACCCCCTCCACCTCCTCCTCCTCCTCAGACATACTTCCCTCAGCCATACTACTTTCAATATCATCCTCTAAATCAGATGATTCAATATGGAGCATTGCAAATACCCCCACAATTTCGTGTTGGTTTCCCATTCCAAATGCCAGTCGTCGCTGATATGCAAATGGAAATGAAATGTGAAGATATGAGTAACTTATTCAATTACCTTAGTTGTAGATGGTAAAATAGAAGATCGTCCTCAATTTGATTGAATATTATAATAATTATTATATTAAACACCTAAATAAAACCATCCCAAATTATTTGTTCACATTTTTGTGCAAATCAACCTCAACACACACTTACTACATTAATGTTTCATAAAAATAACCATAATGGAGCCTACGCAAATCGCATGATCTTGCACAAGAAATAGCTCAACTTGTCCACAGAAACATTCATCTGGATGAACTTCGTCAACATCCTCACAGGAATACTTCAAAACACCAACACCCATCTCATTTTTGAACCCACTGAAATATATTTGGCAGGTATTCCAAATATCGATATGGCTTAGGCAACGATGAGGAATAATTGCGTGTTGCTCAATTCAAAATAGAATACATAGCTTACTAGGAATTCAAAATGATCTACGTGATGAAGGATCGCCGAACTCACGTCTCCTACAAACCCTACACATCTATATTCTACTCTAAAAACTACAAAGAACTCTATACCAAATACAGGGGAACCTGCTTGTTTGTGAAAGACAAGTTGATTAAGGAATAGCGACAATTGCAGGAGTAAACTGGATACCTGAAGGATTTCGATCTGGAACAGTATGAGTCCTTTGTGGTCGCCTGGATCCCTAAGAGGAAGGAATAAAAAATTACGCTATTATTTCAGAGCTGGATCACTGAGTATAATCAATCGATTAATTTTACTCCCAAACATGAATTGAGACCAACGATTAATCGAGAGTATTTTAATGATGCGGATCCCCTCCAGTAAATTGCCATGACTTATATTGATTTTATTCATTTCTATTCAGAGAATGATGTCGAGTAATTCTAATTACAAAATAAAATCCTAATTAAATTGGTTGATGATGGATGGAAAATTCAATTCAAGATATATTCATCCAATCTACTCTATTGCCAATAGGCTTAACAAAACATAAGCGATTTTTTGAATTAACAATAGTTGGAATTGTTTAACATGGAATTATTTGATTTATGTGAAAATATTGACAAGTTCATTGATGATTTGGAAGGAATATTGAAGAAAAAGTGCAATCGGACAGTTCGATTGTATAAACTCAATTCTATACTATCCCTAGTGAAGGAGATTGACCGAAGGTTTGACACTAAAATTCAAAACTATGTGTTTAGTCTAGGATTTAAATAATGTTTGTTTTTTTCTAAGTAAAGAGACAACACTTAGGCTTTCAAAATAATTAAAGATCTTATTGACTTAAGGTTAAAATTTAATCAAGTAATGAAAAACAAGCAATTGGAGATGTCTTAATTATCATAATCGTTTCAAAGTTGCAAATCTACCTTGCTATATTCCCAATACGGTAAGTCTGGCATCATGCCTTAATAACAAAAAGAGAAGGACTTTGCCTCATCGTAATTATTTCCTTAGGAATGGAGAGGCAAATCAGCGCTTCCAGATTTAACCTCTAAATACTGTGAAAACAAACTTAATTCAAGTATTCATTTAGACTTAAAATCAATAGAAGCTTTGAAAAATGCCTTGTAGGGCCAACATCAAAGCAGTTTTTCGAGTGATCAAAAGTCGAGGGCATCCAAGGAAAATATTGAGTAGCCTTGCAGAATTTAAATGAATGATTAGTAATAACTAAATTAATCAGGATATCAAAACGATGGAACAATCAATTCAATGGAATCTTTCAGAAGGAATTACGATAGTCTTGATAGTAGTGAAATCAGTGACATAAATGAGTTGCAGGAGTTTTGTCACGAAATCTCATCATAACAGAATAGAAATAAACACAAACATAAGAAAGTCATCGAAGAGGAGAAGTTCATCTAATTGATTTCAATTCATCATATTTCTCAGCAATTTATTCGGCAAGTGTTATAGTTGGGGATTGATAGGAAGTCAATTGTTTACAGAGTGAAGGAGTCGACGGTATTGCATTTAAAAGATTGGGAATCAAGTTTAAGAAGTTATTTGTAGAGCTAAGATATTTAAGTCAATTAATTAGAGTTGATTGTATGTGATGATTCAGTAACAATCAATACTAAACTGAATTATCAATAAGTATCTACTATTTGTGATTAATTTTTTGCAGGGACAATTTATGTTGTGATGCAATTGAATAGAAATTCTGAGGATTTTAGAAATCAATTAAAGGATTCTTATCAAATAGAATCAAAACAAACCACATTCTAATAGACTGGATTAATTACTAAATAGCAATATGAAGAATTGCAAGTCAGTGATAGGGGTCGTTATTTGGCTATGGAATTGTATAATTATCTCTATTTTGATACAAACATACAGCAGAGGGTCACTAAGTTAATCAATAGTCGTCTGAAGGAGTTGGATGAATCTATGGCTCTATCGGAGGTGTGCATCAGAAATAAGATAATAATTGTGTTGTCATAATAGCAATTAAACTTCTTAGGAGAAAAGTATCAGGAGCTAGAGTGTAACAAGTTGATCAAATTTGGGAAATACCTCTCCAACACATTTTATTATGTGGAGATTGAGAACAACAGAGAATTACATGAGGATGCAGTGGAGTAGCTTCGAAGGATAGGCTAGGAGTTGGTGGATGCTTACAGTAATAAGAAGAAGTAGAAGTACAAGAATTAGCAGATAATTCAATTAAAATAGAATAGTTGGAAGTTATGCATATATTCTAACATCAGGAAGTTTTACAGTAAGTTAGTCAACGATCTTTTGGAGATGAAATACACTGAGAAGGAGTATCTCCAGATATTTTAAGCAGGAGTCAAATTGTCTGAGCTTTAAATAGATTTGGGGAAATTCCAAATCAAACAAGAAAAAGACATTAGCAAATTGGACTAAATGATTTTGGATGATTCGAATTGTAATGATAATCTTTATGTTAATTTAGATAAGTGTGTATCTCGTAAGATAGATCACCTTACACCAGGGAATTATCTATCCATAGTAGTTAGATCTGAACAGTTGCCAATAGAAAATGTGACTTAGCTATATCCTGAAACAAGTCTAATCAGGTATATATTTTATTATTATGCATTATTTTAGAGGTTATTTTGAAATCTAAGGGAACTTTTCCAAAAAATAATAAAAATAAAACTTTTGAATAATATAAATGCATATATATATATTCATTGTTAGAATTATTCTCTACTAGTTATTCAATTAGGGTTTAGGCAATTAATGGGACCGATTTGAATGTAAATTTGATTCTTTCGGTGAATTCAACCATCATGATATCAGTTAACATAAGTTAATTTATAAAATATAATTAAAATGACTGAACAATAGAACTTAAATGAAGATACTAATAGGAATCTGGGATAAGCTACTGCTAAAGTTGTTCCGAGAGGTTCAAAGGAGATCTCCAATATTTTTGGGGATCGAAGGTCTTCATATAATATTGAAGGTTACGATCGCGTTATTGCAGATGAGTAAATTTGAACATCCTATGAAAGAATTACTGATTAGCAACATCAGGGAATCCCTTTGATAGATAAGGCAGTAATTGCATTAGTTTTGATATTCACTCTACTGGTCTTCATCAATTTCTCATTCACATGTAAGGTCTTGTTGAAAAAATAGCCAACGATGCTAAGGAGGATCCCGACATAGATAAGACATTATTTGTGACTAAGATAATAGAACTGGTCATACTAATTCTATTTGTTTTGGAAATATCCATCAGATGCTTTTAAAATGGTTTTATTGTATTATATTGATTGTGAACTTAGACATATTTTTCAGATTGTTGGTCCTTTTTTGATGCATTGATAATCGTTGCATCCATAGTCTTAATAGTTTTGGATCTGAATCTACAGGGCGACGCATTTACAACTATCAGTAAAGTGTTGAGAGGTATCTTCAGATTCTTGAGATTGTTTTTAGTATTTCGAAAGGTAATACTCTTAACTAACCAAACAATAGTATAATCAAGTGAAAAAGATCAATAATGCGGGCACAAGATACACTGTAAGATCACCGGTTGAAAAAGTGATCGAAATAATGCGTGATCTGGCAGATCAATTTGAAGATTCAGACATAATCAAGTAGTTAAATTGGGGAATCACTCATATTTCCAATAATACTGTTTATGAGCCAATAATAGAGGGGAGGAAAAGCGAAGCACTAGGTTGGTTGAATCAGCCTCAAAATTAATAGTTGATGGCGTCTTAGGAATCAAAGAAATCAAGTTCAATAGAGATTATCTTCTCAAACGATACAAAGTTGCCTGAATAATTAAGACAAGACTTCGCATAGAACATCCTCAATTTGGATTATGATTACTTCTCTTTATTTGACAGATATGATAGTGCCATCTTAACTCATCTGATGTGCTATTATTTTGAGAAGGAACATTTGTTTAGCACTCTAAAGATATCTCCAGATTCTTTTAAGAAATGTATGGATCAATTGGGATCGAACTATCACAAAGAGAATCTCTACCACAATGTAATTCATGCTTTCGATGTCACCCACACAGTCTATTTCTTTATTGAGAAATGCAATTTCAAAGAAATTGGGAAATTGACCAAATTAGATTATTCAATACTATTGCTGTCTGCAGCTGCCCATGATGTCGATCATCCAGGATTGAATAACATCTTTTTGAACAACACAAGACATGAATTGGCAATGACTTACAATGATAAATCCTCGCTTGAACAACATCATGCTGCTACTCTATTCAAATGTATACGAGAAACTGAACTGTTTTCGAATTTCTCAATATAGGATTTCAAGTATTTCAGAGAAAAGTCTATAAGCATGATTTTGAGTACAGATAATGCAATGCATGGCAAAGGTATGTCTGAGAATGAGTTCATTATTAGATTTCAATAAGTTGAAGGCAAGATTGGCCTCGAATGACTTTGATCCAGGAAGCAAAGATAAAGGTATCTGCTTTGATACTCTGCTACATGCAGCAGATATCAGCAACCCCTTCAAACCAATGAAGAATTATGAGAAGTGGACTTTCAGAGTGCTGGGAGAGTTTTGGCAATAGGGGGACAGGGAGAAGGATATGGGACTTCCAGTGACTATGTTGTGTGATAGAAGAACGACCAATGTTGCAAAGAGCTAGATCGGATTTATAGATTTCATGGTATCTCTATTTATGTGATCTAGGTATTACCTTACTATAATACTCTTCAATAGATTCTACCAGTGTTAGCTGAGTTTATGGAATAGATTTCAGAAAACAAAAGGTATTGGGCTGAACAAATTGAACACTATTAAACCCTTCTTAACACATAATGATTGTTTATCATGAATTTATTTATTCTGTTTATTATAATTAATTATTAATGTCTGGTAGTGATTCAGAACTTGAGATGGTACCCTTTCAGGTAGCCAAGCAAGCCGAGATCGAGAGGAAAAAGTAAGTGGCCGAGCAGAAAACCCAAGCACACCAAAAAAAACAATAATAGAAGGAATAAATTAAGCAGAAAATTAAAAAGGATAAGGAAATATAATTGAAAGCCAAACAAACCAATTTATTTGAAGACGAACCTCCTGAGCAAAGTAGTAGCACTCAATCACATTTCACTAACAATAAAATTGATGAATCCTTCTAAAGGAATTTGAATGAAAAATTATCTGAGAAAGTCATTAAATCCATCAAAATGCCACAAATTTAATAAGCAACCACTATCCCCATTGAAATCAAATCCAAAAAAAGTAAGCTTCCTTATCTATCCTCATTTAGTAATCAAGAAATTCAATGAAAAAGTATCCATAGAGACCTTGGGCAGAGAAGTGAATCATAAGCTTAATTCTTAACAATCATTAAGTTTCCTAAAGTAACATTTAGTTGACAAACAATAAAGAGTGCCTCTATCCAAAATCATTTCAAAAAACAAGTGAATTGTCCCTTGATTATGTTTATTCTTTTTATCGATTATATTTTTTTATAATTAAAATGGCTGAACAGGAACAATTAGAGCAAACTTAAAATCAAGAGGAGCAACCCGAAAATCCTCAATAACAAACTAAAAGAATAGATTAAATAAAGGCTTAAGGCATCATTAAGATTAAATTCTGTTTCATTTATATTACCTAGAGAAGCTCCTTTTGAAAATGCATTGATCTTTGACTTTGAAGTTTGTTAAAACTGTGATGAACACGCATGGTGTACACATCACAATGAGGAAAAGTACGTCAAATTATTTTTGGAATGCCAACAATGTAAATTTTAATCTTATCATTTTAGTAATTGAAAGTTCCATTCCAAATAGCTATTGCACTTTTAATCAAGGAATTTAGCCTGGAACTGGATCTTTTGAAATTAGACATAAAGGTACAACATTGATTAATTCATTGATAGGGACTCTCATTTATTCGAAGAAGAATACATAACTATTTCCTTAACCTCCTCTATTGGTTGAACGAATCAAAAAATTCATTGATGATCTTGAAAATAAGAGAGATGTAACCAAATGGGCCACCAAAATAGAAGTTAAGTACTAACCTCCTAAGCAACAGAAAGAGCGACCTTCTAAACTTAAATGAAAAAAAGGGATGAGGAAGAAAAAGATAGAAAGAACAAAATGAATAAGCCAGAATTTAAGCTGAATAAGAAGAATAGAGAATTAGAGAAGAGGAAGAACGAAAAAAATAAGAAGAAATAGAGGCTGAAGAAAAAAGATAAGTGTAAGAAAAGGCAGAAAATGAAAGATTGGCTTGGCTTCTGAAGAAAAGTAAAAGATTGAAGAACAAGAATAAGAATAAGAAGAGTAAAATTAGTAATAATAGAAACATCAAGAAGGCACTAATAAAGAAGAATAAAATTAGTAAGGAGAATGAATAAAATAAATCATTAATCAGATCCATTATTTATTAAGGTTCTCTTTATTTAATACATTTGATCATCAAAAAAATATATTACTTTTAATTAAATCATATGAATAGAATTAAATTTATTAATTTCTTATTATAAAATGAAGTCATTTTCTGAAATATTCTCTATAAAAGGCTTCAGGTATTTATTATTAGTTGTAATATAATTCAATCAAAACATCCTTGATAAATTTTATTTGTTATATTCTATCTTATATAAACTTATTAGATCAGATCTAAATAATCAAAATAGAACTAAATTAGTTTCTCTGAACTGCTTTTAATTTATCTTTAAAGAATTCTATTATTGTTTCATCATTTTCTTTTGAGATCTTTATAACTAATAAAAATATATTCTATTCTTTGATTCTCTAAAAACTTAAATTTTATTATAATTCTATTTTATCAAATAACAATTAGGCAAAATAAAAAAGTTAGTTCAAACCAAAATGAAATAGATTAAAACATTAAAGTCCTAATTCATTTATTCCCTAAGTATTTGGAAATGAAATAATTTACTTTTAATTTTATATATAATAAAGTGATTTGACTTGTTACTATCGAATATATGAAAAATAAAATGTTATGATCAATTCGAAAAATAATTACATAATTATCGAATTTCTTCTAAGCAATTTGCATCTATTTTAGATGTTAGTATGTCTTGGAGCAATTCAAAACTCGAAAAATATTTTAGGGTCATCTATTTTGCTTGTTGGTCATTCTTAAGGTTGAGTAAGGTGGTCTTGGTTTTCTTGTTTAGCAAGACTTTAAAATTTGCATTTTGCTTGAAGATACCCTTATGATGGATCTCTAGATATAGAAAAATATATAGTTACTAAGGTGGTTTAGCAAGAGGTTCGAGATTTGGCGATATCTATCTCTTATTTAGGTTGATTAGTCTGAATTTTATATTGTTGACATGATTTATATTTATCATTTTTCAAACAAATATAATTAGAAGTTGACAAATTACACGTTATTATTCTATTTATGAACTTAATTAATAATCATTATATATGGATCAGAAATTTATCTAAGCAAAAAGTCTCCAAGAAAAATTGAATTTGATATGGTCTCAAGACAGGAGATTGGCTCCACTTGAACTGGAGAACTTATACAAGAGCATCCATGCAGAAACACAACATGGTTTCTAAATATTGGATAAGGCATTGGATCGAAATTTTGGCGGTCTTCTTCCAGACAAGGCCTCCTATAGCATGGATTATAATGAGGGGGTTTTTAAGAGAATTACAGAATCTTTGGATAACTTGGAAATGGTTGGACTGTATGCAAAGTATGTAATACAAAATTGTCGTGTTGAATCACATCGACCCTTGCTCAAGCAATTAGGATATGTGGCAGAGAGGTTAATCAGAAAGTTTAGATAATAGGGGACCATTGAAGAAAAATTGTAATTGAATAAAGAAATAGTGATTGATTTAGTGAGTAGATTATGTCCTAAAGACATGACCTACAACCCAGAGTTGCTGCAACTAATTTTGAAGGCATATAAAGATTATAAGGACGATGAGTTGCTGAAAAGACTAGCTGATTCTCTGATTTAGCAATGCAAAGACAATGCGAATTAGAATAGTGACCATGATTGGTTGATGCTGATATCCACTATATTTGATTAAGCTATTGAATAATAGGGAATCTGCCTATATATATTATTCAAAAAAATTGGAAGCACTAAGTTGGGTCATATTATTAGTCAACATAGAAATTACTTTTTAATCAATTACTTTGATAATCCTGACAAATCGGTGAAAATATTTAAGGGACTTATAAAATACAGTATTTTAAGCGAAAATCTCTCAATCTTGTAGGAAGTTACAGATATCCTGGAAGAGCAGATGAAGCAGAATAGTAACTAAAGCTGTTATCTAATATTAAGTGAAATATATTTGGAGGTCATTCTACCGTTATTATTGCCTCAATTGCATTAGAATACTAGCATTCTGGATCTCTTATAAGTTTATATGATTGGGATGTCAAGACGTCAAGAATAATTAACTGATGATTACATTACGATTATGTGCGACAGATTGAGACTAGTAATTGATTTGAGATAGAATGATAGATCGATTTTCGATAAAATATATGGATTTATGAATGCTATTCATAAAAAGTATTAAAATAAATTACTTCACCATGATTCATTTTCTAAATTACTCCATATTGCTAGAGATAAAAGTTTCGATTAATTTAATTAGATAGATCATCCTGTATGGGATTGTCAAAAGTTGAAAAATTTGAACTTTGATGACTCTTTGTATGACAGACCCAATCATGACAATTATGTGGGATTGGAGAACCTTACCAACACTTGTTTTATGAATAGTATATTGCAAGCTCTTTACATGACTGATAGATTTAGGTAATTCATTTTAATAAACTCAATACCTGAAGCCAAACAATACAATGCCCTAAGAAAATTGTTTATGTTATTGAATTTTTAATAGTCTGGATTTTGTTCACCCTATGAATTAAAGAGATTGCTTAGAGCTCCATATTGCAATTCAAATGACCAACAGGATGTTGGAGAATTTGCACATCATTTTTTAGAAGATCTCCTTAAATACATTCCAAAAGAATAATAGGAGATATTGGAGAGAATCTTCTTTGGAACGCATAGATCAGTTATTGAATGTCCGAATTGTGATGTTTCATTTGGCCAGATTGAAAAGTTTTTGGGAATTGATTTGCATCTAAATAAATATACTGAATTGAAGGACATGATTGCATAGGTCTACGAAGAGGAGAAAATTGAATTTACGTGTGAGAAGTGTTAGCGAAAATCAAATGACATAAAAAAATCTATATAATTGAATGATTTACCCCCTGTCTTATTTATGACCATTTAAAGGTATGATATCATATTCTAACAAGATTTTAATATGATGCTCAATCGCAATAAATGACTAAGATCCTGGCCAAGGTACCTCTCAGGTTTTTAATTGACATGAGAGAAGTATTCCAACAACAACATCTGGATGCCATGGATAGTTAATATATTTTATACGCATTCATCGTTCATTTAGGAAAAAACAGTTACTCAGGTCATTATTCTTGCTATGCAAGATCTATGTCTAAACCAGAAACTTGGATTTGCTTTGATGATGCTCAGATTAATAAATATGAACTATCAAGTGAAGATCTAAATTCGTAATTGATGTAAAATTAAACCCATTATATTTTAGTGATGAAGAGACTCCATATTTACTCTTCTACAAAAATAAATCTGGTCACTATTTAAGTATCAATAAATGAAAATATATATATCTAATTATAAGAGAATCTTTATTTTCATGAATAATTTCATAGTATATCATATGGTTTTGATATGTATATTTTAATATAATGATCTATATCACTAGGAGATAATATTTTATACATCTATCCAGACATCTCAGTTTGATTGAATACAAATAAAAATATCAAAATGATAGTAGGTTTATAATTAAATTTAATAATCATTGTTATTTAACCACTTTTCTTAAGGCATAACAAATCTTGTGTTCTAAAGTGGTTTCAATATCTACATCTACTTCAAACGTCTTTCCTTACAGTGGGAATTTGATTCTATATTTAACTGTTAATAATCTAAACAGGAACAGATAATCCTTATTTTTGTCATAAGCTTCTGCTTCCTTCTTTTAAACAGTAAAGGCTAAGGTCCCTTCTAACCATTTGTTAATATTATTTCTGAAATCCATGTCATGCTTAAGTAATTTACCCATAGCTAACTCTACTTTCTAGAGCAACCCACTTTGAACTTTTGCATCAATAAGGATCGGCACAGAATGACGTAGAGCTTTTCTCAATTTAGCATAGGTTTCTAAGGCCAACCACAATCCTTTGCTCGACTTCTGTTACATTTCTTTAAGAGATTCAAAGAATAGAACGAAAGAATTGAGTTTTTTATTATTTGCCTTATTAACACTTTTGACAAAGACATCAAAAACTACATTAGATATAGCATCTCTGGCAAAAGTAATGGCAGCAACAAAAGAGTCTACAAAATATGTGGTTACTCTCATATCAGTTCCTCCGCCTACAACTACACTTTTGCCTAGATTTGAATTTTCTTCAACCATGGCTTTGTTCTATTTGTTTCTTGCTTTTAATTCCATTTTTGCCTTCCAAAGATTAAGGCATAACTATTTCAAAGATTTAGCGTGATTCCTTTCAAATAAATCTAAACAAGCATCTATTTTGATATGGAATTTCTCAGCCCAAGCTGGTGGCATTCTAGGTTCCATACCACCTGATTAGACGCTGATTTACTATGGCATAGCAGGTTTCTAGAAATGATATGATAGATTTACTGCATCTTCTCTGACTTTGGCTATTTCTTCCTATTTGAATCTATTGTCTCTTGCTAACATACTCAACTCTTGGGCATAGCTTCTATTCAAATCTAAGATACGTCTAACTTCGTGTTCTAGGATCCTGATCTTATCGAATGCATCAACTAGTTCATTATCTTTGAGATAGAGTGCTTCAGCAAATTGTTTGTCTAATGCTTCTAATTTCAGTACTTTTTCTCTTAATTCAGCTTCCAATCTAGCAGTTTGATGATCAAGTGTAAATCTCAAGGATGCAATTTCTTCATCAGCTTTTCTTTTCAATTCAGTTAATTCGTTGATTCTCTTTCTCTGATCTTAGATCTCCGCATTCTTGTCATTAAGTTACTGAGTCAAGCTTTGGACATCAAAATTGTATTGTTTATCGCCCAGTTCTAGTTTATTCATAAGGAGATCTCTGTCCAAAATGAGATTTTGCACATCGTTTTTAATTTCAAATTGCTTTTCATATGTTTTTTCAGCATTTAGATTAGATTCTTGGGTTTTCTTTTTAATAGTTTCAAATTGAGCAGTTTATTGTTGGTAGATGGTGTATAATTTCTTCAATTGATCCTTGTAGAGCTGCAATTCATGGGCTGCCTTAAGGTAATCTGATTCAAAGCCTTGTTTGGCATGTTCGGATACATCCAAATCATGTTACAATTGCTAAGATGATTAGATTTAAATACTTGAATATAATCATTCATTTTTTGGATTTGATAATTGTATTGTTCCTCACGCTCCTCAAATTCACGATACCTTTCATCTTAATAATAATCTGGCTGATTGAGTTGCTGGGTTGATTGCTGGTATTGTTGAGGGATGGGATATTGTGGTAATTATTTTTTGGTGACATATGGAGAATTGTCATGACGGTGAGCACCTGTAGGGGAAGTAGACATTTTAAATTCTGTCTGTTATTTAAATAAAATTCTAGAATAAATTAAAGTTAATGAAAGTCGTGTTGCTGGCAATTTTCTTGTTGCTCGTATTGGCTGGAGAAGATTATTACCAATTGCTAGGATTGAAGAAGGGGGCAAGTGACGCTGAAATCAAGAAGGCTTTCAAGAAATAGTCTCTCAAGTACCACCCAGACAAAAATAAGGGAAATGAGGAGAAGGTTAATCAATTATTCTTATTTTTGTTTAGGCTCAGAAATAATTCTAAAAAATAGTGAATGCCTATGAGACCTTAAAAGACTCAGAGAAAAGAAAGATTTACGATTAATATGGTGAAGAGGGTGTAAACAAGCATGAACAACAATAACAATAAGGTGGTGGAGGAGGATTCCAAAATTTCGGAGGTGGATTTGATGAGATGTTCTCACAATTCTTTAGAGGAGGCAGTGGTGGTGGTGGGGGTCACCAGTAATTCCATTTTAATTTTGGAGGATCAGGATTTGGAAATCAAGGTGGCGGTGGATTTGGTAATCAAGAGGAGGAAGTTCAAAGGAAGAAGGACAATTTGTTTGAGAATACAGATGTGTATACTCTTGATATGAGTAATCTCTCTCGATTTTACAGAAGAGAAGAGGTTTGGGTAATATATTTCTATTTGCCCAATGGGGAAGGATAGAAGCACAAAAAACTAATCATTGAATTGGCTGAGAAATATGCTGGCATCTTTAGAGTCGCAGCTGTTGATTGTGAAGATGATGAAGCATTGTGTGAAGATGAATTCTCTGTGAAACGGTATCCTTCTGTTTCCATTTATGCATCTCGTCTCTCTGCTGAACCTATTAAGTACAAAGGGAAGTGGGAAATAAATGAGTTGGCAAAGGAGGCTGTTGATTTGATGGAGGATTTTGTCATCATCTTGAGCGGATTCAATTTCTAGGAGTATATTGAAAAGTCAAAACCTAAGGTTATTCTATTTACCAATAAAAAATCAACTCCTCCTTTGTTCAAGGCTCTTTCAAAAGAATTCAAGGGGAAATTGGAATTTGCAATGATTCGATAATCTGAAAGACAATTATCTTCAATTTTCAAGATTACAGAATTCCCAAGTTTGATTGTTGCCAAGAATGATCAAGATTTCAAGGTGTTTGAATCAGAATTCAAGAAAGATAATATTGTTAAATTCCTTAGATAATTTGCCTATGGACAAAGGAAGGAAGTCTAAGTGAAGGAGATTCAGAAATTGAATGGATAAAATTATGAATAATGTATAGTAAAAGGAAACGGGTTATGTTTCTTATTGTTGATACAAAATGAATTAGATTTAGAGTTGGTATCCAAAATCCCTCATAAATATTAAAATGAAAACATTTCCTTCTATTATGGATCTCTACAGTATTTTATTTTCTTATGATAGGTAATTGACATCCAAATTTGAAGCAAAGCAAACTCAATCTTATGCTGTGATTATAAAACCTAAGCGATAAACTTATGCTGTGTAGAATTCAATAGAACCAACCGAAATCATAACATTCATTGATGATGTGCTTGGAGGAGGAAGGACATTTAAGAAAATGCACTCTACTTTTAGAAAAGAAGAGCTGTGAATTGTTTTTTAATTTGCTTTTATTCGTTAATTTTAACAACTATTTTAATGGATAATATAGTACAACATGTAGATGACGAATTTAATGAAGGGAGACAAGATTCCTATCAACAGCCTGAAAAACTATCAGACAATCTAGCCAGAACAGTCTTCTTCGATTCCAACAACCTACCTTAAGTGGAATGCTACTACCATAAAGGTTATTATATCTCTAACATGTGTCGAGCACCTCAATGTATAATACCATTATGTCCTCTTTGCATACATCTTCATTCTAAGGAACATGTCAATGAAGGCACATACCCAGTATTTGAATCATTGGAGGTCTTATTAAATCAAGCAAGCGATCATGTCAATAATGAATGTAAACATTAGTTTTCTATTCTTTTTAGTGAAGAAATTCACCAACTCATATTACGATATCAAAAAGCATGTGAATACTTTCGAGGTTCATGCAGATAAAACAATTAAAAAGATTAGAGAAATTAAGAAACGGATGTAGGATGTTGTTGAACAATTCTTCAATGGTTTAGAGAATGAAGTCTAACACAAACAGAAGAAGAATGTGAATAATTAAGAGAGAGATGCTAAACATTTACTATCGATGATTGAAGATAGATGGAGATCAATGAAATAGATGTTGAATACATTTTAGAGTTCAGATTGTTTAACAGCACTCATACCCTATTTCACAACAACCTTTTAAGAGGACAACCAAGTTTACTATAAGAAGATAGGGGAGTACATAAACGCATTTCCAACTGTCAGTAGCGAGGTCTAAATTGATTAACACAGAGCGTAACCTAATTTATAATAATCAAAAGATCTGAGTTGAGTGTGTTTCTGAGTTCAATAATACAAGTTCAACACACTTCAATCCCTGATTTCATTGGCATTCATTAATTGCCTACCACTAATGTTACTGAGAGCACTAAAATCAGTTCTTTTTAAGGCAGCAGAATCAAGGAACCATTACGTGTCACAATTCCAGAGAAGAAGACTTAATTTGAATCATTTGAGCATCGGAAATCACCTGTCTAGGATGTTAGAGCATAAAGAAGTCCCCCTCCAAATTCATAGAGTATGTATCCTTATCCTGTGCATCCTTCTATGCATCAATATCCTCCTCGGCATTACTTATCACCACAGTACCATAGATTTTGAAAGATATTATTACAAAATAATATAATTATATTTTAGGTTGATTAATTTTAGCATGATTTTAAAAACATAAAAAGCTGTCTTGAATCACTGAGAATGTAATTAAATTATATGTTTGAAGAAACCGAAAGATAATTATTAAAATTTCTTAGGAGTTTGGCCAAGGATTCAACTGAAGAAATAATCATCGAGGATGCTGAGATGGATTGTATTCCAGACTCTATCAAGGCTGAATTGGAGAAGTTTAGTCTTCTGTCTCTTCAATTGAATAAGTGCAAATTAAAGAGTCTCTCCAATTTACCCGACTCGAAATCAATAATCAGAGTATGCTTGGATCACAATCAATTGAGTGGGAAGGAATTGTCCAAATTGAATATCTACCCAAATCTGGTTGCCTTGTCGATCATGGATAATCAGTTCGATTCTATTGAGGATATCAAATAGTTGGCTTTGCTCAATCATCTTTCTCAATTAAATGTGTACAGAAATCCAGTGGCTGATCAACCCAAATTTAGATAGGAGACCTTTGAAGTTCTAAGCAAATTAGTGTTGTTGGATAATCTGTCCAAGACGGGGGATGAGATCCAATTGAATGAGGAAGTGAAGATCAGCAAAAATTTAGAAACCATCGATCCTTCAGATTAGAGAAAAATAATAGGATGACTTAAATTTTATATTATTTTAATAATTATATAAATGCAGATGCAAGAAACGTAATTGTACAGGAAATCTGCTAATCATTTTAATGTTAGCAATTCCCTCCAATTACTCTATTGTTTTACCAAAATAAGCTTTGGAACATACTTACTCTTACCTACCCAACAATGCAATTACACTTCCTTTTCTGAATTCTACTATGAAAACCCATTGCATAAATGGATAGCTTGGATAGTGCTTCATTCGATATTAAATACTATCTTGTATTTCAATTAGATAGTGTACATGAATGTAGAGGAAAACCGACGTAATTTGGCGTAGAAGTTGGATTAAATACGAGATTAAGAAGAACAATTCTAAGCCCATTTTATTGAGGATTCAAAATAAATAAGCATTTTGACAAGATAAATCAAATATGAAGTCTAAAAGTCAGTCTTATGTGGTAAATGGTATAGTCGTCTATTGGGCATTATATACTAATTGCTCTTCTTATACGGCTTAGCAATATTTCTATCTTAAGAAACATCAAGAACAGGATGTGAATATTATTAATACTATTTCCTGTGCACAATCCTCATACTCTCAATCTATTAATACATAGACTTATACATCATAGCAATATTTTGTATTCTATTTTCACCATTTTTGATTTTGTTTTTGATATATTATTGTGTCTCACAGTAAGTTTTATACAAATGATTTTTAGTTGCACTAAAAGACAGTAAAAAAGAGAAGCTATGGAAAGATTGAACATTTAGAGTTACAAACCCAATTGTGTTGAAGGCGATCCTGAATGTACTATTTGCAGATGTGCATACGAATTAGGAGAGAATATCTTAACACTGACTTGCAGCAAGTTCCATCATTTCCACGAATCATGCATAATGGTATATTGGTTTGATATTAAACTGCTAGAGTTGGATGAATGTAAATTCAACATGCCCACTATGTAGAAAAGCCATTTGAAAACATCTTATATATAATATATTTAGAATATTGAATAGACATTCATATAAAGCCAAATACGCAAAATGGTGGATATTGTTGTTGTTTATTCTAAGACTTCTGAATTTCCTTGACTGGCAATTTAGCATATTTGAACTCCATCTTCTTTGGTTCATAAGTAATGAATTTGAACATGCCGTAACTAAAAACGACTAATAGTATCATGGGCATTATTCCAGCCATAAGGATGACTCCTGGCACTGATCCAAACAGAGCATACTGACTGGCCAGTTTATTCTCTGTGATGGGTTGGAATAGTCTTTAAACCCCATCTCTGAATGAACAAAACCAAGTGTATAATCTTGGCTCTTGTTAATCATATACAGACATATCGGTTTATGCCTTCTCAAGTAAACTCAATGCTCCCTGTAAGGTATGTCTGTCTGTCTGTGCATGGACACATAATCCAAAAAGTAGAATTGCCAAAATAATTTATTTCATTAATTAACAATCATAAAATCACACTAATCAAACACCCACAAACTAAAACACTCCCAATAATGCTTAAATTGTTGATACTCTCATTCAACACCACGATATCGAAAAAATAACTAAACAGAACCTGTGACTGTCCCACAAGTGACATCTTATTCAATTTCCCCAATATAAAACATCGATTCATGAAAAACTGAGCCAGTCCTCCAGACGCACTATTCATCAATAAAAACACCCATTCTTGACTTGTTGGGAATACCAACTATGATTAATTATACAACTCAAAAAGCATTGGCAATATGATTGTGTAAAAGGAAAAGTATTGGAGTATTGCAATCTAATGCACTGACTTTGCTAAGTGAGAGATGATCACTTAGACTATTGATTATGTGATTGAAGATGTCAATGCCAACATCACTCCTAACATGTGCATATCGTATTCTTTATTTGCATCCACAGTCTAACCTAGAACCATTAGTAAAAAGGGAGGTCTGGCTATCAAAGCCACTCCGATGATACACAATAAAATTATTATTAAAAGTTTTAATGTTAATTTATCCGTCTTTGTGACATATGCAGCTATCAAGGCGGTCCACAATGGTGAGATCTTCGATAGCACAATAACTTCTGAGGACTAAATCAAACGAACTGCACAAAACCAAGCCACTGTCCCCAATCCTCCACACAATCCTCTCCATTACAATTTATTTATCTATTTTTATGGATAACTATCAATTTTGTCCTTGGCAATCCATTTCAGCATCATTATTGTGAACAATGATCTAACATACAACACCTAAGTTGGAGCCACATTTGGCACTAATTTTATAGTCAAAGCAGTCAAGGCGAAGAAACAACTAGAAAGCAAACTATAAACAATCGGAATTGCTGTTGAATGGCGGCATTCTAATTCTTAAATTAATTAATTCATAAAAATAACTAAGTTAATTTTTCATAGCATTTATTATGCACCTCTTTTTATGTAGTATTAATTCTCCTGCATTATATCCACAACTATCAATAATACTGTATGATTTAAATGAGCTTGTCTTTCTAAATTTCATCGCATTTTTGATGTAATTCATTCAAGCTAATTTATGTTGATTTACTTAAATTCTAAAATGTTTACTCCCTTTAATTCAAATATGATGACTAAGATTGAATAGCCTCCTGTTTTCACATTGGAATAATAAAAATAACTCCTATAAATCTTTAATTAAATCAAATTATTAAAATATTTTTTCATTATAATTAGGATATGAATTATATTAGATATAATAAAAATAACATTTAAAAATTAAAGTCTTCTATGAAATAAAAGAATAAACCTTAATTAAACAGTAGCAATCCTTGTTAGAAATGTCCATCTAGTTTTTTTGGGAAATTGTTAAAATTTAGTGAAAGCATTTTGATCTAAGCAGAATTTCAAGAGGATAGGTACCCAATTCAGCATCAACAAAATCAGAATAGGCAACAAGAGGGACAAAAAAAGAAAATACCTCCTCTTAATAAACCTTTAAAACATCTACTGACTATATTGGAACATAAATCCAGTTTTCCATCATAATTAGAGTAACAATGAAAATTGTATATTTTGATACATATGGATTTGTGTTGAAAGCATTTCTTATAACTAAATAAATATTATTGGCTTCTAGTACTTATAACAATAATTTATTTAATTATTAGCCTAATTATTTCTTATATATTATCATTTTAATAAAGAAATTAAAAATGGGATTTAAATTCACCAGCAAGCTTTCTATTTCATATTAATAATTTATCTAAAAACAATGTATAAGGAAGAGAATAGATCATAGTTCAATAAAAAGGAAAAATATGTGATAAACAAAAGGATAAGAGCATTTAAATTATTGCTCTAAGAGGATTTGATTTCAAAAATAGTTAATGAAAAAGATTTCCTCAATTAAATGGAAAAGAAAAGCTAAATGACCTAAGAGGAGAAAACAGCCTTCAATATAAAATACGCTACTTTGTATAATAACATCCACTAAGAATACAGAAAATACTTAGTCAATAAACGCACAAAAAAAGATTTGAATTAGAATAGAGAAAATAATCCCAAGAATAATCAATTACTGAAAGAGATTTATTGAATCTATATTTCTTTGTGATTGTATTTAAATTATTTTGTCTAATTATAATTTTATTTTTAAATTTATACTCAAAAGATGATTAACCAAAGATATAAAAAAATATAATTTGAGGTTAATTGGTTTGCTTTAAGATTAATAATTTTGTCTATTACACATTTATTGATGGTAAACCTTTCATCTTAATTTAATCAAATTAAAATCAATAGCAGAATCAAAGGAGGGCGTATGTTGGCTCGATTTTGGCAATTTTATAATGGATCATTTTTACTAGATTTGATGATTACTGACAGAGACGGATCATTCATTTTTAATTTTTCAGTTTTAATCAATAAAATTTTAATTAATTAAAATGGCAAAAGAAGTAAACAGAGAAGAATATGCAAGGTAGAAGCATCATAAAGACAAATAAAAAAAATTTGCCGTTGATAAACTTAAAAATTGTTTTCCAAAAAGTTTAGATGATTACAACGAAGCCTTACAAAAAGGGTTGAAAGATTGTGACTGTTAAAAGGATCCTGATCCTAAGAAAGGCATTGTTCATAAAGAGGGATGTCCTCATAATGACTATATATCTCATTAGAAACAAGAGTAAAAACTTTTAAAACAATATATTTACTACAAAACACAATACAATTACGATAGGGACTATTCTCCTGAATATTACTTTGCGAGACAAATTTATTAGGAAAAGTAGGCAGATTAAGTGAAGATTAAGATAAAATAAAAGGTCTTGAAGGGAAAGGATTTTAATGATGATCATTTATATTGAAGTTAGTGTTTATTTAAAATTTAATAATAATATAAAAATAAGAGATTTATATGCATATGAGATTTGATTGGGGTCGGAAGAATGGAAATGATTCGTAATTGAGGGGAGAGAATAAAAATAAATATTTAATTTAATTAAAAAAGGGACTAAGAATTTAAGAATTTTTTTAATAATATGTTATAATACATTACGACATTTGAACATCATCTGTTTTAATCAAATATATACAAATAAAGCTCATGATTTCCATCAGCATATTTATGGAAGTGAACTCTTACACAATGGACATGTAAGGTTTATTTACATCCATTATATCAAACATGAAGGATGAAATACATGGTTCTAGGAATATAATGAAAAAGTCTTACGCATGGAGTGTTCATCAATAGTTATTTTTGAGTGGCCATGTTCAAAGTCTGAACAAGAACAGGCTCCTCAGAGGTTACGTTGTAGGATTCTGAGGTGTTTTTCAAATTATCAAGACAAATTGAACAATCTAATTGGGAATGATCTTCTGTGGATTTGACGAAGTAATTAAATTTCATAGTCTAGAGGATGAATAATCCGTATTGACATTGGCAAAAGTACAAAATGAATTAGGTGATAGATATGAGTAAGACTATCCCAACAACAATTAAATTATATTTGAATAGTAAAATGTTATTCGAATAGGCTGTAAAGTATAAGGAGAGCAGGACTCTTGGGAAAATTGTTCCGAGATAATTAAAGTTGAATTTCTATCGGTTTCCTGTAAAAAAGGTGAATATTATTTGGGGCAATAAAAACAAATTCAGAAGGATCATCCCATACCAGTATTTAATTTGAAGGAATAGGAATGAAGTGGATGTCATTTCAATAATTAGTACAAGTATGTCTTTCTTACTGTAATTCTCAGTTTACTATAAATTATTAATAATATAATTACAGTTAATTTAGCTTTCATTTTGAGATCACATAAAATAGTAATCAGCTGAGAAAGCAAGCAGGGAATGAAATAGTAAAATCTAGGTGTGTCAAACAGCAATGAGCTAAATATGCAAATGTAAATGTCTTGAGTCAAGATTATGGAGATTGTGAGTGAACCACCTTAATTTGGAACACAATCCGAATTTAAATAGTAATGTGAATTGATTATTTGAAATAGTGAAATGCATATGATAAGAGCAGTGTAGGATTAAAGATCTAATGAATATTTCGAATTGTTAAACATCAATAGTTATAATCTCTCTTCATTCATCTAACAACCCTCTTCAAATTCACTATAAATATTAAGATTTTTGGAATTCTAAGATTTTTGGATTTCTAATTAAATAGTGGCAGAGCACTAAAAATGGTTACTTTCCTTATTACTTTGTAGAGTAACTTCAGTTAAGGTATTGTTCCATGTCATTCGCCTAAAAGTTAATTGTCAATAAATACTTTTTGACTGAATCAAAGTGATAGGAGCTATTGCTTAATGAGTAACTCAATCTGAAATAGTGGGTGTCTCCGTAATCGTTGTTTTGTCTTGGGTAGACTTACAATAGTAAATTTTTGTTGTCAAAAACTATGTTTAAGTAAACCAAGTGTTCTGAACTTGCTGTCCATTAACCAAGTATTAACTCATCCTAGTTTTCAATCAGAAATTGATAAGCTTATTCAGTATTGTGATAGGCAAAAGTATTATCGCTCGATACTTGGCATATTACGTAACCAAATATCAATAAATAAAAATTTACTTTCATTAAACTTATTTTAATTATTAATACTTGTTACAATTATTTTATAAAAATTTGAATTTTGCACGCAGAAATCAAGCGTTAACTTCCCTTTTATTGATTGCATCATTTTTCTATATTGAGATCATAATTTCAATGAAATAATTATATACATAAACATCATTTAAATATATCAATCAATTTGCCAATTCCAATAGCGACTCCAATCACTAAAATAAATGAATATAAGGATATTCGTAAATTCTTAGGCATACGCTTTAGCAAGTCTGAATGATCATTGCACTTCAAATCCTCCTATTAACCATAAAATATAAAGTAAACCTCATCATTGAGTGAGAACTTAGTGAAATCGACCTAATCTACCAAATATTCTGTTGATTCCACACTAGCTTGGACTTGATTATAATTGGGCTAATTGGGAGTTTAGGAACCCTTCTTGGCATACAAGCAACTCAAATGCAAAGTAATAGGGATGATGTATTCTTGAAATAATCCAATAACAGCTCTGTAAAAAATAAATCAAATCACAGTACCCACATAAACTAATGATTAAGGACAAATCAACTTCGACACATTGAACCACTAAGCAAGTTATTGCATAAGTCAATGAGAATGCGTAGAATTACCATTTGGGTTATCTTTCCAAATCATAGATGAGACCAAAAAATTAGGATCTTGTGATAAATTGTAATACTGGAAAGACAAGAGTCAACTATAGAAACAGTAGAACCTATATAATTATGACCAAGGGGTTGTCCGATGGATAATAATCTAAAAGAGTAGATCCACTCTTGCCCTCTTACTTCTAATTATTTGCCAAAGCTCCAGCAACTGCAAAAGCTCCAAATGTGCCAGCCATGCAATAGACAAACCATGTCCATCCAAATCCAATTGCAATATCTCGGTTGTTATTTTATTAAATCATATTATTCTTCATTATCGGTACAACCATAGATTATATTAACAATGCCAATGCAAATGTACCAGCCATTGTGGATACATCCCAACTAAACCATTTCAAATTATCTACCACTCCTTGATGGTCAGTTACTAACATATAGATTCCTTCATATATTGTGAATAAGATGAATGAAAATACTGAAATAATTCCATAGGGTAAGAGTTGCAAAATGATTCCCAGTTTCTTTTAGAAAAACATTGGCAGAATAAATAGAGTGTAACCAATTCCTATCCATTAGTATGATAGCTTGGAGAGAGTGATGTCAGTTAGTGGTGCGCTTTCTATGCCAATATTATCACATATTATTTAAATTAAGGGATAAAGTTGATTGCATATCAAGATCATATAGATAATCCCACTGGCCCACAGGAGGATTACATTACTAATGTTAAAAATGGTCTTCCACTTTGGACCCAGAACTCGTTGTAAGGTATCTGGCAAGTCCATCTATTAATTCATGAATTGTGTTATTATACCTCATCTGATTTATTATGTACAATCAATAATTGAGTGGTTCTGCATGAAATCAATCCAATGATTATGGCGATAACAATACCCAATCCAATTCCTGATTGACAAAATAGCACTGGGAAGACCAACGTGCTGGTGCCCACCATTGAGTTGGAGACAGAGATTATGGTTTGTAATGAGGACGCCTTGCCAGTTTGAGCGATTGAGCTCTTTTTTATAGATTTGATCAGTGACTGCTTTTCCCTTTTGGATACAGATTGCTTAAGCACTTTTTGAATTTATTGGCTGACTTCAGCCTCTTATGCTAATTATGCCATAAAATTTATTAAACATTGAATTACACTACTTGAATTAAAAAATAAGCTATTAATTATATTAAGTCTAAAATTATATGAATATGGCCTTGTGAGTTCGCTAGAAAAACTGTTTTTGATTACCAGAATTAATTGATAATTGATACGGATGAATTAAAGAGTTCAAATTCTCTGATTTCGCTAAGTTTGGCTGGGATCTAGACTCATCAAAGGAATAAATCTCAGGCAAACTTAGCGATGTCTAGAATTGAGAGGTGCTATGGTTAATTGCCAAATAAATCAAAAAAATTAAAATATGGGAATAATTCATTTATTTAATAAATTTATGGGGATCACTTTTGCATGCCAGTCTTAGAAGAAGGAAAAGAAGAAATATGCTCAATATCACATTGTAATCAATAAGTTCGTTAACAAATGTAATTATATTGTCTTTCTATTTGTACAGTTGATAATTATGAATTGCACATGTTGCTGATGATTTACAAAGACTTGGCAGACCGTTCTTAAAATCGCTTAATTTGTAGAGACACCTTCAATACTTATTTTAAAATTATAGTTTGTAGAATAGTGATGATTAATTTAGGGAATATGGGGCGAATAAATATTCAATAAATTTACACACAAATAAGAACACTATATGAGTTTTGAAGAATTTCTTACTGGATTGTAAATGTATATAAAATGTTCAGAAGATCAGCAAATCAAAAATTTATTTAAATTGTATGATCTGCAAAATCAAAATGGTATTGCTAAAACTGATTTTTTACAAATGGTATATTTACATTTTATATTTTTAGTTACACAATTATTCCAAAGAAGAACTTAAGATTATCTTGAATGATTAATTATTTCTAGAAGAATAAGAAATCATAAATGCCTATCATCGCACCAAACGAGTCAAACCTCGAAAAGGAAGTGAAGACTTTCTCAAAATGTCACGTAAATTCTACAATCCATTCTAGTTTAAATGTTAAGAAAGTACAGCAACCTTTCAGAAAATAAGGAGTCTAATTAAAATGAACATTAAAACCTCTAATAACCTGACGGCTTGCAAAGTCTGAACTCCAAATAATCGATTGATTAGATCTTCACATTGGACAGCAAAGCACAATTAAATGGCATTCCTATGAAAGGATTTGGCATCAACCTCACATTTCAAGTACGTTTATGGAATATACTATATAGGTCAATGGATAGAAGATTGAAATGCAAGCCAATTTGAATCTATTAATCAAGAAATACGTGGAAATGGTTTACAAGGCAAAGAATGATTTACCTATAAATTTGGAAGATTTTACAACATTCGTTAAGCATCATCCAAATTTGATTATGCCATTGTATTGTGTATTCAATTTTGATGTTTGGGGATTGTAGAATAATCTACCTAAATACAAGAATTTGTAACAAATTTAAGTCATTATAGACCATTAGATATCCAGGGAGAATTATATAGAATGTCAAAGAAGAACAAAATAAAATCTAAGTTCTGCCAACTCTATCCGAATATCTTGATGGAATTTAAGAATAAAAATGACATCAAGCCAACAAGTATATAGATATATTTAAATAATTAGAGATTATTTGTTTGAGTGGATTGATAATCAAAGAAAGTGTTGATTTAACCAATTAGAAATTTGGATTCGAAATCTTCCATATGAATTAACATTATAAACATAAAGTCTATCATTGCTCTGATGAAATGTCATTCAGAGACTGGCAACGAGCTTTGTCTCTATATTTTAATGGAGAAGTTAATAAGAAATATTCTATTCTTAATAAAATAGGGGAAGGGAAATACTCCATTGTCTACAGATGTCAAGCTAAGATGGATTAGCAATTCTACGCATTAAAGGTAATCAATAAGATGAATCTTCCCCAGGAAGAGTAGGATATAGTGAAACATGAAATAAGTATAACCAAATTATTAAATCATTCTTGTATAATTAATTTGATCGATTCTATTGAGAATAGGGATCAGATTCATATAATTACAGAATTAATAGAACATGGAGATCTATTTGATTATGTTTAAAATAAACAATACTTAGAGGAAAGTGAGGCAGCCATTATATTTCATTAGTTACTAGATGCTCTGTAATACATTCATTCGATTGGAATAGTACACAGAGACATTAAGCCTGAGAATATTTTGATGGTCTTGGATAAGAATACTGTTAAGCAAATTAAATTGATTGATTTTGGTTTGGCTAATCATCTCTCAAAGATCCAAAAAAATAGCGAACATTTGAATTATCATTGTGGAACATGCAATTACTAAGCACCTGAAATGCTACAATTTTAAGAAATAACATTTTCAGTTGACGTTTTCGCACTTGGAGTGATATTGTATTATATGCTAAGTGGATACTTGCCATTTGATTCTGACATACCATACGAGATCATATAGAATACCATTAATGGCATTTATAGTATGGACGATTATCATTGGCAATGTGTAAGTGAGGAAGCAAAAGACCTGATAGTGGGGTTGTTACAGAATTAGCCTGGTAAGAGACTTACTCTAAAGGAGGCCAAGGAGCATATGTGGATGAAAAACTAATTGGTTAAGAATAATAAGTGATGAATTATTTATTTCAAATCAAATGGCTGTCAATAGTTTTGTATTTCAGCTTCCATTCAATTTTCCAATGAATTCTCCTCCTATTTAAAAATACTTATTTTTATAAAATTTAATTTATATTACATGAAAGTTGAGTTTATTCTATATAATTTACAAACGTGCAAGAATTTCAATAGGCGTTCTCTTTGAGAGGGGTGCCAATACACAACAATGTGTACAGAATTGCAATGACAGATCGACATTCTAAGGGGGTTGAAAATTAGTGAATGTGGGAGTTCAAAAATTGTAAGGTGGATATTAAAGGGGAGTGTTGATGCGATCAATCAAATCCTGTAGTTGTTATTTATACTTGAAAATAATTTAGAATAAATTTAATATTATTTATGTCTGAATCAGAAAGTAAGTCAATAAAAAAAGCGCAAAAATTATAAGGCAAATTGTCAAGGAGCCAGATGCTGGAGGAGAAATTCAAATTGGAAGAACAATTAAAAGATATTAAAGAGTCATATGGAAATTTGCCTGAAAAAAAGCAGGAGCCCAAAACTAATACTCAATATAGATGGAATTATATCCTAAATGAGATGGTATTTTATTGAGTGATAGTAGAGTGAAATGCAACAGTATATGACGAGGAGACTGGAATGCTTCAAATTTAAGACTAAGAAATTAGCAGAATAAGCAATTAATAAAAGGTTAAAATATTATGAGGCAATTAAGGAAAAAGAGAAGGTACAAGTGAAAATAATATAAAGAATGAAGAAAAGAACCAATTTAGACAATTACAAAAAGTAGCCAAAACTGTATAGAGAGAATTTTGGAAATACGTGTGGCAAATACGAAAGCAAGTGCAATAATTCAAGGATGACAAAATAAAATAGGAGACTCAAAAATAGAAGTTAGGAGACATAGTTACTAGATTAAAAGAAGTTACAGAAGAAATTGGATAGAAGTTATCCCAATATTAAAATGCACAATAAGAAGATGAAACCAACTTGATACCAATTGAGAAATTCAAAACACTCTATTATGAATTAAAACGAAGATAAAATGCATGGCCAGGCTTCAAAAAATAAATATAGTCAGTTTAATCAAGTATTATTTAACTCATTTAAAATCAGATATTGTAATTGATCTCATAAAAGTGGGGCAAGACAGATATGAAATAGCTAAGGTTGAGTCTAAAGATGAAGAAGTGGATGAGAGTATATTGGATGCAGACAAATGTTTAAAGGTGCTTAAAAAATCTAAATAATTCCCATTTCTATTCGAAGCAGAAGACAGTAACAGAATATCATAAATTTAGGTTTGTTGGAATAGTAACCATTTTTATTGAATGGACAATTAAGAATATATTAATTGGTAGGAGTTCATTGGATGGCAAGTTTACATCAATAACAGATGAATGGAATTTTGGCAGATGAGATGGGTTTGGGAAAGACAATATAGACTATTGCTTTATTAGCATACCTAGCAGCAAATAAATAAATTTGGGGTCCTCACTTAGTTATTGTTCCTACAAGTATTTTGATGAATTGGGAAATTGAATTCAAGAGATGGTGTCCTGCTTTTAAAATTATGACTTACTTTGGGTCACCCAAAGAGAGGAAATTAAAAAGATAAGGATGGAGTTAATTGAACAGTTTCCACGTTTGTATAACAAGTTATAAGATTGTGATATAGGATAGCAAAGTGTTTAAAAGAAAGAAGTGGTATTACATGATATTAGATGAAGCTTAACATATTAAAAACTTTAAATCTCAAAGGTGGTAAGTCTTATTGAATTTTAATACAAGAAGTCGATTGCTTTTGACAGGAACTCCCCTTTAGAATGATTTAGGTGAAATTTGGAGTTTACTTCATTTCTTAATGCCCTCAATTTTTGACAGTCATTAAGATTTTTTACAATGGTTTATGAGTATAGAGAAAGCCATCTAGGAAAATAAAACAATTTCAGAAGAAGTCTTAAGATAATTGCATGATATATTGAGACCCTTTGTTTTGAGGAGGTTGAAGAAGGATGTAGAGAAGTAATTGCCAGAGAAAAGGGAGATAATAGTGAAATGTGATTTGTCAAGAAGATAGAAATATTTATATGATGAATTCATTCAATCTTCTGGCAACTTCGAAATCTAAGGAACAGATTTTGTTACCATGATGAACAAAGTGTAATAATTAAGAAAAGTCTGTAATCATCCTGAACTGTTTGAATAAAGACCAGTAGAATAACCATTCTTTTTCCCTGCTCTCAAATTTACATATCCAAAAAGAGTTTAATTAAATCTAAGACAATCTCCAATCAAATTACATGTTACATAAATTAAACAAAGATTCCCCTCCTAAGAAGTCTTATAGTTCTATTCAAACATAATTGAATAACGAATTATGAATAAAAAGGCATCAAAATTTGGTAAAAGATGGGTTGAATTAGAAAATTCATAAGTTTAATCTAGATTCAAATCAAATATGTCAAATAGCTATAGAAAAGTAGTATTCTACCACGCTTTATTGACATACAATCCTGAAATGCTTACTTGTTGTAAAGAACAAATTAAAAGCTTCTTGATGCCAACAGTTGATTACTTATTAGAAAAAATGCAAGAAACTCTTAATGAATTCAGTTGTGTCATCAGAAAAGTTGATGCTTTGCCATAACAACTCTATTATAGTCCTTATCAAGCATAATAGCAAGATACTATACCTAGAGGTGTCGATTCTTTGTTTTATATGATCTAAAAATAAAGGATGCTTTTCCCAAATAAGAAACTATTGATATATGATTGTGGTAAAATGAATACTCTGGTCTCTTTAATTTATAAATTAAAATCACAGAATCATAAAATCATCATTTTCACATAGATGACTAAGATGCTCGATCTTTTTGAAGCAGTCCTATCTCTGAGTAAGATTTCCTATTTGAGATTGGATGGATCTACTCCAGTCGAGATGAGATAAAAGATAGTAGAAAGTTTTAATCAATTGAATATCACTTGCTTTATCTCATCAACTAGAAGTGGAGGAATTGGATTAAATTTAACTGGAGCTGATACTGTTATATTTTATGATACTGATTGGAATCCAGCTATGGATAAACAGGCTCAAGATAGATGTCATAGAATTGGTCAAGTTAGACCTGTGACTATATATAGATTGATCACTAACTCTACTATCGAAGAGAATATCTTTTTGAAATCTTTGCAGAAAAGATAATTAGATGATTTTGTGATGCAATCTGGTATGTTCAGTCCAGAATAAATATTAAAATCCTTTTAACTCTTTGATGATGAGAAAATGGATTAAGCCATCAAACAAGTTGAAGATATTGATGATAGATAGGCTGCTTAAAAGGCTTTGATTGAAGAATAAAACTATTAAATGAATGGAGCTGAAGAAATTGAAGAGATTGAAAAAGGAGATAATATGGATTGGTTAATACCTAATTAATTACCACCTATTGTAAAATATGGATTGAAAATGAGTGATTGTATAGTTAATGACAATGCTGAAATATAGAAGTTATAAGATGAAATGGATGAAGGAGAAGAGGATGGGGAAGATGATGAAGTAGATCAAGAAGTAGAGGAAGAAGAAGGAGAACAAGAATAAGAATAAGATGATGAATAAGAATAAGAAGGAGAATAAGATTAAGGTGAAGAATAAGAATAGTCAAAAAATGAAGAAGATTAATAATAAATTAATGAAAAAAAGAAAAAAAGTAATAGTAAAAGTGTTGATTATTCTGATTCTGGAAACCATGTTTTTTGTGTAGAAAATTAAAAATGAAATATTGATGATATTTTTCTAAGTATTTCATAATTACACTTATTTATAGAAAATCAAACACATTTTTTTGTTATTCTTATATTTTTTATTATCTATTTAATTTCACACTGGCTGCTTTAGATGTATTATTAATTTCGTTTTATAAAATTATGTATCAAGATTTGAAATAGGCTTATTATAGGTGAGCCATCTTAACTTAGTATTTATTTAAATAGACTTCCAATTTATTGATAATATCATTCAGCAAAGTTAATATCCCTCATTCTAAGTCTATTGATCTTTAAGAAAATAAATCTACTGATCAAAAATTTTGTAAATCTATGAGGTATTTATAAATTCACTTTATAGTTTTTAACCAGTTAATTTATATGAAAACGTTTATGAATTTAGAATAAAATATGCAAACTTTAAGTGCTTAGTTTAATTTACAATACTTTTGTTTCTAAATTAATTAGAATTTTCTTCATTTTCATATTTAGAATATTTATATATAATCACAGATTAATCTTAAATATATACAATATAATATATCACACTTTGCCTTCATGAACCTTTTTAAAGTAACTCTTAGAAGAAGTTCTTTCCTATTTAGTTTATTTTTAAGCAGGCTTATACCCTTTGACATAATGTTTCTAAGTCTTAGATTTGGGTGATTATTATTATTATTATTATTATTAAGATTTTGATTTGACTACCTTTTCTTTTGGTGAATCTTCCTTATTAGTTTTACTATAAGCTGACTCTTCAATCCTTATAGGTCGCTCACCTTCATTAGCTTTCCTTAACTCATCAATTACACTTTATTCGCTATTATGATACAAACTGTAAATGAATCCTTTCTTTCCAGCTCTTCCTGCTCTTCCTGCTCTATGCAGATAATCACTTGTTGAATTGGGAAAATCAAAATTAATTACAGCATCAACAAATGGGAAATCCAGACCTCTTGCTCCCAAATCAGTCGTAATCAACACCTTACATTGCTAACTTCGAAATTCTGCGACATTTTAGGATCTCATTCCCTTGGGTAAATCACCATGTAAGGAAACAGTCTTAATTCCATTCTTTTTGCAAAAGAATTCTAGAAAATGGCAACTAGTAATTTCATTGCAAAATATAATGATCGAACCTTTAAATTTAGTTTAGCATTCCTTATATAATGCTATAAAGGGTTCACTTTTATCAAGAGTAGTGCAGTGTACAAAATCATGAGACAGATTTTCAAGATGCATATGCGATTGCTTTTCAATTAAGAGAGCGATATCCTTCTTGTATTAACTCTCTATAAAATTCTTAACTTTCGTACTATAAGTGGCTCCACAATATGTGGTCATGGCATCTTTATCCTTGAAATAAGTAGCCAATTTTTTTAAGTCATCCTACATAGACGCATCCAATAGTGTGTCGATCTCATCAACCACATAATGTTATACTCTTGAGAGATATATTGATTAGGCACTTCTATGTCTCTACAGTCTTTCCAATGTAGTGACAACCAAATCGACTCCTTCTTACAAATAACTTTATTCCCTCTTAAAAGTGCCCTTACCCAATGCTATTGTGCTGAGCTTCATTGCTTTAGTGAACTCTTAACTTACGTCTTCCACTTATTCTGCCAATTCTTTGGTTGATACAACCACAATTGCTCTTGGTTTATTCTACTCAGTCAATATTTTGTTTTATTCCTCTTCCTCTTGTTTCAATTTTCCCAAGATTGGTAGGAGATAAGCATAAGTCTTACCTGTTCCTGTGGGTCCAATTAATAATCTTACTTTATCTTAACATGAGAACATCATATCTTGAACTGGTGTGGCTGTGTGTAGGCCTTTAGTATCCAAGATTTCTAATATTTTAGGATGCAAGGGATATTGCTTAAAGACTGGTAAATGGGTTTTTGTGAATCTATAACATAATTTAAACATGCTAAACTATTTTTAATAATTCAATATTTTTAATATTGGTAACCAACACTGTTTTATTAATTAACCTGGGCTTTCCATTGATTTAAGTACGAAACGATTCCATCTTGGAACTCTTTGAAAGTGATTTCTTGGCTTCTGTCAACGTCAAAAATCCAAAAGGCCTGATTAATATCTTGATCAGTCAATTGACTATCGATTTTCCTATGGTAAAAGATTAGTTTTAATTGGGATACCTGAGCATCACTCCGAACTCTTTCATATCCAACGACTGTGATTCAGTTTTATCATACTTTCTAAATAGATCGTAGATGTTAATGTTGTATTTCTCAATTGCAATAACCAATTTTTAGATAGTCAACATAGCTCTCTCTTAAGCTAAATTTTGGGGTGGCTGAGGTTACTGATTAGGTATATAGGCTGGAGGTTGTTGATAAAAGCCTTAATTGAATTGTTATGAATTGTTCATTTGAGGAAAGGGTTGAGATTACATTTGATACTGTTATTAAGAGCCAGCCGTACCTTATTATCCAGGAGAATTTGGATATTAAAATTATTGTGAATATTATTATGGTGGATATTATTATTATTATTACTATGGTAATTATGGATATTATTATGATAATTAATTTGAATATTATTTCTAATATTATTATTATTGAGTTCCTACTTATTATTACTATTATTATTATTATTATGGATATTATTATGATTATTAATTTGTATATTATTTCTAATATTACTATTATTATTGACTTCCTATTTATTACTATTATTATTATTAAGGACTTATATGTTATACATGTTATGTATTATCAAAATCTGGAATTACTTGTTCTGAATTATTAGGATAAACCTTTGGCATCTCTACAGTTCCTTTTCTTTAGATGTGTGGTTTAGACTAGTTTCTCATGGACATTTAGACTTGATTCTCCTCCAACCATTTTTTGAATTCATTCAACTCAATAGAGTTACTGCTATCCAGATCTATTTTGTTGAAGATGTATTCGATCTCCTCTCTATCCAATTTCGGGTCTATCTCATGCAATAACAAAGTTAATCTAATAAAATCACTCACATTACTCTTTCATATCTAGTGAGTTATCTCCTGATTTGTCATATTTGATAAACACCTTTTCCAAATCGATCTTATCTTTCATAACTTTAAATCTTAAATCTTACACCAAAAACATTGCCTTGTCCTCTAGCTATTTGGCTTGATTTGTATAGAAAGAGAAACTCTGTCCAAAACAAGCATGTCTGTATAATTGATCCCAACCTAATCTGTCCTTTTCTTACAATTACAGACAGCCTCTTATCATATCTAAGATCTATGGGTCTACATTTTTATCCTGTGGGAATTTCAATGGCACAGATGTAATATTCTTCACTAATTCAGGAATCGATCTGGCAATCCACGGAGCTAAAAGAATAATACTTAACTCAATTACTCTGGCCAAACAGAGTCTCATAAAAGATAAAGCCCAAAGACCAAATATCACTCTTGGATGTGTATTTTTCTGCCTTCAACAATTAAAGAGATTGATAAAGAGGTGTACCCACAACAGATTCAATCATTTGCTTCCTAAAGTTATCAATAGCTTTTGAAAACCCAAAATCTAAAAGAGTGTTCACAACATAATACCTGCTATTTTATAGATGCCCTTGTTGATGAGGATATTTGCTGGCTTCAAATCTCTGTGTATGATTCCCTTCTTGACCAATTCAATCATGCCCAAAAGAACATCAATGAACAGCTGAATTGCTTCTTTCTGAGGCAAAAACTTCTTCTTTTTCAATTGACTAACTTTGTTTAAGTTTTACTTTTGCAAATCTCCACCGTCACAAAATTCTTAGACAATATAGTAATTATTGTTTGTTTCAAGCACATCAATAAACCTTACTACATTGTTACCCTATAAATCTCTCATTATTTTAATTTCATTCATCAAACCATCCCTTAAATATTCATCTTCATTAATGAGTGCTTTCGAAACCATCTTTATGGCTACCAATTATTTAGTTTTTTCATCTTAGCCTTTAAAGACCTTCATATGTAAGTAAAATACTTGTCCATAAGATCCTTATCCAATCTTGTCACTCATTTTGAAAACAAATCGATCTACTTTCTTTTCTCCCATCTTTATTAATTATTATATATATAAATTGTTCTCTAAAATTCATTAAATCAAAAACTCAATCAGCATAAATTACCATGATAGCCTCGTTAGAGAACAATCAAGATGTAAAGAATTATTAGGGCTATGCTTAAACAAAATGCCCAAATAACACATAGCAATAGTAGAATTATATGATTAAAAAAAGATGTGTAATTTTCAACAGATTAAATTAAATGCCTTTTTAATTACATTATTTATTCCTTTATCTTTGGAGCATTTATTATTCTATCTTGAATTTACATTTCTCAAACCATTCTAATCAATTAGATTATGATATTATTCAGTTAAAGTAAAACTGGATTCATAGGATAGATTCATTTCTATTCTTCTGCTATATTAAGTATATGCATTAACTGTTATTCTTCTGATTCATTCCAATTTTGCCCTAGTATAAATTCCATTTTCGTATGAAAATATCCTGGAATTCAATGAAAGGTTGAAATTATTCGTTTTCCTAATGAAATTTTTTTGATTTTTTAATATTTTCAACTTTTATATTTCAACAATTGTTAACTTGAATCCTTCCTATTATAATTCTAACCCTTATTTGTGTTTGAAATTAGTAAGCATATTCGATTATCTTGCATTATCTAGAACTACTATATCAGATATTGACGTTAATGCTTAACTATGACTAGGCGATTATACTTCATTGTTTACATGTTTTTAATTAAAATCACTGCCTTATTGATTAATTTAAGTTTATTAAAAATGCTTTAAAATATTAGGAATGAAGGGAGATGAATTTTAACAACTAACTTTTGTATTCATATACAGTTTGATTACCTTATTTTTGTGCTAATAAGATAATTACTTTATACTAATCAAAGGTATAGATCTACTAACATACTTAACTGATTACTTTATTTAGGAATCAATATGAGATTTAACAACTTACTTTAATCCCATTATATTTAAAGAACTCAAAAAACATTAAGATTTTAGGGACTCCTCTATGTATAGAGCCACACCCATTAATGCAGAATATTTATTATTATTGAGTTCTTAAAATTAATAGCCTATATGATATCTATTAACAAAGATGAAATAAATTTATTTTAGAAAAATATAAAATTATGTAAAAATAATATTTACTCCTTCATCTAATTTCATTTATATCATCGAATGAGAAATTAATTTATAAACTTTTAAATTATAACTAAATTATTCATTCATTCTTCCTTGAAGCGTTTCCAAACAATAATTTTTTTGTTTAATTCATGTAAAATCTCCTTGATTATCTTGTACTTTCTACTAGACTTATTATCTTATTTGGAGACATTGTTGACTTCTGCGGTGTCTCAAATTCACTGAAGTCTTCCTATTAAAAGTTCTTAGTTGTCATTAATTCATTGAATTCCCTCATCAGTCCTTACATGATTGTATGTAATTTCTGTAAGTATTTCTATTTTTTTTACTTTACCTTTTATTTCTCATCAGAAAATATCTCAGAAGCTTTCGAATAATTCTGTTAGATTTTCGAAGATTCTTGATAGAACTTAACTAAATCGTTTACTTCCTCTTGACTAATTGAATGTAAATCATTAACATTCTTTATTGAATCTACCTCTTAGTTTTTGCTCAATTGCAAAGCATTATAACTTTCTTATAGTTTTTCATTCTCCCCATCCAATGAGGATTTCAGATCACTTTATATGCTTGTGAATCGATAGGTAATACAAGAAAGACAATTTTCTAATTCTTTATCAATTTGTTTCTCCAAATCTTATTAAATAGCATTTGTAATGGGTTAAAATTCAATCTAATTAAAAGTATCTAGTTGTTGTTTCACTTAATCATGAAATTGATCAACAGTCTTTCTCTAATGAGTAACATGATCTTCCAGAAAGCAATCAGCACAACCTTATCAAATTAAGTTAAATACCAATCTTTTGCTGTGCTTAACAGTTTGGATCTACACAAATATATTTGATTCTCTGTGAGTCATGGTTTGGGTTTTAGCAGTTGATTTAATCCATTAATTTTATTAACAAGAAAAGCGCGAAAGAATTTGCGGTAATTATTAATTTTTTCACTCAATGCAATTTCATTTTAATATTGTATATAAATTTTGATTTGTCTATTCCTAATCAAAAAAAGACGACATTGACTAATCCCCTTTTATTATTTTTAAATTAATTAATGAGATATTATAAACTTTAATTCACTATTAAACACCAAAAGACGGAACTAATCTCAAATCTCTCTTCGATTGATTTGACATGAAAACCTCCTCATGAGTCTCACTATCCTCAACTGAGGCTAGTTCTTCCTCGTTCGGACACTGACTTCCTTTTCTGGTATTCATTTTCTTCTTCATTAATTAATTTATTAAAATACATTTATACTCTTAATTTTAGATGATGGAACTGTTATTTTCTTTTTATACACCATCTAATTCAGTAATTTCAATTTCTACACAAAGAGCAAAAATTCTTATAACAAACTATTCGATAACAAACATTGCTCAGGCTATTATAATCCAATCTCTTTCCAAAACCTCTTCAATTATTCGTAATGCTTATTACTTTCACAAAATATCTCGTACAAACTCAAAGTGTAACACCTTCCCAAAGTAGCATATGAATCTAAGACCAAAGTTATCTCTTAACAAATGAAGGAATGAAATTTTAGCATATCCAAATAAATAACTTTCTAAATCTCAATATATTCTTGATTGTAAGCTAGTAACTGAATTGCGTAGTTCATAATATTCTAAATCTTGTAAATCCAAGTGCACTACAATCTGTGATCTATCTCATATCTAGCATTATATGGATAATTATTAAATGAGATAGCATAATATAAATCTATGTTTTAAGAAAGCAATTATAAATAAAAGTAGCACTGTTATATGTACTAAAATTGAGAGCTTGGCTCTTGGTATGGTATTTCATTCAATTGAATGATTGATGAACTTTACTAACATTTTTCCCTCTATTCCATTATTCCATTTAAAGTTCCTATGTTTTATAGCCAAGGCATCTTCACAGTTCTTATTTTAATGGATATATTTTTAGTTAATTCATCTTTCGATAATAATTAATGAAGTATTGCTAATAATTGAATAACTTGCATTGGTTGAAAATCAAATGTAATGGTAGCTAAGAATTCAAATAAAGTGGATATATGCTCTTGTATATCATAATATAATTTACATTCACTTTTTATCAAATACTGGGCAAGAATATCGGCGCATTCTTTTAAGTTACATTTAATATTTGGTTTAAGCACATTATCTAAAATTTACATGAATTGCTCCCTTAAACCCAAACCTTGTGGTTATAATTTTTTTGTGAATTTTGAGAAAAAAGACATTTATTATACTTAAATCAAAAAGCCAAATAGCAATATAAAATTAATGGAATTTTTATTAACCATTTAATTTATACTACTTGATAACATTGAGATCGGTTAAATTACTTAAAAGTCCATCAACTCAGAGCTCATCAATGAATAATATTACTTTATTGTATTTTAAATTAATGCTCCATTGAACCTGCACAATATTTGAACTGTTAACTCTGGATTGAAGAATTTTGAAATTTCAATGATTTAAGAAAATAAAAATATATATATGGAATTTATTTATTTTTTAATGTATTATTTTAATGTATCAATAGACATTGCCTTCAAATGTTTATTTGAACCATTCCATGGCTTCCTTTTTGCTAACTCTTTAAGCAGTTCCGAGTCTGGCATTTCTTGACTTTCTTTGAGCAACTCTCAAACCTGGTCTGGACAAGACAACATAGAAGTCCATACCGAAAATACCTACGCATTTTTTATATCATTAATACCTGTGTATGGGTCATATTTCAATCCCAAATCAATATGTTCTTGAATACCGAAACCAAAGTTTCCTGATTCAGAGAAATTTCTCTTTTTTAATTCCATTTCCTTAACTCTTAATCCTCTAAATAAGATGTCTTTTGCTTAGTCACCTCTAATTGTGCAAAATACAGAGATCTTTTCGTTTCTTCTGATACCGAAAGATCTGACTGTGTATCGAGCCTTACCGAATACAGGCTTTTATCCTGTTAAATCCTCTAAAACCTTAGCAGCTTTAGTCAATTTATCACCGGACTCACCAGCACAAATATGAACCATCAATTTTTCAATTCTAATCTTTCTCATCACATTTTCTTTAGTTTCTTATGGTTTGACAACTTTAGCTGGAGCTTAAGTCTTTGCTTCTGGCTTTGCTTCTGACTTTGCTTATTATCCCTTTCCACCTTTTGCTTATTGTTAAGACATCTCAAATTTAATTAAAAAAAATCTTTATTTTTAAATTCACACATTTAATATTTTTATGCTTGTTATTTTCTTTATCTACTCAAAAAAAAGGAATTAAAAAATTATCAAAAATAAATAAAATTTATAATTGACTAACTATTCAATTAGATTTATAGCAGGAAAATAATAGTGCATTCTTAATACTCTCTACCTATGATTCATATTTGTTTTGTTTTTATATTTTGGTTTGAATAAATGAATAACATAATATACTAATTTATTGATTAAAATTAATACTTTTTACAATATATTGAAGTATTTTATTTAGATAATTATTATAAATATGAATCTTACATCATCATTTATAATATAATTATTATTTTTCAATTAATATGTAGAGGGAGTCTCTAAACTAGAAGATCTGTAGGCTTATCAGTCCCTTCTGATGTAAATTAATGGAATATTTTTTCATAAACCATCAATTAATTTTTTTGAGCGATTTTCTGATTCATAATAAACCATCTGATCCAACTCAAATAAAGGTGATTGATAAAAATCTTTCTTCAAAATCCGAAGTTAACTCGATATCTAAGTTAAATCTTTCAATTTTAAATTTCCATCATAATCATGAATTATTTTGAAACCTTGGACTTTTAGAAATTTTAAGAGGTAAGTGATTTCTCATTCCCATAAATTGATATTTAGAAGGGAGCTCAATGTTTAGCACCCAGTTTCTTTAGATAAAAGGCAGGAGTTTTATTGTATTTTTTATGTTGAACAATTCAATCATAGCAAAAAAAATTGAGAATTAATAAAAAACATAAAATTTTAGATTAATAGGAATAGAAAAATTCAACAGAAATTATCTGCTAGATTAAGATGTTGGTTGTTTATCTCCAATTTTAAATTAGCTCTAATAAAACAAAAGTATTTAAATATTTTAATAATAAGGATTTCATGCAAAATAAAATAATAATTCTTGTAAATATTTAATATTGCTGCCATTTAATAATAAAAAGCTTTGCAAATAAAAATCCATATTATATGCATAAGTAAAAAAAAATAGTTCGTATAAAATAACTTGCATTACTATTTGATGAGCCACAACCAAAAGTGATCATCAAATACATCAACTGGAAACTTTAAAATGGAAGACCTAATTTACTCATAATAACTAAGTTGCTGAAAACAAATCATTTTGAAATCAAATTATACCTTAGATAAATATTTTAATTTAATAAGATTTTAATTTAACCATTCATCCTCTTATTGTAGGGCTCAAATGATATAATAATTTTTCTTCAAAAGTATAATTTTTTTTCGATATCAAAAATGTATGGAAAGTTCATGGAATCACAGATTTTATGAAACTTGGTTTGGACTTTAAGGGCATTTCGATTTTGAAGTGATATTTTTTGCAATCAAGACATTGTTTCTTGAGTTAAAAATTTTGAAGCTTTTTTTTTTTGAAAATTTCTAATTAAAGTAAATTTTAACTTAAAATAAATAATTTGAATTATTAAAATATAAAGCTTATAAATACGAATAATTTTGAATTTCATTAATAACTTCAATTTGAAAGGGAATCAATCATCAATGCTTAGTTTACGAGTAAATAACTTTTACAACTAATATTGATCTCTGCCTATTTAGGCTGCTTTGAAATTTTTAATAGTCTTGTGGTTAAGTAAGGGTAGCATAAGATGATGAATATATCAACATTATATTATATATTTTGAATGATACTGTTTTCCTCAATCCTTATCAACAATAGGAGTAAATATTCTATGAAATCTAAAAATAGTACTAATACAATATTAAAAAGTAATTCGTAAATTATTTGTTTAAAATATGAACAATATTTATGCGAGCTCCTAAAAAATGGTAGTGTCATCATTTTATATTGAAATCCTTAGTTTAATGGGAGAATTATATTATGAATAATATAATTTCACCTGTAATCAAAATGAATTTTTAACTTTTTAACAAGAAAACATAAATCTTTATTATATAAATTATATTTGAGCATATGCAACAATACATTAAAGAAATATTTCATTTGAGACTGGCAGAGTTATTAGATCATTTATACTTTCATGATGCAAAACCTTCCATAAATGTTATGATAGTGGTTATATTTTTGATGCAAAAATTATATCTCTTGTTTTGGCCTTAAAATTCCCACATAGAGCATTCAGATGTATGAATAACAATATTGTTTAGGAAGTATATTTAAATATCTGTGGGTCCCTTTTTTCCTGGATTACATTTTAAAAGCCATTAGAAATGATCAACATGGAAATAATAAATAATCTGATGAGTATTTTTTACACTTTTTTGCATTTGGCCATGTTTGTAGTTTTCAGCTTTTCACTCTACAATTGGTAAATTGTTTCAAAAATATTTACTTTCTATATATCATATTATCAGCTGATTATCATATATCACACTGAAATACATCACTTAAAGCAATAGTATGATATACTAGTAATTTTTTTGTTGGGTATTCCACTTTACATAAACTACTTGATTATAGTATATTGCTCTCGCAATTACTTTATTATATCATAGCAGCATATGCTAAGAAGATACTCTGTGTATAATTATTTTATAGTCGTTATCGACTTTTTATATTTCATTACACATTCCCTCAGTTCTGATTACTGGTCCAAATATTTATTACTGTTATTAAGTGTTGTATATTTTATTGATGCAATTATTATGTAGCCATATTGCATTAAAATAAATGTACTTATTGTTAATATTAAAGCTAATCTACATAGGTGCAACAGGAGTTTTGGTTGTATCAGTAACAATCAGGATAATACTTTGGGACGAATCTCTATATGCTCAATTTTATGGAATCACACTATTAGTTCCTCTCTTTTCCCATATATTCATGCAAATATACTAGATTCAATCTGCTGATGCAAAGCAGCAAAGACTTTCGATCTCTCTAATATTAAATTTGGGTGAGATTATTAATCACAACATTACGAATTCTGTTTAAAAAGGAGTGGGAGATTATTTGATAAAATAGTATATAAATGTAGAGGGATTGAATACTCAGAGCATTCTTGAATTGCTGGAGTATTATATAAAGAATTTGGAAAAAAGTGATTAATACGAAGAAATTTAATTATATAGAATTCTTCTCAAACATGAGATATAGGGAACCTACTTATAGAGTCTTTTGGAGACCAAAAGGTACTAAATCACAAACAAAAATCACTCCTTATTCTTTAAAACAATAGGATTCTTAATTAGTAAGAAGTACGATCAACAGATTTAAGATTTATATTCAGGAGAAAGCAAAAGCAGTTAACAATATCATTATTAAATTATTAAAATTAAAGAAGCAGACAATTTATTTCATAATAGTCTAAATATATTCTTGGAATTACTGGATTAGAAAATAATAATATGGAATTAATTATAAAGAGGATATGATAAAATAGAACACATTGCAAACCATTTGGTAAATATGTATAAGACTCTGAATAAATTAAAGATCAAAATAATGTCAATGATTTAATGTGTTGACTTTGAATCAATTCTCAAAGTCTAAACATTAAAAAAATTTAATGTCGTAGAGTTACGCTTCTTATCTCTATACTTTTCTTTTGTTGCAAATGATTACCAGTAAACTAAAATTGTTGAATTATATATCGAAGACCTGATAAAACAAGAAAATAATTCATCAAATTCCTCTATTTTGAACATAAATATTATGAACAATGATCTAATCGTTATTAGTTCTAGTATCCTAGAAAAAACTGGACAAATCGTCAGAGCGAATATTGAAGAGATTAGCAGATTCTTTGGATATGAAGATAAAAATAACAAGGAAGATCTGCAACTTATTAATTTATATATGCCCAAATTTATTAGTCAAGAACATGATAGATATGTTTTTAAATTTATTAATAAAGGCAATTCAACTCTATACAACAAAGGAAAATAAGTGTTTTGTAAAGATTATGAAGGTTTTATATTTCCAATCATATTGAGTTTCTTGCATATAAATGAAAAATCTGAAGATTTTATTTTAACGACTGCTTTAAAAAAGGTGAAATCTAATTATGATTACATCCTTTTTGATTAATACGGAAAAATCTTAGGTGTTTCAAAATATGCTTACTCTATTTTAATGAATACTCACACTAATAATAGTTCTACCTAATCTATTTGCTCCTCTATTGACCCATCTATTTATGAATGCTATATATAATTTTGGATTCCAAATATTGATTCCTTAATTCAGAATTCTAATTTTGATCATGACAACTATTAAATTAACAAAGTAATTATTGAGATATCAACTGTTACTAATTTTATGCAATATTTATATTACTTTAAGTACTATCAAAGCATTAATCCTCAGTAATAAAAAAAGATTTCTTATTTTGAAGAATTCTTGCACTACATTAAATAAGAATTGGGCAATTATTAAAATATTAATTGTAAGGTTTAATTTGAAGTTTAATTTCAATTTCATTAATTACCTACTGATCAAATCTATTATATTTGTAGCATATCCAAATAATATAAAGATATTTAATCTATACCCAGTCTTGATAAAAAGTCATCAACTTAAAATTAATTTTAAATAATCTAATAATAAGTTAAAGTCATAACTCATTAGACACATCCCAAATTTATAACAGAAATAGAAAAAATTACTGAAATTGCACCCTAATCAAAGAGGACTGTTGAAAATCAATTTTTAATACACGATTCAAATTAAGATTAGAAATAAGAATTACTTTTTTCTAATGGTGAAAGTCAGCAGGTTCTAAATCAACTAAATAGTAATTCTTTAAATGAAAAATAAAAAAACAAAGCTAACATTATTGAATTTGATGATTAAAAAATCTCATAATCAAGCCGATATTCAAGAAATTCCAACTTTTAGGTTCTAGATTAAATTAGAGAATATTAAAAAAATAAAGAATTTTGTCTTTCAATCAAAAAGATTTGGGTTGTGACTACTTTTCTATACTTTATTATTTACCTGTTGATGTTAGTAATTCTAATTATTTTATCCTAACTCAATGATTTGTTGCAATATGATATTTAATTAGTGAGAATTCCGGATAAATTCAATCGTCTGTATTGTTCCTTTGCGACAATCGGATAAATGGATTTAGAAAGATCATTATTGGGTAAAGATTATGGTTAGTATCTCAATTATAGAATGATAAATCATGGTAGCAGTATTAGAGATGAAATGGAAGGCATGATGATAAATCTAAAAAACAGATTCTCAATTTTAGAAAATGAAGAAAGATTGTAAAATCTTACTGTTAGAATACTTAACTAATTTAGTTATAAGGAATATGAAGTAACAATGATATAATTTGATATGATAGCTGATACATATACTGAATAATTGTTTGAACATATTAATCAGGCATTAAATTATTCAGAATCCAATCATCATTTCCTTATAGATGAGTATTATAAACTTCAATTTATCAAAGCAAATTTGATTAACTAAATAACCTCATCGTAAAATTTGATAGATTAAATTATTCTTGAGCTTCAAATTTAGACAGAGAATACAAACACTGTTCTCTATATCATTTTGAGCGCTAAACTATGTTTTGCAATAGGTTGCATTATTTGCTTAACATAATTATGGAAACAACCTTTCAAAATGGTTTAATTGTAAATTCAGTTGTTAAGTCATCTATCGGAATAATAAATTAAGACCAGCATTATTGCAGCTAAATAAGCAAAGTAAATAATTAATCATCCTTATAAATGGAAAAGAACCAACTATATGAATGAATGTTATAATAAAACTATTGTAAAGAGAGGTTAAGATATTTTAAACAGGATAGAAAATTTGGCTAATAAATAGGTTAAATCAAATTTACAACTATTCGATTATTAGTTTAGTCATATAGGCATCTATCTCAAAAATGGCTTGTATCTTCTGCTTATTTTAAGCTTTATATTATCAAGTTTTTTTTATATGAAGTATGGCATAGATTCAAGTCAATCAGAGATTAAATTAACAATCTAATATGTTTAATTCAAATAAGACTTAGATTCTCTGATGATTTTAACTTAATTATTGAAAACAAATTCAATTTTATCAGAAAGGGTACGTGAATTAGGTTTTCTCAACTAAAATCCATATCTTCTGGATTTAGAGAAATATTTCCATATTTTGGAATAAGAATTTTTGGAAAAATTTCAATCAAAATATGAAAAGGCCTAAGAAATTAATGAATATATCTATTAGGACATAGTAAACTCGAAAAAAATATCTGTAACAGATAAAGAAATATTAGAAACGTTGTATTAAAATGATTTGTGTTCTGTGATGAATGACTAACTTCCTTTCTGCAATTATACAAATGAATAATTTTTATATTTCCCAGATTACCCTAAACCTAGAGAAGAAGATAATAATAGGGAGATTTTTAGGAATGGTATTAATGGAATATTTTCTAAGTAATTAGTTATAAATATAGTAGATTAATAGCCATTCTGAAATCATATTACTAATTAGAATTGCAAGGCAAAATAAATACTAATAAAACTGAAACTGCATATTATTTATCAACTTTAGAATTTAAGCAATATATTTAGGAATACTTTTTCGACATTAACAAGGCTGTAGTTAAATTTTATGTAACTATTTTGGAATCGACAACTAAAATACTACAAAGTGATTTTAAAAGCTCTTTGTAGTATTTTTTAACCTTTGGATTCTCTGTTTTAATTTTGTAAGGAGCATTGTAAGTTTAAAATTTGTCTAAAATATAACAATTGGTTTCTGCAAGTAAATTTACGTTCATCTTGATGCCATTAGAATGTCTAAATGAAACCTAATGTCTGGCTATTATCAAACAAATTGTAAAATAACAAAAACGATGACCAACTTTCAATATGTGTTTTATTATCAATTTTATTTCATAAAGTACTTTTTGATTCTTTTTTATTTATTGGTTCCAAGCATAATTATTTATGAATGATAATTTATAAATAAATTTCAAACTTTTAGCAAGTAATATTTTCTTAGCCTATAATTTTTACATTTTGATCTATCAATCAAATCTAAGAAACAAGTAAAAACCAGAAATCTCAAAGAATTTAAATAAGATACTGTGAAGGAAAATAAAAGTTTAGATTCAATTTCTGATGAATTATTTTATAATAGTAATATGAATATTATAAATAAAGCATTTTTGAGTGTTGAAATAATGTTTAATATTTCATTTCAGCCAGAAAATAGAGTTGCACTTCTTAATTTGTTACTAATCTTAAAAACTGGTTCGAAATGAGTTTAAGTTTTTTTATGTTTAATATCTAAATCTGTAATATCATTTTCTTATTTAATTACATTATCTTCACTTAGAGAATCCTCATCAACCGCTTATTGTTATATTTCTAATGTTTTTTAGGGGTCTGTGAATAATGGCTCACCAATATTATTTTCATATGTATGAACATGTTAGTTTATTGGTCTTAGGTCTTTTTTCTTTGATAAAAATTTAAGAAAAGGAATTAATTTTAAGAGACAGTCATCATCATCAGAATCAAGATAGGAAGGTATTAATAATCCATTATCTTGGCACCTATCAAAAGCATTAGGATTATTCTAAAATTAATTGCAAGTTTACATCTATAAAAATAATATCTTCCATCGATCTATCCAGTAACGATAAATCTTTAAAGCATACACCATTAATAAACTGGCAACTTCCTCTTGCGTAATAATCCGAAATTAATCTATCTTTGTCAATATACTCTAGCACTTTTTCACAGTAAACTTCATAACCTGCAGTAAAGATTATGATTTCATAATCCCGACTAGCTTCTAATAAGAATTTATTTAAATGTGGTCGGGTTCTTAAGTGAATTTTATATTCTTATTCTTTATGAATTACTTTTAATAGAGCTTCATACTAAAAATTATTGTTCTCCTTAAATTCACAATGAACTAAGGTCTCATCTAAATCTAAAACAAGCACTTTCTTTTTCGAATGAGCTTTAGGAGTTTGAGCAGGAATGTAATTTTTGGAAAATTTGCCTCGGAAGTGTTCAATGCAATTTTTGAATATAGCCATAATACTCATTTAATAATAAAATAAAGAATTAATAAAGTAGTTATTACGTTATCTAAGTAAATCAGATATGGGATTTCTCAGTGAATAGATTTTTAATTACATAATCATTACTCGGCAAAGCACTTTTCTTCTAATCTTTAAAAGTATTAAGCTCTTTCTGCAGAATGGGATCTCTGGCCTCTATTTTTTTAATTCACTTAGTTGTTATTCTTTATGATCTCTTTTCTAATCTCTGGAGTGAATTAGTTATAAGTCTAAATAATTTTATCATAGTTATAATTGGGAAAGAAAAGAGGAAACTTACACATCCTATCAATATCAGTTTCTTCGGAAAATTAAACGAGCTGCCCTTTGACACTCATTTTGAAAGGATTTTCATCCTCTTCCTCTGTGCCATTTGATCTGAACTTAATAATATACATTACTGATTAGATTAAATTAAAAGGTCATCTTCGCCTTCGCGGTTATGATTGTATACAAATTTGATTTCATCGGCTACAACATTGGTTAGTTAAGAATTCGCTCTTGAATTGTACTTAACTCTTTTGTTTTGCCTTATATATTATCTATTAAATATTTTTAAGCTATTTTCTTGATTGAACTGTTCTTCTTTAATTATTTCAAGTCTTTTTTCTTCATTTACAACGTAATGAAGTTTGGGGCATTCATAAGCAAAGTGAGAGCTACTCATACAAGCAAAGCAACATTACCCTAAGGGAGTGTAATCATTATTAATTTCTACAATATGTTTATTCATTAGGTATATTTAGTTTTAGCTACTATTGAGTTTGAGTTTTTCAAAAAACTTTTTTTTGTTTAGAACCTATACATAGACGAAATTTAGTGTATAAGCAGAGGCACTTCTCGGTTTATCTGTAAAAAATGCCAATTCTCCAAAAGTAGCTCCTCCCTCAATTATTTTTAAACAGGTAATTGTCTTCTAAATACAAATAAGAACCTGTCCTTAATTTAGGAAATACAAATTTCTGTCCTGAATATTGTTGCCATTCTCTTTCTCAATTGGGTCAATTCCTTCCAAAAATATGCATTCTTCTGGACCATAGATTTGTTCTTCCAAAAGGTAGGGTAATTAAGATAATATTTCTTTCTCAAATTTACCTGAATTAAAAAAAGCTGACTATTTAATTAATGAAGTATTCACATTCTATAACACTTCGTCCTTCAAAGTGGATGATAGAACTGATAATGCATCCTTTTCATTTACCTATGATGATTCTGTCTCATATTTATATTCCAAATATTTCCTCACTCTTGCCTGTAAATCTTTGGGTATCTCATTAGATTTCAAAAATTAGTTTGCTTATCCAAGTTTCAATCTTATAGTTTTTTCATTTGTATCTAATTTGACAAAGATGCCTCCAATGCTATTCATTATGTAAGCAAAAACACAACAAGCCAATAACATGACAATGATACCAAATAATTTCTCAACAGATGTAACTGGGACGATATCACCATAGCCAACCGTAGTCATTGTTGCAGTAGCCCAATAAACCGATGCCACATATTTTATGTACCAATATTGTTCTGCAAGTTCTGTAGCCTATAACCAACTATAGCCATTAGAACTATTTTCTTATTCAGCTATGAAATGCCAAATGCAAGCTAACCAATGGGCAACAAAAAGCATTATAAAAGTTAATTTAAGCAATTAGTATATTGTGATAACAGACCCGCTGATATCTATATAATCTTCTAATTTAGCAAAAAGCTGCTTCAGTTTTAATAGACGTAACAACCTTATAATTTTTATTAATCGAAAAAATTTTAGAATCCTAAGCAATTTCATTGTTTATACTAGTGAATCCTTTTGGGACTTATTTTATTGTTAGTTTAATTCATCTTCGTCTACTTTCACTACACTTGATGTTGCAGCTTCGACAATTAAATCGAAAGGGAATGTAGAAACTATATTTAATTTTTATAAATACCTACATCTATCCAGAACCACCATTTTAAATAATTTTAAAAGATCAATTTCCTATCAAATACGTATTAACCTTTATGTTAAAAGGCTGTATTGAAGTTTATGAAAATATCGAGTGTAAAAACTGATAAACTAAAAATATTAAAATCATCTAAGAAAGAGGATTCTACATTAAAAGAAATTTCAACTGGTAGTATTAATATTGCTAAAAAGATTACTAACATTGTAAAAACATCCCAAACTATTCGTATTTTATCTTCTTAAGTAAAAACTTAAATGTAAGAACAACTTGGTTATTTTTCTTCTTATTCTTTATTTTGAATCATAACACTCATTTTCCTAGAAATTGATGCCCTGCCTGGCTTTTCTTTAATTTTTGCTGTCTGCACAAATGATAAATCGTTTATTATTTTTAACTATCTATCATCAAAGAGTAAATTGATGTCTTCAATTTGATCATCATTATCTAATTATTAAACTACACTCTAATATTTTTTCTTTAGGAGTGATTGTTTATTGTTGTCCGTTCGAATGCTATATATTCTTTCATCTACAAGATCAGAGTTGTCGATATTTTAACTTCTCCAATGAGGAGAACTTGGATTCATTATACTATTTATAAAATAATTAAAAAATATCTCAGATATATTAAACTTCATTGATAAACTTGAGAAAAACTAATCCTGTAAAACATTGCAAAGAATTTCTAATTGTTAATGCTCTAATGAAAAATTGAAATATACGACAAAAAAAAATATAAGATGATTAATTTTAAAACGAATTTTCTTCTGAAATTCCTTATTATTTTTGTAAACTATTATTAGAGCATTATTAATTCTAAAGCTATTTAATAAATAATGGTTTAATCTTGAGATTTTTTTGGTTTTAGACATTTAAAATCCATGTGCAGTTTTTATAATAAATTAAAATATCTCTTAAGTCTGAAAACTAAAATCTGTTTTAGGTCAAGATAAATATTATCCTATTACCCAAACAGCATTATTTATCATGAAAATATATTATTGATATTTTGGTGAAGTGGGATGAATACGAAAATGAACATTTATGGAAGAATTCTTTTAGAGAAAAAATAAAATTGTTAGATAGAAAAGGTTATTGCTCATTTTTTCAATCGATCTAGCATTGTAGAGTTAAAATAAAATCTAGAGGAGATATATCACATTAAATATTTGCTTTGCAGAAGCTGTTCTTTATTTAAATTTTAGTTAAAACGGAGAAGGAATCTGAAACTTTCTTTTTTATTCAATTTTTAATTGAAATCTTAAGTAGTTTGCTTTAAATTTTAGTTTTAATTAGTGGAAAAAGTTATTCCAAAATCCACAAATACAAAGATTTAATCGTAAGATGCTTTAAAAAAATACTATCATGATAGAGATTATATGTGTATTTTAAAGATAATCTATGTATTAATCACTAAATTTACTTTAATTTAGAAAAATTGAATTAAAATGATTTGCATGCTTAAGTGTCAATATTGTTATGAAATTTCTATTTATCCTTCTCTAATGACTATACTTTAATATTCATCAATTAAATATGTCTTTTACATGATTTATTTTATTTAAAGTTAAAGAACATCTTGTTTGTAGCAATAAACTGTGAATTTTCAAAATTCTATAAAAGTTATATTTGTTTAACCTGATTAGAATATAATGATAAATATCATTCAACGAACTTGATATTACAATTATTATAATCAATTAATTAACTAAGAAATATTTATGATTTGGTTTGCTATTGCTTAATGCTAAATTTCTCCATTCAGTGCTTTTTCTTTGTATTAAGACGTTTTTTGCATCCAACATAAAATAAATGCTTTCTGTAAAAAAATATTATTTCATTAAATAAATATATGTAATAAATATCAATCTAAAATATAGATGAGGAAAAACATTATTTATTAGATGATAGTGAGAATGAACATATAATATTTGATAAAAGCTCTAAGGAAGAAAATAGTTGTTTAATTCTCATTTATGGATGTGGAAGCATCATTAATATGATTATAATAATTTACTTATTTTATGCATCGATATCACCATGAACTATAATTATTTTCAATATTTCTATAAAACTGAAACTTATTGTATTTACATTTGATTGAAATTTTAACCATTGTTATTTTTCTTAAGTTTGCTTGACTCGAAAATTAAATTAAATAATTAATGAATAATTCGATTTCAATACATACTGTGAAAATTTATCAATTGAATGTAATTCAAGGTAAGTTCTATAGCAAATTAAATAAATTTTTCATTGGTGATGGACGAGCATATATTATTTGTTAATAGTTTATTAATTATTATCAGTGCAAATTATCACTCTATTTAAATGATTTAGTAAAAATAGCCTACCCTTCAAATTGATTGCTTTTAAATAGATAGATTTCTCTAATGTATTTTTTAAAACATAATTGTGAGTATCAGAATAAGAGTTTAATAATTCAAATTTATTAAAGTTAAATAAAAATAAAGGGTCTTTTATATTTAACGCACATCTTATCACCTCGAACTTAGAATTGTTATTTTTAATAATTTTATCCTAATTTTATTTCTATCAAAAATAATTTTTACTTTTGTTTCAATTAATCATGCTTAAAATCTATAAACATTTAATAATTAAGCAAACTGTGACCATGGCATAAAGCCTTTAATAAAAGTTGTAAGTTTTTTTACTTACGTAGTTGTCTACACAAATAACATATAAGTATTGCTAATTAGAATTTACATTCCAGTGTAACAATGTAATATTTAAATCCCGACTGCTAATCTTTTAATTTATTTGAGCATAATTTATTAGAAGAATAATTATCTAGGTCATCATAATAACATTCTTTTTTAATTGCCATTGAGCATAAATGAAATTAGAATTACTTTTCAAAGAGAATTTTTTATATTACAGTCTTTAATCAATTAGCTGGCAAATCTAATTAGTTTTAAAAACCTTCTCCTATTTCTACCATATTGTTCATTATAAATCAGATAATTTTTTTATTATTCTCCTCAATTTGGGTCTTAAACTCTATTTATCTTTTTTTGGTTTAAGAAATTATTTGCTTTTTATATTTTGATGGGTTAATTGTAGATATCTCAACTCAGTAAACTAGCCATTTTCAGGTTATAATAAATTGTATTAATTTTGTATTGAATGAAGAAAACGTAATAATTATCTTATTGATATATATGCCAAAGATAAAGAAAAACCATTAAATCTCCAAAATACTATTTAAATTATTTATTTATAAAATAAGTATGATATTATGTATTCAAATTAGTGAATATCCTTTTGTATAATAATATAGGAATTGGGAATGAATCTTATCATTATAAATTATAGTAAAATTAAAACATTATTAATTGGGATTTATTTTATTTAAATAACGAAAAATTGCTTATTATAGAATATTTTTTGTAAATATAAACTAAATATTCAATTATCAATTTGTAACTGATATAGAGTTTATATTAATATGCTTTGACATTCTTAGGTTATTCATCAATTCTAGTAAATTCAATCTTAAAGGTGTTTCAAGACATTCCATCTCATTTTTAGCATGTAATTTTTCATCATCAAAGTTAGGCTTATTAAAGAATGTAACCTAAACACCTTCGGGAACCTTTATTGATTTCACTTTAAAGTTTTTCATATCATTTGGAATAACAGGGTGAGCACCGCACAGTTTTAATTCGTCACCAGTGAAATGGCATTCTGAGTATAAAATTACGCAAGGTTCCTTTAAAATATATATTATTTTTACTTCTGGTTCCTATTTGTGATTTTCTTTTTCATGTTGGGTTTTTGATTAATCATCTGCTTATCCATCTGTAGTTTCTTCAGTTTCTTTAGCATCGTCGGTTTTTCCTTCAGTTACTTCATTTTCATGTTCATGTTAATCTGTTGTTCCTTCAGTTCCCTAAGTATCATCAGTCTTTCCTTCAGTTATTTCATGTTCATGTTCATGTTCATGTTCATGTTCATGTTCATGTTCATGTTCATGTTCATGTTCATGTTCATGTTCATGTTCATGTTCATGTTCATGTTCATGTTCATGTTCATGTTCATGTTCATGTTCATGTTCATGTTCATGTTCATGTTCATGTTCATGTTCATGTGATGTTTCTTAAGTTCCCTTAGTATCATCGGTTTTACCTTCGGTTACTTCAGGATCATCGGTTGTTCCTTCAGTTTCCTTGGTATCATCAGTTTTTCCTTCAGTTGTTTCATGTTCATCTGTTGTTCCATCATGCTAATCTGTTGTTCCTTCAGTACCTTAAGAATCATCAGTCTTTCCTTCAGTTACTTCATGTTCATCCGTTGTACCTTCAGTTCCCTAAGTATCATCAGCCTTTCCTTCATGCTAATCTGTTGCTCCTTCAGTTCCTTCATGCTAATCTGTTGCTCCTTCAGTTCCCTAAGTAGCATCTGTCTTTTCTTCAGTAACTTCATGTTCATCTGTTGTTCCTTCAGTTCCCTTAGTATCATCGGTCTTTCCTTCAGTTACATCATGCTCATGTTCATGTTCATGCGATGTTTCTTCAGTTCCCTTGGTATCATCAGGTTTACTTTCTGTAACTTCAGGCTCATCAGTTGTTCCCTCAGTTTTTCCTTCTGTTACTTCAGGCTCATGTGTTGTTCCTTCAGTTCCATTAGTATCATCCGTTTTTCCTTCTGTTGCTTCGGATTCATCAGTTGTTCCTTCAGCCTTTCCTTCAGTTCCATCAGCAGCATCAGTCTTTCCCTCAGTTCCAGTAGTATCATCAGTTTTTCCTTCAGCATCATCTGTTGCTCCATTTGTTCCTTCAGTCTTTCCTTCAGAATCATCAGGCTTTTCTTCTCCTTAAGTATTTCCTTATTCACCTGTCTGCCCATCTCCTTCACCTTCTTCTTCATGAATTGTGTCTTTGATTGACACTTCTTTTGCCTAAAATACTCTCCCTTGTTTGGATTCCTAGTTTTAGTTCAAGTCTCTCTTATTTTTTACTGTATCCAACTCTTCTCCTGCACAATTCTAATATTCCTCAGAAGGAGGCTCAGGTTCACTATTTTCATCCTACCCTTAATTCTTTTTTGGTGGAGCATCGACCTCCTCATCTTCTTCTTCTGATTCTTCAATTACTTCCTCTTTTTCTTATGAGTCAACACCATTTGTTTATATTTTCACATTTTTTGGATCATCCTAAGATGGCAATTGTTTAGTGTCATCAACATCAACTTTATTCTTCGCAGTATCATCTTCTTCTCCTCCTGGACAATCTTCTTCAGGTACTTCCTAATGCTCTTATTCGTGTTCTTATTCTTAACCTTCAACTTAATTTTCTTCACCATCTCCTTCCTTTTTGGGTTAGTCAGATTTTTCATGTCCATTGGGATCTGATTCTTCTTCTCCATCATCCTAGGTAACTGGTTATTCATCAGCATTAATATCATGTTCCTTTTCAAGGTCGATGACGTTTTTAACGATGTAATTAAATAGCTTCTCAATGTCACTGACCTCTGAATTTTGACTGTAAAGAATATAGAATAAGGATTAGCCTTCTGATAAATTTGATATTTTAATTGTTGACTTTCCTTGTTCTTCATATGAGGAAATAATTTCATTCATTTTTTCTACTATTAATAAACGATTCATTGTCCCTTCATTATTAGAATTGATTAAACTGACACCTTGATAATTGTCTTAAGCAAACATATCAATTCTTTAAGTATCTTCATTACCTTTCTTCATTTAGATCTTTATCCATTCCTTATCCTTTATTTATGTTCCTAAAAAAACAAAGTTTTATGTAGTTTCTGTAAAGTACTCAGAATCTGGACCGAATGCAGTTGTCTTCTTGATTTGTCCATCTGTTAATTCTATATGCTATTTATGATTAGTAGAAAATATCCAATTTTAAAAGCTAATTTAAGGATGGAGATTTACTTTTTGCCTTTATCATTTCTTTGAACGCCTAACAGAATATCGCTTGTCATATCGGTTTCTTATATATATTTCTCAAGAGATTGAATGTTCTTTGATACCCAATCATGAATTTTCGTAACATCCTTAGCAAATATGCCTAGAGTCGAGAAAATCAACAACAGAACTCCGAATTTCATAATAAATTAAAATATTAAAAACGAATTAAAATAAAATCATTATGAGAGATAAATAATTAATCCTTCATAAATTATACTAATTATTGAAGCTTATTAAAAGGATCAGTATCACATAATAAATACAATATGAAAATATGCTAATTATTATTAGTTTGTTTTATTATAATGTACTATTAATATTTATGATCATCATTTTCCAACAAAACCCTTAAGATAAGTTTCCTTTTAAGCTCTTATGACTTCTCTCTTGTCTGTTTTTCTTGACATATAAATCTTTGTTTTTTCTGCACCTCTGGTCTTCTTTAACTTTGATTTGACTTCTTTCCATCCCTTTCTGCTTCCATCTCTTTTAGGGATAATTCCTCTTCTTCTCAATCTGAATTTTGGTTCGAATTTAAGTAAATACCTGAATTATTTAATTATTGCTATACTATTAAGTGTCATAAATGAGAGCAAATCCAGTAGTTCTGTTACCTCCGAATGTTGTTCTGAGGCCATAGACAACAACATTTCTCTCATCAGCTTTATACTTGCTAGCCAATTCCTTGACAACTGATTCTTATGATGGAGTTGGCTTATTTGGATGAAGCAATTCAACACTCTTTTTAATTTAATAAATTGGCTTACTAATTATCTTCTTATTTCAAGACTTTATTTTAAAAGAACTTTTCTTGTTTTCACGATGAATGTCATATGAACTTTATTTTAATTCAAAATAAATTAAATCTTTTTCTTTATTTTATGAAATGAAAAGCATATAATTTATTCTTCTACATATACAAAATGCATAAAAATATAAAAAATATCAATACACAATATAAATCAACATCTCTGCTTATGAATCAGATATAAAAATAATATTAGATGAATTTTATTACTTTGGTTGAAATAGACTTTAGATTTTAATGCTTATTAATTAATAATGAATGTGCCAAATTGTCATTAAAATAAATTACATCAAGAAATCTGAAAATTCAAAATCATAAGCATGAGAGGAATAATTAGAGAAGAAGAAAATATTCAGTGAATCCATTAATGAAAATATTCTTTCCAAAGAAAACATACTAAATATGGAAGAACTTTATTCTATATCCATATGTCTTGAAATAATTGCAAATCTAAATACAAGGATATGAACTCTAGAGAAATATTCTTACAATATTTGTTATTTTAGTATAAGCAGTAAATAAAATAATACATGGATCAATTAAATAATTTTAGTAATGCTTGCTTTAGCTAATTAATATTTAAAGGTTTCGTCAATACATCTCTCATACCAACCTCAAAGCATCTATTGATATCTTCTGTTGAATTAAATGCAGTCAAACCTATTATGGGGATATCTGGAACCTGCTTATCTCTAATGAGATCCATTAGGACTTTTGTGGTTGTCCACCCATCCATAATGGGCATCTAGCAGTCCATCAAAATAAAGTGGAACAACTTACATGATTCAGAGCATTTTTCAGTGTTTTATATTAATTCAACAGCCTAATAACCATTATATGCCTAAAAATGAAATGAATATTACTATTAATAATCTAAATCCCATTTGGCCAATTATCACTTATAATGCTTTTTGATTGAAGAGATCATCATCTACTGATAAAATTCTAGCACATTAACAAGGGAATTATAAGTTGTCAAACTTCTCTTCCATTTCTATTTCTTGTTCCTCCCTTTAAATAAGTCTTGAGATTAATGTGTTTGGTCGTTTGCTTGATTATATATCAATTTCTGAAATACTAAATGAGGACTTTTTTCTTCTTTTAATAGATTTTTCCCTTAATTCTTTATTATTGATAAAGGTATAGAATATTTTGGCTGAGCTATTCAACTTTATTACATTGCCTTAAAGATTTCCTCTTTGAGTGTCCTCATCTTAAAGATCTGTTTCTGGTTACACATACTAATTTAACAACCCTGTGGATTATTAAGGGCGAAAATAATTAGCAATTGAAGAATGATGTCTAATCGGAATCTATTAAAGCTTTTTATCAATCATCAAATCATCCGTTTTAGGATTATTAATTATTAAGATCCCTTAAATTCCCATACAGAGATCAGGGACTGTATATGCAGTTCTTAAACTCTACCTTTTGATAGTAGTTCCTAATATTTGAGTATTTGAAGTTTAAGTTGTCCTAATTTTAAAGGTGACTTAAGTACCTTCGCCTAAGCCAGTAGAGTTTATTTTCAAATAGGTTTTGTTTAACGGGGCTAACTTGAACAAATTCATTTGGCTGACAAGTAATCCCAAACCTTACCACTCATCATGACATGAAAAATCTCTGTTTTGATTAAAGGACTTTAAGAACTCTTAGATTTTTTGCAACTAATCACTTTCTATCCCAACACCTTGATCCTTAACACAAAAGGTTAGAGTTGAATCATAGCATGATATTTCTAAGGTAATCAATCCTCTCTCAGAAAATTTGATTGAATTTGAGATTAAATTGACTAAGATCTGCATGATTCTATCGAAATCTGAGTAGATTAATGGAGGGACAGTGTTTTTTACAATGATGTGTAATCCAAGGTATTTCATTTAGAGTATTGGTCTAAATAAATCATTTACTTCTTAGACTATATCTTCAAAATTAAATTCTTCAAACTTATATTTGATAATTTGTGAATGGAATTAGATAAAATCTATAATATCCCTAATTAAATAAGCTTATAACTTCAGGGCATTGGAAGCAGGATAGATAAAATTATATTTGTGATTCTCGTTGATGCTTGGATCATTAATAAGGCCATCTAAAAATAATTTGGCGCTATTCAATGGAGTTCTCAATTCATGGGAGAAGGAATCAATAATTCTGACTTAGAATTTCTCCCTAGTCTCCAACTTCTATAAGTAGCTTTGCAGTGAGATATCATCCATTATGATCAAGTATTCATTATCGTTCTAACCGCAAAATATCTTGCATTAGATCTATCTTGTATAGTCTTCCTCCTGAAAGGATGAATACTTGGATTTTGACAATTAAGCTAAAAGTTCTAGATTGTTTTCCTTTGAATAAAATTAATCCAGATTGCCATTTTATAATTCCACCAATATTTCATTTAAAGTGTTAGGAAGTCTCTAAACACTGGGCACCTTGTTGCAACTAAAAAACTACGGAATACTGTTGTATTGTTTAGGAGATTGCTTCGGTAGTTTAATACTTGTCTCTTTAACTTATTTCCTCTTTCTTTTGATTTGAAGTTTGAATTGTAATTCGTTCATTAGAAATTTGGGTATGTCCTTAATGCCGTCAAACATTTAAAGCAGAGACTGGTTTTAGAACATGATTTAAAGATTATTCTTTTTAACTATCATAATGCCCACTGGTATATTTTGTAATCGAATCAACCAAGAATTGCTTATTGAATCTTATATTAAATTGATAATTTCAGAGTTTCTTTGTGTGGGTTTTGTCATTTGTGCTGGCAATTCGAATTCTTAATTTTCTTGATTTATCGAAGAGTACTTTATCTTAATTAGCAATAGAGTACAATAAACTGTGACAACATACGAGATTGCATTTTCCTTGTGGATTATGAATAAGATAAAGAATAAAATATTGTAAGCAAGATGCAATAATAAGGATTTTATTATTGATTATTTTTTGACCATTTATATTTCTAATGCTTTCAATAAAATATAAGTTATTCTAGCTAAATCCTTATCTAAAAAACAGCAATACGATATATGAACACTTAGAGTAAGATTCATAAATTGTTGAAAGTATTTTTTTGGAATCAACTTTTTTTGTTTTTGAATGATCAATATGCTGAGTAACAATACTATTCCATTCAAAATAAGTAGTACAAGTGAAAATATTAAACTAACATCATATAAATATAAAAGCAGTCCGATAGCAACATTGATAGTGTTTGTTGAATAGTACTAAATTAATTTCCAATTTAATTGCATTATATTTATAATAGTTTCAATGCATTAAATTTATAATATTAATAAAATTACCAATCTATGCTTTTGTGTATAGAAGTTAAATAACAGCAGGTAAATCCCTTATTTATTAGAAAATGGTGATCTAACTCAACAGCAATAGGCTTCATTCTGTCAGAACTTCAAAAGCAAAGTAAAGAATTGCATTTAAAAAATAAAAGAATGCCTTAAATTGAATTAAAAAAGATTGAGGTTTTACTTCATACGATTAAGATTACATTCTACTGAATGGAAACAAGATTAATGGTTAAATTTATATATGATAATATTTTGTTCATGAGAACCACATATATACTTAAGCCCTCATTGTTCTTTCCTGTTGTGTGACTTTATTTTCATCAACAAATTTTAATTTATTTCGTTATCTTCGCTGCTGCCTTTGCAGCAAATGGATGCCTATTATTCTATAAATTGAGTCGATGCAAAGATAAATTCAGGTATAACATTCGTTCTTCCTAGCTTAGAGCTTGAGCAAGCTACTGTATTACCTATTCAGGTAGAAGCATTATTTTATAAGCTTCTTAAATATTTTGGAGATTTTCTAAATTATTCTCATTTTGCATATATTTTTAAATGAAATTTTCTGCTCTTTATTAAGCTTGTTTTGATACATCACTTTCTACCATCAGATATGCAAGTATGACTTTTTGGCTCTAGCAAATTTATTTATTCTATTAATCGTTTGATTGTGAGGGGGAAGGTTGATTTGATGAAGACTATTGTTGTGATTATGATTCTAATGCATTATTATTATTAATATTTATTTGATTATTAAGATTCTGAATTTTTTTTTTATTGTATTTTTCTAATTTTTTCCCTTTTTTGGTTGATATACCTATGGATCCTTGTCCACGCACGTGAATGGCAATGCCCTTGCCAGTTTAAGAATTGTTATTGTTAATATATTCATTAACATCATCAACAATTTCTTAGACAAAGTAGCCTTAGCCTCTCACGAGAGTTTAGGTCGGATTAGTAGAGAATTTTTTACTGCTTTCCGAGCTTTGAAGTGGCAGAAGGGACTAAATATTTAAATAGCATAGCATACACTATCCAACTAGCAAGAGGACATCTACAAATAATCTGGGAAGTCTTCTTGCCAAGATAAGTCATCATCTTAATAATGTTCACTTCTTTCTTCTTCAAAGAATGATGCATTTGAATGAATTTCAGTTGAATTATGTGTATACTCATATTGTTTTCTTAATTACTAAATAGCTTTCTCAATTGTAGACATACTAGTTATGGTGATTATTTTAATTATTTATTGATTAATCAAGGCATCTATGTTATAATGCTAATGAAAAAGAATTAATATCGAAATTAAAATAAATGGATTAAAATAACCTCCATACATTGTTTTTTATAGATCATATTCTTAAAACTGAGCAAGCACAAAAGATATAGCAACTTGCTAAACAATACAGTGCACAGTATGCTCACATAAGGGACATGTCTAAAGAACAGGCTGACCTCTTTTTATCTTAACTCCCATCTTCGAGTTATGGCGAAGAGAAAGTCAAGAGATTATATTTCGATGGATGTTTCGACCTAATGCACTCTGGACATTTCAACGCACTTCGTCAAGCCAAAGAATTATGTGAGACCTTGGTTGTCGGAGTGATCAAATCTGATGCAATAGCCAAAGCAAAAGGACCTCCAATTATGACTGATGAGGAACGATTGGCCCTAGCCAGTGCCTGCAAGTGGGTGGATGAAGTAGTTATCCAGGAAACATACGACCCAACAATTGAATAGATAGATAGACACTCTTGTTCACACGTTGCCCATGGAGATGACTTAGTCCAAACTGCTGATGGCAAAGATGCGTATTAACCATTCAAGGATGCAAAAAGAATGAAGTAATTTTTGATCATTCCATATTTTTTAGAATCTTCAAAAGAACAGAAGGAATCAGTACTACAGACATAGTGGGTAGAATGTTGTTAATGACCAAAGAAGTTATGTGGGAGGAGAAGGTAATTTTTGAATTCCATATTTTCAGAAAGTATTCTAGAAGTAAACTGTCGTCGAAGCTTCCAATATCAATTCTCTTGAGATAGACCAAGTTTCAATTGAACAAACCTTAAATAACAAAATACTGAACACAACCAGGAGAATCATGCAATTTAGTAACAACAAGAAACCTAAACCTGGTGATAAGATCGTGTATATTGATGGATCATTCGACATTCTGCATCAGGGCCATGTTGATGTTTTAAGAAAAGCCAAGGAGTTGGGAGATTTCTTGTATGTTGGAGTGTATGACAATGAGGTATAGACATGTATACATTTTTAGACAATTAACAAAATAAAAGGGAAAAACTATCCAATTTTAAATTTGTAAGAGAGAGTCTTAAATTTATTGGCAATTAAATTCGTAGACGAAGTTATAATGGGAGTTCCATATAAGGTGAATGAACAATTAATCAAAAATTTCAAAATTGATTTGGTTGTAGAAGGTACTTGTTCCTAAAAGACCGTCGATGATCCTTATGAGTTACCAATTAAATTGGGAATCTATTAATAAATCTAGGCAGTCAACAAACAGACTGCTGATGAACTTATTGAAAGAATCGTTAGCAATAGGTTAAGATTCTTAGAAAAGTATAATTCAAGAAAGAAGAAAGAAATCAATTTCTTCGAAAATCATGATTACAAAGTGGAAGAAATATGATACAATTATTTACATAACCACAAATAATAGTGATGCATTCCATATTAAATTTATTATTAAATATCAAACTTCCAAACTTTTTCTGAGACATAGATTTCATCCAAGAATCATCTAATATCTTTATTTTTAACTGCACAAGCTTAATGAATTAAAGCACATGTTAATGAAACATTATTAAGATCATTAGCGCTTAAGATCAAGACATCTAATAATTTGAATTATTTGTTCTACTCTTTTCTTCAGCTTCTTTTCTAGTGATCACAACTCCTGAAGTAATACCTCTAATCATATTCTTTATTTAAGCAGCAATTGATTTTACTTAAAATCTTTGCTTGCTGTATTATACCACATCCTAATATTCAATCTTGATTAGTCCTATTTGCTTTATTTCTTTAATTTCTTTTTGGACTTAGATATCCAAGGATGCATGTTTAAAGTTTCTGTTCAAGATTCCTCTTGGTCCTATAATCATAATTAACTTCAATATCTTTAACATCAACTTTCTTTGATTAGCTTTAATTTCAATATCTCTGGAATCTCTACTTGCTCTTCTGTAAGAATATATAACATTTCTTTTAATTAAATTATAATAATATGTTGGGATTTATTCTCCATTTTAACTCTATTTGAAATGCATAGTAATCTATCATCTCCCTATAATATAAGTTTCAATTTAAGGATTTCACTTTTTATACAATTGAAATTTCTTTGCTTGTTGCTTAATTTATCAATATATCTGTATCAATTGTTCTTTGTAAAATCTAATAATAAGTATTGAATTTCAATTATCATTCATTGATTCATTATTTTTTTTGTTAATTTTTATCAATTCTAAATTATATGGCTAAAAGATATTATCTACCTTAAATCTAAGAAATTTGTTGATAAAACATACTTATGTTCTATTATTTTATACTGCTTTGTCATTGAGCAAGTGCTTAAAGATATATTCTTTGTTATTTTATTTCTATTTAAAGATTTGCTAATAAAAAGTCTGTTTATTACTTTAGATTGTTCAATAACTCATTCTTAATGAATAACTTCATTAAGACTGAATTGTAGTTTGAATTGATAGTAATACTAAACTTTTACAGAGTTATTAATAAATACATTTAATATGAAATACTTTATTGTAATTGCACTATTAGTCAGTTTGAATCAATGTATCAGCTTCTATGCTAAGGAAGGAGTAGAAAAGTGCTTCTCAGATGAAATACCAAGTCAAACTGTAAATTCTATCTCTTAATTCTCTAGATTGTAGTGATTTATCATGAATTGATGTCTGAAGGCGTGGCCAAAAATGAAAAAAGAGGTACTCGATCATTCTATGCTTAGACATACCAAAAATGATTAAAGATGGAATCACTCTAAATGTGTATGGCCCTGATGGCAACATAGTGAAAACTGCTAAAACTGTGGAAGGAAAGAACAAATTGTCATTCACTGCTAAAACAAGTACGTATATAATCTATTTGACATAGTGGGCAGATACAAATTCTGTGTCATTAAGTCCAAGTAATTTTGGAGTGTCAATGAGTATAAATACTCCATCAAAATACAACAAGGAGTTGATCATAATCTACAAGATGCTGCAAATAAGACTCATGTTGAATCAATCAAAGGTATTACACACATGTTACTATTTATTCGATAGACAGAATCTCAGCCTTAAAAAACAGAACTGATGATTTCATTTCACTTTAATAATTGAATCGAGAATAAGAAGATAAATTGACAACTCAATCCATTGATATCAGTAGAAGAGTTACTCAAACTACAATTCTATAAATAGTTGTTCTTCTAGCATCTGGAGTATATTAGATTTGGAGCCTTAAGAAGTTCTTTAAATAGAGATTTTTGATGTGATGTTTATTTTATTAAAAATTCAATGCTTCTAAATAAGTGATTTATTAACTTAATTCATATCCATCAATTTTATTAATCTCATCATTCATTGGATGAATAGTTTCTTCATTCCCTCTAATTTCTTTAAATAATATTATGCAAATACAAATATATTTAATATATCAATCTAGTTGTAAATACAATTATAGGTATTACTAATATTTGGATTTATTTTATTTCTCTCATATTATTTTGATATGATATTTAGAGCAAATATTTGTTTATATTAAATCTATATAACATATAATTTTATGATAATTTGCAATTATTTGGAAATTAATGAAAATAATAATTTCAAAACTAAGGATATACATCAAAATGAATATTTGATCAATAGAATGAGATTATGCTATTTGAATTTTCTCCTTTTCTATAGAATGATTATAATTATTAGACAATTAATTAGTTTAGCAATAATTTTAAGATTTTTCATTTTAGTCAAAGAAAAATCAATATTGTAATTTTAGATTTCTACTTTTTTCAGGATTAGCAAAAAAATTTAAATAAAATAATGCTTTATTCAGCTTAAAACATTCTTATTATTATTTATGGAACCAGTTCCACTTTGAACTTATAATTAGATTTATTGATAATAAAATTGTCTATACCATTCTTTTATTGAAAATTCAGTTGATCTTGAATATTCTATTAATATTATTTTTATTAAAGAACAATTAACTAAATTCTAATTAAGGATTATCATTCTGTTATTGAATAGAAGAAAATTAATATAATTGATATGACCAAAGTTCTATTAATAGTAATTTTAATCAAATAATTCACAATTTTTTTAATTTTTTTCATTTAAAATATAATCGATCTTCTAATGTCAAATAAGGAAAAAGAGTTTATTAGTTATTAATATAAAGATTTAATAGATTAAGGAATTCTATGATAATAATGTTGATTAATTGAAAAATTATTTTTATGATTGAATTATGTAAATATATTTTTTTAAGTTTTTGCTCTGAATCTTTACATTTAAAGTGTATTTATTATTATTTCACTTCTAAATTCACAAAATGATAAGAAAGGTTTGACTAGAATGATTTAGGTCAAAAGTTAATTTATATAGTTGATTAAAAAAAGAAAATATTTGGATGTGCTTGACCTAATAAGTATAACCTAGAATTCTACAAAGAATTGGAGATGAGCTAAAATTCAATTCTAAAAATAGATCAAACATCAATATACATAGATTTTAGATTAATAATTTTATGCCTACATAAATAAAAATAACATTATATTTTTATGGGAACTTGTAAAAGTTGTGAAAACACTTAAGAGGAGATGATTTTGTATGCTTTGCCAAATGATTTGAAAAGGCCTAAGAGTTCTGAGATAATAGCTCCAATGACTGGAGAGACTGATGTAACAAGAGACAAAAGAGGAACATTCAAATATGAAAATGGAGCAACATATACTGGAGAATGGTACAACATTATTTTATATTTTGTTTTGGATTGGAATATGTCGTGATGGTTTTGGTACTCAGGTTTGGCCAGATGGGGCGTCTTATGAAGGGTAATGGAAGGATGATAAAGCTCAAGGGAAAGGTATCTTTAAACATGCAGATGGAGACATATGTAATATATGAAATCTAACATTCAGATGATGGAGAATGGTAAAACGACAAGGCAAATGGCTAAGGGATTTATTTCCATGCTGATGGTTCCAAATATGAAGGATTGTGGAAGGATGACAAACAGCATGGTTATGGCACTGAAACTTGGACAGATGGAAGTAGATATGAAGGAACCTACAAATACGGAATGAAGGATGGATCAGGAACTTATTATTGGCCAGACGGAAAGGTTTATTAGGGTTAATGGTTGCAAAATAGAATGACAGGATAGGGAGTATGTCATTGGAAAGATGGAAGGTGTTATTTAGGTGAATGGTTGGATAATAATATGCATGGTCATGGTAAATATACTTCTGCAGATGGCAAACAATATGAAGGAGATTATTATTTTGACAAAAAACATGGATTTGGTACATTCACATGGCCAGATGGTAAAAAGTAAATAATGAAACTTATTTGGTAGATATTCAGGAAATTGGAAAAAGGGCAAGTAACATGGGAAAGGTAAAATACTAATAGATAAAATTGAAAAGTAGGGAATGTGGGAAAATGGCAAGCGTATTAGATGGATTGAGGATGAAGATTGATGCTTTTTGTGATTCATTCTTTTTTCATATTTATTTAAACTATTAACTTGCAAATCCTGGTTTAATGGTGAGATGGAGGATAATGAAAATTAAGTTCTCTAACATTTTAAGATTGTTAGAAATGGCTTAGATATATTAGTTATAATTTTATCTATCTAAAAAATATGTTAATTGCAATTAGGATAATTTATTTTATTTGCAATTTATAATATGAATTGTTTATAATAATATATAAAAATGTCTAACAACCGCAGTTTGAAGGATTTATTTCCCTCTAAATTCAATTTTATAAAACCTAAAATTGTAAGAACATTGCATTAATATTGTAGGAACAACCAAGTGAAACAACAAAATAAACTCACAAATCACCATTAGGTTTAAGTTAATTTACAAGTTTTTTTCAATTAGCTCAATTGACTTCAAAAAATAATGGCAACTAATCTTAATAAAGAAGTATTACACCTTAGAAAATAAAAATTGTTCAATTAAATATGCAAAAATAGGATCAATCATAAATCTAAATACAATCTAAGCATTCCAGAAATTAAAGTGCTTCCAACATTAATAGTAGCAGAAGCAGTTCTTTTTTTAAAGAAAAACAAGATTACTTAAACTAGAATACAAGTTCACGTAGCCCAATTCAAACATTCAAGAAATAGGAACTAAAGTAATCAAAATTGCTATTCAATTCTTTATTTCATAATTAATAATCTTCAAACCTAGATTTATAGAGCAAATCCAAAGATTAATCACCTATGAAACCAGCATTTTATGATAATTTAGATATAATCAATAGAAATACAGGAAGAAATAATAATTCTCAATCTCCAAATACATCAATTTAAAAGATATCATCTTTTATCAATCTTAAGCAATCGAGTACTCATAATATCAAATACCCAGACAATCAGTTGAAATAATAAAATAGTCTGGTGAAAGAAAACAAACCTGCTGATAAACCATACCAATTAATCAATCATGAAGTTCCTCAGATCTAAATTAAAAAGCAGGAGTTTCAAGTGCCCAACTAATTTAAATAAAACAAAGGATTAGATAATATATTCAACTCTATGTTAAGTATTTAGCACTTATCTCACATCTCAAAAAATGAAAGTTCAAAGAGTATTCTAAAACAACAAGAAAAGCATGAATCAAGTGAGGAGGATGAGGAAACCTTGATTGTAGATTGCAATATACAGATTAATAAGTATAGTTTTTAATTTCATTATGTGATTGGCAAGGGTGGTTTTGGTAAGGTTTGGAAAGTTGAAATGAAGAAAGGCAAATAATATTATGCTATGAAGGAGATGTCAAAAGCGAAAATAATAGCTAAACGAAGTGTTAACTCTGTAATGAATGAACGTAATCTTTTGGCTTAATTCAAACACCCCTTTTTGATTAATATGAACTATTGCTTTTAAGATAGGGAGAACCTTTACCTTGTTATGGATTTGCTAACTGGAGGCGATCTGAGATATCACATAGGAAAAATGAGGAGATTCAAAGAACATCAAACCAAGTTCTTTGTTGCTTGTGTCTTGCTTGCATTGGAATTTTTGCATAATAATAATATTATTCATAGAGATCTTAAACCAGAGAATATAGTCATAGATAAATAGGGGTATGCAAGATTGACTGATTTAGGAATTGCAAGGGTTTGGAAGTCTGAGAATTCTCAAGATACAAGTGGGACACCTGGATATATGGGTAATATATCATTATTCATTGATTAGCACCTGAAGTTATGTGTAGGTAGAATCATACAATAGCAGTTGATTACTTTGCATTAGGAATTATGGGCTATGAGTTTATGTTGGGAAGAAGACCTTATAATGGAAGATCAAGATAAGAAATCCGAGATCAGATCCTGACCAGACAAGTTCAAATTAAAAGATCTGAAATTCCTGATGATTGGTCAGTGGAAGCAGCAGATTTTATAAATAAGCTTATATAGAGAAAGCCAGCCAACAGACTTGGATTTAAAGGACCTGATGAAGTTAAGAATCATCCTTGGCTTCGTAATTTTCCATGGCAGAAACTCTTGAACAAAGAAATTGAGTCCCCTTACATCCCAAAAGTACAGTTTTATTTCTAAAAAGTAAATTGATGATAATGTTGAATACCTGAATTAAATAAGTGAAGATGATGATAGTTAAGATGAATTGATTAAAGAAAATAAGCTTTTACTAAAGAAGAATTCAGTTCAAAATCTATTTAGTGGATATAGTTATGAATGCAATTCAAAATACACTAAGAGTACATCTAGTACTCTTTTATTTGGATGACTTTTATTATTTATATTAAATATATAGTATACTAAATATATGATTAATTGAATTTCGAATATCCTTAAAAAAATAGAAATAAAGAATAGAATCAATAGAAAGAATAATTTGTTAGGACAAAGTTTAATTCTAAAATTGAAATGTTGAGTAAATGCCTTAGAACAATTAACAATATTGATGAAAAAGAGAGTAAGGCAGAGGTTTTTATGAAGGTAACCTTAACTTCTTATACTATAATAGATTGTGTATAAAAGATAATTAACATATAAAGAAAAATTGTTTAAATTTTATCTTAATATATTTTTGTATGATATTCTTAAATACTAAGGCTAATTACCTTCTAATATAGTAAATAAGACAAAATTTCTTAATTGAAACTTTTAATTTATTCAATTATTAAGCGTAAAATGATTCTCAATTGGGTAATTAGATCAATATTTTTTATGAATATTCATTGTAATGATAACAATATTTAAATTTTCATTAAAAATTCAAATAATAAAATGGTTCTTCTATTTGCCTTTTTTCATTCCCAATTTTCATGACCTTCTCCGAAATCTTCCTAGTATGTATTTTTATAAGAATCACAAATCTCTTCAAGGCGAGTTTTAGCATCAATGAAATTATCCTCGTCAATTCCTTCTTATGTGTATTTATATAGATAACTTTTTCGAACATACATTTTATTAAATTTTTCAATTAGGCTCTCTAGAGATTGAGTAATGCTAGTTGAATTAATTAAGCAACTTCCAAAATATTCAAAATTTTAAAATGGTTTCTTGCAAATATTCGTTAGAAACATATCAATGTACTTTATTTTTTTTGCTTCTTACCTCCTATAGTAAGTTTGTTTATCTAGATAATGTTGGAAAAGGGAGCATGATTTGTCAACCTCTTTATTTGATATATTTCCTCTCAAACTAAGTGCTGCAGTAAGAAATCGACCTTAAGTGTAATCATTGCTAGCTTGATTGTGATTTGTGGACATTAATTCTCTGAAAATCTAGGTTTCGTCCATCTTCAAATATTCTTTAAAGTAATCACTGAATTAATTATTGGACTAGCTGCATGTTAGAAAATTTTATTGCGGAAAAGGAATCAAGTTTGCACTTAGTTTTTTCAAACTAGAATTAATGTCCCCATTATTTCGAAATGGCGAAGAATTACAACATATTGTTTAAGCAATATGATGATTGGCATCATCGTAATTAAATTCGATTCCCAATCTACTCAAATTTTATTTAAGTCCTTAGTTATCAAAACATACTATTTATTCCCTCTAATTCATAATTTGGGATAAGGCTAAAATAGAGTTATAAGGGGAAACAACACAAACATCGTCTTATTTAATAGAAGGAATCAATAAGTTATATTAAAGTAGTGGGTCATATCCTAATTTATCGTCCAAGGCAGCTATTAATCCAGATCCAGTACCACCAATTATGGATGAAAATAATTAGATTCCTTACAATTAATCGCATTTTTCAGTTTCTTATCGGATACTATCAACAATAATGTCCATTATTTCATTCGCACAGTGATTCTTTACAAACCCATAATTATTGCCAGATGAGTAGTTGAATGAGAACTGAGAACATGGATTAAAGTCTATATTAGTACAAGGTAAATCCTGTCCCAAATCAACCTAAACGCATCTAGGAAGTGGTTTGTTCTAGTTTAAGTTAAAATAGACATTATTAATTGAATTAAGTAGGGGATCTTAGCTTTAAAGACCTTATTCATTTTGGTTACCGAAATCACTATCTTTTAGCATTTCCTCCCAAAACTTTACTCCAACTTTGTTACCAAAACCTCCCAATTATATTACTAAAATTTCCCTCATTGTTTTTCAAGTAATTTTATTAATTCAATATTTTCTAATTACATAAAAATTTAAATGTTCATTTTGTTATAAAACTAATAATTCCTAATTTCTTGTTTACTATATGACTTTAATCATCAAACTAGGATAGCTAATCTTTAAATCAAAATTAGGTGCTATCTTTTCACTTATATTGACTTAATGATAGAAATTTCATACAATATGATAATGCCTTATAAGGAAAGAAAAAAATTTTAATATTAAAAAAAGGTTTTTGCATTACAAGATTTTAGACAAATTCTATTAACATAATAGAATAATAATTTTAATTCATCTTTAAATCCATATATAAAAAAAAGAAAAATTTATAATTATTATGATCTAAAATTCTAGTGAGAATATTACAACATCTATCCCTATTTAAAACCTTGAGGATGAGTCTCCAAATTCTCAAAGTTAACAATAGGATGAATAAACATGCTAGAGCCCAGAAGAAAATGTCATAAATTAGCCAATAGCCTAATTAGATTAAGATATTGGACAACAAGTATAAGATCTCTAATAAATTGAATAATTTGATCCGCGTGACTATGATTAGGTAAGCTGTCCTTATTGTGATACCGAAATGTTCAAAAAGGATTATTGGGTTCACGTTGGTCTGTGTGAAGAACAAATAAGTTATCCTGATTTAGTTGAATAACAATGCCGATAATGTGGCGATAATATTGTTAAGCAATACTTAAACGATCACTTAAAGGTCTGCCAATATGATTATTATGGCGAAGTGAAATGTCCTTATTGCTCTTTTCCAATAGTGAAAGCTTGGCTAAAGGAACATATTGCTGAATGCGATGGTTATAAATAGGAAAAACTAAGAGAAATGTAGGGAATAAAAAATTGCTATATATGTTTAGAGGATATTACAGAAAACAATAAAATCTTAAAATGTTCTCACAGTTTTCACGAAGATTGCATCTAAAAATGGTTAAAAGTAAAATAAACATGCCCACTTTGTTAAAGTCTTATCACCGAAGTAAAAGTACCTGTTTGAATAATATAGATTTATCAATTCACTTAAATTTGGCATTATATTAATTAAATCATTATAATCATCAATTCTTATTTTGTTATTGAAGTTTATTTCAATAATAGTCTATAGAATTTAAATTAAAATGAATAAGAAGGGAAATGAAATGAGAGATTAAGATAAAAAATTAAATAAATAGAGAGATATTAAAAATAAATTTAATGAACAGTGAAAATTATAAGACAGAAATCCATAATATGATTGAAAATGGTAAAGATCCAAAGGACATGGTTATTTAAATGTGCCGACCATAATGCAAATGGTATGATGATAAGTACGACAGATGTGTAAAGGCCTTCCTTTCATTGAAAAATGCTGATCCTGAAAAAAATTGTGTATTATTTAGATTAATAGTAAGATGTACCCTTATCGAGATTTGGTGACTTGTGTTGAAGCCTGTGTATAGCCTAAAATATAGCATGCTCTGAGAGGAAACGAGCACGGTTCAATATTTGCATGAAATATATAAATACATATAAATATATATATTATAATCAAAATGAAATAAAAAATAGGTAGAAAATTTGAAGTAAATATTTGTATATAAATTGTGTAAAATAATTGACATTGCTCATTTCTTTAAAAAGGATGCTTCTGATAAGATTTGCTTTCTGGATGAAGGAGGAGTGAGTTGTCTGGCTTTTTTGATGTTGTCAATGACAAAGTTTTTGGATAAATCCATAAGAGATGACTGTTGAATGAGAGATTAACTTAGATGAGTGTCAATAGATGAATGTTTAACATGAGGAGGCACATATCTTGGGAGGATTCCTTTAATGACATATGACCTAGGAGATATTAAGTAAGTAGTACCAGTACATCTCTTCAGTCTAGATGATTAATTTGCCTTTTCTTATTTTGCCATATTCGATTGGAGTAAATGATATGACAAAGGTTGTCCCTTCTCTGCCGTAAGGCTCAAGATCGCCAACTTTGGGTATGATGGAAAATTCTGCATCGGAATCTGGAGTGAACCCTGCATAGAATTTGGCATAGTTTTTTGTTTTGTTAGTGAGTTTGAAGGAGACACTGGTGGTTTTATTTAGAGGAGAACTAATGATAATGACATCATCTTCATCGGGGGGAGTGGCTTCTAATATTATTTTATATCTAGATATATGTATGAGATATTACTTCCATCTGCCTCCACTTTATCTCAAAACTATGAATTCGAGACTGGCTTTGAATGGTTTCATAGGTTGAAAGCGCACTGCATAATGTAGATTCTCATGAGGGTTGCTTAGATAGTTCTTAGTACATTTAACACTAAAGCATTTTTGAATCATTTGTTGTAGATCCACTGGTACATTGCCTAACTCGAATTCAAATTTATCATCAGCCTACAAGGTTTGAGCAATGCCTTATAAACCTATTTTAATCTCATCTTCCCACTTATCTCTGCATTTGGCTTTGAAGTGGAATAAGGTCTGAGTGGAAACACTTTCAGTGACTCCTTTAATAGGGAAAACCCAAGAAATCTTTTCATTCATTTGGACAATGACTTCGGCATAATAGCTAGTGATTTCTCTGGGTACAAATGAATAAGGGATTTGTAAGACATTCATTCCTGGGACTAAAACCTTATCATTTTTGCTTGTCAACAATCTAAAGATATCTTTATTGTGTCCTTGTGCATCCAAGTCAATTTTGACTGTAATTGGATCCTTGAAGGGATTCTTAAAATGAACAACTGAACTGAAATCCTTGTTCAATCCTATGCTAACAGTGGCAGCAGAAAATTTAGTTGGAGGAAGTCCATTTCCAAAAGCTAAATAATGCCATTTTCCTATTGATGATGTAAATATAATTTCAGATTGTTCTATTTAATCTAAAGAGGAAGGAGTATATCTGACGCTGACTTTTAGATAATCAAAAGGTTGTATGACTAATTCATCAGGTAGCACATCGAAATTGGTGGGGTTGCTTACTCTGGATTATAGGGTTACTTTTTGATCAGATGGATTTTCAAGTATTACTACTTGTTATTCCACCTTTCCCAAGGATGCCTTCAACAGATTTAGTTTGATCACTGGCTATTCCTCACATGTCAATATGAATTCATACCAAACCTCTCCAAGTTATCTATTAACAAATGCAACACTTCCTCTCCACCTACCCACTTTAAAAGGAGCGAAGGTCAACTCATAAGGACCCTCCTTATTAGCTCCAATGGCAAACTGATCTTCACCTATCAATCCGTCGCCACTGATGATTGCTTCATAAATAGCAGTCTCTGGAAGAGGGTTTTGCAATGTCAATTAAATCACAGTGGCCTATCTGATTAAACAAGACAATTCTAATGTTTGTACTGATTTAGGTGACTCTGTGTTCATGAAAACTGTGTACCATAGATACTTCCCATTTTCTTCTGTGAATGTTATGGATCCGGTGTATTATCCAGATAAAATTGGTTGGACTGTCAACTAATAAATAGCCTTCTTCCCTGCTCCCACTGTAATTGAAGATTAACCCGTTGCATAGATCAAATCAGTCTCAACTTTGTAGACTATTTACTTGTCTGTCTAATTCTTCAGCTCTATATCTCTTTTTAATACCCTCCTTGGAGTGCAATTCAAAATGATATGTTCCTCAGCCACTGGCTCTTCTCCAATCCCAATCAAATCATACTCGAACATATCATTCGTGATTGGATTGCTCAAAATCAATTTGGCCTCACTCTAAGCTATCCATTGAGGATGAAATGTAATTGGAAATTATCCAGTAGTTTTCTTCTTTATCACAAACTCCTTATTCGGACATTAAAATAAGTTGTCTCCAGATTGAGTCAATTACACTTTAATCACCCAATCCTTATCCGATCCATTTACTATTGGTACTTCTTAAATCACTTATTATCTAGCTGGTATTCTAAACTCTAAAGTGGCCTTGACTACTTTTGGTAACACTTATGCAGTTAACTTATACCTTCTGATATCAAATTTGTTTTTTAATGTCAAGATTACATTAAAATCTCTAGTGGCATTTTTAAAGGCATAAGTTACAGGTAATTTGCCATCATTGTTTCTATCAGTTGATCTTTTCGTACTATCTGCAACAGTAAGAACGTTGGGCACTTGGACGTATTGTGTAGCTGGGAATACCTCTAATTCAAACGTAATTTAGTCTAAATTGCCTCCAGGGAAATTGGGATTATTCAAGAAATTGTTAGATGAACTAGTTTTATCAGCGATGTTTTATTATTATTTAATCTTCTACTTAAATTACAGTATTTGTAATATCTATTATCTTGCTCTTAGTATCTACTCATTCTTAAAGGGAATTTGATATGGAATCTGAATTGCCTGATCAACGTATAATAGTTTCTCAGGTTTAAATTCACCTGATATATTGGGCAACTCCACTGTTCCTTATAAATCATGTTAAAATTCCCCCACTTGAGGATCTGTAAATACTATCTAGCATTTATGTGTCTCCATAATTAGTGGGATGTACTACAAAATTAGATTTATAGTTTGATTTTTCCTTATTCTAATCCTATCCTATTAACAGAAGAATGCAGGAAACTCTTCTTCTTACGTTTATTGTACTTATTATATCACTTGTTTGCCTTTCCTCTTCTATTGATCTTATTGCTTTTTCTCGTGAGTGATTATAATTTAGAAGTCTCCATCAAACAAGAATTTGTTGGTAATCTAAATTTGAAAATCGAAAATTTCGTATAAAATTGAACTCACATTCCATTACTTTTCAGATTTCCTTCCAGTTATGCTTGACTTTAACTCAAACACCAAGGCGGCTGCTTAAACATTGGACTCTTTTTTATTCGTGAATATCACTCTACCAGTAACGGGCTATGAGATACGAGACGTGAATTTGATTTTGTATTAATAGGGTACGTCTGGATCTATTTTAATGCTCTCATCTCCATCTAATTGAAAATCTGGATGTCCTTCATATTTAACCCAATAACTGATTGGTTTTTGAGTAGGGTTCTTGAGTTCGATACTCTTGATGACTTCTTCTCCCAAGACACAAGAGAAAAAGATGGGATCCTTTTATGGCACATAATAAGGCAAAGCGAAGAAGAATTACACCAACATCATGACCATTTCTCTACAATTCGGATGATAAACATCTTGAGGCAACAGATGAGATTATAATCCGAAATCTTGTAAAGCAGGGAACAATTTCTCTGTGTTATGTTTATAATCATCTTCACTATTGCAGACATTCCTCAAATTTTACAAAAAATTTAGACATCGATGTTCCGATGAATGTATTTAAGGCATCTGAGATGAAGATTGAATCCTTGAAATCTAAGTCGAAGTTCTTGATTCTTTTATATGCAGAATGCTAGATCTCATAGCAGATTTCATAGAAGTATAGTAGAATACCTTCAGGCTAAGAAATCACATTGGATCCCTCTAAGTAATATTCAGGAATAGCTAGTTTATTTTGAGGGATCCCTGGCAGACTCTTAAACGACTTGGCTGTGATTCTATTCAGATAATAGATCTTGAGTATTTGATAAAATAGGGAGATCCAAGAATCATATTGAATATATGTGTATTTGGTGACATTCAATCTTAGTAGATTTTCTGGAACATTTTCATATTTAGAAGGAGGTTAATTTTTAAGCCAAGCTAAATAATCTTGATAGCCTAATAAGTATTCAGATCGTATGTGATTAAGCAGAGCTCCCTCAATTTTCAGTTACCTTATGAGTTCATCATATTGCTTGTAGAGGACATCAGCTTTTTGGGATTTCTTCCAATTTGGGTCTATGTTCTACTTATAAGGAAATGTGGTTTTTCCAGTTAGAAAAGAGATTAACTCAAAGATTTATTACCCATTAGAACTGATCACATCTTCAGGGTATGTACTAATGCTTGTAGTTAGGACATGATAATTAAGCCATCTTGCAATGTATTCATTAGCTTAGTCTAGCAAATCTCTTCGAATAGGTGTGTAACCCAGGTTGGCAGTTCCTTTGGATGATGTGGATTTGACAGAGAAATTATGTTTAGGATTCTTTTCGTTGTCCGAATCTAAGTTCTCATCTTCCACATACATGATGGGTTTTTTGTCTTCAACTTCGAGTTGATATCTGCCCATCCTCCAGAGAAAACTCTGATTCGTAAATATACAATTATCAGTAGTACCTGATATATAAATGATGTAGACTCTGGCTTCGTCGATGAATTCCACTCTGGTTGTAAAACTTAATGGTTTTTTATTGCTAAACACTACTTCAACAGTTAATTTATTCTTAGCAACACCCAAAGTTGAGCCTTCAGGAAATTTGAGTTCCAAATTATAATTGCTAATCTCCTGAGCCCAATTGTATTTGAGATTTAAATTCTCATATCCATCGTTAATGATTCTGAAATAGCACCTCGACTGTATGTTGAGAGGTACAACAGGTAATATCACTTCCTTTTTATCAAATAACAATCTTGGATAAGCACCTGATCCACTCATTGTGATTTCGACATATGGCAGAGTCTATGGAATCTCTGGATCCTCAAGTATGTATAATTGCACTGCTCCATTAAACTACCCAGGTCCATAAGGATTGAATTTGATTTTAATTTTTATTTATTCTCCACTACTCACAATACCTTCACTAGGTTCAATTCCAAAGATCTTTTCAGATTTCAGGGAAGAACAATCAATCTTCCAATGGACATCTTTTCTATCTGGATTCGATAGTTTGATTTCTTCGACAGTAGGGAAACACTTATCAGGAGATGTGATGATCTTCTTTTTGAATTCTATTTATTGAGGTTCTACCAAAAACTTAGGTTTGAGTCCTCGACATGTCACCTTCCTCATTAATGTGGGTAATGGACCATATCTAGCCAAAGTAATAGGGATCTCGAAGGAATACTATTTGACTTTCCTTGGGTGAGAATCTCATATTAAATTGAAGAGTCTTGCCACCTCCAATGGTAATGGCATACTGTTTGTACTACTTTTATTCGATTTCGATTGGTTCTGACTTTTCTGACGCATCATCCAAAGGGTCCTCTTCCTTTGGTTCATCTTCTTCTTAATCGGGAAGAATTGAATGCATAACTTGTTCTTCTTCATCTTGTGGTTTAATTTCCAAACACTCGATTCCATCTGGAGCCCTAGGATTATCGTTTTGTGTTCTCAAATCCAAAATTAATTCCACACTCACTGGAGAGGTATTGACAAATGTCAATGGAATTGAGTTGCTGGTTCCCAGAGTGGTGACATTCCCAAACTCAAAGATGTCCTACTCAATTTCCACTTTAGGGATTATTGATGTAGCAGAAAAGGGGATACTCAAGATCTTACCTCCTCTTATTTGTATTACGATGTCTCCTTTAATGGATCTCTCTTCTTTGCTGAAGAATTTGACCTGAATATCTTTGGTTTCTTCTGAGAGGATCTTCCCTTTCATTGGCATTATTTCTAAATATTCAATCTATGATTTAATAGCAAAAACAGCAGTAGATTTAGAATGATTTTTGATGCTAATTAATTTGGATTCTGGTTTACACAAGATCACATCTTTGAAGTCCAATTGACCTTACTTAATCGAACACTTAGGTTCTGTAACTACGCCCATACATTTAATAGTCTGATCGATGCCTTCGTCTGTTTTGAGTATTATTTTATCTTCCTCTGTTTTAGTTGTGGCTGCAGTATGGTCTTGGGTACAATGACAGGACAGCAGTTTCTTGAATATATTGGATATTTCCTCCAAATGAGGGTCGATAGAACACCTAACATTCCAAATGTTTGCCTGAAGGAACCACTCCTTCTTCTGGCTTAACGTAGAAGAGTTTCTTGTCTGATGTAATCCATTTGAATTTAGCTTCAGCATTGCCATTATTGGTTAATCTTAGGATTTCAGAAGTCTCCATTTCTGCATTGTCTTCTGTGAATGACATTTTTAATTGCTACCTACTCATTTCGAGGAAGACTTTCTCCACCATTGCTTAAACCTATAACTCGAAAATGTGTTTCTCATTGATTATGTACTTTAAATGCGATTTGAACATTCCTAATTGTTTAGAACAAATGCAAACATCAAATCCAGCAGTCTATCCACTTGGGATGATTTAAGGTTTCATGTATGAATTGACCAAGTCCTCCTTGTCAGAATAGATCCTAGCAGAGATTGGACTACGTAACTCGTTTCTAACATAAAAGTACTTGACAGCCATCGATTTCACAAAGATGTTACCAAATTCCATCTTAACTGGTCCAGCACAAATCTTGAGTAACTATTGAGCATTTAATTCAGTGGTAGTGTCTCTTATTTCCCCGTGTGTTTTTGGTTCACTAGGATACTTCTTTTTAGGAACAGTCTTAGGATCAGGATCGAATGGTTTAATAACATTGCCCTCCTTAACTCTTGTTTATGGTTCATAGTGGTAGATGGGTTTGGTCACAAATAACGATTCGTTAGCATCTGGCAGATTTAAGTCTTACTCGTACACATCGTCATGCATCCCAACTGCAAACTCATAATCAATAGGGGGATCAAGTTTGTCCTCAACTGTAGTTTGTTGTTTCTTTTTCTTCAGCACCAAAGATTCATTCTTCATTTGATCCATCCTTTCAGTCATCTACTTAAATTTTAGTTTTATTTGCGAGTCCTTATCCTTCTTAATTCGTTTTTCTCGATGCTACTTCAAATACTCATTATATTTCTCCTTGTTATGCTTTTTCATCTCTTCAATCTTGTCCATACTCAATTATGACAATGAAACTAGAGATTGAGACATTTCAAAAGATTGTACTACTTAATCTGTTGATGTTCTATTAATTCCAGAGATGGATCTGTCTTTAGATATTTCTAACGTTGCTCTTTCAGATTCAGCCCCCTTTTTAAACTATGGCTTTGGCAACATTTGCTAGCATACTCCTGTCACTTTAATAGGAATCTTAAAGACTCCCCCAAGGATTTCTGCATTTAGAACATTTGAAAATTAACCAACATGTTTTGGTCTAAAACTAACCCAAAAATTGACCTTCTCATTCACAGCCAATGATTTTAATTATGGATTCACAGTGAAGTATGGAATTGTTGGAAATCCAACGAGTATAGATTATTCCTTAGACATATTTTACACTTCGAACACAATATCCTTGGTCTAATTAGCTTCGCACTGTCCGAATTGCAAGGTTTACGTTGGAGGAAATTTCACCTATGGACAAATGCAATTGACAGAAAGATGACTCATCAGTGGTTCATCATCGTTAAAGTCAAAAATAGCCGAATAATCAAACTTATCCTGTTCCATTTTCTTGTCTTAATTTAATGCATATTAACGAGTTCTGACTTACAATTCCTCACTGACTTTGGGTTTACACTTAAATATTATTGTCACTTAGGAATATTACTCAATCATTCCTTCGTCTGGCCAACACTCCATTATTCTCTCGGTTTATTCGAGACCTAATTCCGCTGGTGTCTGTAGTTTAAGGGTCTCTTCTTTTTCATGCAATCCCTTTTTCAATTTAGCCTTGAATCTCTATTGTCTCGGTGTATTATTAATCAAATAGGCTTCGATTTATTTTTATTATCCATAGAACATGGTGCCAAAATTGAAGTGATTGCTTTGGGTTCCATTCTAATCAATCAGGAATCTTGTAAATTCAATTGATGTTGCATTAATATCAATGGGATTTTTCAGACTCAACCCAGTTTGCTAGCCATCGGCTATGACTTCAATGATGCCTCTGAAGATGCCTGCCTCTCTTGGCTTGTAGGATACAGTGACAGCAAATTCCTGTCCTGGAGTAAGAGTGAATGAATTGGGTTCTATTCGGAATTCAACGATTCTATCCAATTTCAATTCGACTCTTCCTGCTGCCTTCCCTTCGTTTTTAAAATGGATTTTGTCTACCTTCTCCTTGCCCACTCTCACAAATCCCAGATTTATGAATGGCTCGTAAATAATCCTTATTTATTATATTGGAATACGCTGCTTGTGCTGGAAAGGCATGCAATGGAATATTTATGCTATACTAACTATCAGTGACGATCTTTAAGGAATCCGCAAATGTATCCAGACTGGCTGTTTCAAAAGTGACAATTAACTTCATCGAAAGCCCAGCTGCAATTGCACTACATTAAATAAGGAGACCTTGCATACCCTTGCATTTCATAATCGCATCTAAAATGCGAATGGGGTTGAAACACCCGAATCCTACGGGCAGTCTGTGTCAAGTTACGCACATACACAGCAATTTCATAAGTCTGGTTTATTTGAATATCTTTGAAAATGATCTCATTCGGAACGACTTCTATTGGTGCACCTGAAGACAACAGTTTGATTTTCGATGAACTCAGGCTGCTTTTATTCATTAATATATAAAATTTTAATATATAGCAATAATACTACCTTTTGTTTAATTTAGTATGTCATACATAAATCTATTCATCATTTCATTTTTATACTCCTCCCCCTTTTCACTCTCCATATTCTCACAAGGAAACCAGTATACACATATTCCAGCACCTCATTAGCCTTCTGAAATGGAAAATAAACCTAGTAGTCCTACATGGATTAATGGGTTCCATGACCAATTTTAAAAACTTAGTTAATAGTACCCAAATAAGCAAACATCTCAAGTCGGCCCACTTGTTAGATGCTCGGTAAGACAGTGGCAGATATGTAAGCAATCACGGAGACTCCCCATAGACTCAGACCATGAGTTACGAAGAGATGCCATGTGATTTAAGACACTTTATTGAGAATCATTATCTAGACAATGTGGTTCTGCTAGGAAAGGCAGAATTATATTTTCATTTCTGGAGAATTTTCCCAATGACAGACACCTTGGTAACGTAATAGTAGATGTTGGGCCAGGAGAAGGAGAGGGGAAAAATTATGTTAAGAAATTATAAGAAATTGATCTTAAAAACAACAGACTCAAGGACATTCAGAATAATATTCATGAAGTTCTGAGGAACAAGGAAATGACTCAATTGATCATGACTAATCTTGTGTCTAAGGAAGGGACGAATGATAATTATGTATGGAGATTGAACATTGATTCAATATAAGAATTCTAGAAATAGGGACACAAGGAATTTAGAAGCGCTTACGATGGTCCTGTCTGTGTCAAATGTGGAGAAAGATCGGAATATGTGAATTAAAATGATAGAGCCAGCTTTCTATAAGTGTTTCCAAAATTAGACATCAATAAAGATATACATTTTGTTGCAGTAGCAGGACATTGGGTTTAAGTAGAGAAACCTCGAGAGTTTATTAAATTGACTAGTCAATATTTATCATAATTTTGAAAATTATTAAAAATTCATTTCTATACTAATCGTAAGCAGAATTCCTAAAATTATTCAATATTAGAGTTCATAATTATTCAATACTTTTTATAAATATAAGATTTATATCTTTTGTGCTCTCTTCATATTCTTTTGACATATAGGTAGAGGTTTGAAATTACTCAAATGTAACAACCCTTCAATCCATCTTTTCTTTGTGAAATTCAAAATCCCTGGATGATAGAACTCAATCTTCAACGGTAAGCAGTTGATATAAGTAATATATTATAGAGAGAAGAGAGATAGTAGGATGAATTTTATTATGTAATTATTGTTAAATGTAAGAAAATTTAATTCAAATTGACTTTTCATAAATCGAAAGCCTAGATCCTTGTATACAAGGAGGATACAAGATAATATACAATGAAGAGATCTCATTCATGATTAAATTCCCAGATCAAGAGGATCAAAGTATTGCGGAAAACATCAGAGTCAGAATAATGATATTGGTATCAAATTTAAATTTATCAAATAACAGGGTAATGGAAAAGACTTATAACAATTGACTTTGGAGTTGTCAAGTGAGAACGATCTATTTTTCTATTATTTTCACACGGTTGATAAGGACAATTTTCAAGTTGTAAAAACAAATTAAAAACTCAACACAGACTTCTTTGGTTATCCTGAAGTTTGTGTGAAGACATTTAGAAGATGTTAATTGGAGCAACAACAGTAAATACTTTGATAATATATCTCAAGTTTTTTACCTATATTGTACATTTAGCAGAATGCAAGAGCATAAGTGAATATAGTTTAAACATTGGAGTACAAGGAGTTGACTCTAATAACATTTGAGATGATTGCTGGGGATGAGGAAATCATTAAATAGCATGTCTATTACAAACATGGGGCAGTGAAATCTAAGTTTTAGATATTAAATGCAAAAATAAAAGATGTATTTGATTTTCATTCATTTTCAGATTCATGAATTAGTCAAAGTGAAGAATCCCTAGCTGTTGCTTCATTTGTAAAAGTACCTTCCTAATTGATGATATAATAATATTTATGTTATTTGTAATTCATATTGGCAATGCACAAATGATTGATTAATTGCATATACATAATCCCATTATGATAAACAATAAATTAATATAATATGGATAACAATATTGTGATTAAAAAATAATGGTTCATAAAATCGTCAGCAACTAAAATTGAAGATGCCTACGAGTTTGATCACAAGAAGGTATTTACTTGAACTCATTCTGAAGCTCCTTGGCTAAGGCACTTATGGATAGGTTGTGAAAGCCAAGCTGAAAGGATCGAAATATTACAGAGCTATTAAGATCATCCCAAAGAGCAAAGTCAGAAACCCCGATCGTTTCAGACGAGAGATAGAGATTATGCGAAATTTAGTAGGACTATTAGAATATTTAAATAGGATCACCCAAATATCATTAAGCTATTTGAGACTTTCGAGGATGCTAGAAATGTGTATTTGGTGATGGAGTAAGAATCATAATCATCTTAGACTTTGTGAGGGAGGCGAACTCTTTGATAGGATTATTGATAAAGGTCATTTTTCAGAAAACGAAGCTCGAATCACAATTTTGTAGATTATGCAAGCTGTAAACTATTGCCATTAAAACGGAATTTGTCATCGTGATTTGAAACCAGAAAACTTTTTGTTGCTGACCAAGGCTGATGATTCACCCCTAAAAGTCATTGATTTCGGATTGTCAGTTATATTCCACGATAATCACGTGGAGAAACTGAGCCAAGGGAAGGTGAGTATGACAACTAGAGCAGGAACACCTTATTATATCTCCCCTGAGATTTTGGATGGCAAATATGACGAATCCTGCGATATTTGGTCAGGAGGAGTGATACTCTACATTCTATTGTCAGGAGTGCCTCCCTTCTATGGAAACACAGATCCAGAGATTTTGGATGCAGTAAAGAAAGGCATCTTTACATTCAACAGTATTTTACAAGCATATCCCCCTCTTTAGTTCCTGAATTCAAGAAGGTTTCTGAAGGTGCCAAGGATTTGATTTCGAAAATGATCTGCAAACCAGAGAAACGTCTGAAATCTCACGAGATTCTCTAGCACCCATGGATGAAGTAATAACATCCTGGAGGTTCATCTTTAAGTGTTAATTATCAATCTTTGAAGAATTTTACAAATTTCAATAAGTTAAAAAAGGTTTGAATCTCAAAAAATTATTGTTAGGTTACATTGACTTATATAGCTTCGTAATTGTCAGAATAGGAAATCTCAGAGCTAGGCAAATTGTTCAAATAATTGGATAAGAATGGAGATGGTGTTTTGACCATGGATGAATTGACTCATGGATTGACAGGCCTCAAGAAGGAGTCCCAAAATGAAATTATGAATGTGATCAAAAGCATTGACACCGATGGTTCAGGAACTATCAATTATACAGGTATTCATCACTCAAATTAATAATCCCCAAGAGTTCTTGGCAGCCACCATAGAGAAAAGTGTATACATGAAGTAAGAGAGACTGTTCTAAGCATTCAAGATGTTTGATTTGGATGGAAGTGGGAAGATATCAAAGGATGAGTTGAGGTAGGTTTTGGGAAGTAAGTTTATTATATGATCTTCTAGAAACTGGGTCTGGGTTTGATGACAACACTTTCAAGGCTTTGATTGCAGATGCTGACAAAGATGGAGATGGCGAAATTGATTACAATGAGTTTATAGAAATGATGGACAAAATGAAATCGTGAGTCAATATATATTATATAATAAAATTAATTCGCAACTGAGAAGAGTAATTTAAAAAATGACTATTTATAACTGCTTATTATTATACACATTTCTTATATATTTTTAGGAATGTCATAAATAGTACGCTGCCTTCATCACCAATTATTTGGTGACCAACTTGGCTTTGCTGTTGTCCTTGCATAATTACTCAATGTGTGCTCTGTAATCTCCAACCTCTCTGAAGGACAACAGAATAATCAAACTAAATAAGGCAGCTCCCTTGATATTGTGTTCTGGACTCTTACAAAACTCGATCAACGCTTTGATATAGGTCTAAGTAACTAGTTGAAATAAATACATTTAAATGTTCTTGCTCCAAGTTTATACTCATTATCATGATGATTTTTTCATTTTCTTCCAAATGACTCATCTCAAGTTCACTTTAGATTTCATTGTTCGATAATTTTCTATAAAATGTAAACAAATTAATATACTAAAGTAATGGGATTTGAAGTAAATTGCCTATTGGTTCCAAAGCCAACTTGCACACTTGTCTAACCTAAACACTATCATCTAACAAATGAAGCATCACAGATACAAATGCCTATCTCAAATAGGACATAATCTATTCGTTCATTATATTCTCTACAAAACAAGTATTGCATAATTTTGAGAAAAGAGAGAATGCTGAAATTCTAATCTTGGTCATAGTTTTCTCAAAATTAGATGTTGTAGTAAAAATTAACTATGGAATGTATGCCACAAAATCAGTCTTTGAATCAACCAGATTTTATAAACTAATCATCGCACTTCTCACGCAAATCTCCTATTAGTCATCCAGTAAACTTATAAGACATTCGATGATCTCTTGTAATAGCTCTTTATCAATGGTCTCCTCCGCCTTTAGATAATATGATAGGCCTCCCAATCCAAATGCCACTTGGGCTCTAACATTATCACTGTCATCCTCAGCTGATTCCAATAGGGTTTTCAAGAGATTCTCATAAACGCTCTGCTATTCATATTCCTTCTTGTAACTTCTGATGAATTAACTAATAACAACAATGGCACCCAATCTATATGAAGCCTATTCCTTTTTGGTAAATCCTTCTATGAAATTAAAGAGTTTCTGTTAATCTTGAAACGATGCTCCCTTGCAATATATCATTACGATCTCCTGGACTCCATCCTCCACTTCCTCTTCGATCAACAACTTCTTGAAAACGTGCTAGGATATTCCTTCAATATTGCAAATAGTCAACAAATTTTAGAATGCCCAAATAGCAGTCTAAACTGATTACGAGGATCCAGATAATTTAGGATCATGACAAGTCATGAATCTCAATAAGAAAGTTCCCAATATACTGGCCATTGATTTTGGTAGCATTTCAGCTAGAATCTTATTTTCATCAATCAACAATTATCCAATAAATAAGGAGGCATTAACTAAATAGTTTCCAATATCTCCAGCAATGACTACAAATTACGATGATAACTTACTTCCTTCTGGATTGTTTAGGACATCAGTCAAAAACTTAAAGCTCTACACCATGAAGGCCTTCTTCTAACCTACACAATTAAGGAACAGTTTAGGGAACATACCAACTGGAAATTCTGAATGGTTTTCCAGAAGGATTTCCAAAGAATCGCTCAAATTATTCTGAGCCAATAAATCCATTGCTTTACTTAAATTAGAATTACTATAATAATTAATATAACAACAAAATTACATCAATTCTTCAGAAGATGATCCTGCTCCTTATTGACAAATCAATTAAAATAGAGTTAGCACCCTGTTTAAATCAGCATATTCACTTTGATAAACACATTGAATGAGCGAGACAAACCCATGGAGTGATTCAACAATTGGCTCATTGATCAGATTCTATAACTCTTACAGCAAAGTAGTCAATTCACTGTGGTGCAACTTTTCTCTCAATGACTTAATTAATTAAGAGTTGAATTCTTCATCTGTTTTCTAATAGATATCCAAGTACACTCCTAGACTCAACATGACTTTCTCTAAGATCAGAACCACTGATCTTTTGGCATTTGTATTTCGGTATAATATTGAGAGTAAGGTCAGAATCACCTTAAAGTAGTTCTTGTGGTTTTATTCCATCTTCAATTTTACTCTCTAAATGCTTTTCTGCAAAATCTCAATGAGTTGATCATTGTCCTTTATTGATTTGATTAGATACAATAGAGATTGCCAAACAGATATAGTTTAAGAGTCTTCTTCCAATTTGATTGTTCCCAAAAACAACAAGAAACAATTCTAAAATGTGATATTGACCTACTCAATTGATAGATCATACTTCTATTCCAAGTGTTGACTCAATAATTGTTTGACTTTGTTGTACTCAATAGGTGCCAATCGATATTATAAATTAATTGTATTGAGATTTCTGAATACATTCCCCCTTGTAATATTCTTTTAACAGTGAGTCAACACTTAATCCCTATACTTTTGGTAACTCAACAAAAATGAGGATGCTGCTGCTTCATCAGTGTTCTCGACTGACCTCTCAATGGCTTTGCTAATGGATTCCAAAGATATTTGAAGGGAGTTGAACAATTGCTCATGTCCAATGAACGGCATAACATTAGGTAAGATGTTCTTCTCCAGTATTTCTAATGAAACTTATTTGGCTAAACATCCATAAGCAATCAGCAGAGTGGCTCGAAATGAAGCCAAATACTCATCACTTCCACTTTTTTAAAAGATCGAAAAAACACTCTCCTTAAAGGAACCTGTATTTTTCTTTTGAATGACTTCACAATTCAAAATCGACTTCACTTTGTCTAGAACTAACTGTGTGTGTCTTTCGCCGATGTAACCAAAGCATTCAGCAACACACAATCTAAGATTAAAGTCTGGTTCTTAGATGGGAACATTCAGATTGAGTGCTTGATTTGTGTATTCTTGATGACAAAAACTAAACAACTTATCTAGATTGTATTTGATTGTTTCTTGATTGGTGAGAAAACTCATCAAGGTGGCTTACATTTTCATAATCGGCAATTTCAAAGCTTGTGAATTTAAGTACATGCTAAGTTACACTTGGAAATCTTCCTCTATTTAAGAGAGTTCTTTGTTTTATATGAACAATGACAAACAAACCTTCCAAATCTATTACACTTTCTCTTCGTAGAATTCATCCAATGGTCTCTTGTTTGTCAGGTATTGTTTCAAAGCCTCGACATTTTAGTGGAAACTACTTGGCACCTTCAAATCGAAAGTCTTTATTAAATGTGGCAAGAAGTTAACAGCCTCAAAACCTAAATTTGGGAAGAAGTAAGGAATCTAAATGAGGAGCAACATCCTCACAATTATCACATGTTAAGCAACAGGGGAGTTATGTGTGATTGTGTTTAATTTTTGTAAGATCTAAGTGTAACATTTAAAGATATGAGACAATCCAGGGGAGAACTTTTGGTTGTTGATGATTTCCAATCCCATCGGCCATAATAAATCATAAAAGTATTGATCTTACGAAAGGGTGGTCAATATTTTTTATGCTCTACTCTTCAATAGCTTTCAAAATTTAAATTTAAAACTTACTTCTAGTGTGGTTTCAAATGGGGCAGCCCTTTGTTTGCCGTATTCCTCCAATTCCTTATCGTGTATCGAAACTTAATTGAAGAGATAAAAGAGCAAAGCCTTCACATCCAAGGAGGTCTGATTGATTGGTTATTCTTCATCCTTGAGTTTGTACTGTATTTATAGAATGATCTCACAAATGGCATATCTAACTTCACAATCTTGTTCGAATTACAAATTCAACAATTATAAGACCAGTTGTCTTTTGTATGGTTCTGAGATCTGCTTAAAATTTCTAGACAGAATGAAATTGCAAATCCATAGACAAGAGACTCTCTCAATTGAATCCTTACTCTAAACAATAACGTATGTTTATTTACATTGATTCTTCCTATGAACAAGTCCAAACAATTATCAATGTTGAACTTTGACACTGTCTGCAGAAGAGTCAATAAATCATTCTTGTACTTCAAGGCATTGGGATCAAATGGATAATTGGGAGAGAAGATGGGGTTTTTGTAAAACTCATACAGAGACACCATGATTGATTTAATGATTCCCTCATATCCGATTCTATCCAATTTGTATAGTCTCTCCAAGAATTTGTTGAAGCCTTCGAATAATGGTCTTAATTGGTTATTCTTCTGTTTCAATACGCTCAAGTAGATCGAGGTCAATCTTTCAAGACTGCGTTCCAATCTCTCTCTGGAGATGAATTGACTCATGAATCCCACCAATGACAACACTTGCAATTGGATTGTTGTCTGCATCCAATCCTTAATGATTTAGTCGAAGATAAGCCAACTCACATTTTGAACCTGTTCCTGATTAATATGGACCTAATTCTCTTCGAAATGATTGAGGGTCTTATAAATAGATTGCAACAATGAACAATAATCCAATCTACATTGATCAGTCTTCACAAGAGAGAGAGACGACAGAATCTTCTATAAGATTTCATATGAAAATTGTCGGAAGTATTCTTTGCCTAAACAAGTTTAACTAATACTTTACTTTGAGATTCAAAAATCTGCTGAATGATCTTCAAAATAACTATTTCAGGAACACGTCCTGATTCAAAAAAGTCAGAGATGTGATTGATAATCAACTCATCGAAAACATCCATTAATTTAATGTGGATATCACTCAGCAATTAGTTCAACTCCTCTGAAATTTGAGTCTGACTTAGTATTCGATTTATTATTCGTTTTAACACTTGTGTATATTGTATGACTGCTAATTTGGCATCCTCTGTTTTGGTTAACAATCCAGCAACTTGAAGAGTCAACTTAAGCACTCTGATGTATTCACCATTGATTTCAGCCATCTAAACATACATTCAATACATACATCATCCAAAATCTCAGAACATTTACACAAGTAGATAACAGGATGCTTCTACATCACTTAACGACTTATCTATTCACTCTGCTTTTCGTCTCCATCCCGTATGAATTGTTAAATTAAACCTAGTCTAGCATGAATCACTTACATTCCAGCAGCTAACTCATTTTAATTATTAATAAAATAATAATATCACAATGACATGTAAAAAAACTTATTTATTTCGTTTGCAAACTAATCTCGCATCATTAAATTCAGTTATGATATCCCCATATTAACTTGTTCATATGACATATGACGACTTTCTGTATTAACATAATGTGGAGACATTATATTTAATTAAACAGACTTTTTTTAATTTAACTAATTTAAACTGAATGCAACGAGTACCTCAATATGCACAAAGACCTGTAGTTTAAGACTCCTTCCGTTAGTCCTTCAAATAGACTCCTGACAAAGAGAACACATACGCATAATTACAAAAACGAAAACCCATACAAGCCTATCCACAATACCAATCCACTCAGACCCTCCAAAAACCAGAAATGCGTCCCAACTCCTCTCAACCCAGACAACCATCAGTATAGGCAGTGCCAAGACCATCCTCAGCATCCAATGACAAAATAGCCTTCTCCAATCAAAAGCAACCATCCAGATGCTCATTCAAAGAATTAAAGAACTCAACATACATTCAACCATAACAAGCTACACCTTAATCGAGATATTATTCATTAAAATAGGTTCCAGATAATACTCTTGTGAAATCATAATCTAATTAACAGTTGCCAAACAAATAAATTGATTAATCAGAATATAAAAAATTACACGAAAAATTGTTATTTTTAGAAAACAAGATCAACAAAATTAAATCCAATATTGAAATAAGTAACTCACAACTCCAGAAACAATCTGAAAGAGCCAAACAAAAACCAGTTGGATTAGCTGCTAAGTTTTTTCAAAAAAAAGACCAAGAAAATTATGAACCCAAAGAATCTAGCACACCAAAGGAACTAACAAAATGTGCAACTGCACTCAATCTACAACTCAACAAAGCCTTAAAATAAAGTCAAATAACCAAAGAAAAACAATCTACTGTCAATCTAGATCAGTTCGTTACACAAGTCAAGCAAATAAAAAAACCAACTCAACCACAACAATCTCAACTCAGCAGACACTAATCCTTAGAAATTAGTTAAAATATCATCCCAACCACTAAAGTCATTGTCAATGAGAAATCCTATTCATCCTAAAAACCTAAAAAAGATGACACTGTAATTATTCAACCTTATATCTAGTTTCTGTATTATATATCAAGCGTAGTGAAAGCTTTAGTCTAAGAATAGGCTAATAAAAATGATGAAGTCGTTAGAGATCATATTGTGTAAACCATACAGGTAAAAGCATTTCTTATCGCAAATTAGGGACTAGAGTATGCTAGGAACCTACAATTGCAATTCTAAGAGGATAAAGTTGTGAATCTACCAAAATCTAATCATCTTAAAACTGTAGTTTTTGATTTAGATGAAACTCTCATTCATTGCAATGAAAGCGTGGCTGTTCCTGGAGATGTCGTATTGCCAATCACTTTCCCTACTGGAGAAACCATTCAAGCTTCAATCAATATCAGACCTTTTGCTTAACAAATACTTTAAACTCTATCTCGTCATTTCGAAATTATTGTTTTCACAGCTTCGCATTCATGCTATGCCAATGTAGTCTTGGATTACTTGGACCCAAAAAAACAATGGATTAGTCATAGACTTTTCAGAGATCATTGTTTACAAAGTGAAGATGGAGCTTATATCAAGGATTTAAGGTATTACAATTTACTTATCTCTCTCTAGAGTCTTAGGAAATAGGAAGTTATCTAATCTTCTCTTAGTTGATAATGCTAGTTACTCATTTGGGTAATAAATAGATAATGGAGTACCAATTATTGCATATTATGATAATAAACATGATTAAGTAATCAATTTGCTCAAATTTAGGAATTATTATATTTACAAAATTATTTAATGAAATTTAGAATGGTCACTGATGTCAGAGAACTGAATTCATAACTATTAAAAATGAACTCTTATACAAATTATTAAGATCCCTTGCATTTGGTCTAGGATTTATTCCCTGATTACTTAACAAAATGATTAGTTGTACTTTCATTTATAAACAATATAATATTATATAAATCAATTCGATTTTCTATTTAACTTAATATACAATTCTGGATATGCCCAACTCACAACAAGAGCTGATAATTTTATTACAACAAACCCTACAAAAGTCATTATGACTGGCACAACCATAATAAAAGCAAATATGTCCTAATATATCCAAAATACATCAAACAATGAAAACAAAAATGCGCTTTTTCCAGTGATAGTCTTAAGCACTTTTTTTTAGACCCATAATGTCATCTCTGTTGTTACATCAGCTCGCTTCTTATATTATTCAATATTTTTCTCATTTTTCTTGTTCATTATTGCCAGATGTATTTTTATTGCAAGAACTGCTTAAATAATGAGGACAACGCTCCTGTATTCATCAAAAAGTTGGACTAATTGGGAAAATTTTATAATGGCTGTCAAAATCCAAAAATAACCAAAAAAGGGTATGTTTTTTCTCCAGCACCATCTATAATCGAAATGCATCAACCATATTAACAACATAAAAATTAATTAATTTTAATATACGAATATTTTATTGATTAACCCTGGAATTCTCTTAGAATTATGAGCTACTATTCATTTATTAAATATTTTAATAAAAAAGAAAATTCAATACAAAACTTTAATTAACTTATTGCTAATGTTGATTAACTTTAATTTCCAAAATTTGTTAATTAATACTTCTAGTCTCAAGACATATTTAGATGCCAATAAATTGTTTCAAATTAGATTAAAGATTTTCATGGATATTCTATTGTGTAATGATAATAGTTTAGGAGCTCATAAATTTAGCTCTTTTTTAGAGATTAAACTTAGTTATATAAATATGAAATCGAATATCATACACTCTGATTACCTTTCGTCTATTCAGTAGTATGCTAAAGCATTAGAGTAAACTATTTTTATTATGAAATATCATTTTCCTACTTTGCTAGGATAGCAATATATTAATTAAAACTCTTACTTCTATCAATTAATTAATTTTATCCTGATTATTTTGCTTCTTTGGTTTTGGCAAACCGATATCCGTTGAGTTAGTATCATAAATAAATGCGTTAATAAATAGACTGAATATTTTTTAATCTAAATAACTTATATATATAAATTCATGGACACGTTGATTCTACATAGTTGTAAACTCTCTTGCCTACTCTATTATAATCAATTAAAATTTGAAATGAATCATCATGTCTTTACTCCTATGCTTTATCTTTTGTTAATTCTTGCAGAGCTACGAAAAGGCTCTCCTACATCCTAAAATTTTTCAATTTTTTTTTAATCAGATTTCTTATGTTATTATATTTGGTCATCACCATTCTCTTATCCATTTCAAAAGCATCCTTAAGGACCTTCGGATGAATGACATTATTGTTTATTTAAGAAACCTTTAAAACTCCATTGTATTACTGAAAATCTACTTGAATTAATTAAGAACGCTTGAAATTCACAGGAAAATTATGAGACTCTATTACTTGAATCCAAAACTGTCTCAGTTTATAATCTAATTATGAATTGCCCAATTGATTTTGTAAATCGTTGATGTGCATAAGATATTAGTCATTTACAACCAATCTACTGTAAAAGTAAACTATCAAGGGTTCGGTCGAGGCTACAAATAAAAAGGAAGCTAATTTGATATTAGGCATATCGAAATTTATTCCATGTTTGATATGACAATTGTCAGATAATTGATAATAAGGGATTTGAGCAAATTTTTGAAAAATACATATGTTTTTATTATAGGCTATCGTTCGATCAGGTACATAGTATATTGATGATTAAATTTTCGGTTTAGAATCAGAATATTGAGGTATGAATTCTTCCATTGTTTCTGGATGAAAATATTTATATGTGTCTGAAATTGCGCAAAACTCAATTTCTTATTGAGATGCAGTTAAATAAATGATATGGTTAAAGTGTCTCATTAAGGTTAACACTGTTGAATAATTTTTGTACAACACGAAATTTTGAAATAGAAACTTAGTTGCTATTAAAATGATTGTACTAAAAAAATAACAAATTATGTTATAAAAATTCATAAAATACATTTTGTCTAAATCAAATGATTATAAGCCTAAGAATCTTCTAGATTTTATCTATAATTTCTCTAACACCTTCGAAAAAACTCCAGATTTTCCTCACAAGCTTCATTAAATTCTATCCCCAGGGTCAACTTTTTAAAGCATCATTCTCTGATAGAAATTTTAGACACCTTTTTCTACTTGTAATTTCTATCATTTAAGAAAAATAGTATTGTAATTTATTCATTCTTTTAAGAGTAGTTTTCAATAATTAAGGATTTTAAATAATTTCTAATACATAAATTGACAAGTCAACTATTATCAAAAAATCTACTTTGAAGGATTCTACTAGTCTAATCAAAAAACTGTTAAGTTTTGATAATTTAACTAAATTACCATATGTAAATTGGTATAAAGACAATCATCATTTTCGAATTTTTTTTGTTCTTTATTTTTCTTTAATTGCAAGAGCAATTATTGTTTCTTAAAGTTGATTGTATGTAAATAATTAATTTTATCTGAAAATATCTGTAACAAGATTGTGGTATTTTTAGATATTCTCAAGGAGGCACTGCTAAAACAAATAATAAAGATGTAAAAAAAATAGTATTAAATCATTAAATGAAAAAGTTTAACAGAGTCATTAGTATAACGGTAGTATGGAAGATTCGGGTAAGTCAAGCATGGGTTCAACTCCCATATGGTCCCTCTTTTTCATAAAATCTCTGATTAAAAATATATAATAATGCTAAACTTTTCTAGTAAATATATCAAAAATTATTGCTAAATTGCAGACTTTTATCAGTTTAAATTTCAAAGTAGAATAGTAAAGTCTGAATTAATTAAGAAACAAATTATTTAAAACTGAATATTTGTATAATATGGATAAAATCAAAAATAATAATAATCATTTTAAAGTGTAAAATTCATAGGGAAATGTTAATTTGAGTTTCTCTCATTTTCTTTAATTTATTTCTCTAATGATTTCATTGTATACCTAATCATAATAACAAAATAAGAAATTAAGAATCAGAATATAGATTTATTCCTGATCACTTTTTTGATAGTAATTAGATTTATATCACTCTTAATTGATAAAAACTGGATAAAACAAAAATATCTAAATTTATTTATAACATATACGATAGTAATACAAAAAATCCAATCTTGGGAAATGATTATCATGCGTGCCTCCTTTTACAAATTAATCAATGAATGATAAAAACAAAAAAAGTATTTATAAAGAATTTTAAGATATTTTTAATGGACAACTCCCTCCTCAAAAAGAGTATTTTTGACAACACTGCGGATACACAGTAAATTATAGAAATATTCGTTTGCGCTATGATTAGTTCTCATTATCTTACTGTTTTTATAGTCATTGAAACATAAATACTTAATTCTGCTATTTTTTATACGTTATCTTATTACTTTAATTCAATATCAGAATAACATAAAAATTCCATTAACACAAAAATTTATTGAATAATTATTAGTCTATTGTAAATTTACAAAAGGAGAACCAAAAAAAGTGAATAATCAAATAATACTATTATTAAAACTATTTATTCTGTATTAAATTTATTTATTAGATATAAATTCCATTATTAAAGTCTAGTTAATATATATTCGATAACTAAATAAATTACACTAGTTGATCAAATGAGACAAAAAAAACCTTACAACATTAGAACTTGATTAATTCCAACAGAAAACCTTAATTAATAATAAATTAAAATATCTATCTTGGATTATTGAATTATAAGATTATTGTGTCAAGAAAATTAAATTATCATTATTAAGTCACAAAAAAAGAGATTGGAGATTTTTTATTTAGAAAGTAATTTAATAAATTGAAACTCATATTATTTGCTTTAAATCAAAATGCGGATTAATATTATTAAAACCCTGCAACCCTAAATTAAAATAGAGTATCTAACTATTTATAATCAATAGTATTACAGAATAAATGATAGTTTCGAAATTTCTGTTATTGCAGAGATTGTAGGTTGTGAGTAAAAAGTAGTATCTTCTCAAGTTTTATTGAGTGAATTAGTTTTTAAATATTATTTAATTTATGCAATCTCTAAATCCCAGAAAGAGGTATCCCTCTAAAACAATAGTTGTTAACAACAACACCACATCGTTTTAATCTGAGGATAATCCAAAAAGGAGACCAAAATAATTAAGGACGAGCAAATAAATCAAAAGATGTAATATATTAGAGAGACAGGAGCTTAAATAAGCTAATCAATTTCCTGCCAATCTTAAACGCATATCTGACTCAGAATCAGATAGTGATGTTTCTATCCAAAAGTCAATATAATCTGGAAGTTCAGATTCAAGTGTGAATTCTGTAAAAACAATCAAATCACATTCTTCTTCAAGAATGAGAAGGAATCTAAACCAATAAACACAAGATGTATTCTCGAAAACAATTAGATAGACTAAAAGCCAAAAGGATACTTAAAAGTAGTAATGTAACCTATGATTTTTAGGGAGGAAATTTAGTAAAAATTATTTGACAAGATGGTTGATAAGGGTACGCTTAATAACTACTTACTGAATTAAGAGATAGAATAGTTTGACTCGACTATTAAAAGGAGAAATTAATATTAAAAAAATAGCAAGAATTAAGAATTATCTGAAATATTTTCGAGCCCTTAAAATGATGATAACTAATCAAATGCAAGTGCTTAATAAAAGGAGAAATAGGATCTGTAAATAGTTTAATAGCAAAATGAAAACTTTTGTTTTAGTCCACAGTTTTCCATGTAAACTCCAATGGCTGAAATTAGTGTAAACCAATAATATAAATAAGTCAACCTATTTGTGCCCCAGAGTCTCTGATTTACATCTTTCACTCGACGGATTCGGTCCTTCGTCAATTAATTCGCAATCCTAATCTTCTATTGCTGTAATAAAATAATAATTCATTAATAGGCTTTTGATTAGTTATAAAACTTGTCCAAATAATATGAGAAAATTTGTTAAAGAATAAATTGTAATGATGGCTCATAATTTATAAAATATAGAAAACTCCAAAGTTTTAAAAAATATCATTTGATTTATGTAATAATAAGAAATAATTGAGAGCTCTTATATGGATAGGTACAAAATGTTAAAATTGAGAAAAACCTTCCTATATTTATATTTAGTTACTAGGAGGATCTCTAAAATCATAGTGAGATCAAGATTATATTAATATATCTTGACTTTAGTAACATTGAGTAACATTGTAATTTTTGTATTTGAGCATATGTACGATAAAGATAATCGATTTGCAGAATTTGATATTAGTAATTATTATAAATTAGAATATAGCGTTTTTCTGGTTTTACGTAGTTGATATAGTATTATAACTTTTAGCTTTTGGACTGTTTCGTACGAAATTCATCTTTATTTCAAGAGTAATTGATGCATCTTTAATCATTCTATATTACTATCATCTGATGTATTTTTCAGCTGTATTAGATATCACTCCGTTAAGAATGACAAGATTGCTGAAACATCTAGGATTCATTTTTGCAGGTAAATTACATTTAGTATACCAAGGATTATAAAAAATGATAGACGCATTAATAGAATCATTAAAATTTATGTTAGAATCAACGGCAATTGTTATATTATTTGTTCTATTTTTTGCATCTTTAGGAACATCATTGTTTATGGGTTTGTTTAATGAAAGATGCTTACCATCAGATGAATCAGACTGGATATAATGTAGACAAGGTCATTGTCCAGATGGAACTACTTGTCAAGCAACAAATCATTCCTATAATATTCCAACAAACTTTAATAACATTATCTATTCATTTGTTCTTATTTTGAAAACTGTAACAATGGATGATTGGAGTTGGGTTATGCAATATACAATTAGAGCATTCCATCCTATTGTTTGGATTTATTATGTGCTAATAATATTTGTTGGAGGCTTTTTCGGATTTAATCTTCCCATTGCAGTATTCAAGATTCATTTTAGTGAAATGTAATTTAGATAGATAGTAAAACCAGATAAAAAGGAGAAGTTTATTAGCTAATCGAATTTGAAGAGAATAGGACTGTATGATTTCATAAAATAAATGAATACTTTCCTATTTTCAAACTCAAATGATATCTTGATAAATGAACCTCTGATTAATGGAGTACAACAATATAGTGGTGGGCAGCTTCGACCTTTATTAGGAAGTATGATCAATGAGAATAGAATAGACATAAGTAATTTTACACAAATAAAGAATTAAATTAAGAACTTTTCTTTGAAATTGCTACTTCTACCCAAATTTTAAATTATATAGAAATATTTTCTGAACTTGGATATTAAGATATTTAGTTCAAATCCTAAAATTTAAGAAACAATTAAGAAATTTAGTAGATCCTCATTTTTACTGGAAAAATATATAGATTATAAATACAATTATGTATAGACAAGCCATTTGGATGTTTTAAGGAAATCTCTTTTTCAAGTTTTAAGAAAAACACCATTTTAAAATTCTAAAAGATTGAAAAAGAAGACCTTATACTACAAACCGATTTAAAAGAAAAAATAGCTAGTTTAAAGTCAATATAGAAAATCTAGTAAATTAGAAGAGATAGAGACTTCTCCTTCAAATGTCTAGAAATCTCTAGCTTAATTGCCAATGAAGACTTCAAATAGAATGAAAAAGGAGAATGAAAACAAATCGGAGATACATGGCAAAAAATAAAGTTCAGATTCCTGTTCTTAAAACAATAGAGAAATTCATATAAAAGAAGATGTTGAAAAATAACGAAGAATGTTTCCTTATTTCATGAGAGGATACTCAGTTATTCCTGAATATTCTCTAGGCTAACCATTTACAATAAATGATTAGGGTTAGTTAAAAGTGCTAATAAATGGAACATATTTAGATTATGTTGAGGCAGTGAAAAGAATCAATGCAAATTTTAATTTTAAACAGCAAAAGGAACCCAGGTGTTAAGAGGAATACAAAAAGCTAGTGAGAAAAGAGATTAAGAAAAAATACATAAAATCGAAAATTTGGTCTGGCAACAATGTTTTGAAAAACAATTAAATTGTAATTAAAAAATTTGATGATATTTTTCAACAATTAAATGAAAGAAACATTCAAATTTGGTAGATATCCTTAAGTGGAATTTTTATAACTTTACAGAAATACTCATTTAAAATAATGCATTTCAAACTAACTAAATTATTTTTTGATTTAACAATTCTTATTAATACATTTTTTTTGGCTTCATAGGGTATAATCAAGAGAAAGATAATTAGTCAAGTAGAAGATATTGCCACTATATTATTATCTATTGAAATTATATTTTAGTTGATAGTGCATAAACCAAGTAATTTATTATAGTGATATTAGGAAGAATAGCCAAAAATAAATATTTTGTAATAGAACTACTTGTTGTTATTTTAGGTGTGATTGAATTTGGGTTTAGTGACTACTTGAATCTAAGCGAATAATACTTAAAATTGATGAGATCTACAAAGTGTCTATTATTCTATAGATGCATAGCTTATATCTAGATGGCTAGAATAATTGGGGCAATTGCATAAATTACTTACAAATCCTATATTTACTTGGCATTTTTGATGTTCTTTATGATTTTGACATTTGGTTTGATTGGAATGGAGTTGTATGGTAACAAATTGGATAAGTACCATGAAAATGGTTACATGCATTCATTCGATGATCCAATAATAGCATTTATGACTGTATTTAATATAATGACAAATGATGATTGGTTTGGAGTTTATAAAGTTGGGACAGAAGTGCAGACAGAATTATCGATCACTTACTCTATAGCATTAGTGTTTACACTTAACTATTTTATATTTGGCATCATGATGGCAATATTATTGGATGGATTTAGTCAATACTTAGAAAGAGAATCTACAAACGAACAGAATGAATTTATGATAGAAAAGATCAAATAAAAAAATAAATTAAACAAAAAATTAGATTCAGAACTTTCGGAAAATGATTCAGAATCCGAATCTGATTCAAACTCCTCTTCTTCATCTGTTAAATAATATTAATATTAACCACAATTTCTCAATAAGAGATTATAGGAAAGCGAATCCAACGACAATGTTCAAGCATCTGCAAACAATATTTTAGTATAAATCAAAAGAGATAACTATTTTGATTAGTAACTATTTCATTCAGCTATAACTAAAAGATTCGACCCAAATGATGAAGAGAGAAAGAAAATCAAAGAGGATTTCAGTAGGTTAAAGAGCAAAACTAATATGCATAGATTGAAAAGTTCAGAATCAAAAACTATAAAATATCTAAAAGAGAAGGTTGAACAAATCTCCAAAAAAATGTTTAAACATAATTTAAAGATGTACTAAGGAGTTGATTGCGTTTAATCCTTCTATTATTTTAGTAAATCAAATTCTTTGAGATAGTTCTTCTATAGAATTAGTTTGAGCAACTATACAAAATATTTTATTGATTTAACATTATTCCTCACTACTATTTATTTAACACTCCCATAAGATATTTAGCAACAACCATAGTTTGTTACTGCATTATTTATTTTGAATTCAGTAATTTTTATTGAATTTGTAATCAAATCAATCGCTTTTGGAGCATTCATGGATAATGGATCATACCTCAACGTATTTATAAATTTTTATCTAATAGTATACTTGGAAGGTGGTTGATTTGGTGTACATATTGGTTTATTATATTGAAATATTCTAGATTGTTCATCTTCCTATTTTTATGGTGATAGAGACTTTTCTATTTTTTAGACCTTTGAAATTACTTTATAGGATAAAATGGGTGGTCAGAGTAAGGGCTGCTATAACTTAATCATTATTTGATATCATCAACGTATTCGTAGTATTACTTCTTGTATGGTTGATGTTCGCTGTATTTTCGATGATGCTGTTTTCAGATAAAATGGGATTTTGTGAGGAATAAACCAATTATGATGTTGGTTAGGGTGAGTGTACAAGATTAGGAAAAGAATGGAGAGTTTATAAACATAATTTTGATAATATTACTACTGCAATGCCTACTTTGTTCATTATTTCAACTTTTGATGGATGGAGTTCAATTTTATGGGTGTCTTAGAATAGCAGAATGGCTTCAGATGGTCCGCAACTGTATTTCAGCTAAATTCCAGCATATCTTTTTTATTTTGCATTTTGTACAATTGGAGCCATGTTTTTCTTACAGTTATTTACGGGTGTATTATTTATCAATTTAAAAGCTAATTCTAAGCAAATTGAAAACCAATAATTAACTTAGGCTCAATTGGATTATATATAGGTGTCAGAAATCATTCTACGCGATCATCCTATCAGAGCTTAAATTCCTAAATCTTAATTTAGAAGGTTATTAAATATTCTCGTCATGAACAAATATTTTGATGCATTCATATTTTGTGTTCTGCTAGTGAATTGCATTGCTATAATGATGATTCATCATACAGGTGAGCATGATTTTAATGATTAAATAAATACAATTCATCACATTTGTTCTTCGGTTTTTGCTGGCTAATTGCTGCTTCAATGTTTGATTTTGGGGATCAATAGATTCAAAGATAATTTATGGAGACTGTATACTTCCTTTGTAATTGTTTTGGGGGTTGTAGACTTGATTCTTGACTACGAATACAATTGGTTTCACGTATATAGCAATTCAACTCAATTAACATAGCACTATTAATTGTTAAGAGTTTTGTACACTCTTAGAAATTTAAGAGTTATCATCATATTTCAAAAAATGTAGAATCTCTAAAGATTGGTAAGAGTTATGTACTTTGCATTTCCATTTATGTTGAAGATTCTTTTCATACTTCTCTTAATAATGATTGTATATGCATTTTATGGAATTATGTTATATGGAAACATAGACAAGGGAGAGGTAATTAATGATTTGATTAACTTTTCAAACTTTTGGTCAGCCATGTTGACCCTCTTCAAATGTGTTAGTGGTGATGACTTTCGTTCCATAATGAATGATTGTATGCATCACAACCCCTATTGTTCAGAAGACCCTAAATATTGTGGTTCACCCTATGCCCAAATCTATTTTATCTCTTTTATGCTGATATCTAATTACACATTTTTGAATTTATTTATTTTGGCCATGATTGAGCAATTTGAATTCTTTTTCAACAATTAAGACTCCGTCCTTTAAACATACGTAGAAAATATTGATTCTTTTAGAAAGGCATGGTTCAAGTTTTCTAGTTAAAATGGGCAGGTGTTGAGTATTAGATATTTGCCTCATTTATTGATTGAAATTAAAGAACCTCTAGGATGTAAACCCTATGATAATTTGTGGGATGCTGCTAAACTAAGTTTACAATTCAATCTGTTTTGCGATATGCAAGATAACATATCCTACAATCAATTATTATATGAGATTTTCTATCATAGATATGAGCAACAAATCTTTGAGTAATGCTCTGTAATGGCTGCAAGAAAGATGAATTAATTTCATAAGACAGTTCAATTTAGATTAGCCTATTATAGAAGAGGCGGATTAAGACAGAGAAGGACTAACATTGGACCATAACTTAGATTAGATGGAAATGGCAACATTTTGCATATTCTATTGATAACATTAATTACTTTCAAATTGTGGAAGTCTTACGCTCGTTAAATAATTGGCAACATCATCACTTAATAACAACATTTTTCACAACGTACAGTTAGGGATACTGAACCAATCAAACATTCAGTAACACAGAAAAGCATCGATAGTTAGGAATCTAAAATATAATTGAATGACAATCCTCCTATATATTAAAAAAGAGGGTTAGGGAGAAATAAGAGAGTTCAATTATAAGGTTAGGTAAATGATTATTTGGCAGGAGATTATATTAATGTATTTGATATCTTTCTATTATTAGCCTAAGCCTGCATTGTATAAAACTAGTAGTTCTGGAATTGAAGAGGGCGATGTTTAGAAGATTTATCATTCGCACAGAATTTAAAAGATGAAATGAATTTATTATTATTAATACTAAAGTATAAATTTGAATTGAATTAAACTAAATTGAATTGAGATCAAGTTAATTTTCATACTTCTCCTTACGATCTAGAGTTGTTCTAATAGCTTTTAATAGTAGCATTTTTTGAGGGTTTGATTCTTTCAAATAAGTTTCTACTAGATTTGCTTCTTTTGTACATTTTCTTTTCTACTCCTTTCACAAATAAATAGTAGTATTCGATTTTCTTTAGAATTACCTCTATGTTAAACTCAGGGAAATACATAAGTGCAGGTTTACAACAATCCACCTGATAATTTTCATTAGAATGAACTATATCTAAAATCTTCTGTTACAATGAATCGTCTTATATATTTTCACCATATTCACCATCCATTTCAATTTGACCAACACTCGTGATCTAATTTGTTTACATTTATTTCCTAGATTCTCCAATACTTTATCTTTTTAATTTCTGATCCAAAACTGCCGGCAGCTATTACTTCTAAAATTATTATTAGAGAACTGGACTTAAATTTGATTATTAATGTTAATAAGACTTACGTTAAGGCTTCTATCCCAATTGAATCGTTGTTTTCCTTTTCTTCCTTCTCTACTCCCCTCCACCTTATAATCTCCTTTCTTGGTTTTCAATCTATTTCCGTATCAAAGATTCTTGCATTTCACTTGATTCACTATTTTTGCTGATTTGTTTTATGAGTAATTTGTTCTATTCTTATTCTAATAGACTTGTAAAATTCCCTGACTTTTGAGATAATTGAAGACTACCAAACTCATCAAAATTTGATGAACGACGAGGAGTACCTTAAAATTACTTTGAAAAGTATCTAGCATTAGTTGCATTTGGAAGAACAAGTAACTATGATTGCTCTAATACTTCTATTCCATTTTCATTTTATTCCTTCTTATGAACTTAGAATCCTTTTTATTTTTCCTTTCCAAATTGAATCCTTTGGAAATTTATGATACTTTTTTTCAAATCATGTGTTTCTTTAACATCTTTAAAATCCATAGTAGCAACTCCAGACATTGTTTTTGCACATTTCTTCTAAAATAACCTTTGCTTTTCGGTAATTGTGGGTGATTGAGAATCATTTAAATTTTTGGATGATTCATCATCATTTTAAGAATCAATTTCCATATTCTAAGTCAATTAAAATCCTAAAGATATTAAATATTCGTCCGTATATTCTCTATTATAACTTAATTGATTTACTCTTCAGATAAATTGCCAACGATTATTTTTAGTGCTCCTTCTTATATACTATTCAAACACTCTTTCGTTCTTGATTTCGTTGTATTACGATATGGAAATTTGATTCTATTATTTAATCTAACTGAAGTGAAACGACTGGATATTTTATTGAAGTTAGGTTACAAGAATACAAATGGGCATCTAATCCAATTAATTTTAGATAATTACTAAATGAAGTTATGAGTCCATTCACAAATTTCGCATACATTTCCAGATCCTTTAAATTAAGGATTAAACAACAATCTATCTCTCTTCATACAAAATATTTCATATTCTGTATCATTCTCGCTAATTACATTAATGAAATCCTCATAACTATTGAAAACTTCAAATAAATAAGTACTCAATATATGCCATTTATGTGAATTTTAAAGCCCTTACTTTGTATTCATATGGCTGCTGTGTGATGAACTCTCTCTCTCCTAATACTGCTCTAAAATTAGATACATATGCATTACCCAGAACTGACCTTCTTGAGAAAAGTTTCAGTGGCTTCATAATAATCATTTTCATCTAGTAAAATTCATATATTTAAATTACTCTTGTGATCTGCTACAAATTCCAAGGCTCCTGAAAGTATAAACCAAACTTTCCTAGGTTGATCGAATCGAGAATACAAAACCTCTTCAGGCAACACTTTCTTCTCCTTAACATATTGACATAAATTATTGATGGTTATTTCTTTAAAGTTTTCTCTAAGGAATCTTGACTTCTTAAGCGTATTGCAATATAAATCAGTCAACACTTCCTCTCTTAAATGTTTGGTTAATTGACTGATGAATATTTCTGCGTGGCTGTCTTCTTCTTGTTCCAGTTGGAAAAAGTACTCAAAATACTTCTTCACCTAGGACATTAAAGAAGCTCTTACCTTTAATGATAGATTTAAATTGAGACCTCTTTTTCTAATATGCGAATGAATTTGGCGTAGTTTAAATTTGTAGATAGTCTTCTTATCGGACATCTATTTAAAAATGTTGCCAATATTTGAAATTGAATAACCGAACACTCCACAAAGCAATAGCGTTACAATGATTACAAATATCCTTTCAAACGTTGTGACAGGTACTATATCTCCATAGCCAACTGTAACTGTTGTGATTACACTCCAATAAAGAGATATGATATATCTGTCAAACCAATGATAATCAAAGGCCTATCGGTCATAATGAGTTAGCCAATTATCTGTAATACCAAATGATTCATATTCTGTTAAGGCAACAAAATGCCATGCACATCCACAGAAGTGACCTGTCAAAACAAGAAAAAAGATAAGTTTTAAAAGATCAACAACAATTTGTATATTTTCCTCATCATATTTATTTATTCATACCTCCAAATTCAACATTTCTTCAATGCTTTCCATTAATGGTGCCAACCTCGTCAATCTAAGTAATAAGGTATATCTAACGAATGGTATATCCAAATTAGACATTAAAAATGGTATTACTACAATTAAATCCCAAAAGAAATTGTCTTTTAAATAATGTTTCACTATTGACTTTCTATCTTCATGCATTAATCCCTTATCATAATAAGCAGTATTAAAATTAATAATGATTTCAGCAACAAAAATCCATGATGGCAGCAAATCAAATAAGTATTCAAACACACCTGAGGTTGAAATATTGAAACTGATGTTTATGGGGATGTAAAATATGTTCATCACAATGAAAAGCAATAACAAAATATCCCAAATTATTTTGAATTTGCTATCTGGTCTTATTACAATGATATTCCTGCTTAAGAAATCTTAACAATTTTCCAAACAATGTAGTAGTCTCGTCGCTCTTTTCTGAAAATTATATTTCAAAATTAAAAACTAACAAATTAGATTTTTAATACTAAACTAGGCTATTACTTAATTTAACGAGAAATTAAGATAAATTCAAAATTACTAGACACATCTCCAATGACGGAAAATATTTTCCTTGTTAGCAGTCTAAACTTTATGGTTTCGGTTTTTGTCTTAAGCTATTAGATAAATCTGGATACTAATCGTATTATTATAAACCCCTTCGCTGCCCATACATTCATTAAATCTGTAAATCACTATAATTTTTACCCAATTTTCCCTTTATTTATTCCGCTATTCCTTTTTGGATGAAAGCTCGTTAGTTTGATTACTCTTTTGCTAGATTAATTCCTTATTCTTTCTCATTTTGTCTTCTTCCAATTCAAATTATTGTACAAAACTCTAGTATTTATCAATTTTGGAACTTGATTTTACTCCTTAAACTTATAAATTGTATGTTGAATCAATTATTAATCCAGTATTCACTTTTTACAAAGGGCTGAAAATTCCCTTTTGATTTTTCTAAATACTAACACTTCTCTAGTGGCGAATTAAGGAATTTGTTCTTGATTTTACAGATTCTTAATCAAATCTGTTATCACTTAAATGATCCGATTAATAATTTACCTGACGCTACTCAAATAAAGATCTTCCTCAGAACTTTCTTATTTTTGCCCGTCTTTCAATGCCCTAAAATTATTTCTTTCGAAAATGTTTCTCTTTTCTTTCAATGCTTCATCCATTGGCTGCTCATGCTCATTTTCATTAGAGTAAATTGGTAGTAGTTCCTAAGATCGAGGAGACGAGATATTCTAACTATAGAGAGGATTATCTATGCCAAAGAGCGGACTCTCCTTTTTTTTCATTATTTTATTTTATATACATAATTTCTATATTGACAAATCTTTTTTAGATATGAATTATCACTAAATGAAAATGCTTATTCAGAAGAAATGAAAATTAAAAATTATCAAATTTCACTTCTGCCTAATAGAAATTTATTATTATAACATTTTACCTCCACAAAATCAAGGATAAATAAATTACATCATTCTCAATCTGTAAATCTCTATCGAATCTACTCAATAATTATATATAAATCACCTTTAAAATTAATATTAAATAAATAAATAATTTACAAAGCTAGTGATATTTATGTTATTTTTATTTATTCATTGAATCAATATATGAAAAATATTTATTATCCCAAATTTATTGCCAGGTTTTTAGGTGCATTTCAACAAATCATATGTATTTTTAATTTTAATTCTTAACAGTATCCTTAAACAAAAATTTGAATTTTAGGACTACAATTCTATGTAGAAATATAATGATATTATTATTAAGATAGGAGTTTGTTAAAATAAGTTATTTTGGAATTATTTTAGAACTACCCAGATTTTACTAAAGTTCTGAATTTAATTAAAGTAAACAAATAAATCATTCTCAAATAATTAAACCCACTTGGTATCATTTCCTTAATTTCTGTGTATAATGTAATACTATAATTATGTAGCACTATCATCAAGATTCACAGAATATAAAGTTTACTAATTACCTATGATAAATGAAACCAAATATTAAAATAAATAATAATGATAAACTCTTTAAGAAATATTAAAAAAGAATTGCAAACTTCATTAATAGATGCAGTCTTACTATTGGTTTTCTGTATATGAACATTGTTGAATTTCAATGCAGCAACTAGTAAATAGCCAAAATATCCACCCCCCATTAATACGTATTTAAAAAAAATTATTCATTCTTTTGCATTAAGACAATATTGTTCTAATTAGTCTTTAAAAAGATCAATGATCTTGATATTTAATTTAAATAAGAAAATTCGTAAATTATTTGTTCATTTTCACTGTAGAAGATAGTCAACATTGTTAATCATATCTTATTGTACATGATCAGTAGGGACAGTCTTAGATTTTACCCCAAAATATATGATACTTTGGAAATTACATTAATCTTAATAATTTTCGATGTCTACTTCAGCGTATTTAGTTTTTATTGGACTCATTCATTTTGAGAAGAAGGATTAAGAGAGAAGAATATTGAAGAAGGTAAGCTTAGCTTCAATAGACGATAATGACATAATGGAGTTTTTGAGAAATGAATAGGAATACGAGAGAAAGAGAAACAAAGCTCAATCTCTATTTTTGCATAGATTAGAGTAAAGTCCTGATTATATATTGGTATTGTAACCATCAACAATGAATCAAGCGAGTTAAACATTAAAAGGAATAGAAGATCACATATAGTTGCATTTGCTTACTGAATTGCCTGAAGAGGAATGGAAATAGAGAGCTATAAAAATACTGTTGACTTGGAATCTGTCGGAAAAGAAGGAATTGAATTAATTTGCAAAAGGCAGTGAGCAAGTTGAGAAACACTTTCTGGAATTTGGAGTTTTATTTTTAGTATGTGCAGTTATTGGATATGTTATGATATTGATGATGAAACATATGATTTGAGGAAGAATAGACATTTATAATTTTAGAACAATATTGAATTCAACAGCATCCTCCTTCTTTTTTCTTTTTTTTATTTTAGTCTTCTACAGTAACTTTGACACTAGGATTTTATGGCTTTTCTGTTTTCTTACCTTCAACTAATTTGTTTTGTTCTTCATATAAGATCTGCTCAGCAATCGAGACAAACAATTCTTAGATTCCCTTGTTCTCCTTGCAACTGGTGAGCTTGAGAGAAGCCCCAATTTGCTAGAATAAGCATTTCTAATTACTTAGGCATAATTGTTTGCTTCATCATATGACACTTTCTCGTCTTCAATCAAATCATTTTTATTTCCAACTAGAACTTGGACTAAAAGTGTAATAGGAGATCATACTTATCTTTTTAGGGCCATGTGCTTTTAATTCGTTGACCCATGATTTCAGCACATCAAAGGAATCCTTATGTGTAATATCATAAACTATCAATGCAACTTGAGCCTCTAAAAATAAATGAGCACAAAACCTCTATAGTACAAAGGAGTGAGTGACTTGTACTTTTCTTATCCAGCAGTGTCCCAAATCTGAAATTTAAAATTGATTCCATTGACTTCTATCGTTCTAGCCATGAAAGCTGCCCCCAAAGTGGATTCGTGAGTGACTTTAAATATATCTGAACAGAATCTAAGCACAATCGAACTCTTGCCTACTCCTGAATCTCCTAACAATACGACCTTAACTTCACGATTCATTATTTAATTAATTGAACAATGTTATAGAATATAAAAATAAGAGTCCTCATAAAAATATGTGGAATAGCCATAAATTACATCAAACCCAAAATTGAAGAATTTAAATGAATGATCATTCACTTATTACTAACTATATTAATCACAAAAAGATTTATAAGCAAATAAAATTTAGACATTCCTAAAAATTAATGTTGACGATCTATTTACACCGTGATCTATATATTTCATAAAGTTGATTACTAAAGGTAAAATGTTTACACTAAATTTTAATGATTTGATTATAAATATCTTGTAAATTAACTTATGATATATATAGAGAGAATATGTTTAATTAGAGGAATTAACTATTAAAATTTGATTCTTTGGCTTAAAATGATCTCTTCAATTATGCAATGATTATTAAGTGCTTGATTTTATCTTAGAAATTAAAATTTACCAATTTCATGATGATAGAAAAAATACTTAATTGATTAATCTATTGAATTCTTATAATTATTATTTAAATTAATTAATATATTTATATATTCAAATAGTCTTAAATAATTAAATAAGTTCTTGTTGATTATTTAGATAATAATTTGCATAGGATGGCATAAGTCCCTGGGAAACTGAAAATAGACTAGCATTCTATTAGATACCATAATAAATGTACTTCACTAAAATACTTTCTACTCTAAGTAATAACCTTAAAGTGAGAGAAGATATCCTCGTTTTGTATCCCTCTTGCTATAATAAGAGCAAAATCCAATTTGCCTCTTTATAAATTCTCCTTCTGCATAATGATTTCCAAAATCATTCCTTTATTTAGATTTTTAGGACTTACCTCTACTGAATGAGATCCTATTATTAATTAGAATGTGGGGTATCTATCCACTATCATTTAGACATTTTCAACTAGATCCTATATCAGCTATTAAACGTATTCATCTGAATTCATAAGTTTCAAGCTTATTGAACTTTCTTTGGATTCAATCAAGGCTCCTTCTGTTTTCATGGCATATTAATTGAATATCTTCCTTACCTGAATCAGACATTAATAATCCAAATTAAATAGGGCATTCCATTGCAATTAGTCTGATTTATACAAAAACCCGTTTTCTGCAAATAAGCTTATATTGTAGCCACTAAAAATAGAAGACAATTCATTAAATAATCCACCTGATACAATATACACTTTATTCGTTTTTGACAATTCCTTAATCCTATTCAATAATTCTTATTCGACTTATCTAATCATAACTGCTTCCTCATTCCCCTTCAAATGAGGACTCTGCTAAAGAAAATGCTTGGGTTTGTAATCAATAAAGTATTAATCTGTAACAATAGTTTCAAACTCTATTATGATGATTGGCTTAGTTGATTGCTAATATGCTTTTGCTACAGACTAGATATCCAGATGCTGAAATTTCAAATTATGTGCCACTTTAATCATCAATCCATCTTGAAAACGTAGACTAATCTAAGCAAATTTGAGCATTGAAACAGCCTTCTTGGCATCAATAAAAATGTTTTCTATCCATTAAGATGTTTAGTTTTGTCGAATTATCAATTAATCTTTCTCTACTTTAAGTTTGTGCAATTAAGTGAATTAATATTGTTTGTTAATTACTTTTATTAATAAATCTGCAAACTTCTCTTTAAAATCAATATGTGAAAACACATTGAATGTTACAATGGATTGAAATCCACGATGATAACAACTTGAATCACTAATCAAAGCAATAGGCATTTTGTTTAAATGAATATACTCTGATAAATAAAAGTCGTGTCTACCACTATATTTACATTGCAGATATATCTTAGCCTTTTCAAATACTTTAAAACGATGTTTAGAATCCATTTCTTCTTCGATCAATTTGACAAAGTAGTTGTCTCTATTGGGGTACAGATAAGAATTGATTTGCTCGATCTGATTGAGCAATGAGACTCTTTGCTCATTAATGTCGTGATCTTCAAAGGCCTTCAAGAGAATCTGTATGTATTTGATATGAGGATTCTTCTAGATGATATCAGTTTCCTTAATGAATTTGAGAAGATGTCTAAATTTCAATTCAACTCCTGATTGGTGTCCATATGTATCAACTCCCACTATTTTTATTTCGTTATCATTTTCTACCTTGTCATAATGAAGTTCACCTATTTCGTAGCGTTTTTCTCCACAAGCTGTGAGTTCTATGCCTGGATTTTGTAGTTTCACCAAGATTTCTCTTCCATAATAGTGGAATGCTAAATTGCCTTTGAATGAGTGATACTCAACCTTGTAGATATCCTTCATAACAGTTAAGAATTCATTTGCAGTTTTATAATTGCTAAAACAAATGACATTGGCATGTAGAAATGAGTTTATGATTTCATGGAAAAATGGAATCAATTTCAAATTATCTAAATGAGGGAACAATCTATTGTAAAAGATCACTAAAGGCAATCTAGTAAATTTGTGATTCACAAAGATTTGACTCAAATATAACAATCTATAATCGGCTATCAATGCAATTGAATGTTGATTGATGTGAGGTTTAATTTCTTGAAAAAATTCATCATTCAGTTTTTTAAAGCATTCTTGCATGTAATCTGAATACTCAAGGGCTGCTAGTTTTGTGATACTGACATCATTGTTCATAATGGCTTAATATAGTTTACTACAGAATTCTTTGTTGAAATAATCCAAACATTCCTGATTGACAAACACAGGAACAAATCCAAACTGTTTTAAATAGTTCTTTAATTCCACACTTTGATCAGTAATCTTCTCTCCTAATTCATTCAAAACGATAGGCAATCCAAACCAAATTCTTTTAAATTATTGAACTCCAAATAGCAAATGCAAACTAAATGAGTGCTGGAAATTACTTCTTTAGTAAGATCCATCAGTTTATTTAATTATAACAATAGGTAGATAATATGTTGATATTAGTAATGAATCCTCGTCACTAAGTCCAATCAAAGGGTCATCATTTATTTCATATAAAATGTCATTTTAACTAAAATTCTTCAGCTGTCTGAATTTGGGATTCTCCGTATACAACTAATAAAGCGATGAAAATTCGCTATCCTTATTTAGCTCCACAGTTGGTTTCTTTTTGTCCTCCTCCGATTCCGAGCTTTCTGAATCGTTTCTGTTTGCTATCTCCTTTGCAAAACTATCAAACCCATCCACGGAATCCTCCGAATCGTCATTGGCCTAATTGAATGGATCAAATTGATCACTCAATCTTGGCTTAGTATATTAACTCAATATCTCCTGATCCAAACACACACTCGACTTGAATCTCTTTTCAATATATTCCTTCCCTTCGTAATTATTCCAATCGGCCGTCAATATTACTTTCCAGTATCTGCACCTGTACTTTCGATTCTGAGGTAATTCTTCCCAAATTGCTGTCCCATTATCTAAAATCACAAATTTAAATTCCAACTTAGTCCCTAAATCAATCACAACACCTTACCTTGCTTAAATGCTATTGGTTTTTCAGCCACCCATTTTGGAAATATTTAAGGATCTGTTTTTAGAATGCACAAGCATTTCTCATTCCAACTCCCCAATTCTTCTTAGTTACCAATTACTCCGACAACCTAAGAAAGAGTTGTTCTTACAGTCACATGAAATAATACTGAACATTCTGTATTCATTTTATTATTATTTAATGATATCATATTTCTGTTACAAAGTCAATCTCATACATATTTATATTCAATAGCTAATTTTATATATGTTTATTTCAATTAATCAGCTAACAAATCTTCGAAACCCTTTCGTATAACAAAGATGGTTGAATCTCAAAATTATTGTATTATCCAATTTTACTTTTTCATATTTTCAAACATTATAAAAATAATTAAAATTTCTAAAAACCTAAGATTTTAAATTTGGAGTTGAGACTAAATTAGACAAGAATGGAGTATTCACTTTATTTAATTATAGAACTTTCTTTTTACTAGCTTTACTTTATTTTTTAATGTTTAAAATGTTAATAAATATTTTTGTTAATTTATTCATCAACAATCATAAATAAGTTACTTATAATAAAAGAAGTAAAAGGAATTAGTGGTTTTAACAAGTTATCTATTTTTTTTAATTCAGTTTATTTTCTCCATTATTACCCTTTCTAAATTAATTTTTGCTTATTTAACTATTTTGTCTTGCAATTTCCTTTGAGAATAATAACATCCAATTTATCCTAATTTTATTTAATGCTTATAAAACATACATCCACCTATTTCTTTATAATATGAGTCAACTTCTATGAATCCATTGTCTTAATAAACATGAATATGCTATTGTCAATAAAAAATACACAAATAAAGAATCACAAAATGGGCTACTTTTCACCCACTGCAGAGAGGATTATTTTGACATCTTCTTCTTGAATGGAGAAGGGCGAAGCTCCTTGATAGATTGGCAATTCAATATTTGATTAATTTTAACTTTCATTAGTGTGATGATGTTTTTTGTTATCAAAATTATAATTGACAGTCGCCTCTTCACATGATGGCTCCAACACTTCTGGTTCCATTAGGTCATTTACATTGTTCTTATCACTAATAATAAAATATTGGAATAGTTACTTCTATTCTAGTTCAGTATGTCTAGATATAGCGTCGTCTGAAAATTGATTCTATTTGTTTGATAGCTTTCTTATGAGGATCCTGCTATATGATTCCCAAGTTTTAAAGAGAATCAAAACAGTAAGATAATCATGGAGAATATTGAAATTAGCTTTTAATTAAAGTGCCGAACTGATGTTCGATCTTTCGATATGTCTGTTTTTCCTGTAATACATCAAACGTAATTGCATTTCTTTGTTGAACTACTTAATTTATTTGATAGAATCGTGACTACCTTCCTTGAACACGTCAGCATGGAATTTCACTCTGAACAATTCATAAATCAATTGATTGTATTGAATGTAACCATGAAGATCACTATAAATAAATCTAAACTAATTACCATTTTAATTTAAATGATGATGCAATCTTAGCAACATCCCAAAGATTCTCTTCCTCTCCTCCGCCAAGAGGTTTGCCAATATCTAATAGGAATTTGCATAAGAATTTATAATGCATGGTTTATCCTTGTGTTTCAGAGGAGTACTTGCACCAAATAGTTTTAATTTTATCAATATTTTCTACATATGATTGAATGGGTGAGTCTTATAATTGGAAAAAGGATTCAAACTGTTCTACCAAACTTAACAAAAAGAGTGTTAACAGAACATAAGTGGAAAAGAACATGAATAAGAAGAAGTAGATTTGACTAGCAAATGATCCACAATATTTAGGATCTTCCCAACATAATGGGTTGTAATGCATTGTGTCTGTCATAACTGTCCTCCAATCATCACCTGATGCACATTTGAAGAGTGTTATCATAGCACTAGCAGCTGTCATAAAATTAAGTTAGTCATCCAACACCTATCCTTTATCTATTGTACCAAATAGCTGACAACCAAATAAAGCAAATACTAGCATAGTGATTATCAAAATAGAAAAGATCTTGCCCAAATAAGGCAAAGCAAATAGAATAACATTTATCAATCTTTGTAAATTGATAAATCCTTAGAATATCAATATAATTCTTAGACTTCTTAAGGAGAAAAACAATCGAAGCAATTAGTACCCACTATCATTAGGAGTTGACTTGTAATAGATCATTATCCAATCCACTGAATAATCTGCAATGAAATCTATGACTGCAATCACTATTAAGAAGAAATAAAATCTTCTCCAAGAATTATCAAAAAATCTATTCATTCCCAATGCCAAAAACAATAGGATTACCCAAACTAGATAGATCCCACTTAATGCATTATGGAAATCATTTATAGTTCTAAAGTACTCATCACTCATGTCTGATGTGAACATCAATAGGATAATGAAATCGACCCACAGAAGTAGAAACAAACATTTCTAAATTGTTGCACTACTTGTAATATCAGAAGATATCTTTCTTATTCCACTAGTGGGTGGAGTTGAGAATTCTGGAAAGTCCTTTATTAACATGGATGAAATTTCTTTAAATTCCTTTTGTGATTGTGTGACTTCAGTGTTTTCAATTTCCTTCTGATTTTTCTTGAGATTTGTGTAAAGCACTCCTGTGAAAAGACTCAAGAAGAACATCGAACCTATGAACACAAAAAGTAGGAAGAAGATGTAAGTAACCACATATGAATTAAATCCTTAAGGACCTATTGAAGCTACTTAACTATTCTCTGCAATTTAATAGATTTCCCCCCATCCATCCAAAGAGGCTGTGACATATAAAGTGGGAATGGCAATAGTAATGTTATCGAAATTATGTTTGTAATTCACCCAGATTTTACCTTCGCTTAGACAGGTTTCTTTATTCACTTCAAAAAGCATTTTATCTTCGCAATACCCAAATTATTGTTCGTACAGTATTATGCCATACACTCCAAACATTATCCACACTGACAATAGAGTAATCAAGACATTGAAAATATCAAATAAGGATCTTCCAATGGCTTCTCTTAAATTTGTTAGCCAACTCAATCTATACATCAATTTCATCGGTCTGAAATAGCCTAAATAGAGTAGGATTTTGAGAATTGGTTTGAAATCTTCAGGGTTACTACCAAATGCTATGATATTCGAAACCTGATAAATAAAATCAAAAACTTAGAATGTGGATACCAAGTAGGATCCTTTGTCCATGAACAATCCCTTTGCAATTACATTAAATATTGTATCTGCCAATTGAATTATATTGCATGAGAATTACAGAGTGTCTGGATATGATTCGCTATCTGTTTCGTAATCATTATAGGTTTTAAGGATGAAAGCAATGATAGACAGATATGTAACGATGTCCATTAGGTAGACATAGATCATGGATGTAGTAATGTGAGTCAATACAATACGAAATAGGTTGTCTTTCTCAAATAAGAACAGGGATGATTCACATTCAATACCCTCATATAATTTTGGTGTTCTTGATAACAGTCTTCTATTAATTTATTCTAAAAATAACTAGAGTGTAATATTTACTTATTGACTTAATTAAGTTGTAGATTAAATTGGGTTTAGATTTATTGAGTTCCTCGTTGGTCATATTTTTATTCGTATATATGGATTCCTGAACAGTCTCAACTAATTACATTTGTATCTCATCAGAGTTCTGTGTAATATGCTACAATTATTCATTAATGTTCTTCTGCATTTCATTTTGGATTTCCTCCACCGGTTGATCTAAATACTTTCCAAATCCATCCAATAAGACGGCCATAACCAAACCATAAGTTAGATAATTTAAAATTAGAACCATAGAAAATGAGTAGATGATGGAGAATGTAAAATCAATGTCACTTCCAATTACGTAAACACCATACCAATCATCATTTGTCATAATATTGAAGATTGTCATAAAGGATTTAAAGATATTCTCATAAGAATGTAATTATCCAAGGGAATCATTTTAATCGAATTCCCCTACATACATTTCCATTCCAGTCAGAGCATACATGAATATCACTAAAAACATGAGGAAAGCCAAATAGATGTATTAATCGAATGTCATAGAAGCAATATGACCAATTGTGATTGCCATCTTGTTATATTTAAGACATCTATAGAACAGCAAACATTTGGTGCCTCTAATCAATCTCAAATTCTACTCACTTAAATAAGTTGTCATATAATCACTGATAGTCAATTCAAAAAAGTTGATGATCACAATAACAGATTATAATATTAAATCAGGAGACCTTAAAAGATCTTTGAATCTAAAACCCAAAAATCTCATCACCAGTTCAAAGCATAAAAATATCGTCGAGATATCTTCCACTGTTGATATTATATTGATATCAACAATTCCTTAGAGTGATAGAAATGTAAAATTGTTAAGAATTACTAAATCAAAAAAGAATTAACTAAATCTGCTAGTAGCTATTATGTATGCATATTTTTATGACATTATATACAGTCCTTTTACTCCATTAATCCAAATAATTATGTCTACTTTGTTAAGCAATGATAAAACTATATGAAAATACAGCAATCTCTTTTTATTGATTTCAAGTACATCTTTACCAGACCAATTATGTTTGGTAATAGTTTTGTGGTTTTAGTACTCCTTCATTCTCATACCTTAATATTTGAATTTGTTTGACACCTGATCGTGAACTACTAAGGGGATTTTTTAATTAATTTTTTCTTTAACTCTTTTGTAATTTAAGTAATATCCCTATACAAATATACAAGGTTATCCATTTTTGAAAATGGAGAATTCTTTATATTACGTTTCTATAATCTAAGAGGCTTTCATTTTATTAAACAATTTCTGCTCAACCTTCTCAAAATTAATAATTGAATCTGTGCTCTACTCAGCTTTCTTTTGATAGATGCTTAGAAAGGGAGATGAGGCCTTGCTCTTTGTAGGAAAACTTGACCTTGCAAATTGAGTCTTGCCATACAGTTTTTCCTTTTCAATTTTCACCTGATGATAAACCATCTTGAATTTTGTGGATCTTATCTTTTCTAGATTAAAATGCTTTTCCTTTTGAATTAAATCCTATTAATCACTATATATAAATAGAACAATAATTACATAAATCTCAGTAAGACTTCATTCTAAGAACTAAAATTCTGCTTGACATCCTTATTCACTTAGGGTTATAATCTGGAAAATTTTATGGTTTTTAACCTTTCAATAACCTTCATATTAAATTCATTATCAGTATAATTGATTATTTTGATTTTCTTAGTTAAAGCATCTAAGAAATCAAATTTTGGTAGTAGGAATCTCTTCCAAGTGAAACTGGTTATATATTCAATAAAAGGTAACTTAACGATGCCACTTTCCATTTGTTTTTATTTGGCTGACAACGTTCTTTCAGTTTGATATGACTTCTTAAAGCTAGAAGGGTCTTCAATAGAATATTTGACAAAGGATGCTTCATTTAAATTGGCTCTGTATTTCTTGATCACCTTATAGATACCAATTTCTCTCAAATGTGCAACATCCAGTATTTCTATTAAATTTCTCTCTGGATATTCCTCTTCCTCCTTCAATCTCTTCTAAATTTCCTTCACCTCTTCTCTTTTCTTATTTTCTTCCGTTGCCTCTGAATAATGAACCTTCAACACTGCAATAACTATGTTGAATCCAAAGAACCCTCCAATAAAGATTATCAACAAATAATAGAGCCAAACCCAGGGATGAAATATCCTCATTGTAAAAAACATCACCCAACTCCAATCATCCATAGTAATGGTCCGTAGAATTTATCCTAAAGAACCAATCAAATTATTGAAAGATGTTGGCATTTTGGGAGTGTAATCGCTATACATACAATGCATATCGGAGGGACACTGACCTTAATTGCATTATATCCAACCTTCAGTTTCATCGCCATTCTCATATTGGCATCTGTAATTGAACAAACCTTGGAATAGAAATATACCCATTGATGCAAATATCAATGAAAATAGTATCACTATCATCAATGCTTCGACCAAGTATCTAAATGATTATTTCAGGGCAGTCATCATTACATTCAATCCCTGGAATATATTTGTAAGATACATCAATAATGTTACCAATCTTAGAGGTGATATATCGATAATGATGACTTCAGGGTAGTAAAGATTCATGGCAGTGAAGAATATCAGTACAAAATCATAGATGTTTTCCATATTTCTAAAAAATGCATAATCATTAAAAAACACTCCACTTGCTATAATTCTTAAGCCTATTTCAGAAATAAATAGTATCATAACTACTTCCTCTATGTTATCAGTATCTGTTCTTCCGTTTGTTTTTACAACAATATACAATACCACATTAAATAAGATGAGGAAAGTCATCAAAATTTTAAATAAAAAATTGTTAACTATTTTTCTTGCCATAATTGGAATACTGTATATGAGATATATAAAGCTCTTTCGGAGATTTAAGAATAGTAAATTGTCATTATATTTCTAAATAAATGAAAAAAATTACTTGCAACTCATAATTTAATCTTTGAAGATCCGATAATTTCACCAATCTAACATAGTATGGGTCTTTCATGGTGTTCCTTTGTATTAGTTTTTTATGCCTACGTGTGATTTTCTCGTATTCGATATCATTAAAATGTTCAGGTTCTACCTCTTATTAGTGATCTAATGCATTTAGAAGATCCATAGCAATTCCTGGTTTTTCAGGATCTGGCTCTGGTTTTTATTGCATATTGAGTTGATGGGAGGCTGAAGATATAAATTTGGAATAGACATGGATTGATTTATGAAGTGTGTGATTATTAACTCTGTCTTCAACCATATCATCTCTTTCGATGCTTTGGAGTGAATATTCAGACATTTTTGAATTATCAAAATTCCTCTCATAATTGGTGTCCTATGGGAATGTTTCCCTACACAATCAATACTTATTTTACTCGTGAAATTGAATTCGATTAAATTATTCAAAAGAACCCTATCGTTATTTGTAACCTCTGTCAAAACTTGAGTTCTTGAATTTTTCTGGTGTTTCATGCACATTTGGATGATGGCTACCATAAATAAATAAAATAACTGATTGTTATCCACTTGACTCTATGCTATCTATTTCTGGTTGTTGTCATCTTCAATGTATTTGAATGACTCTACTTTTCTCATAAGAAAAATGTATTAAAATATTAAAATAATATAATAATGCCATTAGAATGGATAATCACTTACAAAATGTGGATTTAATCAAATCGTGCAATTACTTAAAGTCGTCTTTAACTTCATTTGTTTCGACACACTCAATCTTGTATTGTTCGCACTCTTGTTCAATCTTCTTTGAGTCAATCAAATTAAAGACTTGTTTCTGAAAACGCTTGCTTATTGAATGTTTCTAAACTCATATTTTGGATAAATCTTACAGCGTCTAAAAACTCATCAACATTCTAACTCATCTCTTCAGCCAATACTCTCTTTCGATTCGTTGACTATTGCATCTATTTTAAAATCTCATTTCTAGTTTAAGTAATCTGAAGTGAAATGTCATGCAATTTCTGTCCCTTCAACCCATCCAAACAGTCATTCACATTCAAGTATGTTCCTAATATTCTGACAATTGAGTACTTTGAGTATTGATTGGTAAAAACATTAAAATATAATATCAAACTAAATATTATTAAATTATACCATGTAAAGATCAGAACAGGAAAGAACAAGATTGTCTATTATACTAAAATTGATCTCTATTTGAATTAAAGAGGGGGTCCTATTCATTTTTGATTAGTTTCATTACGATACCATAAAGATGATTAGATAGTTATAATTCAAAATTTAAGAAAACACTAAATATCGTAGAGATACATAAAATTTAAATGTAATTGAATGACTATGATCAGGAGATATTCACTTAATTACGTAATTCTAATTTATGGCAATACTATTTAAATATTAATGGATTGCTTTTATTTGTAATTAAATCATTAAAGATTTAAATGGAAATATTGTTGTTAATTTGTGATGATTGATGTTCTGAAGTGTTCGGATAGCAAATATTGGATTTGAAGGATGTAATTAAATTAAATTTACAATCAGGAAAGATTTGATCTAATTTTAGAATGATGAATGATTTAATCGTTGTGAGAGTTTAGCTAAATAGTTATGTATCTAAATTTAGAAAATGTTTATTAAAGTTTTATTTAAAATCATGTTATATATGATTTATTATATTTAATTTTATAATGGACAAACAAAAATTGAGAGTTACTTGGCAATCAAGTGATTGGAGTTTCAGTAGACAAAAGAAGTTACAGGAATTACAACATACCTAATCTACTTTGAGATTCCAACAATAACGAGCCTAAACAGAGTCTAAAGAAACTCTAAAGAGAATCACAAATCCTCCCAATTTCCATGAATATGTACAATTAATCGAAAAAAAATATCGGATACAGAATTTGAGTAGACCACAAAGAAAGGTTGGAAATGGAAGAAGCCTTGTTCAAATTTGTTCCACAAAATCTCTAGTTTTATACGAATCGTTACCTAATCTCAATAAATGAATTGACAAATACAATCGATAATAATATAATATAAAAAAAACAATTTAAATGTAGTCAATTGAAGATCAAATAAAATCTTGTATGTCTATGGGGAATCTAACGCAGGACATTACACTAGAATTACGTACAGAAGAGTAATCAGAATCAGCAGAATAATAAATCTAAATGCAATAAGAATGGAATTAGGATCAAGGGGAATTTAAACAAAATCAATAATAACTTTAATAGCAAGATATCAATCAGATCTAGGAGCAAGTCTGGAATTGCCCCATTTTTAATTCGGCAGCCATAACTAAAGAACTATATCAAAACCTAAGTGAAACCTATGATCTTTTAAATAAACTTCACTTGAAGGCTATTGATTTGACCAAAAAATTTAATGCCGTAGCCAATTTCCTTCCCAGATTTTTCTAAGCTATAAAGATCACATTTATTGGAATCTTATAATTAGAACAAATTGGACTTATCACAAATGATAAGGACATCATGAGTAAATCAATCAATGAAGAATATAACATAAATGTGAATAAAAAGAAATTCAATGAAAAGTCTGTGTGCATATTGTTGGAATTCGCAATCACTCATATTCTATCATAAATTTTAGTATTGTTTGAAACCATCGAAGTGAGAAGAGAGAAATAAGAGTTAAGACAATTAGTAATTTACTTATCTAAATTGCAAACCTGTCTTGAACAATTGCCAGGAGCTGCAAATTTGGATATCAATGATATATTTTGCTTCGATAGAGGACACTATAGATGGTAAAGTTTAAATAGTATTACTCAGGAAGTCCTATTGGGTTCAAGAGAATAAATATCAAAATCTTATGGGAAAGTGGCTGAAGGTATATTGTTGGCCAATGCCATGATTTCAAAGGGATCTGAGTTTAGTAATGAGGCTGCTAAGAATGTGATGTAAGGATTTGGAGCATTGTATTATTTGGTAGCCAAAAAGGATGCCAAATTGAAGGCTGATCATTTTATGGCTGAACCAAATAAGAATCTGGCATTTAAAGCTTGGAATTTGGGAGAAAGCGGTTTTCTTAGTAAATTATTACCACTTCTCTTTCCCATGATTACTTATAACAAAAAGATTTATATCCCATAACTCTTTAAAAGGTTAGTAGAAGACAACATACTTCGATAATACAAGGAAAACAACATTAATCACATTTAAAATGATTGTGGAGAATGTGTAAATACAAACTTACCAAAGAGTCCAGAGTTATTTACTAAAAATAAGGAAAGAATACCTGTTAGAATCTTATGTCATTATAATCTACAAGAGATCCAAACTGACAGTTTTGTATAGCACTCTCTAAAGCTGATACAAGGGTAAAAAGTATTTGACAGGATAATTATTCATATCCATGGAGGAGGATTTGTGAGTATGTCATCCAGATCACATTAAACATACACTAGAAAATGGGCTAAAAATTTATAAGTGCCAATATTTTCGATCGACTACAGAAAGGCTCCAGAGAGTCCTTATCCCTTTGGTTTAGATGATTGCTGGTAGGCCTATATGTTCATAATGAACTACATTGATAAGTATTTCAATGTTAAGCCAAAGAAGGTTGTCTTAGTTGGTGATAGTGCTGGTGGTAATTTAGTGGCTGCTTTGACGGTTTAAATCATTAAATCTGGGGCAAGAATCCCCGATGGCATTTTAATGGCATATCCTGCATTATGTTTGGATATCAAGCAATTTACTCCCAGTTTACTGATTTCATTAAATGACCCATTATTGCACCATACTGTATTGAAACTGTGTATATCATCTTATGTTCCATAACAATTTGATGCAGCATCAGATCCCTTGATGTCACCATCAATTGCAAGTGATGAAATTCTTTCAAGATTTCCTAAAACTAGAATTGTCTTAGGTACTAATGACCCATTGCATGATGAGAGTTTTAGATTAGCCAATAAATTACTGAAATTAGGAAAAGACATTAAAATTACTGAGTATAAATGGATGCCTCATGGATTCTTATAATTTGATGTTGTTTAAGGAATGAAGGAATCTGAACAAACAGTTCTTGACGCTCAAAATATTCTTCAAGATCTACTCACCTGTTGAAGTATAATTATTGATATAAATCTTGAAACATAAATAAATGTAAAATTAATGACAAAATAATGGAGTCAAACATATAATCTTAACAATGCTTATTTGTTTTTTTATCTGAAGTCTTCGAATTAACAGCTTTTACGAGGCTATCGCAATTGAAGTTTATTAGCTATATGATCCACCGTATCTGAAATTCTCTCTGGGATTGGTGGCAATTAAGGTGATTTATCTGAATTTCCTAAAAGTAATAAAACTATATGTTTACTTTGACAAGAATTTGTCTAAAATGTATGCGATCGATCTCTTCCTGAGTATAATTAACTCTCCTCTTTGGTATTCTCCTCAATTTAAGTAGGATTGCATGATTTATTTTGTCTGTCTCTTTCAGATCGCAACTTTCTAGCGATCTCTTGGTTTCGAACTGCTTAACTCTGTAAACTCCCAGGAACTGCTCCGTCAATATCCTTTGTATTTAATAGTCTGTCACACCAAAGTTGCCCTTATCAAAAACCAGCTTTTACTTAGATTAATCTTGATAATTTCCAAAGGCCATATGCTGTTTCAGATCTCCTTTTGCAAATTCATTATTTTTTTTATTTCTTTTATCGAAGTATTAGTTTTCTGAAGGCAAATATATATTACAAAAGTGATGAACATCATTTTCATATCTTCTTCTACCAAATCGAATGTCTTGAAGAGGCATTTATTTCCTATATAGATTATTTGTAATACTATAATCTTATCTATTCTTCTTAAGTCAATTGATTGGGCAACAATCTGTTCAAGTAGATATTCCTATGTTTTGGTTGGGCTCCAATAATATCTTCAGTTAGCAAAGATCTGTCATATTGCATTGTAGATCTGACGTATTTAATTTTATATATATTTATTATTTAATGAGAATAAAATATTCATTTGCGTACTTGATTTAACAAATTTTTAAGATCTCTTAAAGTTTTGAATTCCATAAAGTCCTTGTGTAAATCATCTAGTTTCAGAAGCACTGGTTTCAATACAAATTTCTATGTTAATCGCATATCTTACATTCGGTAACTTAACTTAATCAATCATGTTAACATTTTAATACAAGCATTTACTTTCCAATTTACAAATCTCAATAGGAATCAATGGAAATCTAGGATTTATTTAAAAGACACTAAAGGGCGTTGATATCCTGATATAATTCTGGATTTTCAAGAACCCCAATTGTAAATTCGGTTTAAGCTTTTGATTTGGATCAGTTATGGTCAAGAATACCTTGATTGGACTCTGATACTTCTGAAAGGCCTTAACACCCGTTATAGCCTATGAGTTAATGAGCTGAACTTCTGAGATCCATATGTGTGCTGGTTTTATTGATATTTCTTAAACGTGTTCAACGGTGATGTAATCAATGTCCACTTATCCAAGGGTGTTATCTGCAAACACAGTAACTTCGGCAGTTTAACCAACATGAAATTATTATTCGTTGACATTCACATCCATACTAAGAGTCTATTGATTGATAAAGGCATAAAAATACTCCATAGTTGCTGAATACTGTTTCCAATTTTAGTTCCTTGACAAGACAGAAATCCTAAACCTTCGGCATTGATTATCTTATCTCTAAGTCTTTTCTAATTATTTCTAAATCAAATAGGCCATCAGGGTTCAATTCCACTTCTAAATGATACTACAACCCTCCCTTCGATTTAATTGATTGGTAATACACAGAAGGTGGAAGATTATTGGTCAGCTACAATTCAAACTCAATAACTCCTGTCTTATTTCTAATTGTTGCCAAGTCTTTTTCATCAAGCTTACTTTCGTAAATGCAGAATTCCCTTTAGACAGACTCTCCCTCTATTTCCAAAGAGACTTCCCCATAAATACGAATGATGAGATTCTGAATAGCATTGATTTTAGATTTAGCAATTAAAATCTTGCCAGACAGCAATTCTTCTGCATAATAAAACCTATCTATGGTAATCTAGACACCAGACTAGCTATTCCCCATAAGATATTTAATTTATAATGTAAATAATATTGTTTATATTAATATTGTGCAATTGTTCATAGTTTTACGACCTAACAACTATTAAAATATTTACATCATATAGATGGAATAGATCTTAAATCTGGTTGGTTTCAAACTTTAAATCGTTTTATTTGATTCTCCTTTGGAATAAATTGATAGGAATATCTATTCTTAAGTCATTATTATTGAGGTTGAATAATGTTGAATAGGCTTGTATCCTAATTAAATAATCCACCTTAATTAATTATCCAGTGGTTGATAGTTCTATTTTGTTGTTGAAATCAAAGAGCACAATAGATTTTTTGATTGTCTAAACGATCCCTTAGACAATCCCAGGCAAATGATGTTTGGAAATTTATTCTATGATAACCTTGGGTTCTCTATCATTGATAGTGGTCCTCTTATTCAATGAAATCACGATCTCCTATATGTATTGCTTGCTTTCCCTTAGATCAACCGACAATTCCAAGTGGATTGAATCACCAATCGAAAATTCTTCACCGCTATATTTGCATTCCAATTTAGAAATCTAATATCGATTCTAAATAATACTCCTTGATAAGTATGCCAAAATCCTCGCATGGCATGACTATTAGATATGCTTCGACTGATATTTTGCCTCACTGCATATTGGTTTATAATGATTGGCAATTTTTTCAAGACAATCCTATCCAATTAGAACGTCTCAGCAATCAAAGACATTGAGTAATCGATCTTTAGTTTATAACCCTTATCTCTTTTCATTGTACCAGGGATGTTGTCAGGTAATGCATAAGTGAATGGAATTGCGATCGTTTTTTAGATCTTCAATTTCAAATCCTCTGGGTTTCGTTCCTCATTGATGTCTTTAAGCAACTTAAATTGAGAATGGAAGATATTAAAATCATTTGATTCAAGACACTCAAAGCCTTTATCCCAAGCCTCCTCACCTTGTAGATGAATATACAGTTTAGAAAACTCTTTCAAAGTATCTTAAGAATCCTCTATAATCACCATTCCTCTAATAGATCTGACACATACCTTGTACAGTTTAGTTCGGAAAATAGAATTTTGAATTGAGTTGGATTTAGATTTTATTTCCCATTAATATGAATACAGAAATTTCAAGAGCAGAACTATTATAATGGGTTAATGACACATTGAAACTCTCCCTCCAAAAGATTGAGCAACTGGGAACAGGAGCAGTCTATTGCCAATTAGTCGATGCCGTTCACCCTGGAAAAGGTTAGTATTTATTCCCTATCAACATTATAGTTGCCCTTGGTAAGATTAATTGGAAGGCTAAACAAGAATACGAGTTTGTTAATAATTTCAAAGTTCTCCAAGTAGCATTCTCCAAACTCGGAATCCAAAAACCTATCGAAATAGAAAAGTTAACGAAATGCAAATATCAAGATAATCTGGAGTTTCTCTAATGGTTAAAGAAATACATGGATTAACATGTTGTACCCAAAGACTACGACCCTTAAGCCAAAAGAGGAAATGTAGATCTAGATGATTAACCAGTTATTATACCAAAAAGAAATCCAGAAAGATCAAGAACTAGTGTAAGAAGAGACACCTTTGGCAGTCCCAATCAGATATAATCAACCAGCATCCCAAAGACCAATTCTTTTGCCCATATTGAACCATATCAAAAAAAGTAACCTTCCATTTAGGATCTACTTATTCAAATAGAAACTCTGAAATAAGAAAGAGAATTTTATTTCTTAAAATTCAAGGAGTTAGACAACTTTATTGAAGGGGCTTCCCAATTGACTTAGGAATAAATGTAAAGAGGAATCAAGGATATCTTATATTGCACTGCTGATAAGTCAGTAATTGTGTTACCAAATGGGGAACTAGAAGTTCAAGGATTGCCTCCTTTATCCGAAGAGCAATCTTCATCCTAAGAAGTTATGCAATAAGAAGTCGATTTGTGAGTGAATTTTTATATCAGTCTTAATTTGCATTTATTTGCAAAAAACATTACTAAATTCATTAATAGTCATATTTTTGTAATTATTTATCTCTTAAATACATTTAAATAAAATTAATTGAATATTGATTAGCCTTATTTATTCAATTACTTACATTTCACATTGTGAACCAATAATATAATTGATCATTGCAATCTCTTCTTAATTAATAGCATTATTGATGTTATAACTGTTTATAATTATTAAATTAATTTAATTGGCAAATTATAAAATCAAATTAATTTATTTTACTCAAGTAAGTTTTCGTAATAAATCTAAATAGTTATATTTAATAATCATAATGTTAAGTGCTATATTTAATATATCTATTCTTTTCCATAAATAGTGTGATTAACATACGAGATACCCTTGGTATTTTATTTTTAATGGATAAATTATGAGAATATAATAATCTGTTAAGAATAAAATAGTATTTAAATTAATTATAATAAGAAATGCAATAAATTGAAATACCTGATTTCAGATTCATAGAAAATACCGATGATGTACACAAGTTCGAGGATGCAATTAATTTTTGTATTAAGAGGAAAAATGAAATCGACACTGTGAATGTCAACTTAAACTAAAAAATAAAGAATTATGTAGATGGCGAAGTAACTATGCAAATTATATGCAGGATCCATATTACAGAGAAATTCAAGTCAAAAGTGAAGAGTTACATTCATAGGCACTGAACTGCACAAAAATATTCGAAGTAATATGATGTTGATCAACCATTATTTTAGTAATTCAAACTGCCAACTCATTTAGATTAGGAGTTATCAGCATACTAAAAGGAGTATAAATAATTGGAATTATAAATTAAATAGTAGGAGGATAAAAAGAAATGGGGTGCATCTGAAAAATAGAAATAAAAAGCAAAGTTAATTAAATTAATAGAAGAGATACAATTATCAATTTTAAGTAAGAATTGAATAACATAAATTATAAAGATAAATTAGAGTTGCCAGAGCCTGAGAACAAGAGTTGTATCATTTTCAATTGGATTGCTGGATGTTTAATAAAAGCAAAGAAAGGTCCTGTGCAATTGGCAGAATAACTTAAATTGAAAGTGGAGAAAGTACAACTTTAACCTGATTCTATAATCAATTAACCTGCTCCTCCTTAAAGTGGAGGCATATTTGCATGTGGTGGAAGGAAGCCACTCTCAAATTCAAGGCCCTTAAAAAGAGCAGCATTACCAGAAGAAGAGTAGAGATACTATGAAAATTTATTGGCATGGAAAGCAATAAAGTAGTATGTTTTTTCATAGGAATTCAAATTCTAAGAGAAGGTTACCACATTCACTTAGGATTTCGAAAAGTTGGAACCCTTTCAGATAATGTTGATAGAAGAGATTGTTTCAGAGAAGAAAGAGATAATCAAAGCAATATTTGATATTGATATCAAGGATTAGGTTAGAGTGATAATCGAAATTAATGAAATTGTGTTGTTTCTCTTGAAAGACAATTAAGAAGGTCAATAGAATAAAATAAAGGCATAAGAGGCTGAATAGATTGAATAGAATATGAGATAAAAGGAGGTGGAGATTTAAATGATGTAAAAACAAAAGAATTACTTTGCTGGAAAAGAAAAAAGGTTGATGAATCTCAAAACCACATTCTCAACATTGTAAGTAACATCAACTAAGATTGCTGATTTTGTTAAAGAAAAAATGAATACAAATGATTAATTGTTTGCTCAAATTGAAGTCTAAAGAAATGCTGGACTTTCTAAAGAATTAAAGGTTAATTTGGAAGTAGAAGATGTGTACAGAAGAAAGAGATATGAATGGGAAGAAAATTTGAAAAAGTAATAGACGATTGAAGAGGAATAAAGAGAAGAGGAGAGAAAGAAACTTGAATCTTAGTAAAGAAAGAAAGAGGATGAGAAGAACGATCAATCTATTATTGATAATAAAGAGGGAGTATAAATATTTGTAATTGTAGGAAAATAATGTTTCTAATATTTAATAATAAGCTAATGAAGAGGATTCTGATTATTAAGAAGAGGAATCTGATGGAAGTTAAAATGATGAGGAAGAAAAATAGGATTGGATAGTATATTTTATTTTAAAGTATTCATTAAGGTACTAGCTGAAGATGCTGACACCAAACACATTTAAAAGACTTTATTTCCTGATAAAATAAAGACAGCTGAAAATAAGAATTTAGCCAAATAAAAAAATTAGGGAGAATCTTTAAAGCAACTAATGGCAAAGAGAAAGAAAAATTGAAATTATCATTATTATAAAATTATAATTTAATAATTATGCTTTTTTAAATAGAAATATTTCATTATTTGAAAAATCTCAATAATGTGCATTAATTAGTGAAGTTTTTATTCAAACTTTTGGTTTCTCCAAAAAGAGTTTTATGTGTTTTATTAACACTTGAATCGTCATCAGTTTCTGTGAATTAAGATTTTAATAGAGTTGTATTAAATGTTGATGGCACTTTTTGTGACTCTATTATTTTCTAAGTTGATAGCGATCTCATTTCAGAAGAGATTCCACAACTTTAATCAGGCATGCTTTAATTATTCTTCTTATGTTTCTTACATGTCTTTGTAATAAGGGAACTAAAGTTTTTCATGATATTTTCCTTGTTATTATCTTAATTTCTTTCCTAAGACACTTTTTTCTATTTTAACTAACAATGTATATTAGGCTGAGATGCTGTATGAGTTTGCAACACATTCTTAACCTTACTACTTATTAATAAGTTGTTAATCTTATCATCAATATTGGATGAACTTATTTAGGTTATTGAGGCTGATCTTGCTTAAGTCTTTTGAATAATTGAAGAAAAGTAAAAATTAGAGAAAAACGGAGTGAAGACATTTTCATTATCTGAATTCAATGATTTTTAGAGATCCCTCTAAAAATTATTCTCCCCTTTAGTTATTTCATTTTAATCAAAATTCATCTTCATAAGATCTGGCTTGAACGGTGGTTCATATTATCTATTAAGAATTTTGTAAAGTGATTTATCTTACAACCAAGGATGTTTTAGAATTTCATAAATCCCATATTCCTTTCCCAAACGATTAAAAACATCCTTTTGTAACAGCTTCTACATAAGATCTCTAGATTCTGCACTGCAATTTTTGTTTGGTAATGTTAAATCATGCTATAGGATATTTTTATAGATCTATTCTGGATTATTTGAATAATAGGGAGGCAAACCAGTTAATAATTCATAAAGTAGAGCTCCCAAACAATAATGATCAATCTAATAGTTATGTCCTGATTTTAGTAACATTTCAGGTGCCATGTATTCTGGAGACCCACAAAATGAAAAGGCCAATAAATCATCCTTCATATTTGGTCTGGCCAAGCCAAAGTCAGCCAATTTTATGTTGCCATCCTAATCTATCAGAATATTCTCTGGTTTGATATCCCTATAGATAATTCCATTCTCATGTAGATGATGAATAGCCAAACAAACTTAACTAAAATAAAACTTTGCTTATTGTTCATCCATCCTCTTCACCCTCTTCAATTGTTAAAACAATTCTCCTCCTGGGCAGTATTCTAATGCAAAACAAACCCAACTTTTTGTTTCAAATACACTTAATAATTTACATAGAAATGGATGTGAATTGCTCTATTCTGCTAAAGCAACCATGATATTTCTTTCATTCTAGATGATTTAGAATTTGTCATGTTCTTAAATGAATTGTTTTGAAATCATTTTCAATGCCATAAATTAACCATTCGATTTGCATCTGACCAAATAGACTCTTGAAAATCCTCCAACACCTATGCATTACAAAAAATAGAATGAGTCCAATGATATCAGAGCTTATTGTATTGAATGTAAGGGCTTTAATTAAATTGTCTAATTGGTTAGAAATCCTAAATCTTAATTCTACGTCAAATAGAAATCCAAAGGAATGTTTTAATCTAATGTTTAAAATCCGATAACTAATGGCTAATTTAACAAACCTTTTAAATGATTAACTAAATTTAATGTGGTTTGATTTAAAGTTGGAAATTAGATTGAATGTAATAATTCATTGTTCAAGTAGACTTTTACATTCACCACTCCTGATCTATTGATTTCCTTCTTTACATAATTGCTCATTAATGATTACACCTTTTATTTTTGATCCATTGTAATATTTGTCTGTTAATTAAATAATTTACTATTATTCACAATATTTAAAAATACAAACAATATTTTTGGGTGTCGGAAATAATAATTAATACTCCATTAAATAAACAAATGTTACAATTAGAAACTACAAGAAGTGAATTAACATTAAGAACACAGCAAAACAAGAAAATTTGATTAAGGATAAGTATTAAATTTTTTGAATGACAAATTCATTATCAATTTTGTATTAGTTTAATTTACTTCGATTTCATTTTCTAAAATATATAATCTCTTATTTACTGCTAATTCTTATTCGAATTCTTTGCTCATTTTCTCTTTTAATTTATCTGCTTCCAATCTCAATAATTGTTTCTCTCGTTGTTATTGTTCTTTCATTTTCTAAAGTTAATCCACTTTATTCAATTTTTCATCGAATTATTAAGCCTTGTGATCTCTTAATTGTTGTAGTCTCTCTTAATGTTTCTAAACCAGCTGTTGATAAGTTTCAACTTTAATTTTTTCACTTTTTTTTCGATCACTATTTTGTTTAGAAAGATTTGATAAGACCTGTATTATAGACGTATAAATACATCCTCAGACTTTTTGAATCGAAGTTCTAGGGATTAATTGATTTTATTAATCTTATTTTCCAAGATGGTTTCATTTTATTATTACACACATTCAATCTAATGTGAATGATTTGACAGTTTTCTGTGCAAAGATGTTAAGTAATCTTTATGATATCCATTTTCATATTTCTCTATGGAATCCAGAGTCTTAGCAATTTTCTTTTAATATCCCTATACAATCTAAATTATAATTAATACATTCAACTTCTCTTATTCAATTTATTAACTTTGAAATAAGGTGCGATCTATATGATTTTTCCTTAATTCTGCCTTGAGTCTGCCTATTTCTTTTTATCTATCTTGTTTTTGTTAAATATTATTATATTTGTCATTTTTCTGTCTTAATTTCATTTCATTCTAGTATTCTTTTTCCTTCTGAATTCTCTCGTACTCTTATAAATGTTATTTATCTTTTTCTAATTTCATTTTGTACCTAGTTAATGGATCCATATTATAAATAAAAATAAAAATTGCAATGTAGTTAAAAATGTTTCGCTTAATCAGGTTAAACATTAAAAGATCTAGCTATTCTCAATAATTGCAATGTCTGGAGACTCAAAAAAGTAAATAAATTGGATCATTGCCACTTGATTCCTGGTTAATAAGTGCAATTGTAATATGACAATAAGTGTATTTTATAACGAGAGTTATTAAAATCTTTAAACATTTCAATCCTTATTCTCTACATGTGGGATAGAGACCACATATACGGGAATGTATAAATATGCTATGATTATTTGATTTTTCATGGTCAATTCAAAGTAATTGAGCAAAGAGCATAAATGTAAGGAAGATCATTTAAATTTTCTATTTATGTAGAAGAGATTTATAAAATAATTTTCTATCCTATCGCTGAATTAATTTAAATCGTTATATGGGGTATTTGTGGTACAAAAAACTTGATTTTGATTCATTATTAGCCAATTCTGAAAAAGTCATGAAATTTAATTGAATGTAACAGAGTACCTGAGAATCAAAAGAAACTACTCATTGAATAAAAGACTATAATGGGAGAAACCAAGTCAGTGAAAGTAAGCCATGGTTCCTATTATATTTGATAAATAGACATGGTAAAAGAGTGTTAATATGTAAGTAGTTCTTATTAAGAATTTTTGAGGAGAGCCAAATACGCTGGCCCTCGTCTTATTCTGATAAAGGATTCTGGTAAGAAGGTGTTTGATGGATTCTTATTGAGTTCATGGAGACTATCTAAGAATGAATTTTTTGGATTGAGAGAATAATTTTTTTTTATCTGTCTATATAATCACACAAGGATATTAAAGGGGAGCCAAAAAAATAGGTGTTTTTAGATGGCTGATGAGACTGGATTCAGCATTGGAGCAGAAGACAAATAAGTGATTGATAATAGAATGTAGATATGGTTTATTTATAAGCAGTTCATTTAGTAAGAGGTTATCTATCTGATCCGAGTGAAACTTTCGATAATGAAGGGTTATAGAGTGAAGATAATTTTCAAATTCAAGAATTTGAGATTTGGGGCTTGGATGAGGAAACAGTGCATTAGATAAAATTATAAGATCAGAAAAGATCAATATTTACAAAATGATTATTAATAAGTTAAATGAATAAATAATAATGTTGCTAGTAGTGTGAGAACGATGAAAATGTTTTGGTTTGTGTTAAGTGTACATAAGGGTTGTGCGAAGAATGTTTCAAATAGTTCGGAGGACAGGATTTTGAGGCCTTGTGTCCTGTTTGCCAGATGTCCAGTGTTTTCAGGTAAACTTAGGTGGAGATCTGTGAGGCTTGTGCAGACATTCATGAGAGTGAGTAGGAGGAGATGGAGTGCCTTTATAAATCAATGAATTTAATGAAGGAGAAGATGAATTAACTATTTTTTGTTGGATAACAGAGGTTGAAGAGAGTAGAATTATTGAAATAATAAATATAAATAAATGAAAATGAAATTAATATGATCAAAGCACAAACCTAGATTATATGATAAATTGACATAAACTTTATCAAATATATATAGTAATAATTAAAATTTAAACATTTATATGGGAGTTTGTTGCACTCATCCACATCAAAAATTAGAGAACCCTATTACTCCAGAACTTATCAAAGAAGATATTAAGTATGACCAATTTGCTCTTAAAATTTAAAAACACTATAAAGGATACAAAGCCAGAAAATTATATCATAAAATGAGGATTAAAACTGAAGAATCTCCTGTTGTTCACCATCCAAAACCAGAGATTGCTTAAAAACTAAGTCAAACTCCCACCGATTATGCTTTAACTGTCTAAAAAGCCTTATATAAACTTGGACCATTTCGTTATAATGATTATATTAACTCAGATGATCCACAAAAAAGATCTACGAATTTCTAATTCAAAGAAGAAGACAAAAAGCTACCCTTTTTAGAACCACACAGACTAATTGATGGAGCCATCTACATAGGTTAATGGAAAAATGGAATGAAATGGGGAAAAGGAAAATAAATTTGGCCAGATGGTTCAGTTTATGAAGGATTCTGGCAAAATAATAAAGCATGTGGTATAGGCAGATTAATTCATTAAAATGGAGATGTTTACATAGGAGATTGGTTAGATGATAAATGTCATGGTTTTGGTGTCTATACGCATAGTGATGGCACAATCTATAAGGGTAATTGGGTTGAGGACAAACAAGAAGGAGATGGCATTGAAGAATATCCAGATGGCACTATTTACAAAGGTCAATTTCTCAATTCAATGAAACACGGATATGGAGAATGCTTTTATTCCAATAAAAATTAGTACATTAATTATTACTATTTAGTTACAAAGGGGAATTCTAGTACAATTTTATACATGGCTAAGGCAAGTTTGTTTGGAGTGATGGAAAAGAATATGAAGGGGCCTGGGAAAACAATCAAATGCATGGATACGGGGAATTTAAATGGCCAGATGGAAGGTCGTATAAAGGAGATTATAAACATGATTTGAAGGATGGAGAGGGAGAGTTTATCATAGATGAAAACACAAAGTATAAGGGTAGTTGGAAGAATGGAAAATAACATGGGGATGGACTGCTTGTTGTTAAGGAAATTGCAAGACCAGGAATTTGGTGTGAAGGCATACGAATCTAATGGAAGGATAAATTCTGAATTTTCTTAATTATTTTAACTATTATTATCTGCTATATATAGTTATCTCTAAATAATTTGTTGTCTGCCAATCAGTCAAAAAGAGAATATGTGAATAATTAAACTTTATACAATTTCAAGTAATAATTAAATATCTTCTAAAACTTAATAATAACAGAATCCTGAAAAATTCTTTAAAACCAACAAACAGAAGAATTGAAAATAAAAATTTCTAAAAAATATCCTAAAGTTGTAATTAATAATTATAAAGAACCTTTCAATGATGATTTCTCTGTTTCTAACTAATTATTTAAATTACTATAATTTTTAGTAAATACCTATAACTCAAACATTTAAGGAGTACTCTAATAATAATAATTTGATTGAAAACGCTCCCGTTAATATTAGGAAAAGGATGATTTGTGAAATTCACAAAGGGTTCAACTTTTAAGAACACAGATTATCAGAATGAAATCCTTTATTAAACTAAAATAAAAATGCAAGAATTATTCAATTAAAGAGGTATTGCAAAATAAAATGTTTAAGAAATTTGAACAAATTTTGATGATCTTTTTTATAATATTTTTACTTGTTAAAAGGCTATTAGGATGGATTTTACAATTTGTTAATCATATTTGTAAAGTTTGAAAGTATTTTTAATATAATAACTAATTTTTTAAGAAACTACCTTAGGTGTTATCATTCAGAATTGTTAATTATCAAATAATGATCTTTCGTTTAATATAATAATCATTAAGATGTAATTGCTTACATGTGTACCAAAAATCAATAATGATATTGATATAATAATTAAAAATGGTATTTAAATAAATTTGTAAATAAAATCATATCATTCCTAGAACAAATGATAAATAAGTTAAGAATTAATATGTGTATTAAAGAAACGGGATTTTCTTAAATATTTGATTGCGTTCAATAAAGTTGCAAGAAATGTAAAATTATTGCAGATATGAACACTAAATTTAATTAAGAAAATGTCTCACATATGCTACATAAGAGGAATCACACTCAGTAGTTTAAGTAAGGTCATAAATTGTGATTGAAAAATATAAATTAAATTAGATCCTAATTCTTAAATTATATAATGTTGAAACAGAACTGATTAAACATAATTCAATAAAATTAATTATTTTTAATTAATTTTTTTATTAATTATAATATGTCTATTTTCTTGATAAAAATTAATATGAAGATATAATAATTCTTTAAAACTAAATAGTTATTTAGATATAAGATGTTATAATGAGAATTCCATAGCAAATATATAATTATCTCAAAAAAAAAGGGTTTTTTAAAAACTTGAAATGTCATTCTATTTGCTTGATAATGTAATTTAAGATTTACTTTATAATTGTACTTAATTGATATTAATATTAGAGTACATTTTAATAATTAGTATACTCAATATTTAAATCTACATTCTGAAAATGAAAATTAACTTTGGAATTGCTCTTTAAAGTAAAGTACTGTTCATTTCTTTATAACTAGACACTTGAATATTTTGACTCTCTATTGAATTAAGCAAAATAGAGTGGTTTTTCTAAATTTAGATTAAACTTTATATTGCCATGATATGTCTTTATTCAGAATATTCTGATTAATCCAGTTTTGATTTTACTTGAGTCTAATGATCCTGGTTGAACTCTGCCATATTTAATAATGTTATAGTACTTTTAAGTCTTAATGACCTTATGCGTTATTAGTTTGTGTTTAATTTATATTTGGAAAATGGAGAACATAGTTAATTTTGGAGTGTAAAGAAGAAAAATTCTCAATAAGTTTAGAAAAGGGCTAACGAAATGAGGTATATTTTCATTAAAGAGATCCGAATTTATCATTCACTAACGGAGTATTTTAGTGTATTTTTAGGAAATTTATACAAAGTTGAAGTAACTTTGTATATATCCAGACAGGCTCTTTTGTTCTGTCTCTTTGGGGGAATATGTTAATTATGTTAATATGATATATGAATAACAATATTGGTTGTCATTACGAACTATTTTAATCAATCATCGCCTTCTATGGGTTCTAAAATATCATCATCAAGAAAGTCAGGTGGAGCTATTTCGTCAAATATTACACCTTCAACTTCGACATTGTATTGGTATTCATGACCTTATATAAGTATCAAATAGGTACTGTTAGGATTGTAGGGCAGAATTATTCTTTGTAAAGGTTACTGCAGATATTTATTAATCCATGGCATTCTCGGAAAAGCTTGAACTTCAGCAATTTAGCATTATTTTGATGGAGAAAAGGGTATGTGAATTTTTTATGAGGAGCAAGATCCCATTGAAATATATTTTTTAAATTAAAATGTTATTTAAAAATATTGTCACACAGCATATGTAATCTAAATCTTAATCATACTACCTTTAATTAAAATTAATTAAATGTGATCCATCGAACATTTATGTCAAATAATTGTTTCTACAGGGAATCTCATTATTCTTTCCCACAGTCTAGGGAATTATATGTTAAAATCTGACTGGTTAATTTTGTTTGTTAATTTAGGATTTTGCTATATAATTTTATTATTTGAAACAACATGAAATTTTACCCTTAGAATATTTAATACGTGTCATGGAAGGAAGTTATTTCGATAATTATTCCTTAACATTCTATCTAAATCCTTTGTTCCTCAAATGGAATAATCGATTTTATCAATGTTCTTATAATTTATAAACTGTTCATCATTAACACAGATCTAATTTACAAATATCCATGTAAGGACGCCAAATCCTTATTATTGGTAATTCGACTCTCTAACCTTTCAATAAGGCTTCCTTCTGTTATTGATAAATGATATTCGACTTACAAAATATTGGAGAATGTACTTGTATGGCATCTGTAGATTGTCATTTTTCATTTTGTTAAGCTAATTACTCATTAGAGATACAGAGTCTTGTAATCCAAGTATTGATTATCCTGAGATGAAATTAATTGTTTAAATATATTAAGAATAAGTTTCTAGTTTATCAGATAATATAATAATATTTCAGGTTATAGGTATTATTCACAATTACTATAATAAATATAACACTTTTGATTTCTATAATGATCTTATATATTAAAAAAGGATAGATACTTCTGTTAATATAAAACATTATATAGTAATAAATTTAATAAGGAATTAAAGAAATACCACTCTCTAATATGAGAAAATTAGAATATCGGAATGAATAAAAGAATTCATCTTTGGACCTGATTGTAGGATGAACTAAAGCTAACGTCAAAAATATTTTCTTAGATATTAAATAATTGATAAGATAATTACACTTTGACCTAGATAATGCAAATTACATATTCAATAATAGTATAGGATTTTGGACTCACTTCTTTAATATCTAGAGGGTCTTTAGAAGAGAAGAAAGAGGTTAGAATGCGATTATTGTAAGTCATTATATTTTTAGTTAAATAATAGGATAATATTAATATATGAGAAAGGTATTTTTATGACACTTCATTTTCTGGAATACTCAATGTTAATATTACATAAATCTAAGACAATAATTTCATCTTTTAAGAGTGCGTTGGCATATTAAATATTTGGAGAGACAAGTTATTAAAATATTAATGCTTGAGAACGAATAAATAAGCAATATAAAATATAATAAATTTATATATATATGCAAAAAATACTCAATTTTAGGGAATACTTTTTAAATCCAAAAGGAATCAAGATTGTGCCTACTTCTAATTTCAAGAGAGCAACACCTATTGAGCGACTATTCGATTAATCTGTAGTATTGCATAGAGCAGAGAAGCAATTAGAGAAAAATGTTGTTGCATTCAAATTACAACCATACAAATATTCATTGAATAAACCTGAAATAAAGCAATATTTTATGCAATGTAATGTGATCTAATGATAAGAAAGTGTACGGATTGAATGTTGATAAAGTGAACACTATTAATTATATGGGAGCAATTAAGAGATCACCCAAAGGAGGTCGTTATAGAGAGAAGGATTTTAAGAAAGTGTATTTATAACTAAATGAAGAAATTGAACCATTCTTTTAGAAAATAGAGAAGTGATTTTATAAGCATATATAAAAAGTATAATAATTATGAATTTAATTTAACATTTGCATAATAAAATCACTCTGGTTTATACAACCATCCAGTTCTACAAAAAGCTCCAGCCAAGACCAATGATAAAATAGCCATCAATTTAATCAGGATATTTAAAGATGGTCCTGAAGTATCTTTAAGAGGATCACCAACAGTATCACCTATAAAACTAAATTCAAATTGATACCAATAACAGCAGCCTTGTGTTCATCTGATCCCTTCTTCTTCACTTCTCCAGCCTCATTTCTATAAAATCCAGCCTCAATGTATTTCTTAGCATTATCCCACGCTCCTCCTGTATTAGATGCAGAAATAGCCATTTAGACACCACTAACTAATGCACCTGGCAATAGACCAGCCACAGCATATGGTCCAAAGAACAATCCGACTGCAGTTGGAGTTACAATGACCTATGATTTGTTAATTTAACATAAATACCAATAAACCAGGAGGAATCATCTCCTTTAATGAAGCCTTTGTTGAAATAGCAATACATGCTCTGAAATCTGGTTCTTCTGTTCCTGCATAGATACCTGGATGTTCATGTAATTATCTACGAACTTCTTCGACCATTTGAAGAGCAGCTTTTCCAACTGATTTCATAGTGAATGCAGAGAAAGCGTAAGGCAACATTGCACCAACCAATAACATAGCAAATATAATGGGATCGTCAATTTTGGCACCTTCAGCATATGGAAATTGATCACCAACCTTGTAAGTCTATATTCTTGTTAAATATCCGCCATAAAGTGATAATGAGACTAAAGCAGCAGATCCAATTGCAAATCCTTTTCCAATGGCGGCAGTTGTATTACCAGCTGCATCCAAAGCATCTGTGGATTCTCTTACATTTTCACCCAATTCACTCATTTCTGCAATACCACCTGCATTATCAGAAATAGGTCCATAGGCATCAATTGCTAATCCGATGGTAAGATTTGAAAGCATTCCTAGAGCAGCCAAAGCAACTCCATAAAATGAAAGCATCTTCATTGACATTAAGGCTGTTATTGCAATTGCAACAATGGGAACAATGGTTGATAAATATCCCAAAGCCAAACCATAAATGATATTGGTAGCTGCACCAGTTCCACAAGACTTGGCGACTTCTCTGACTGGAGTATAAGAATGAGATGTCATGTATTCTGTGAAATATCCAATCAATAATCCTGACCATAATCCCATTAAGGAGCACAAGAAAGCATGCCATGGTTTAAGATCTGCCAATTAAATAGAGCCATCTGCAGCCATCATAACATAATCAGCAGGTAAACACCAATATGCAATACCGATGATAATTGGAGACAAAGCAACTGTCGATAACAACAATTGGAATTTCAAAGTGGATTCAATCTTATTTATGTGGTTTACTTTTGAAATATAAACAGCATAAGCTGATACCAAAATACAAATTCCAATTCCAAATGCTGAAACCATCAATGGATACATTAGTTAACCGATTTCAATCACATAAGTATCTTCTGATAGCACTCTCAATTATGTAGATGAAACAACCAATGCTGCACATGTAGATTCTGCAAAAGAACCAAATAAATCAGCTCCCATACCAGCAATATCACCTACATTATCACCTACGTTGTCTGCTATTGTTGCTGGATTCTATTGAGATATATATAATAGTAGTACTTTAGGACTGTCTTCTGGTAAGTTCTTCTCTACTTTTCCTACTAGATCTGCTCCCACATCTGCTGCCTTTGTGTATATACCTCCACCAACTCTGCCGAATAATGCAAATGTTGATCCTCCTAAACCATAGGCTGCTACGTAATCGAACATTGTGACCAAATCTTCAAAATTGTTCTCATCACTCTTTACTATTATTGCATTATAGATTATTATTATTAATGTTAAAATTGAGAGTGAGATTGAAACCAATAAAAATCCCATTACACAACCACCTCTATAGGCCATCTTTCATAGCTTAAATACTTCACATACTTAAAATGCATTTGCTAATGATGTAATTGCTGAAAATGCTGTTCTGTAATTTGCTGCTGTTGCTATAGCCATACCCAAATAACCGCAAAGCATTGAAGTTGCTGCTCCCAATACAAATGCCAGTGAAGACCATGGAGAAATAAACTAGATCATATATGAATTTGGTTTACTATTAATAAAACAGCCATGATTGCTAAAAATACACTGCAATCTGTGTATTCCTCTCTTAAAAAGGCTTGAGCTCCCTTTTTTAATTATTATCAAAATTTACATCTTATATATGTTCTCCTATCTCCAATAGTGTCTCTATTTTCTCCTATTCTGCTCCTTACAAAAGCTCTGTCAATCCCTCATGTTTGTGATGAATCTCTATTTTGTGAACTGCCATCCAATTAAAGATAGCCCAAACTATACCACAAGCACAAGCTATGAAAATAAACACCAAAGCAGTCACAAATTCCATGATATTTAAATTTAATATGAAATCTTAATTTCCTTAGCTTTATATATATTTTTATATTTTAGTATGTATTAACGTACCAAAAGTGCGTAAATAATCATCAAATAATTAGCTTTAATTAATAATATATCACTTTATGATTGAATATAATTGCAAATCAAAAATACGATTTAAAACAGATAAAATCAACACTTTATTCTCAAATTGAGTTTCCTTAGATCTAGAATTTGATGTGTATTTAGTTTTGATCATAATATTTGTCTATAGCCATTTTCATCATCTCTCAATCATCCTCAAAATTACTAAATTATATCTAAGATACCTGTATTATAAAATAGTACTCTTGAGGAATCAATTTATTTAAATGTAGAGTATTTAAATAATAATGCATGATAAAAATCAAAGTGAGTTCTTAAACTTAGGCACTTTGATATATTATTATATATCTATATTCATAAATGAAAATCATACAGAATTGAAAATTACTTATAATAGAAAATCAAAACCAATTTAGGTTAATGAATCTCTTTTAAATTTTGTACTAACCTTATAAAAGGTTTATAGATCTAAGCATTTTTTAATTCATAAATGAGATCACGTTCTTGATAAGAATTATACAATTGTCAAGATAATTGAAAAAGATTTCTTTTATTATATCTTTAACTCATACTTTGGTTTTTAGATCAGAATAGACTTTAAATTAATGCTGTTAAAAATAAAATTTATTTTGTCAACAGAAATAAAATTGATATAATATTAGTCATTTTTAAATTGAATCAATTCACTAATATATCACATACTAATCATTGAAACTATTCACAACTATAAATCTTATTTCTTAGACGAATGGGATTTCTATCTAGAATTTTATATAATTATTATAAACTCATCTTTGACAACATTGGTAAAAGATTAAAGTTATTCAATAACATCTTATGTTGTAATAAAATGTGCTTTGAGTAGTCTCTCTTTCCATTCATGTATATTTCAGAAACACTTAAAGTATATTCCCAAGAAGATACATAATTTAAGATATTTCCAAAATTGGAATTTAATTATTACTTTCCTAGATTAAAATACTGAATGATTCTTATTGTTTATATATAATTTATAATAATCATCGGTCTAATTTGCTTCTGTTAATATATTGGTTTTGTCCACACTTTGTACATTTGTCATAGAAACAAGTCCTATGAAATATTTTCTTGCATTTTCTGCAGTACTATGTTCCAATAATATCAAAGATGTAAATATTACCTTTTAGACATTCAGCACATTTAACACTTAATTTTTGACATTATGGACATTTAGAGATGTGTTCTAAGCCATATTCATAGGCATTAGTAGCAATTTTAAATAAAGATTTATTATTAATGTCGATGAAATTTTATAAACTGAATAGGTTAATTGGCAATAGTAAATGAGAGTAGTTTTAGGTGAAAATAAAATCAAAATTAAAGTCTTGGCATAGTAAATCATACATCAATCTCAGAGATCGTTTTTTAATTAGAAAGTCATATAAAATTTGATTCTAATAAACAACATTATCAAAGTAGTTGATTTGAAAGATGATTTTCTTCATATTCTTTTAAATGGTTTCAAAGGCTTCTTTGCTTACTTAATATTTGTTAAAATCAAATTTATTAAGAATTAGATGAGGAATAACACTTAACTCATTGCTGATGCATTGACGACAAAAGAACAAGCCACTATAATGACAATAATATGCTGTTCCTTGAAAAAAGAAATAAGAGTTCTTCTGAATTTAGGTTTAACATGCATGACATTATCCTGTAAACTTGCTAATTGGTGTTTATTGGCAATTCCAATATTCTTCAATTTGTTTATCTCTTAATTCTCTCAATAGTTTAGTGGATTTTTTGCATTGAAATGAAATATATTGAGGCAAGGCCTTGTGTTACTCCTCATCAGATTCATCTCCTTTAATGGAATCTTACTCCATCATAGGACTGCCAAAATTTAGGTCTGGAGTTTCCATGTCTTATTTTCTATGTGTAGGTGCATGAGTGGCTGAGTCATCACAATCTAAAGAGAACACATGTTTAATTGGTTGGATGTCTTCAAATTGTTGGAATCTCTCGAAGAGGTCACCTTGCATATTGTTTGATATATTGGGTGGTTGTGGAAAGAATGTTTTAGTGTTATTTTATTCTCTATATAAAGGAGTTGGCAGATCGTAAATCTTATCGCCTATCAAAGTTATATGTTTGCAATAATAACTATCGAGGATGTCAACCAATTCCCCTTGTCGAATGCATGCATTATTTTAATATTTCTCTTTGGTCTCATTGGATAATATGAATTCCAAAAGAGTGTTTGAATTCAACTCTAATAAGATCCAAATAGGTGCCTTGAGTCTGTCTACTTTAACGAATTTGAGGCATTTCTAGATGAATTTGGTTGACTTTCTATTCTCGATGATTGGATAGAGATGACTGAAGAATCCGCTGTGAACTTCTGAAAGTTATGGACTTTAGATTTGCTAGAGATTTCTAAATTCTATACTAACATATCCAATCCGCTATTAAATATCTTAACTAAAACAGCTAATAGTTCTAATATATATGAATCATTTATTGGGACTTCTTGATCCTAATAAGGTATATGATCAACCAAACTTTTAAGTTTGGGTAGAATCTATTAATGCATTTTTTATCTGCCCATCAAATCTGGAGTAGTAGTTGAGCTCTCTAACTCATATTTCATCATGTTTTAATAAATTTATATATTCATATTATGTTTTTCATCGTATCATAAAATTTCTCATCAATTTAGAATTACACTTTTTAAGAAATTCTTATTTTGGTTTTATTTGAAGTATTTCCATCAAAATTTCAAGTACATACAGAGTTAATCAGTTTGAATGGGTGCACACATCGGTAATTTCACAAAATGTGATGAACATTAGTTTAAGAAATTGGGTTAATAATTAGCTACAAGTATTGTAAGTTCAATTATCGTTGACTCTAAGAAATAGAAGGAATAATAAAGATATATTAATTGTTAATATAATTTAAATGTAAATGTTTAGTAAAACACAAAATCTAATTAATTGATCAAGACACAATGAAAGTGAAAATAAAAAAAGTCATTCTATAATCATAGTAGAAGTATTATTGATCAATCGTGTTTCTAATAAGGATTAAGACACTCTCTGATGTAGTAATTTAGATGCATAGCCGTTCAGTGTGAGAGATTAGGTTGACTCAGTTAAACACAAAATTGATAACATCTTTTTCTAAGTTTCCATTCTTTTCGTTCTCCAATATTCTTGTTCCTTTGATAGAGGGTCTGTTTTTGTTTATATTCCCAAATTGTGAAGGTATTTCACTATCGTTATTTCGGTCTTCTTTTCTTCAGTATTTAATTATATTTCTATAGAGTCATTCAATTCTCTTATATTCATAGGACTATCATAATTTGCATTTGAAAGCTTAAGTATTTCAAAATTTTGATTGGGTTAATCAATTTTTGATTTCATCAGAGCAATATCGAGAGTAATCTAAAAAAAAAATATTTATGAATTATATAAAGTTTCTTCCCTTAAATACTAAATTTAATTTAAAGTATATTTTAATCAACCAATCAATTCATAAAACACTCATTTCCGTATTGTCTAAGTCGCCTTACCTAATATCAAATGCTTGTTTTTAGATGTTGATCAGACCAGGGATTCATATAAATAGGATCTATATTATTTAAAAAACTTAGTGAATAATAGTATTATAAAAAATAATTATAAAAATTATTAAATTTTATATTAATCAAAGAAATTTCGATGGATACATAAAACAATGATCATTAAATGAAGGCACCAAATTATTTTGCTAATTTAATTTTTCTATTTTATCATTTAGCACATTTTCATCCTCATCGTTTGAATCTACGAAAGTCTCTGAACTGATCTTCTTCTTTTACTTTAATAACATAAAAAGTGAATTTGGATCTTACACCTATTAAATGTGTGGAATATTCTCCTCAGAAAAGTTATTCGTAGTTTTTTTTAAATCACACTCACTATCTTTGATTTCTATAATAGTTCTTAAACTAGGAAGTGCCATTTATTTAGCCATCAATTTTTACATTTTTTTTTCTTTATTGTTTATTAGCCAAACATGTTTTAATGCATCATTTATGCTTATTCTAAGATTAGGATTAGGTTATATCATTTTCTTTATTAGATCCAATTAACTTATGCTAAATAGCTATGGATACTCTTGTGAAAATTTTTATTTAGTTATCAAATTTTCTTATTCTATTATTAGTTCCATCAAGTTTTCTGCATAACTTTAATAGTAATTCATTTTGAATGGTTAAGTGTAATTGAAAAATGTGATCAACCCTAATATCACTCCTAATTAATAAATATCCGTTGATGATGATGGACATGCTCCCTCGTGGATCTCAGGGGCAATCAAATAATTTGGAGTCTAATGTATATACTTAAAGAGGGTATTCTAGTCGTAAAACTAAAATGATAATTTAATATACTTTATATTGCGAATTAACCAAATAAGTTCCAAATTAAGTTTTTCGATTGCAGTAACAAATAATGTTTTCAAAGGAAATTTTTCCATGAAATAATTCTTCATCTGCGAGTGATCTCAGGGCTACTAATATCGATACACATATTGTTGCTATTTATTATTAATTCAAGTATGATTTTTTTGATTAATTATAAAATTAATCAAGAGAATTACCTTTAAAATATTTACAAACTATAAATAGCATTTATTTATCTTCAAAAACGCCAATAGTTTAAATATAATTACTAATAGATGAATTTCTTAAGATTTTTAAATAATTGTCAAGTAATTCTGCCTGGTCATAATTTTGAATTCTAGTTAAATTAATCACCTATGAAGTAAATAATTATTTTTGTTTTTTGTGCTGAATTGCATAAAAGTCTTAACAAATCAGCTCTACTACTTTGAATTTTTTATTAAAATTATTTCTTTTGCAATATTTCTTAATACAAGTATTCCACTATTTTAGTGACAACGGGTGAGAAAATATTAATACTAATTGTCCAGTTGGATTTATGAGTTTCAAAAAGTAGGCTCTTTAATGCGATGATTAATATTTCTTTTTTTCGATAAAACAATCATTTAAAACTAGGCAAAATTGATTATCATAAATCAATAGTCCTCTGAACTGTGAAATCTTTTTTTGTCCAAACCAATTATCCGCCCATATCGTTGCTATTCCTTCGTGCTCTGGAACATGTATATTGAGAGACAAAGATTCTTTAGGAATCATCTTAATATCAGATTTTAATTCCTTCATCTGCGAATTTTTCATTATCCAATCAAGTTTGGTTTGATTTTCAAGAATAGCCAATTTATCAAGCCTTTCACTTGAAGCTCTCGGTCTAATATTATTTTTTATCATTTAATAATAAATCAAATATCAGGTTCCAGAACATAAGATTCTTTATAAGTTTTAATTAACTAATATATGTAAATAAGCAAGGAATAAATTAATTAAAATATTAATGGCTTGTATTATGTCTGAAATATTTTTGAATTCAGCAATATTCGGTCGAAATTCTTAAGACGAATAAGCAAAAAAATAACAGAATGTCTTTATTAAATATTCTAAGTTATATCAAAATGAATCAATTATTATTCATTGTAATAAATTAAGTGAAAATAATATAAATAAATAATATTAATTAAATTAATTTGATGGTTTTACTTTCTGCATTCAAAAAAATAAAATATCAAACATAATTATTATTATGAATTATAAAATTTGTAGAATTATCCTTAAAAGAATTTCATGATTTCTCATCAAAAATTCAGATTATCAAGTTATTTCCTAATTCAACATTTTTTTAGTACTATTAATAAAGCTCTACATTTATATCAAATTTATTATATTGTCTAATTTACATAAGTAAGTTTTTGGCAGCTTGAACGATGCAAAAGTCAAATTGGATTTTATTATTTTTTTAACTTTTATAATTACTTTCTTTCATAATCAACCTATCAAAAAAAAATTTTTGAAACGATTGGTTAATCTACTATAATGTATGTTTTTGAATCTCTTAAAGTAATAAACTAAAATATTGAATAATTCTATCTTATGAGCTTATACTTTAACAAATATCAGATAAAAATGCTTTTAATTTTAAGAAAAATAAAAATCATATCAATTATTTTTCTCCTCATCAAATATATTTTTGCTTTAATAGTTAAAGTTATTTATAATTTTGTATTAATTCAGATGGATAAAGTATCAAACATATATAATACATTTTGAATTTATTTTTAACTAAGTTTTGTTGGCAGTTTGCATTATTTATTTATCTACTATAAATATTTAAGGGAATAAATAGTCAGGATAATATTTAATATTTAGAAATTCCAATAAACCTTTTCTATAATATTATAATTGTTAATTTTTACAACAGAAGTAGTTCAATTGCATCTTCATCCTCAGCATCCATGTCTTTAGTGTATTTTAGATTTCAAATCTTAATTGTAATTCTATCACAATGTTAAGCATCATAACTTGAATTTAGTAGCTTTTTAAAATAGGTTTGCCATTAAATTTTGTAAGGATTAATCTTTTAAATTATTATTTGTGTTTTTTATTGAAGTAAATTATATTATATTTGAGAGCTACTATTTGAATTGTTAAAACTCTTAATAAATTCTGAAAGTATTATTTTAGAGGCTTTAATTATTGACATCTTTTAATCAAATATCTATATATGGTGCATTATAAAGTATTGAACTTGAGAATAGATAATAAATCTACTTTAATAGAGCGGATCATTAGATAATCAATAGCAAATGACTTCTATTCATTAAAGCATTATCTAATAATAATATAAAACATCTAAATTTTAGTCTTTGATTTTGAGCAAAAGATACTCAAATATTAAATTGATATCGCCTTAATCATTAATAAACAGAATTTAGAACAGATTAAACTTTTTTTAATAAAGAAATAATATATAATTATCATTAATTTAAAGTGTTTGTTTATTATTTTGTGAAAGTTACCTGTATTTCGTCTAATTGTATTTTTTGCTATTTTCTTTATCCATAATTTGACAATAGGTCTTTCAATTATACACTGTTTGTTGTAGTATTTATTTATTGTAGTAGATATTGGTAATTGAAAATATAAGATAATATCGAATTGAAACGCCCCTGATGATATAATCTTACTTTATAATATTCAGTAAGGAGTTTCATCTTTTTAGATTCTCGAGTAAGAGAGTAGAGATTTGTTAGGTATTCTTCCTTTATAGTTTTGATATGGATGATAGAAATTGCCATCCATCCATCCTTGAAAGTGAAAGTTGGCTAATTCTTTGGATAGTAGAAATTTAATTAATGATTTCGATAGTTTTATGTTTGGAATACTGTTAATTATAGTTTGGAGTTGATTAATCATTTAGAATGATCGAGATTGTTCATTATTAATAATAAATTATATGAAAAAATAAAGTGAAGAGATTGTTAATGAAATTCGAAAAAGACAACCAGATAAACCATTGTCTTTAACAGAGTTAGCTATGATCAGAGAAATACAATACATGTATTTGAAGAAGGAGAAATGTGTTTTGGATCTAATAATATAATATTGTTGTGATTGTAATTTGATTTTTAAAAGTATGATTAGAACGATTCCAAATAAGAGTTTGTGAGAAGGCATTCCTAATGACAACCATTGTTCCATTGCTGCATAGTGAAAATCCAATTGATACAATCAAGAGCGGGACCATTATTATTGCATGTTTAAGTGAGAATTAGGAAACTCATAAAAGAATCATCAAGAGTGAATGTCTCCAAAGTCTCACAACCCTGACAAAGAAGAGATTGCATTTCGAAATCACAAAATATGCACTGCAAACAATAGCCAATCTTGCAAAGGTCGCTGCTAATTTTCGTAAGATCTTGGAGTGCAACATCTTCGAAACCAATATCTCTAAAAACAAGAACCCTGAGAACTCCGATAACAAGAATCCTGAATAGAACATAAAGGAGAATCTCTCAGTTATAGATTAAGTCTTGCCCAATCAATCAGAATTGTATGTTTTACAGATCATATACGAAATGACATCTCAATAACACACCTATATCAATCAGATGTGCAAGATGATGTTGAAGAAGAGATTCATCAAAAAAATCATCCATAGCATTGTTTCTGCTGATGTTGATGTTGCTACCTAAGCCATTCTAATCATCAAGTACTTAAAACCCTTATTCAAATAGTTAATTGATCATCAACAGTAAGAGTTTAGATAGACAACAGAATATCGAAAACAACAATAAGAATTAAGATATACAACAGAGTATTGAAAACAAGAATCAGGAGAATTTCGAGAGTTCTCCTTAGATTGACAGCAATAACAATAAGAATTTAAAAAGACTGCTGAAATTGAAACTGCCTCCGAAGTTGCTCTTGACTTACAAGTTATTCCAAGGACATGAGAATTCCATCAAGATTACCAAGTATAATTGCATGTCATCACTATAGAGCCATTATGCAAACTCTGGAGAATCTATTAAAAATCAAGGACTTTCAATAGCAACTGGTAATGGACAGTTACTACGTGTTGTGTTTGCAGATGTTCGATACCAATGTCTACGAACTCAACTACTATGGCATTTCATGTTTAGCATATATGAGTGAATTGGTTGAATCCCATGACAAGTTGGTTGAAAAGAAGATTCTTGAGTTGATGTATCAAATACTGAAGGATTGCAAGGACTAAAAGATTAAGCAATAGGCATTCAAAATCATTTCTTGTATCTCCTTGAATCCAAAGTATCTACAGAATTTAATTAATATGGGTATGATTGATTTATTAGTTAATTCATTGAACTCGGATGAAAAAGCATGTAAGATTTATAGTATTCTTTCCCTTAGTAATCTTTCATGCTCATAAAATTTTCATAAATACATAGGCAACATCAACATCAAATTATTAATACACATATTGGAATTATCAGATCCTTCTAATCACGCAGTCTTGAGAGCAGCTGCAAATACACTAGCCAACATTTCTATTGATCACACTTACTAATAGAACTTTCTAAAAGATCCAGAAAAAACAATCATTCTAAAGTTGATCTACTCTGCAACTGATATCATTCTAATTAAATCAATCATCATTATATTTACCAACATAAGCACCAACAGCAATCTCATAACTGATTTAGCTTAATAAGATATTTTGAATTGTCTCTTTCTTTTGTATTAGAAAGACTACGAGGAATTAAGAGGATATCTATCTCGTTGTTTGAGTGCTTTGTCAGTGGTTCCAGAATGCAAGAAGCTGATTTTGCAGAAAGGATTCATGAAATCTTTAGTGAATTCCATATATAAATCAAATAGAGAAACGAAGAGAATGATACTGTTATCAATAATGATGATGTTATCAATAAATGAGGAATTCCAAAAGCAATTCATCAATGAATAAGGAACTGAATGTTTGTTGTATTTGATGTCCTAAAGTGACAACTTTCATGCCTACATAGCTGCTAAGAGTTTTGTGTTGATAAGTAGAATGGAATCCTCGTTATCACAAGTGGCTAGAAAATCTATTTGTGATAGTGTGGCTAAATATTCTTTAACAAGGGAGAGAAGGATCATGAAAGAGGGTCTGCGATTCTTTGTCAACATTATCATACACAAACGTCCCAAGGCTTTCATCATTACTCATCTATGTTATCTTGCACATGAAGTGTTGAAAGGTGATGAATAAGATGCCCAATAATTAGGAATGTTCGCTTTCATGTTGTTATCAGAGTAACAAATCTATCATGAAACTGTTATGGCACATGATCATCTACTCTAGACTATCGCTAATAAAGTATTCAAAAGTAATAATACTAATGACTTAAATCCATAAAATGCAACCTTTTTAAGTATTGCTATAATGAATTTGTCATTAAATTTAAACAATCTAGAAAAACTCCTGAATTTAAAGTACATTAAAGTTATGAGGGATATCTGTGTTATGTTAACAAAGAACCCAGAAAAAGACCCTGAATTCGATTTCCGCACTTATCTCTTTACCTTCATCCGTTAATTACTAAAGATTACTAACCTGTAGGAGAAACTACCAGAAATCTTCAAATAGGGAGCTACGTAGATCATTTAGGAATTGATTCTATCTAATAAGAGCTATTTCTTTAGGAGTTTGTTAGAGAGCATCAACATTCTGATTTCTATGTCTGACAAATATCCATCTGATATTCTGAATGTGATTGTTAAATTGGCTGATCCTGATTATGAGATAGAAGATGAGGAGTCATTACCATTGAGAGTATATGTGTTAAATAGGATGTCTTACAATCCTCATTCCCTTGAGTACTTCAAGTAATCTAAGATTGTACCATTTTTAAGTGAGAAAATGCAATAAGATCTTTCATTCTTAAACATCTCCTAATATTTCTGTTCATTATTAGCAAATATTTCAAAAGAAAATGAAATTCTGAATCAGATTTTTGAAGCCTAGATTCTTACATCTATCTTTAAATTGCGTCAATAGAAACATAATATTAAGTTGACCGATATCATCCGTCTATTGGCACATTTAAGTTCGCATCCCTCATTCAAACCAAAGATATTTAGTGATGAAATCTATGCCAACATCTTTGATCATCTCCAATAAGTCACTTTCTCAGAGAAATAGGATCCTCAGATTTGTTACCCAGTTTTGATTTGCATACTCAATATGACCAAATCAGATTATGGATTAATCAAAGCCATAGCTAGAAGTGACATTTTGAATTTTGTTAAGGTGTACATCAAAGAATAAAAAGGACCACAACATATCACTATCTTATGCTTTCTTACTCTTTCCAATATGTTAATTGACCCTGATATTCTCAAGAAAGAGCAAGACATCCCTTCCTTGGTGAATCAGTTAAGGTAAACCATTTAGGAGAATGAAGATTAACTTGATCCAGCATAACCAGATTACGTCGTAGTTTCATTTCTCAAAGTCATGCACAATATGGTTCTGCAACATTATTCGGAGATTGAAGACAATCTAATTATGATTGAATGTTTGCAGGACATTTAGAAGATGTTCATCAAATTTACATCCCAAGAGATCTTAGGACTTATCCTATCAATTTTCTGTGTCATGGTAGAATCATAGAAAACACTACAAACCTTCAAGTCTAATTATCCAGTTATGATTAAGATATTCGATCTCTTGCATCACAACTATGAAAAATTGGAATAACAGGAACAGAGATTCAGATCATCATTACTGTTGTTACTAGCAAATCTGGCTTATCATGAACACTCCTTTGACTTTTTTGAAACCTTTCTCAATATAGAAGATTTCATGATCAAATATAGAACTGCTTACCTCAACCTCACTTAAGCACCTGATAGAGAATTGTTATTAACCATCTTAGTGAATCTAACATACATCAAAGAAATTCAATTGATTATGCCCAAATATGAGAAAACCCTTTAATTGATCAAAGAGATATTTTTGTCTGAACATGATGAATCTACTACTAAAAGGATTGTGTAATTACTTGCCAACTTATCCTTAAATCAGGATTTGCACACATGGATTGCCAGTTAAGATATTCTTAAAAGATTGTACAAACTATTCTTTGAAAGTGGTACATCCAAAGTGTTGTAGGAGTAGATTTAAATTTTATTGGCCAACACAACTTTTACTGAGGAAGTTCATGAAATACTTATTAATAACGAAGCCATCAGAATATTTGAATAAATTGTTAATAAAAAGGAATCAATGTAACAAGATACTTCGCATTAATAGGTAGTTTCACTTGTCAATTTGGGACTCAATCCAAGAACTTATGCACTCATTGAGAATCAAATTAGTATGGTCAATCAGCTCTCTCTCTTGGAGGAATGCGAGAAACCTTTGTAAATCAGATTGTTAAAGTCTTCCTTAGAATACGTAATTGATAACTCCAGTTAAAATTTACAAAACAAAAAGGAAATCCTACATTATATTATCGTCAGTATCAACATTTTGCTGGAGAGCAAATCCAAATTTTTAGTATGTAAAATCGATCCCTTATGGCAAATGATTCTATCAACTGAATTAATAAACAAAACCATTTTCAACAAGGAGGTATTGATTGGCAACTTTATCACTATAATAATATTCTTTGATATGCTAGAAGTTAAATGCAACTATTACAGTCACCTATGTGAATTGGCAGATCGAATCCCTCTTATTCTTGATTTCTAATCTATGCAAATTCATATCGAAAATCTATTTATTTTCAATCAAAGCTCCTTGAATAATTTAAAAGAATTGATACAACAAGTCAAACAGAAACAACAAGTTGAACCTCTTCTAATATCCAAATATGAACAATTGGTCAATCAATTTCTCAGACTCTTATCTAACGTAGCCTTTGCTCAAAAAACATAACCAGGATTACAATAGTTCATGTAAAAAAAAGAAGTTGAAGATCATCTCTTAGAAATATGTTAATTTTCCCATTAATAAGCACCCAATCTCATATTACAATCCCTAGCCACCTATGCAAATATCTTTCAAATAGACAGTAGGAATTATTAATAAGTCTTCGAAATCATAGCTAAAAATTACAAATAACAAATCAAATAACATCCTCTCTATCAAACCTTTTTAATTGGAGTAATAGTAGGAGTCATGAAAAATAAGAAGTATCTATTATTTGAGGATGGAAAACAAGACATTGGTGATCTTAATGATTCAATCCAATCATACTAAAAAAATAATGCTCTCTATTCAATTCAACAATAGTAAACCAATAATTTCTTTCAAAAGAGAGTATCTTCATAACAAACCTTCATTAGTATACGATCATAAGACAGTGAGTATCCCGTTAATAAGGATATGAGTTTGATCATCTCTGTTTTGTTGTATGTGTTAAAGAAAGGTCATCCCCCCACCTATTAATCTGCTCCCCCATTATTATTGCAATGTTTGACCAATATTGCTTATCATCAAGAGAATTTTAAATTTCTATTCTCAACGAAATTACCTGAATATTTGTTCACTTACATATGTCAGAAAGAAAATATCTAGGCTGATGGTTATGTGCATGCATTGACAGCGTTTATCAACATAAGCACCAATAAAGAGTTCTTCTTGCGTATTCAAGCTGAAGAAGTGTACAAATATGTGGTTAAATTGAATCAAGTGTCCAAACCATTAGTCATTTAATATAGTAGTAGTATCTTCATGCAGATGTTTGAATACAGCACAGAGAATGATGAGAATTAGCATCTTGTAGAATTCACGTTGGATTTTATGGTTAATGAGGTTCTGTCCTATGTTACATTTGAATCAGATCATATGGATTTATTTTTGGCATTTCTTGAAAGATTACTCAAAATACAAAAACTAAAATATGTAATCATTATTATTAATATCCTTTTAGAAAATTGCAAAAATTGAATCCTTATTCCAGAAGTTCTAGAAAACCTTGGAAACCTAAGATTTAACAAACGATAAAAAGTTTGATAAATATTGGAGAATATGGAACATTTATAATTTCTTGATTACTTCCAAAGAATGTTTAAATTATCTAGTTAAATATGGGTACTTTTCTTTACTCAAATCAAAATTAAGTTACTTTACTTCTTCTTAATTTGATCAATGTCTAAGTTACAATACTCAAGCAGAGTATCAAGAAAAACATAAAAATGTCTTAAAATAATTCCAATTGTTTTCTATTGTCCTGTCCAGTATTGAAAAGATCTTTAAGAATGATGTGAACTTGAAACTATAGCCTCCAATTTAGAAATTGATTTATTCATAGAAAAATGAGAAAGTATCCACAGACATCATTAGAATAAATGACAGCGAAGCCCTGAAGATATCATTCTATGTTCCCTTTTTAATCATTGAGAAAATCTTGGTCTCAGAAGAAACCTATTAAAACTAGAATAATATCTTAATTGTCGTTGAAGTATTAAATCAAATAGCACTGATTCTAACCAGAATGGACTCAAATGGGGTTGGTACATTAAAATTTCTGATTGAAATATTAAAGAGAACACTTAAAACTCAAGTAGATGATAAAACACTTTTTTATAGCAATGTTGTTAACATTTCAATCAAATTATTTGAAAAGTTTGGTGTTGAAATATCAGGTCCCATTGAGGAGATACTAGTATTATTTATATAACATTGGTAAGGATCAGAGTTTCGATTCATGAATTCAGAAATTTATTAAAACTTTTTGCGATTATGTGTACTCTTTAAGTTTAAGGATTGTTAATAGGATAAACCGTGTAATTTGGCTAATAGTGTATTGTAAATAATGAACATCAATCAGACAACTTTTAGAGAACATGAAACTTAATTGTTGTTCTAAATGTTCCTTAAAAAACTCATTGCTGAAGTAGATCCTTCTGAATCATAAGAGTTAGAAGAAACTATTTCGGAATCAATAGACTTTTTACTGGATTACATTTAGAAACAATCTGCAAACATTAAAGCTTAGTTAGAGATGGGAGACAAGAGCATTACTGAATATTAAAAGACACTTCAATAGTAGAATTTCACTATGTCAATAGAAATATTGACAATTCTAGTTTCATTCACATCCTTTTAAGAGAAAATTTTAGATTTGGAATTGCTAAGTTCAACAGTTTAATGTGGATTGCTGATTTAAGAATTACTTAACTTTTTTGAAAATAAAGAATAGTAATCAGAAGACTTAAAGACAGCTATTAATTAGTTGTAGAGTTTTCTTAAACATATAAGCATATTTTTAAGTTATACTTCATTTTTGATAAAATTCCATGATGAATTACAAAGTTAACCATGTATATAATTTATATTTGAGAATATGCTAAAGAGAAAGAAATAAACTAAAATCTTTTGTTTCAACATCATTGTCAATTTGATTGAATCTTAAGGACCTAATTTTATATTTGAAGTCTTGTAGAGTATAGAGGAATAAATCGATAAGATAAATGCTAATACTTCATTGTAAAAATACTCTTTGGATGCTATAGTTAGTTTAACTGAAGAAATCTATTAGAAAATTCAACATTATAAAAATATAGCTCCGAATGAAGAGGCATTTTATTAATTATCTGATGATATTGGATTATTGTTAACAAAAATACTAATTGGTAAGAAGCATACCTTTTCATTAAATGGATCAGCCGAAATATTGATGAACAGCAAGTTACAATAAGTTCAGATTAGGACTCTGTTTCTTATGATCAAGAAATTCATAAATTGTGATAATGATATTACAATTAGAGACAAGAGTATTTAATTGTCATTTGATATCAGTAAATAGATCTATGGAATGTTGTCTTCAATGGAATAGATAGATTGCAATAATGAGACAATATAAAACCTTCAATTATAGAGTAAATTCATAAACATCAAATACACTTGGGATCAAGTGAGGAAGAATTAATCCTATTAACATTTAGAAGACATGTTCTTCTGGGAGTAATTGGAACTTAGTGATTACTAGTTTAAATTAATATTCTTAATAATTTGTTTTGAGAACATCACTTGCAGATTTAGAGGTGAATAGAACAATAATAAAATAGCATTGCCTAATTCAGCAGTGATGGTAAATGATATCTTCCTATTAATTGATCCTAATTTGGATACCTTCTTGGAGAACTATAACCTATAAAATCAATTGAACTTTTTATTAGTTTACTATGCTGCTTCTATTAGTTATAGTTCTTTAGGAAATAGAACAAGGAAAGTAGAATTTTAATCATTGGCTGAGAGAGATATGTCATTTAGAATAAGGTTAAACACGTTTGTTAGAGTACTAAGTGATAGTAAGATCAATATCCTTGCTAATTTTGCAGATTTAATTAGGGGGCCAATATAAAATTTATGATTATGATATAATAATTAATAATATATGTACTGCTTATCTTTCATCGAATATTTCAAAGAGAGATCAAGAGATTTTATTGAGTTTATGAATGAGAGTTAAACAGAAGTAAATAGCACTTTGATTATGATCATGTTTTCATTTCAGAGGATTAGTTTATTATTTGATCACGATTATTTTGCCGATAAACCATATATCGATTTTAAATTGCAAATTCTGCAACAAGTATTTAATTGGTTCACATTACAAACTCCAATCTAATTAATTGGTAGGACGAACTTAAACAAAGTTTTATCTTACATTATTTGCGTGTATTTATGGTTGATCATCATCAACATATTTACAACGTTTAAGTTAAAATATACATTAAAAAGCTTCTTTACTTACTACCAATTATTGGTGCTCATACCAATAATTCAACACTTAAACAATTAAATGTTAAAGGAAGAAGATTTTATTATTGGTTTCATTATCATTTTCGCCATTTTCATATGCTACATTCTTTATTTCCTGGTGAATAGGAACTACTTTTTACCTCAGAGAAACAAATTCTTAAGAAGATATTCCTATTTTAATTTTGTGTTAATAATTGTTGATATTGTGTTCATGATTACGAAGTCAATGGTGAGCGAACTTATTTCATCCATCATATTGGTGATGATGAATTTACTCTTTCTCATCGACGCTGTTCTAATCTAACCCTACAGTAACTAAATAAACACAAAATATGTGAGTGCAACTGCGTTAATGTTATTTGTTTCTCTTATAAAACTAACGTCCTTTGAAATTTCACAAACAGAAGTATTTTACTTCATACTCTTGCTCTCAACATTATCAGTTGCCATAATTACATCATTGTATAACCGATAGATGAACAACTAAATATATAATTCCCCTATGACTCAAGAAAAGATGCTTACCGTTGTGGATATTTTGAATTAAACTAAAATGAGTCCAATCTAATTGTATTCCATATTATGTCATATTAAATTCAAACATAATATTTGGATAGAAAATGACAATCTCTTTTCAAAAATCCAATAAACTGTGTTGAATCTCATGAATTTAGTAATTGAGCAAATTAAAACCAAAGATTGGGTTGTTATGGAGAATCTACAATTATACAAAATCATGTATGTCATTCACACCTGCAAAAAAACACAGCTAGGTTACATAGAATTGAAATAATACATGACTAATTCTTAGAGGTAATCTTTTTATTTTCTAGTTATTTCTAATATCTTATAAGAGAAAATGGCTGAAAAAAAGAAAACAATTTAAGTTGGAGGAGATTAAGAGAAGAAATTATAATTAAGTGATATTCGTAGAGCTGAGTTATTGTATGAGGATAATTTGAGTTTAATGATTTCGATATTAGATACCAAAATTAAATTTTGGATTGATTTAGATAAAGGATATTAAAGAATTGAAGATTTTGCATTATGCACTTATAAATTGAGTGAGAAGATTTGGAATTTGAGAGACGCATTCTTTAATTGGTTTGCAATACAGCCAATGAAATTGCAAACTCGATTAGTACACTTCAACATATTAGAATTAAAATTATTGTCTATTTTGTATTCAGCTATCCTAAATGATTATCATGCTACATTGGACATTGAATAAAGAATTGATGAAATTATGCAATTCGAAAGGAATGTGCAAACTGATAATGTGAATAATTTAACACTATTTAATGATGAATTGGTCATGATTGCTACTAGTTTTGCAAGGCAAAAGAGCTTAATCCTAAATAGGAATAGAGGATAATTGGCACAATTCTTCGGATATAAGGATGAGAAGGATTTCTAGAATATACTTTATATAGAATAATTGATGCCACCATATATCTAATAGATCCATGATAAAATCATATTTAGATACATGAAGAAAGGATATTCATTATTGATTGAACACTCCAAAGAAGTATATGTCAAGATGAAAAATAATTTTATATAAGCAGCCAATATTAGTTTGTTGCATATGTTTGAAAATGACTCAGATTACATAATCACAGGTGCATTATAAAAAGTCAAAACGAGTTATGATTTCCTTATTTTCGATCGTCGTGGCAAGATCTTAGGGATAAGCGAATAACTCTTCTCCATTTTAGGTGAAGGATTCACTTTGGACCAATTATTAAATAAAGGATTCGTATACTTTTGGTTTTAGACTATTTTTGAATAAATTATTTTGGAGAAGGAATATCTGTTGTAATAATCAGAATTGCAAGGAAGGGGAATTCCTAAATCGATGATATTATGTCCCATCAATAATTTTAATCAATTATGTGTAGATCATGAATATAGTAGAGCCAACAGTACTGTTAAAAATCATGAATCTCAAAATTATTTTACTGAAGTAAATGATACTGAATAATAAAATTATTTAACATATGGTAATCAAATAAACTCCATTCATTTTTTAAAAGAATAAAATCTATCATTTATCAATGACTTTATTTCGAGAATCAATTAACCTAGATATATAGATAAAGATACACAATATTCAATCAAGTTTTAGTTGACATTTAATGTTTTAGGCAGTGACATCCTTCCTTAATTTGTATTGTAAATAAATGATATTGAAAAAGTTAATAAAAAAAAGTCCTTAAATCAACCATCTACTAGTTTCTATTATAGTACAATCAAAAAGACTCTTGCAAGTGATCCCTTTAATGAATCTGATTTCTAATTGGATCATGAGGGAATAGAAAATGATATAAGATTCAATCCTCCAATCATTAACAAAATCAATCAAGTGCAAAATGCAGACATTGATGATAGTTAGAAAAAATAATCATATTTGAATGAAAGTTAATAGTAATAATAGTTAGTATCTCCAAGAGGAAATAAAGAAATCCTAATCAATGTCGAATAATACGATGATGAAGATGAAGAGGATCAAAAATAAGTCTTTGAATTTGCTAAGAGTAGCTCTTAGTAGAATTAAAATAAATAGAATGTAGAAGAAGTCATTTAATAATATAAAGATTTAGAATTAGAGTTCAAAGATAATGCTAAACAATCTTAATCTAGTGCTACATCTGATAGGACTTAGATGTCTGTCTTCAATATTCTCAGAAATCTGTAATATACTTAACGCTATTAAACTACTCTTATTAAAGTGTTCATCAATACAGTAATTCTCTTTCTGGTGCTGCTATTCTTAGTCATTCTCGAATTGGTTATTGCAAGAGCCAATACAAGCAATCTGCAATATTAAATTCCACTTGTCAGATTACCTGATAAGTTTAATCGCTTATATTGCACATTTACTGTTTTAGGATAAATTGATCTAGAAATTAGATTGCTTGACTTTGATTATGGTGAGTATTATGTCTATAGAATCATAAAAGAAAGTTAGTAATTAAGGCAGTAACTGTTAGAATTAATTGTCCAAATAGAACAAGAATTCTCGGTTCTTGATTAATAAGGGAAGTTAACAAAAGCAGAAATCAAAATAGTTAATTAGTATATTTATCAAGTGTAAAATATTTCTTTTTTGTAATTCAATTAAATGGTCAATGAATATACTCAAGCATTAAACAATTTGATGGAAGAAACAGATGAACAATCTGCAATTAATGAATAAATAAGATTATTATTCTTGAAAGCAAATCTCAATAATATAATTGATTTTGTTAGCAACGTAGTTGAAAATATTGTGAGCGAATTTTTTGCAAATATTGATAATTATGAATTTTTGTATCTTGTCTTTCTCTTTGTTTAACTTTTGATAATCATAGTAGCTATTTTACTTTAATTTAAATTATGGGTAGAACCATATGGTTATAAATAGAATATACTTCTAATGATTTGCAGAGTATAAGAAAAGGATGTTGAACTATTAATATTGAAGTATAAAACATTTAAGGATGTTCTCATAAATGATATTAGTAAGTGGAAATAAATCAATTATTTTAAAGAGTTCTTTACTTGTAGAATATCACAATTAAAAAAATTATAAAAACTCAAACATTCCCATTAAGTTGATAAAAAGCAATTAAAGTAATAATAAAGAGCTAAAATGAATTAAAGAATTTAGGAGACTCAATATTCCATAATGCATATTTATTTGATGCTATTCTTTTTATGGTTTATACTAACAGCTTATGTCTTATCATCTTATCTATTCTAAAATATCAACTTGAAAGATTCAAATCCTGAATTGAATTTGTGTATGAAATTTGTTAGATTTAAATAAAGATTTGATAGTTGCATGATTATTAGTTAATTGATAAAAAATTAATTATTATTAAGTTAACATCAGAGAAAAAGTGGTATCTATTTGAAAAACCCAGAGTATAATAAAACAAATGGATTTTTTTAAGAGAACAATTAAATTCTACTTGCTCAATTTAAGATTAGTTTGGATTTATAGAAAGAATAATACAATTCAATTTATGATAATATAGTGGCATCCAACAAGATCAATGATGAAAATAAAAACTTATTGTTAGGTTTGTATTAAGATGATCTTTGTGATTATATTGGTGAGTAGTTGCCGTTTTGTTATTATCAGAATGGGAAATTCCAATACTTTCCAGAGTTTCCTTAGCCATAGGAGATTAATAATAATAGGGAACATCTTAAATAAGGGTTTAATGGATTGTATTAGGAGTAAGATTTAATTTAAATATTTTAGAATTTAAGCGCTTTTTTCAAGTAAATTCGTAAAGGAATTGAATGGAGAATTGGAGACAAATGCAGATGAAGTAGTTCTTTTTATGGAAACTGCCGAAAATATTTAACTATTAATGCCATATTTCTTTGATCTTAATAAAGCAATTGTAGAATTCTATGTAACAATAATATCGACATCTGTTGATATTTTAGAAACCGATTACTAGAATTACTTAATCTATTATATAGTTTTTGGGATAGTGGCTTCAGCCATTTTATTTTCTGTTGTAATCTATGCAACTAGAAAATTATAAAGACAAATTAGAGCAATTAGATAGGCATTAGTATTGTTACCGCATGAAAGCCTATTGGATGTATAAGTGTATAATGCAATTAAGAGATTTGAGCAAAAGATGTGATAAATCATTTTTTAATATAAAACAAATATTTTGAACTAGAATATTCAAATTTTGTGTAAGTAAAATGTTTCAAGTTCTTTTTCAATTTCATCAAAATTATTGATGTGATACGTTTCTTCATCTTCAAAATCATCTTCATTAAATTAATAAGGATAGTTTTGATCATCTTATAAAATTGGAGGTAGCATCACTATTTACCTATTTTTTTAAAATAATTTTTCATTTCTCTCCTTTTACATTTTCTAATGAAAGTCTTGCACCTTCTAAAACCTATATGAGATAGTATACCATTTTGAGTATTTGTTTTGTCTCTTCTGATTATTTCTTTTCAGTCTGTAGCTCTTCAATTAAGCTATTTGAGTTTCGAGTTTATAATTGCATGAATTAAATAATGATAAAAAGAAATAAGATAATATCAAAAATAGTCTAGTCAATAAATATATCTACTCAATAAATCAAACCTAAATACAATTTTGAATTAGTTTCAATTGAACTAATGGAATTTAGAATAATTATGATTTCAGCATATATTTCGATCTTGTATTAATCAATAAGATCAGTTTTTGAGCCTATAGCTAATTGGAATGTTTAATAATTTGTTCATAGGGTTTTACAAAAGATGTGATCTCAAAGGTCGGCTGCCTTTTGGTAATTAAGATTCAATCATCTTATACAGACAGTAATATATCAGTAATTCTGAGCATATTTATTAATTACTAAGGTCGTTATCGATTCCCTCTGATTAAGCATATGATCTACTATTTTCTAGATATCTATATAAAGTGATATTATTCTAAATGAACTTTTCTAATTCAATTCTGGCCAAATGAGAAAGAACTGCTGGTTCCCAAAAAGAATTTACACTCTCAATGGAATAAATAGTATTATGCTTTTTTTCTTGCAAATACTCTAAATTTTAAACGATTCCAATTTTAAGCAGATCAATTTTTTGAGTATCTTTCTTGAACCTAAGAGGATATTCTTTGGATCTCTATTGATTCATTATTTAAAATGGAGCTTTAAAACTAAAACCAATTATTTTGCTATCAGTCATGCTTCCAAAATTTTAAATAATAAATGAAGTTGATGCCAAAAAATGTTAGTTATCTATTATTTTGTGACCATGTTATTCTAACAATCTTATACATTTGTGTATGCCATCAATGAGACAGAGATATTTGAAAATTTCAACTTCTATTTTAAATGATCAACCTTCTTCATTTTCTATATATATTGCTACTTCTTAGATAAAATTCTAATCCAATTGAAGAAAAACAATTCCATATAAACCATTGAATAGTTTGCTTTAAACAATAAATTAATTGTTTAAATATCTAAAATAGTATAATAATTTTATAATGAATTGTAATTAGGAACCCTAATCAATCAAAATTGTTGTAGTTGGAGATAGCAGTGTTGGGAAGACATCAATTCTATTGACGTAATTTAATTGTGAAATCATAGATACACATAGGATAAATTTCCTATTGATTATGTGCCTACTGTATTTGAAAATTACTCAAATGTAATTAGTGTTGATAATACTCAAGTACAATTAACTTTGTGGTATATACATGCAATAAGTATCAAGGGATACAGCAGGTCAAGAGTCATATGAAAGATTACGTTTATTGAGCTATTAGTCAGCTAATGCATTTCTGATTGTGTTTTCTGTGGACAACATGGATAGTTTCAATAATGTTTGGAGCAAATGGAAACCAGAATTAGAAATGGCTGGCAAAAAGGATCTGCCTAAATTAATTGTGGGCAATAAATCAGATAAACTGAAAGATCCTGATAAATTCTAAATGTTTTGGGAAAGATGCGAATAAGAGGGATTAAAATATAGATAGTGCAGTGCATTCTTGAATAATAACATTAAAAATATATTTGAAGAATTGGTTAGTATGACTATCAGTGAACGATAACCTTCGACTATTTTACGATCTACTATGAGAAAAGAGAGTATAAAACAATTGAAATCAGGATGTCAATTACTATGAGAGATTATTTCTAATTAATAACTTATATATTATATTATTATGAATACTTTAAGTTCAAATCCGAAAAAAACTATGTTTTATGCTGCTGCCTAAAGTATTAGATATCTAAATGTTGTAGATATGTTAAATCAACATTCCAATCAATCATCCATGTCAACTCTAAAACGAAGTTTATTTCAGTTGGCCTTGGTTCCACCCAATAATCCAAGAGAATAACTGAATCAATCATTGAGCAATAATTCGGATCGAGCAAAGCAAAACATCTCCCTCCCCAGAAAAAGCAACATTTTTTAATAGGATAGAGATAGATCCCTCTCTTATAAATTAAATAACTCCATTGAACATAATACTTCTTTGGAACGTTTACAGAATGCCTACAATATTAAGGGTAATTTTTAAATTGCAAATGAAAATCTCACAAGCTAGAGAAATTGG